GACAGTTTAACAAGACAGCGCGCAGGAGAGTCATGCCGATTGGGATACACAACAGTCTAGAGCTGCGGATGACGTTCATTCGCAACACCAGTGACCAGACCGACCACTCAGACATTGTAAACAGGCATCGATGGCATCTTGCCGACCAGCTTGTTCTCAGTCGACGGCTGGAATTTCTTCTCCTTGTACCAGACGTGCGCCGTCTTGGCCATTTCCTCGACCTTGTCAAAACCAAACTGCGGGTCGGTCAGGCCGTCGTAGACGCCTCGCGCATAATCTGGTGCGATGTTGTAGATCTGCGCAAGATACTTGTACTAAGTGGCTGTCAGAAAGATACTCAACAACAAAAACAAGTCTGCGGTGCATACCTGGATCTCGGGAAACTGGACCCTGCGCAGGCCCTTGGCCGTGTTGTAGCACGTGTTCTTCATCTCCTGCTCAGACATGACCTTCGTCCAGAGCTCCGTCGCCTGTGCGTAGTCGCTCTTCTTACCCTCGTGCCAGTAGTGACTCTTGCGGCTGACAATGTTGTCGTTGACGGCATACGGAGCCTCAGCCGCATCGGGTCTGAACTTGTGAGCAAAGCTGTTGGGCGCATACTGCTTGTTGCCCGCGTGGTTCGCGTCGACGCGCATCTGCCCGTCAAAGTTGAGTGACGCGTACGACTTGGCCATAAAGGGGCAGTTGACCGGCACCTGGTGCAAATTGACACCGATGCGGTGGTACTGCGCGTCGCGGTAGAAGAACATGCGGAACTGCAGCAGCGGGTCAGGAGAGTCCTCGATGCCGGGTACCATGCTCCCGGGCGAGAACGCAGCCTGCTCAACGTCGCGGTGGAAGTTCTCGGGGTTCTTGTTCAGAACAAGACGGCCAAACTTGCGCATGGGGAACTGCTTCCTGGGCCAGACCTTAGTCACGTCAAATGGGTCGAAGCCCAAAGAGTCGGGGTCGGCCTCGTTAGGATCCATGACCTGAACGTGTGCCGTCCATTCAATCTCCTCACCTTTCTCGATCGCCTGCCACAGGTCTCGCTTGGAGTAGTCTGGGTCTTCGCCACACATCTGCATGGCCTCGCTGTCGGTGAACTGCTTCTGACCATGCTTGGCGATGAAGTGGTACTTGATGTAGACAAAGCGGCCCTCTGCATTCACCCACTTGAACGTGTGGCAGCCGTAGCCATGTTTGAACCGCCAGCCCTGCGGTGTACCGTGGTCACTGAAGAACATGAGGCCGGCGTGGTTTCCCTCGGGAGTGTTGGCGAGGAGGTCGAACAGGGCGTCATGGTCCAGCAGGAAGTTGTCCGGGTTGCGGGCCTGAGACCGAATGACATCCGGACCTTGAATAGGATCACGGCAAAAGAACACAGGCTTTGCGGTCAATCAATTGCACATGAACAGTGTTTTTCAATCAAGACTTACAAAGTTCAACCCAACAATGTCATAGTTGCCTTCGCCAGTGTACAGCTTGATGGCAAAGCCACGCGGGTTGCGAGCCTCGTCGGGGAACTCGCGTCCAAGGGTCACCGTGGAAAAGCGTACAAAGGCGGGTGTCTTCTCCCCAACAGTCGAGAGGAAGTTTGCTTTCTATTAAGCATGTCAGGGGCCTGGACACCAGTTTACTTTGCACTTGTACCCACCGTCAACTCGGTCACGTCGTCGGTGCACTCGAAGAACCCAAATGCGCCAGAACCACAAGGATGGACCATTCCTGCATCTCGTTAGGCATCTCCTGAATACTTCATACAACTACTCACGCTCGAGATTCTTGGAGCGGTTGAAGGTCTGCTGTTTCCTGGATGCTGTCAGCTCTTCTGTCGATATATCCCATCGCAATGTTCAGTGCAGTACTCACTGAAACAGGTGGACATCGCTCGCAACGGGAATCCCCCCAATAGTCTTACTGTGTGCTCTTTTCTGAGTCAGTCCACTGTCCGCCGTCACTTATGAAACGTAACATACGGGTCCGGGAAAGGATGGCCCTCGTTGTTGGTGAAGTAGGCTCCATCGTCCACCCTCTTGCCGCCTTGCGAGGCGCCAGAGACCTTGGAGATGATGTCGGCAGGGCCCTCATTGGCACTCTGCATGTGACTCATGCGAGGAGCGCGATACTCCCCTTGGGTTCCTCCGGCAATCGCCTCGGCAGTGGCCTTCAAGGGGTGAACGCTTGCTTTGTTTTGGTTGGTAGACATTTTGGCAGAATGATACAGAGACTTCTTCGCAAAACTGAAAGTCGTACGCAATAAATACTGTGCAAGCGCGCAAAGTCTCGTCCTTTTGAAGCTCACCAGTAGTTCCGTTCAACCGCCATGGTCCCCGAACCTTCCGCTCAGCCCGGGGCAAGCAACCCCCTCCAAATGCACACCAGCGCTGGCTTTGAATCGAGTCGTGTCGTAGCTATGATATGGATTCATCGAATGACAACTGGCCATCTGCCAGCCGGCGACATACATGTATATTACACACGTGTGGCTGACGTCAAAGTCGAACCCCGGAGCAAAGCTTCCCAAGTCCAGGGCTTTTGCAGCATCGAACGCCCTCTAAGCCGGAGAATTTTGCCATATGGGATGATGGACTGCCATATCATTAGGCTAGATATGTTGCATCGCCGGCGCGACCCATGTACACTGGCTCTACTTGCTGGCACCATCGTCACCGGTCTCGATTCAGAGAAGTAGGCGCCGATACACGATGTAGGCGCGGCACTAAATCACAACAAACCACTCCATGGGTCTTTGCGCATGGCTGTATCGCTTGCTCATGAATGCAAGGAGTTAACGGTCCGTAAGAGCATGGCATGAGCCAAGCGTGAACTGGGTCCAGGTACTCCAACAATGCACGAGAATTAGGAACTGGCAACTGGTCAGGCTAGATTGACACTGACCAAGCATCATGGGCTTATTTTGGGTACCGGATCCCAAGATAGCTGCATCTCCGCTTCGATGAGCGCCTGAGGGAATCTTGTGTCCTGACTTCTGACTGCTGACTCTTGTCTACTCGGCGACTCGCGCCTCGCCAGAACAGGATTGTCGTGAGAACAGTGGCAGTTGACTCTGCTTCTCTGCTAGGAGGACATGAAGAAGGAAGTCTGTTTTGCGTCCGGTCTGTGGAGCAACAGAGTTCGAGTTTCTGGACAAAAAGAGAAATAATTCAACGGCAATAAGCAAAAGAATCTCAGGAGGGAGATTCGAACTCCCGACATCCAGATGGCGAGTTGCAATTACAATCTGACGTCATAAACCAACTAGACGATCCCGAGGATGATGACTAATCAATGGATCTTGGCGTGGAGAATAATATTCATGTATTGTTGTGCCTCGTGACTTAGCGCAACGGCGTGCTTCGATGAACTAGCTGAACAGATTGCCAACAAGCAGATCAGGAGACATTAGATATTATTAAAGTCTACGAGGCATCTCTGAGTAGTATGCTTAACTACTCTAGATTGGATCTATGCTTGCATTGTCGGCAATCGTGTTCTCAAAGGTTCCGGGGTCTTTGGAGAACAACTCCATCGGTAGGAATTGACCATGACTTTTATGTACCTATATAATACACAATGTTAGTTGCTCATTCCATCAAAGGTCGCGTGGCCCAATGGCAAGGCGTTTGACTACGATTCGATATATCAAAAGATTGTGGGTTCGATCCCCACCGTGACCTTTTGACCAGTCTCCTTTTGCTTTCTGTATACCTTATCTCATTACCATTTGATATCGCTGCAGAAACTTGTGAGCGCAATGAGGATTCTGTGATCGCAAATTGTGGTAGGTGAGACATGCAGTTTCCGTGGATGACTCAGCTCGCCGAAGCCGCAGAGGGTCGGTCCTCGTCGACGGCTTCGGCCAAGTCGGCATACACTTGAATCCCCTTAATTTCTTGAGAGCGAGTGCGACTTGTTCCTTTTGGCCTTTCTGGTTCCTCAAGCACAAGTTGCCAAGATGGCAGATACATCACAGGGCTCTTCGCAAACCGCCAACAACAGTGCAGCCTCGAACGAGAGGTCGCCACTGTTGAAGCCCGGCAATCAGAACGAGCAGAATGGCGGTCCTCCGGACGAGGAAAGGGTTGTCCTCGCCGAAGAAGTGTCCTTCACGCGAATTGCCTTGATCATGGGCACGACTTGGGTCGGCGTCTTCCTGGGCGCGACAGATTCCACCATCATCGCCACCTTATCAGCACCCATCTCCAGCGAGTTCAAATCGTTGAGCTTAATGTCCTGGCTCGCCACCGCCTATTTCATCGCCAATGCCGCGTGTCAGCCCATTTCAGGACGCCTGACGGACATCTTTGGCAGGGGGCCGGGCTTGGTTGCGAGCAACTTGCTTTTCGCCGCTGGCAATCTCATGTGCGGCCTTGCCAAAGACGAATACTCCATGATCATCGGACGTGTGATTGCCGGCATGGGAGGAGGCGGGCTCATGAGTATCTCGACCTTTCTCGGATCAGACCTGATCCCTTTGCGACAGAGGGGTGTTGTGCAGGGCATTGGCAACATCTGCTACGGGTCGGGCGCGATGATGGGCGGTATCTTTGGCGGTCTCATCAACGACCACACCAAGATGGGCTGGCGGCTGGCCTTCTTAATCCAGGTTCCACCCGTACTCCTTTCTGCGGTTGCCGTTTTCTTCCTGGTCAAGGTGCCCCCAAAGCAGTCGGACAAGTCGTACCTCGCACGCATCGACTTTCTGGGGGTCTTCCTTACCGTCTCGTTCCTTGTGCTGCTACTGCTGGGGCTGAATTCCGGCGGCAACTTGGTGCCGTGGGTACACCCTCTTCCCTTGAGTACCATTCCACTGGCCTTCATCACGTTCGGGGGATTCCTGTGGTGGGAGAGCAAGGCTCGCCAGCCCATCATCCCGGTTCGGCTGCTTGCGTCGCGAACGATATTAGCAGCTTGCCTCTGCAACCTGCTCTGCACTATGGTCACCATGACGGGGGTCTTTTACGTCCCGCTGTTCCTGCAAGTTCTCGGCGCGTCTGCAACAGATGCTGGTCTCCAGATCTTGCCTTCACCGGTAGGTGTGTCCATCGGCTCTGTAGCTGCTGGGTTTGTCATGAAGCAGACAGGTCGATACCTGCGACTCGGCATCGCGAGCGTTCTCCTCATGGTGGTCGGCGTCGTCATGTTTACCTTTCAAACCGAGACGAGCCCAAAATGGCTAAGTCTGGTGGCCTTCTTTTCCATTGGCAGCGGCTATGGCGCCATGCTCACCACGACTCTTCTCGCCTGTATCGCCGCTGTTGACCATTCGCAACAGGCCGTGATCACATCGGCGACTTGTAAGTCTCCTCCTTGCTTTGAATCCACCTGGCCGTCAACCCTCTGACCCCGTCCAGATCTTGCGCGCAGTTTAGGCAGTACCATAGGCGTGACTGTTGGCTCGGCCATCTACCAGAATATTCTCAAGGCCAGGCTCTGGGAACGCTTCGGCGATTACCCGGACGCAGAGGAGATCATCCGCCGGGTGCGAAATGATTTGTCAGAACTCAAGCACCTCCCCAAGGGCTGGCATGACGGCGTCATCAGGTCTTTTGTGGAAGCCTTTCGCGGCGTTTGGTTCACGTTGCTTGGAATCGTCCTGCTTGCCCTTGTTTGTGTTTCGTTACTGAAGCAGCACACACTGCACTCGACACTGACAAGGGAAGATGGCGGTCAAGAGGAAGAGCGTGGAGAGCCAAGGTAGTCTCTGAAGCTTACCATTGTGGGACGGGATAGGCTGCCTCGTGTTGGGCAAACGCATGCTGTCAAGCGAGCCACAAGGATCGATGTTGCCTTTGCTCTAGGCCGTTGAGATGGTACGTAGAGCTCTTCGGACGACGGGGATACCGTAAGTGTGCCGTGTCGCATGTCAACGGCCCTGAAGGAATCGCCCCTAAAATGGATTATACTGGACGAGGCTATTATTATCATATACCTCCACAAGGATCGGTTGGCGCAGTCGTACCGGTACCTGATTTTGGCCGGTCCTTACTACGAGGAACTCTGCCCACCCCGCAATGGATTATCGTTGGTTGAATGCATGTGGCTCAAAAACTCGCAGTTATCGTCGGTCCAGTTGTGTACGTAAATCCCAAAGGCTGAGCGAGCAAACGGTCACTTTGCATGCGGGTTCGCGCGCGAGCAGTTGTGGATGCCGTCGACGTCGAGAGATCGTCGCGATCCAAGAATAGCAACAGGATGATGGAGTGGGAGTCGTCGGGCACGGGTGGCTGGACCTGGCGGGGCATGATTTTCGCTACCTTATTCAGTACCTGTCTGTGATGGAGGTGCGGCTCGAGTTCTTTGACCTTTACGATTCGGGCTCTCAAATACGACCACAGACGGCTGCAGAGCAAGTCACCTGGGCGAAAGAGCAAATGTCGATGCTGCTGGCTCTAGAATAATTCAAATCTCATGTCCAGTCTTCTGCAGTTCGACAGGACAGACAGAGCGTGGCGGAGCCATCAACTGACACGGACTGGACCCGCCTTTTCGTTCGACGCTGTGGCTTCGCTGGGCCGTGGGCGCTGGGCAACCAGTAGAGACGCCAAAAAACGCCTCCAGCTGTCTGCCCGAGACAGCCTGTTGCAGCCTGCTGCAGTGCTGAAGTAAGGCGTCCCGGGGTCAACGCGTGGCGGCCAAGGCAGAGACTAAAGTTACTTGGAGAGGGCTGTATGAAAGGAAACGACTGGAATGAGATTATTCTTTGTTGTTCCCCCCCCATCAGCTCTTGACTCGACCAACTCGAAGCCCCTCACCCTGTCAAGAAACAAGTCGACCAGAATAAAGGATTCTGTGAAAATTCACGGCTCCAGTCATTCGAAGCAGTATCAGAACCAGCCTGCGTCACCTTGACACTGTCTGTGATTGGTAGCGTTGGGCGCACCTCCCGCTGTCGCCCCGGCGACCACTACTGTCAGGGTCCCGTCTAGAGTCCAGTCGCTGCGTCACTGCTCGCGCCGTCCGACATCAGAATTTCAGAAGCGTCCATCCAGCCTTGTTTCGATCAACAAACACCCTATTGACAGACATAACCCAGCAACTTGAGAAAATATCCTCACCTGCCGATCTTGTCACAGCAGGCCCTCCAACTCGCAACACACAAACCACATCTCCCTGGCGCGCGAACGTACCATAGTTGACCATGGCTTCTTGGGAGTGGGATCCCAACTACGTTCCGCCCGTCAAGCTCGGGTTACACTGTGCTCAGATCCTCCTCTCCTTTGTGGTTTGGTGTCTCGAGCTCGCCGTGTTCGCAGACAAGGACTCAATCATCACAGGTAGAAATGGCTGGACCTTTGGCGTGGTATGTACACAGAATCCCAATGGCAGGCACCCTGTGTCCACAACAAGCTAACATTGTTAGACCTTTTTATCAATACCAGCATGGGTCTTTCTCGTCATGACTCCTCGCTTCGAACGCACGAGGCGCTTTGCCAATGCCTACGCCATGCTCGGTGTTGACTTGGTCTTCACCATCATCTGGATCTCCGCTTTCGCGACGCAAGCCGCCTACAATACGGCTGGGAATTGCGGCAGCCGCTGCAAGCTCAGCAAGACCATCGTTGGCTTGGGTGTCTTTATCACGTAGGGGCCCTTCCTCTGTCTTGCACTCTCGACGATGATTTCTAACACTTTGCAGCCTCCTCTTCGCTATGAGCACGCTGGTCAGCGGGTATACCATGCAATACTGGAAGTTCCACGGCAATCTGCCCGGTTACGACCAGCGCAAGATTCGCGGCGGCGAGAACATTGATCCCGACAAGGCGGCCTTCTCCATGGCGCCTCATGACGACGACGCATATGAGCGCGTCAACATGGACGACAACGAGACCACGGCGTATGGCGGCGCCGGCGCCGGCGAGCCGTACGGACACGTGAATCCCTACAGCGCGGACGACTACAACGACCCGAACCGTTACGGCTCTCTGCCGCCCAGAAACAACGACATGTTTGATGCCGACACCGAGTACGGCGCCGGTAGCACAATCGGTGCTCGCCCACCGCCGGCCCCGACGGCATCTGACTTGTCGTACGGTTCGCGGTATGACGACCCAGCGCGGTTCCCGGCGGGCAACTATGATCGCATTGAGCGATGAGAGGGGATGGAAACATGAATGGACACCGGGCATCGGGTTCTGTAAGGTAGTATATACTCAAAGGCGGTTGTATGGCGTTTGGGACATTATGACACGTGTGGAGGATCCATGGTTTTCCGGGCATAAATGAACGATCATCATCATAGAGGTAGCATGCGCTGTGAAATTGACAGGTTTTTTGTATCAAGTGACTTTCCTTCCCACTCTGATGATTCTTCCAAAACGCCTCAACGCCTGCCATGTGCCTGACTGCCAGCCTTTCTCGCCTATGCTTTCATCTTCTTGATCCTTTTCGCAATGTCGGCGGCCGTCTGCTGCATCGGGTTCAACTTTCTGTCCCTGAACATGGCATCGTAGTCGTCCCCGTGCTTCTCCACCAAGCTCGTTAACCATTCTCTTTCCCGTGAGCTCTGGTAGCGGGGTTTCTTCTCCGCTGGGTTCTTCGCTTGCTCAATCAACTCCCGCACCACCTCTGTCTCGTTGCCGGTCTCGTGGATGCCACCCCACTCCTCGTATTCCTTGTCCTCCGCCATCGCCTCCTCTTCGTCGTCACTCAGTGCGGTCAGAGGGTCGTTGAGGGGGTTTGGTCGGGACAGGACGCGGATGATCTTGCCGTCGGCATCGCGCTCGACTTTGGCTTCGACCAGGGCGGCAACGGGTTCAATGTTTTTCACGGCCAGAGGGTCCTTGTCCGAGTGGGAGGGTTTCGAGCCAAGCGGTTTCTCTGTTCCACCGGTGGGACCACGCAGGCGCGCGGAGAGACCGAGACGGCGGTAGTTCTGTGCGAGGGTCTGGGACTTGTCCCTGTGCAATGTGTCAGCTGGTGTATCTGTGCGAAAGGATGCTTGGGTTGGGGAGCGAACCAGTTGGCGGCGACGGTGCTATTACCGAGCGGGTTGAGAGCCTTCTTGGGTCGGTTTGGCTGACGGACAGGTTGGCGCTGCGAGCGGCGCTTCTTCTTCTGAATTTCACGACCCATTGTGAAAATTGATGCTGGCAATGCTGTCGTCCACGATTAGTCGCGAGTGGAAGCGATGGTGGTTGGGATGAATGCCCGCCAAAATTTTGTTAGGACGTCTTATCGATAAGGGGGCTGGCATTTTCGAATGGAGGTCCTTGGGCCAAGGTCGACATCATACATGCATCCTCCCAGCGATTCTACTTTGTAAGCTGTGTTTATAGTTCTATCATCTATGTTTCTCAAACCTTGAACTTCTTTGGGTCCAGATTGCTGACGTTCGCACTCGTCGCTTTGCCGTCAAACACAAATTCAGACATGAGCTTGCCAGTGCCCGGGCCATTCTGAATGCCCCAGCACGTGTGACCGGCAGCTAACCAAATTCCTGGTACAGATGTACCGCCAATCAGTGGTCCACTCTCCTGACCGAAGCGAATGTGTTGCGGCAGATAGCACGCCTGCTTTGCCTTGACGGGCGCAGAGTGCAACACGGGGCTGACGGTCCCGATGTAGGAGATGATGTCGTCGCACTGCGCTTCGTCGCACTGGACCTGGTCGGCCGTCTCTGGCAGAGGCACGAGCTTGTCCGGTTCGCCTACACTAGAGTCAGTCAAGTAACTAGCATAGCCTAGGACCGTTCGTACCGCACGCGTAGACCTCACCAAAAGGCCGGGCGTAGATCTCGGGATCGACCGACCCCTTGTGCTTGCGCTTCTGGCCCATCTTGGCGCGGTGCTCAGGGACAAAGTCCGAGGGAAGTTCAATGTCGGTAAAGACAGCATATGCGCTGACGTCCGCCTCGTACACGACGCTGTGAGCACGGAGTCCTTCCACCTTGGCCTTTGGCAGCACACGCCCCGTCCACGGTCCAGCAGAGACCACAACGTCAGTCACGTCGTTGATCTGCTTCGTCTCTCCGCTCTCACGATCGAGGTACTCGATGCTCTCCACCCCAGATGCCTTCGACTTGATGTTGGTGACTTTGGCGTTTGTTCGAATATCGACTCCACCGCTCCGGGCGAGCTCGCCCATCGATGTTGTGAAATGGTAGGGATGGACCTGCGCCGTCTCGGAGGCCCCAGGTGCGCCCATCTCGGCATACCCTTCCACAAGGTCACGGGATATCCAGTCAAGATCTTCTGGCTGGTTGGTACTCGCAAAGAGCTCCTGTGCTGCCTCATTCTGCTTCGGCAGTCTTTCCCAGGCCTTGGTGTCCCCGTTCAACGTCTGCATCTGCTGGATACGCTGCTTGGTCACCGTAGCTGAGATGCTGCCGCACTTGAGAGGACGGTAGCCCCATTTCTGGGCACCGCCATGCTCGGCGGCGAGTTCCGCATGGAGCTTGAATGACAGGGGGACGAGGCACGAAGGGTATGCCCACAAGCCGAGTAGGCCACCCGCCTTGCCCGAGGCTCCGGAAGCCAGGGAAGGGGCAGCTTCAAGCAGCGTGATCGTATGAAGTGCTGGATTGAATTTAGGATGCCGGCTTAGATAGTAGGCCGTGGTACAGCCTATGACGCCACCCCCTGGTAGAGCGTCAGTCTGGAACTCTGGGGATTTTCATGCGGGAGGATTGCTTACCGACAACGACAATGTTCCGCTTGCCCTCCATTTGGTCATGCGCTTGGAAGAAATACTTTGCTCTTGCGCTTGTTCGACCAGACGTCGTCTTGACTCTTGATCCCTGTGCCGTCACTGGAATGGGGCGATGTCACAATGTGTGCGGGCTTTCAGCACTAATGATGGTCCTTTGGAGGCACTGAGATGCTACCTGAGATGGTGTCTGAACATGAAGTTGATATTATTAAAAGGTGAGGACAGAATCCAAACAAATGGTAATTGAGTTAGCTACTTGGATTTCTCTGTTCTGATATCATCAGGTGGGGCAGCTCCAAACTCCAGTCCCAGGCATTTGGGGCCGCCCTAGTGTGATTTTTTGTTCAAAGAAAGTTGAGAACCCTCTGGTCCCATAATACGTAAGACCAACCGCCCGACTCATAGTGAGGCTGGTAAGTGCTTCGTCTAGGTCATTGCCATAGACGTAACGTACATGGCCGGCCTCATCTGGGGGAGAACTAGTAATTAGTATAATGCACGGATATGTGCCTGTCAGATCATGGTTTTGGTTTGCGGTGAACACGGAGTTGCGGAGCTCCTATCGCTAACAAAGTGGTTCGTAACTTACGGCAACTGCCGCACATGCAACTCCACATGTGACAGCTGCCCAATTACGTCACGATCCTTTGAGGAAGGAACTTTGCAGTCACCGCCGTCTGGGACAGGACCAGGCTTCAGGCGCAAAGGGCGAGCTTGCCAGTCACAGCAACAAGTCCAGAGATTGCATCGCAAGGGCCCCTTCTCCTCGCCGTCTGCGCCTCGTCAGCAGGACCATATTAATATGGTGGCCATGCTGCCGCCGGTGCGCGCTTTATCTCGACTGCAACTCCGAATCTCCTTCTCCCGTCTCACCAGCCTCGACCGTCCCCATCACACAGCAGCAGTCCACACGGCACCGCGAGCAACGCCGAGGCAATTCCCCAGTGGGTGCCACCACCACTGCCGCCGCCGCCAGCACCCAAGCCCGCGTCTGAGACCCTTTTCCTCTTCGCCCGCCGCCATGACCGCCGAGGACTCTTCCTCCTGTCTCCCCATCGGTGGCTCGCGCAAACGCAATTCACAAACCATGTCGTCCGCAACTAACTTTTACAATTTCAAGCCCCTCGACAGTAGGTGTTCCAGACATAAATGAATGCCCAAGACGAGTCGCTAACAATAGACAGAGAAGGGCCAGGAGCTCCCCCTCGACAACTACAAGGGCAAGGTTGTCCTTGTCGTCAACACCGCCTCCAAGTGCGGCTTCACGCCCCAGTTCGCCGGTCTCGAATCGCTCTATTACAAGATCAAGCAGTCCCACCCCGATGACTTCATCATCCTCGGCTTCCCCTGCAACCAGTTCGCTGGCCAGGACCCGGGCACCGACGACGATATTCAGAACTTCTGCCAGGTCAACTACGGCGTGAGCTTCCCCATCATGAAGAAGATCGACGTCAACGGCGACACCGCCGACCCTCTGTATCAGTGGTTGAAGGAAGAGCAGCCCGGCTTCATGGGCTTGAAGCGCATCAAGTGGAATTTTGAAAAGTTTCTGATCGGCAGGGACGGGCAGGTCAAGGGCCGCTGGGCTAGTCTCACCAAGCCCGATGCTCTGGAGCGCCCCATCCTGGACGAGCTCAGCAAGAAGCCCGCTGAGCCTGCTGCGCCTTCGCAAACGACGTCTGCGGATGCCCCTACCTCTGCTGAGGCTCCTGCATCGACTGAGCAGAAGCTGTGATGAGTCACCAGGGCAGGAGAATGGTGCGGGAGTAGGTGATCGGCAATGAGCTTGATAACTAATGAGATACCACTGCGCCGCGAGTTTAATCGGATTCATTTGGCTATTCGCACGTGATATTTGGCCGTGCATTCTTCTGGGTCACCATGTCGTCTCGTTTTTGGCAGTAGCTTACGTTCTCGACAGAGTCACCCTTTTAAATAACATCCCACGTTGATGATTATTTGCCTCTTACACCGAAGTATGCATCACTCGCCATAGACCTGTATCAGTCGAGACAATTGCCGTTGCTGACAGTCTGGCTCCGGAAAATCGGATGTACCACAATCGATTGTACCCAGAGCCAATTTCAACACCCAGAAACCGTCGACATAGGTTTCTGTAGCGCAAGGAGCCGAGCCAAGCTAAAGCCTTCTGGCCGGGTTCCGGCCTTGCTGTTGGCCCTGGTTTAGTTGGGATGGACCTCAATGACCACAAATGGTTCTCCTGCTCTTTCCCCGTGGCTCACCAGGTGTTCGCTTTTCTCCGCGACTTTGTTTCGCTTGGAAAGATCCACGCGACAGCCTTGATCGAAGAGGAGCGTGACTGGCATCATGTAAACACCTAAGCCGTCTTCCGTCTCTTCATTGCTTTTACAAAAACTGCTTTGCGTCCTCGCTCACGACGGTGGGTGCCGTTGCACGCGTGCCGCGCTTGCAAAGCCTCATCGCGACTTAGAGGCGCAGGCGCTCATGGCTTGAACTTTCCGATCCCAGCACACACTTCCTGGACCCTGAATTTCATTTCAAAATCATAATAGAAAAAATTAGCCCTTTGGTGATGAGGTTGGGAAGACGGCCGCAATCAGCGTACCAGAAGCCGCAGTTTAAAAGCCAGACATGTCCCACGCCTTTCTGGCACACTTAGACACACATGGCTAGCATTCACAAACACATTCCATATCCCCAGACTTTCTCTCTTTAATATACTTCCTTTCTGGAACAGTCACAAGATCTACTTCGCCCCCACCAGCAACTGTGTTTTGCTACTTTTGCTTTTACCACGACTCCCAGCCTTCGTTGTCACATACTCTCAACCGTCCACCAACGTCCGTTCAATTATACCGCAGAGACAATGGCCCAACACCAGCCTGGGGCTGATTTTCCCTCCGTGAATAACAAAGGCTCTAGCGACTGGACTCTAGGAGAACCATATGACGGTGTCCCTTCACTAGCTCTTCTCCCAAAGGGGGAGAACCACCCTGAGGGCTGTGCGCAACATTTGCGGATCAAATACAGCTGCATACACCATTTTCGATGTACAATCGCTTGCAACGACCAATGCAGGCATCTACCCTGCGTCAGAGAGAGGATTGCCGTCTCGGCCATTTCAGAAAAGGTGTGCCCTGACTGCCTTCTGGCTGATCAGAAAGCTGAACAAAAAAAGCCAGTGAATACAGACCTTGCCAATCCCGGCCTTGATGAATTTGAGGCGACAATATCCTGGGTCAGTGGCTTGGCAATACAGGCGCTTCATTATGATTCCCTTGCTCTGCTAGGCCACCGCGGAGCATTGGACACCGAAACATGGAACGACATGTTGAGAGAAAAGCCCGATTGGGTACACGTCGAAGCAATCTTGATCGAGGAGCCGATGCTGGACGACCTCCTCAGGTCCAGAATTCCAATTCCGGCCCACTTCAGACCATCCATGCCCGTACATTCTTGGATGCAAATTGGGGTGGACTATGAGATCGAGCCCCAGATTGAGTTGCCTTTACCTCGGTCACCCATGTCGGCCTATCTCGGTAGAGGTGCGTATAGCCCGAGACTCATTGCCTTTGAGGAGATAGTCCAGCGCTCTCTCCTGGAGTCCAGGGAGGCGGAAGTTGTTGATGCGCTGGTTGATGTGGCTACCAACCCACAGCCGTGCAACTTGCCAAACTCAACCTTGCTGCTGATACCCTGGGAAATCTTCAACATGGGCCCCCGGTGTCAACGGTCATCATTCCGTTCATGGTTGCAGCTGATCCAGGTCTGCTTTGCGAAGATGACATGGAGCTTGACGACAGCAATGACCCCAGCGCGTTCGACTGGTTGGATGAGTCTACATGGACTTCAGCTGCAAACCCGCGGCCTCCGGGTCGCGAAACAAAGCTGATCATGCTGAACTACTGACGTCTGGGTCTTCTCTTTTCTTTTTGGACTTTAACATTCTCGTTCTGTTCCCTTGGAGTTTTGTTGTGGATCGCTAAAAATAAAAATCACATTAAAAAAGAGTGTGGAAAGGCGTTTCCACTGGCAAACCGGGAATACTTAACTTTCCCTCTACATCCCACCAAAACATGTTTGGCTCACTGAGTCTTGGAGAATGGTTTTGCAGACCTTTGGAGTTGTTTTTGGGTCCTTGGGTACGTTGTCGATCCCTTGCTCGCGCTCGGGGTTTGACGTGGATTACATCCCGAGGACAGAACAAAGAAAAGGGAAAGATCGTTTGACATTAACAGTTCACAGTTCCAGATATCAATTCAAGTGTAAAGCTGGTTACTGAAGCTTCTGTGAATGCATGTCACACGTAACGAGCAGCCAACTGAAATCTAGCATGACCGTTGAGCATGTAGACTAGAATTGTCTCAGGGTCCATCCACACCACACAATAGCGCAGACTTAGCATGGCGGCAGTTTCCGCCCCGCTACTATTGTGCCAACGGCATCTCGAGATAGGGGTCTGCGCTAGAGAAAGATGGTGTGGAGGACCACGCAGCGTAAGCGATATTTGACGTCGTCGGTCCATCACAATCGCCTCTCTATCAGTTTCTCTTTTTCCTTTCTTTTATCGAGTCTGATCTTCAACTGTGCGCAGTCGCTTATGAACGGCTCAGTGTTCTCGCTACGGGCTAAGCATCCCCAACCGAGGACTGTTAGAACTGGTACGTCTCGACAGTTCCAAGCGGTCCTAAGCACCTTGCAAAGTTATTAATACGATTTTCGCCTCACCTGTTGATTTCTTCGCCTCTGTAATTGGTGCTTGGCCCAGCATCAACGATGCTGTCTCATGTCTCGGTGGTCCATCGAACAATACCATGGTCAACGAGGCTAAAAATGTGTCTGGTTGAGAAAGAAATGTGGCACGGACCGTTGGAACAACTGATGATCATGCCGTCTCGGCCATTAGCAGGTAAAATTTGGTATTGCATAGGCCCACCATCAAAGTATTTCACATTACAGACGAAGACCCTGAGAGAAACGAACCGTAGGCTAGTAACCCTACTAGGACGCGCCGAAGGAAACCATGATTAAATGTTGCTCCGGCTCCCCCTCTGTTCGCACACGAATTCACCATCTGAAGAGGATGTCTTGGGGTGTTGATTAAATCCTCGAGTAAGCTTTTGACGTCCACCCCGCTGCGGTGGCGTGCCCCACGAGACTGGTCTGCGAGGCGGTCCGAGGGTCTAAGACACAAGAACGAACAAGCTCAAAGAATTGTTCGGCATTAATGGAACCAGATGTCGGATCGCGCGGTCTTTTTTTAGGACTGTCGTGATGAAGAGGGTATTCCAACTCGGATTTTGGAATCTGATTGAATTTGTAGCCGCACACGGAGAAAGCAGCAGCCGCCATGTTCCAGTCTCAAGACCTCCAAGCTGAGGGAAACCCAGTTCACAAGTGTCCCTCGAGAAAGGCGTGTATTTCGTCTGCGTAACACTGACAATGCGCCATGAATACCCAACACATTAGAACTCAATGACCAGAGCTTCATCCGCTGCATCGAGAGGAGTTCAGTGACCACGAGAAGACTGACCACGACTTGTGTGCATCACAGCACCTTTCTTCCCATCCGCCATGCAAGTCTTGCACTCAAAGGAAACATGCGACTCCACCAAGCCTTTCTACCCTCGAACAGCAACTAGACACAACCAGTAGCCCCCATGCTGTACGCCACCCCATATCATGAATGGTGATCTGCAACATCTCAGCCATCTTGTTGACGTGCAGTGGCGGCGCAAGAGATGGAACGTCAAATGGTCAGACTACCAATCGGCATCCGTCAGAGTGGGAGTACACCTTTGCGGGGGAGGATCGAAAACGCCTCCAACGCCATTGACGCACGTAATGAATGCTTCACCCGACAGCGGACGCTTCCGACAGTATGCTGCTACGTAGTACCTATTACGTAGTCTGGCACGGCGTGCACCGATGGGAAGAAGCAAGCCACAATGCACGTTGCACGCGCGATAAATGCAACTACCGACACAGACTAGAATCAGCCACTGCTCGACGTCGACTCCAATGTGAGTATGTATGTACTCATGTTTCTCTCTCCGGAAGCACCGAAGTCAGCTGTGAGCCCTGTGGCAACCTTTTACTGCATACTACGTACATCTGGTTCGTGCTGGGATGCCTGCAGTGTGTCATCGACAATGGCCCGACACTGCTCCCCAGGGTTTCTGCTGCCTGGTACAATTTCCCTCCTTTGACCCATGGCAACGCGGCCGCCTCATGCGGAGCGCTGAGGCGCTGACTGTTCTCACGTCAAACTGCTGCCTCGATTTTGAAACATTCCCACCATGCGTTGCTTGTTGTTCCCATTCTTGACCAGGGATTCTTGTCCGGCTGACCTTGTCCTGCATTTGTTTCCACAAGGAGGGGGAGTGCTGTCATCATAACCAAAAACGCATGGACACGCGCCCCTCCCCCACGTCAAAACACACGAAGGATTTCGGGTGCATATGTATCCGCTCTCTTCTTCGTTCGAATCGCCCCTCCTTCGATAGAAGCGGTACACAATATCAGGTGCAGATGTGCGTGACGGTTGATGAAGGCGGATGGAGCGTCGCATTCGTTCGTACTTCTAGCTGAATAAGATTCGGGCGACATTCGGTTGATCGTCCACGACATATGTAGGGTCATGATCGTCATGACGATCCGGAACAATATTGCACATCTATCGCAGCCGCCTTTCAGGGGTTGCGCGCTGGTCACGAGCGTTGCGAGATCATTGCCAAAGCAAACATTCGACTGTAGAGATTCTATTCATCGCCGCGCACGCTTGCTTCGTGGTATCTCAAGTCGTAAGCCAAAAACGCCTGACATCAGCTAAACCCATATCAAGTCCCGACTCCTGACCCATGCGTAAGTTACACGTTTCCATCAATCATGTACATCGTCTCAGTCTGCGATGCTTCGCACATGCGACAGCGCAATTTGAAAAGCAAGGAAAGGCCTTTGCTGAATGTGATCAAAACATAATCCATTCCATGTCGCCAGTGCCTCCAATGCACTTTGCCCAGTTAAAGGGGCTTCGGCGTCCCACAATGTGCAACCTGGTGCCTGGGCTCCTGCCTTCCGATTCCTTGAGTTCGGTGGCCCATAATTTTTCGAGGACATCGAGGGACGATAGGTTGTTCATATAGCCGGAGCGACTCATCATGTCGCGGCATTTGTTCCGGATGATGTTCTGTTGTAGTTCGTTCACGCATTCAGAACCTGCTACAAAGAGCGGCCACAGCAGGAACTTCTCAGCCCCGCTCTCAGGCTCGAGGCTGGTGGCATAGTAGACAACCTGGCTGACCAGGTTCTGAAAGTTGGTGTGACTCGAGGGGAGCGTAGGACTTGCGAGTCGCTCAGTGTAGAGAAGACCTGCGTAACGAAAGGCCTCGGAAAGTGAGCCAAGATCTCGGACCTGCAGCTGGGTTGGCGGTCCTGGTAGGCTCGCTCCCACTGTGCACGAATCAAACTGCCAGCTTTGGAGTGCCAGACGGACCTCCTTCCATTCCTTCCAGAAGATGGCTCGATGAACATCATAGGCCCCAGTTGACCGAGCAGTTGATGTGACAGCATCCTCCTCGCCCAGCAAGGCGTCAAAGCCGTTGCCATCAAACCGAGCCCCAAGTGGCAAACCGCGCAGCTCACTGATCGGCTGGCTGACGCCGTGGCTAATACTGCCGCGGTGGCCGCGGCTCATGGGCACACCAAAAGGTGAGTGTGGGCGGTGAGTCTCGTCAGGGGTCGTCGCCAGGTTTTGCACGGGCCGGTGCTGTGACACGAGGTTGAGGCGTCCAAGCCTGCTGATGGTCTTGAATAGCTCCCGGTCACAGCCGACCAGGTTTTCAATGCCGAACGGAAGTGCATCGACGTTGTCATTGTCGCCAGACAAACCAGTAGACCCTGACAGTTGCGGCTCTCGATCGTTGATGCTAGCTGAGATCGCGTCAAAGTGCTGGAAAAGTCCTTGCATCCATGAAGGCTTACTCGCCTCTAGCTGTTGAGCCTTCCTCATGGACAAAATCTTTCCTATGCCAGCGAACTGTGTCTGGAATTTGGCAACACCAGACTCAACCATGCGATAGTGACAAAGCAGCAGGATCGTCGCTAAAACTGAATCATGGCTCGATGTGATAGGATCATTGAGCTGCTGGTTAAGCAAGTGTACGGCGAGGTTGCGATGCTGATACTCCTCGGACAATGCAGGGTCGTCGATCTGTGTGTCAGCTACTGCCTCGGCAGTTTGCTTCTCGACAAAAAGCTTAGCCATCAAGGTCTGGGTATCCTGACCCAGACTCAGCTTCCGCTTCATCCTCAAATTGCAGGCAGAAAGAGCACAGATTGCATGCTGAAGACTAGGACTCGTCTCAGCCAATTCCAGCACATTCTCTCTGAAGGGGTTTGATGGTCCATCGATGAAGACCATGTTTGGACAAAGAGTGCTGTGATAGTAGTCCACGAAAAAGGGCATCCGTGTGGCAAGCTCCTGAGGGATGGCCGTCGGCTCGTTGGCCCACTTCGACGATGGCTCGCTTCGAGGGGATGGCGACGTCTCTTGGGGTGCGCGCAATCGCTGCTGCTGCTGTGGTTGAGGCGATTCGTTGCAAGGCGGCAAGGCAGAATTTGGTCCTTGGGAACTGGCACCAGGAACACCTGTGAGCCAATTAGAAAGAGTAGGCGATGCAAGGAGCCGCATGATGCTCACTGAAACCATCACACTCTCTCATCATTTTCTGGCTGAATTGAGACTCGAAGACGTCGAGGTGATGGGAGCCGAGGCTGGAGCCGTGCTCGGACGGTGTGTAGACGATTCCTGGGCATGATGTAGGCGCACGCGAGTGGTCGATGTTGATGCTGGAAGGCGGGCTTTGTGGTGCAGGAGAGCTCTGGTGTGTGCTGTAGTTGTCGTACATCAGAGCAGGGCTATTGACGAAGGGTAGCTCCTCACGAGGATATGACCGGCTCAGGGGGGACATGTAGTCGACATCGCTGTTCACCGAGCTGACTGAGGAAGATAGCCCGTCCGTAGCGAGCCCAAGGTGGAACTTATTGAAGCGAGTATGCGCATCAGGCGAGTGCACCATGCTCGGAGAATAGGCCACACTGCCCCAGTTGCCGTGTCCCATTGGTGGTGCATTGTCCGAATGTGACAGTGAGAGGTAATCATACCCAGCCATGCCATATGGGGTCGTCGGTGCCGAGGCGGCGGCGTGTGAAACCGATGGAATGTCCATGGGCCCTCGAGAAGGCATTGGAGCCGCGTGTAGCCTGGGGTCTTCGCATTCAGGCCACTGCACGGAGCCCGCCGAGCTCGTGCTGAGACGATGGCCATTGTGGTTGACGCGGGGATGGGCGTTGGCATTGGAGCCAGCTTCCATGTTTGCTGTGGCCATGGCGGCGCTGTTGGCCCTAGCACGAGCACCGCCTGGTGATCTCCTGGGCTCCCGAGTGACGGGTGGTGCTTTGGCAACGGGTAACGAAAGGCCGCGAAGCTTTCCCCGACTCGCAACCCCAACACCCCAAGTGAGCTGTGTCTTATAACCGGAGCACTCGTTGCTGACTTCGAGGCACTGCGAGCAGTATGGCCGGCGACGGTCACATTTGACGCCACGCTTGAGGCAGGTGAAGCAGTCATCAGCAGCGCCACCAGCGGGAGCACGTCTTCTGCGCTTGCGAGCCGCTGTGGTATCTTTGGCCTGGGGGGCCGCCTGGGCGACAGAGACGGTCATGACAACGGTTGGATCTTTTGTAAAGTGTGTATTTGTGAATTGATGGGGTCAGTATGCCAGTGCCAACTTTGATACAGGAATTCGACGTCGATGCTGCAACAGGGAGGTATATGTACGGATGTGGTATCTCATACGTAAGAAGTAGAGAACAATGAAGGTGGGCGGTGGGAGACAACTGATAGTTATGTATGCACACGAGGATGGCGATGGGGAAGAAGGGTCTCTGTCTGGTGTGAATAGTGCGTGTGGGAGCATCCTGTGAGAAGCCGTACCGGGGTCGTGATAGCCATTGTGGAGAGGGGAGATGGCGACGGTGTATTGGCAGGGGTCAGAAGAAGAGAACAGTGGGGGGGTCCTCTCGAAGATTGATGGACGTCGTTGGAGATAGCCAGGGGACTTTGTGAAGTCGTTTTGGTATGGTGTGCGGGTAACAAGGGGTGAGCGCAGGCCACCCCCCCAGGAAGCAATGGCGAAAAGATCAGCGCGACCAGAGCGCACCACCAGGAGAGGAGTCGCCTACGCAATAAAATGCAGTTCTTCACGCCGCTGAACGACATGGAGCCCGGGGCGGGGGAGAGAGGGGCGCTGACGAGCATCCGCCTGTCGGCGCCTGCTGCTGCCTTGGGTGTGATCTGGATTCTGGACTCTGTAGGAGGTGATGGCAATCTGGACTCTATTATTGCTCAACTAGTAGGCAAAACAGGTCGACACAGGGCACTGTGAGCATGCTTGCCAATATTGATGCGCACCTTTGCTTGGTTGCAACAGTAATGAGCTGAAGGTTTCGGCAGCGCTTCAATGGCTCCATGATGCTCAGAGAGTGGGCGCCTCAGGAGTCAGAGCCTCGGAGATTCCCTGGCTGGGCACAGCGACTTCCAGAAGGCCACAGAGAAGGCAGCAACGAGATGCGCGCATGCTTGGCAGCTTGTTAACAGCGCTTCTAAAGCCGAGCAGGGGTTGTAGTGCGCGGAAGACCAGGATGTTGTCAGGCACGGCCGTCCGACATTTGGAGTCGTCGACATAGGCTTGTAAGTTGTGCCGAGTGTGGGCGTGACGCAAGGCGGCGATTGGGAGATTTGGGGGCTGTGGCTTGCTGGTGGCTGGCGCAGGTGATTGGGTCAGGACACGGGAGAGAGCTGGAGCCGTTCGTTCTGCCGGTGGTTCAAGCGTATTAATCAGTCGGAGGTCGACGTCGTCGTCGTCATGCCGCTCAGCGCGCAGATTGGCTAGGCGTGAAGCATCAGTGGGAAGACAGACCATTGAGCAGAGTGTCAGGAAACCCAGAGAACTCAGGATGGGACTCTGATAAACGCATGACTTCTAAATAGAGCCCCTAGCCAATGGAAAGCGCGGGAACGGACTGCAGTCGTAGGCAAGGCAGGTAGGTGTACGTACTCGGCTTTCGTCCTTCCCTCGCAGTCCGCATGGCTGAATTGTATCCCCGGTAAGTTCACAGATCAACAAATTACCCACGCACCCCTGTCTGTTAGAAAGGTACGCTATCTTCGCTGGGTACAGCGTCGCGAATGGAGTAGCACCTATTTGAGCTGGTCCCTGGCTTTAGGGAAAATTTTCGTGGCACAGCAAGTATCTCAAGTTTTGAGTATGCTAATTGGTCAGCCCCCCCTTTGCGCACGGATTTGTAGGCTTACGACAGTCGAGGGGATGCGAAACAACGAAGCTGCACATCATTGTCCTTATAGCCCACGACCGTTAGATCGACTAGAAATACATGGATCCGTCACCGGTAAGACGGCCGACCCCGAACCCTTTTTTTTTTTGGTGGCGATCGTCCCTAATCACTGCTCTTACACTGACGGGATACTACTTAAATGGGCGAAGCCTACCGAATCGCAAGACATCAGACTCACCAGGCAGTGTCGCCAAATTTAGACCGTTTTATCTTCATCTAATAAGTATCCGTACTAGGCACTTATCGTAATTGACTCCAAGCCTTCAAGGTAGCACGGTACGTATTATTACTAGTAGTAGCTGATATATTTGCCCTTGTAATAATATGCCCCGAAGGCCTGTCCTGGACGCTACGTCTGGCCGAGACTCCAGTCTCCAGCAAGATGAACAAGTAGCGACAAAGATGTCTCTTCGTCACTAGCAATGCAGCCACGATGATTATTTCCGTACGTACCAATTGTGTGGATTATCGATTCACTGGCCGGACCATTTCACCAGAACAGTTGTCGCAATCAGGTTGCCCGCGCGCCCGCTCCTTAACAGCGATTTCCGAGCCGATGGGGGGATACGAGCGGGCTGCAGGAAGCCGCCAGCCACCAACGCATCATTCGTAGCGCTTGTTTAGTGGACTTCCGGTACTCTCATCAGTGGGCTGGCGTTAAGCTGTTAGTGCTCTAGAGACCAAGCCTCAGCGACTGGAGTCAGCCAACAATCATGCTTCTTCAGGTTCTTTTGCAAACCCACCGTGGCGCGTTTCAAGGATCATGCATTTCATCTGGTTGTTGCGCACACACACCCCGGGGGCGTCACTTCCTCGGTCTTCTTGTGTGCGTTCGGGTGGGAGCCTTTTCCCGTCTTCATGTGAGCGCGCTGTGTCCAGATCTCCGTTTCCCCAGACCAGGACATTTGCCCCGATGGCGCCCTGACATGCGCGAAATGCATCAATGCACGCGATGGCGCCTGACCAGAGCGTGTTGGCCGCGGGAACGTGACGTTTGTCGACTCCAGTCGTGGGTTTGAACACAAGCACAAGGCGTCGGTATTCAACCACACAAGGTCCCAATCATCAGTCCCCACGGTATCCTCAGTATAAGCTAGCTCACAAGCTCTGAACTAGCGGCGGCCACTGCCAGCCAGACCAAGATCCCCGATCTGGTCTCCAGCTGGCAGCAGCCACAGGGTCCAGTCTTCAATGTTCTTGAGTGATATCGCCGTACAGTACATGTAAGGTACCTATGTACTGAATTCGTAGCACCGCCAAATCGCCCAAATACCACGACATGGTCGCAGAGCACCGCCATCGACGAAGGCTTTCTGCTTCACGCGTAACATTGCGAATACATACTCAGCAAGCAGTGTGCGATCAGCATGCTAGCCCAGGAACAGGCAAGCCAACGTCGGTACCGTCCGTCCAGAGTCCAGACTCCTCACTCCAAACGCGATAACGTTGGACTGCGGGTCTTTCGGCCGCACCATGCCCTCTGATCTGCGTGATAGAGCTCACCAGGACAATTGTTCAATGATTGGTTGCCTGAGGGAAATCGGAAAAGCGACTGGGCGCTTCAGGCTCCAGCTGCACGACATGCGGCATTACAGCTGTCCGGTTTACGACTCAGGAGAGACAGCTAGCTCCCTATGTCTTCTCTCTTGCCAACCACATTACACGTATTTCGAGCTACAGGTTGACTTCTCTCAGCTAAGTCGACAAAAGGCACAATTCCTTGTGAACCAGCGCATCGGCCATGCAGTTCCCAGGTTGACGTAAAATGTCACTTCGGCGGCGAGTCTGCAAAAGATAATGCAATGGGCCAGTCGTCCCACCCGATGACGAACCAGGTTATGCGAGTCCGTCTAAGCAAAAGGACCTCTCTGGCTGCGTTCGGGCGGCAATGGATGCACTAACACGCTGTGAAGTGTCCTTGACTGCCTTAGTTCGCTGCATCCAGCATACCCCTGTATGGTGGCACTCGTTAGACTAGACTAGTCTAGCATCTAACAAGAGAATCGAAGCTTCTTTGAAACTTCCAAAGTTCTGGGCGTCCTCCGTATCCTAGATCAACGTTGCCTTGGTTCATGAGCCGGAAATGATTGCACAGCAATGTGAGCAATTACCGAGTGAGTGGTGAGCCCGACATCCGGAGTTCATGATAGTTCTAGTAGTAGTAACCATGGGTGAATTGCCATTACGTACCAGGTATCGCAGCCATACGTAGTTGGCTGAGTATAGGGTAATTCAGCTAGCACGACTGGATCTCCCGAGCGCCTGACCACAGCCACAGTGGCGGGAGGCGATGGGCGCTGGGAGTCTGTGACTTTCCGTCCTTTCCAGCCACGATCTGTGGGCGTCGGGTTCTCTCCAGTCGCCCAAACACCTGCATTGGACATCATGACCACTCTGTGGCCACCATCCACGACCTACCTCCGTGCTAACCCCCCTCGTTACACATGGACAGTGGACTGGGCCAGCCGGAGCCCAGAATCAGCGATGCGGTGTGGGTGAATGCGAACCATGACCGTTGCCAGGCCACCATTACCGCATCGAAGTACGAATCGATTGTCACCGAACAAAGCTGCATGGAGACTGGGACTGGGCATCAAGCCACGTACTCAAGATTCATCATCCCCGATCTCAAATGATAGGTATTGCAAGGCCTGAGGGTGCGCGGGATACTGACACTTCCCTCGTTCCGACCATTTCTCGCCGCGTTTATTAGGGTGTTAAGAGTTGGCCAACCGCCTCTGTCGAGTCTGTCCCCATCGCCACGGCAATCCGACCGCATCAAGCATACTCCGTGGTTGATTGATTATAATGCAAGCCTTGTTATCCAATATCCACCACTCTCAGGCTGATTGCGCGCATGGACTATCATCATCTCAACTGCACGCCTGTCCAGTCGACAACACAATGCTGTGAGTTGCTTCTGCGGACTTGCGTGCATGCAGGCCAGGCCAAACAAAATACACACCCCTGGCATGATTCTGCAGGAAACCACCACTAGACTGAATATAGCACACACTCCCGGTACATCAGGAACCTTGCCGCTAATATTTGATGGATGCCCACCACCTCGACACCTGGGCCGACCTCTTGCCTACCCGCTGCTCGACAACTGCAGTAGGCGCCTGGAGTCGACGCGTTGTCGACAACCTTCCTTCCCGGCGGACATTTTGACATCATGCCTGCTTCCGTACTGCGATGCTGGTTCGCTGCAGCCACGCTCATCAGCTTATAACGTCTACTACCTATGGTGCTTGTAATATATAACCGAGGTGTATTTCAGCCGTAGCGCTGCCCTGCTGGCTAGGCCACAATTAGGGCAATTCCTCCGCTGCTACCTTTAGAGAGTTTCTTGGTCCGCGAAGATCTCTCGACACCCGCTGCAGGGGCGATCTCAGAAGACCTGAAGACCTGAAGAGCCTTATTGCTGTCGGCCGCTTCCGACACTGGCCTACTGGGTGTCAGGGGACCAGGCCGTTCAGTGGTCTGTCTCATTGGGGAGACAGGGAGTGATATGCCCTCTGGCTCCATGCTTAAGTCATTCGCCCTTCATGGAGGAGCTGCCACATACTCACCGCCACCACAAAAGAAAAGGATACCTTGACTCTCGACAAACATACAAAATGTGGCAGGCGACAGATTCAATGAATATGGGAGCGCATGTTGGCAGCAATGCTGTCGGTCTCGACTCTCAGACGTCTTGCCTGCCAAGGATGGGGGCCTCTCATATCAAACAACAAGCTTTCGGATGTCAGTACTCCGTACATGAGCTCCCCCAAGCCGCTTGCCCCAGTCTGAGCCCAGAGACTCATCATGGGATGAACGGCAGTCGCCGGCATCACATGTCGAGAACTCGCATCAATGCAAAAAAGACGTCGGGCCATGCTTCCAGACGTGTTGGGCGTCTCCGGCCGGTCAGCAGAGTCACTGCCGCCTGTAGGCATTGACGATGCTTCTACCAAGTTACTGAGCAGCACAGACTGCTCCTGACTCCAGAAGCAAAGCTAACTGCAATGGTCACGCCCAAACCATCACCGCGTCAACAGCACCTCAACAAACGGTGCTTCGTTCAACTACTAGAGTCTGACATCGACACCGGCCACAGCACAGGCAATATCGGCGGCCCCCGCGCTAGAAGGACCGAAGAAGGGTGCCTCGAACAATCATGGTGTGCGATCAGCCAACCAGCCCGCGAGTCGGTGGCCACAATTTCTGCATCAAGGAAGCACCTGCGCCTCCTCTGCAAAGGATCCCTCCGAGAAAGGCTTAGCATGGGTGGCTCTGTCTGACTTTACGCTGAGCTTGATTGCCGCACAGCATCCCGCGTCTGCGACCCACATGAGGTCCCTTGCTTGCTCGGCTCGCCTATTAACCTTTTAAATGCCCCGCGGTTCTTCATTGGCGGACACTGCGCTGCTTTCAGGAACGAACAAGAGCTTCGTATCTGGGACAGGGAAGCTCTGGGCGCCTCGGTCCCTCACCATACGGCAGTGCAGGCCCATGTCCCGTACAGTTACTGATTACAAGATAGATGACTGATGCAGTGACGCGATATGACCAGGAAGAGTCGTTATCAGTTTAAATGTGTACGGGAGATGATTCGATCTCCTCGTGTTGCGGGCTGGTTTCCCTGCTCTTGCATTTGGTTACGTGGCGCCTTGCCCTAATTACGACCGAATTGACTCTGCCGCAGCTTAGGATGTGTCTTCCGAGATAGTAGAAGCTTGGTTGCTGATGAAGGCCGACTCGTCGTTGCGACGTTGCACCAAAGCTCTTCCTCCACGAAGCTGGTCGAACTGCACCGATCACCGCGGCATGGAACCTGCCGTCGAGCACAAGTCATTCAATACAGCCAGCGGGAGCTTCTGCGTTGAATATCCTCGGCTACGAATGTGTGTCGCTCGCAACCGGAGCACTACTTGGTCCAGCCGGCCGTTGCCACCACGTGTGAATTGCCGCCCATCTTCATCAGGAGTGGAACTTGGAAGGCCTAGTCCCGAACCCAGTTGGAACCTGAAAGACAATCGAAAGAAGCGGTCTGCATTTTGGATGGACCAGAATGGAGCAAGTTTTGGAGAACCGATGCTGTGGTCCCCTCACCATTACCCCAGGTAAGGTCATTTCGATTTTCCCACCAAGCGTCTTTGGCGGGTTTTTGACACATAGTTTTCCCCGGACAAGGCGCCGAGGACTTGGGGCCGCTGCGCCTCAGGCAAACCCCAGAATTTACAAACGCGGTCGGGCCATCGTGAGTTTCCAGGACGTAATAGCAACGCTTAGTTCGGACGTGTGCTGGAGAAGTCCCGGTCTGGGGAAGCACCACGCCCCCTCTCGATTACCCCGGATTCCAATTTGAAATAGAAGGCCGGGCAGGGACACGTTCGAGGTTCGAATCTAGGTCGCGATGACGATTCCAATCTTGCGGTCAAACTATTCTCGCGTTGCGCATGCCGATCATTCCAACGCGACGAGCAGGCTGACGATGGAACGAGCCAGTCCACGACCGCTGTCGTAGGCAACAAGCACTGCAACCGGACTGGCCTGTCCCTAGGTAATTAGGGCTGCAACCACAAGGCATTAAATTAATCATTAGTCGCGAAAGGTGGCTCAACACCATCTTTGGTTTCTCCAACAAACCCCGCGATTCTTCGCCGTCCCAACCCGATGGTAGCCATTTGCTTGCCCTCAGACTCTGGAGAGAGAGGTCCTGGTATTCTTGCGCTGCACATTGTGACTTCGTTTGCCTTGTTCTTCTCGCAATCGGAATAGGAGGTGGCGGTAGGTGAAAGCTCTTAATCCTTATGGCTGGCCGTTTGTTGCGGCAACAAGAGCTGCATGCACACGGCACCTTTGACCTTTCCACGTCGCTCAGTCAATATGGAGAAGACCGACAGTGACTAGGCCTCGGCTGTAGTCGAAAATACCGATATCAAGTCTCGTACAGGGCTTGATTATATTGGCCTGGTGCATCTTTCAAAAGAGCCCTGGTGGTGCAAAGAATGACGGCCGTCATGACGGGTTTCGCTCCAATTTGACCTTGGGCATAGTCCTGCAGCTGTCAATTTTTGGTGCGCAGGGACACTCGACACGGCGATGCTGCGATGCAGTGGATAGGACAATGTACAGGCTGTCACACCGTGTGCGCAGCCGGTCACAGCGTGGTATTGCAGAAGTTCTAGAAGAACGACCCCCTCACTGCCCCAACAAAAGGGCCAGGGGAAAAGGGCACTTGAAGTCGCGTATCAGGTCGCACCCTGTAGTCTTATCAGCTCGGAAAACGTGGGGGAGGGCAGGGCCAGCCTTGGCCTGATGGTTTGCGGCGGCTTGCAATGGTCTTAGGTTTGGACGGCATCACGATGGCCGGCTGACACACATGTTCGCTATCAGTGACTGCTCATCAGAACACAGCACCGGCCCTGTTGACATTGTCTAGCTACCTGCCCGGATTGTCATTGCACATGCAATGGCACGTCAAGGGAGTATGCATAGTAAGTGCTCCTACATCATTCTATCTCGCTGCTGATGAATGCGTCGCTCGCAGCGTCGTCAGATGATATGCGGGTTTAAGCGCCGGGAGGGTCTCTCGATCTATGGAGTATGATGAATTCGGTTTCTAGGAGATTGGCAGAGTCTCTTTACGACGGCATGTGAACTTGTTGCGTCTCCCTGAGTTGCGCATCAACACAAGGGCGACACAAGAATGGCTCTGCCCTCACCAGCACGTACTTGCAGGACTAGTGGCAAGGTCGAAACCTTGTCCTGCATTGTCCACTGGTTTCCGTGCCGTGTAGGGTGCAGCGATGAGTCCAAGAAGATCAAGTAGTTATGAAAGTGAAAGTCACGCAGGAGAGGGCGGTTGTGTCACTGCGTGATATCTGGGCACGAGCCAGTATTGTCAACGACTTCTGCCTCACATAAGGCTTGAAACTTGTATGTTCAAGCTAGGAGTCGATTGGTTCCTAAGTTAGGGATCTGAAAAATCTGATTGAGACAGCAAGAAGACCCGTGAGCTACTAAGGCAAAAGTACCAGAGTGTGTCCGGGCAAGCTCGGTATCTCGGCCAGGGGACTACACTACACTCGTCCAGAGGGGCGATGGGGCGCAACCTTGGACAATGTGTTATAAGCGGACTAAATTGCGCTTGCATTACTGGTGACATGGACCATAGTCCTGATTGTTACATTGACGCCTTGCCCTTTGAAAGATGAGAACCTGAATACGCGAATGTCAACCCCATGACGGATACACAATCCCGCCACCGTACGACACATTGCCATGGGGTAACAGGCATGGTTCAACCGCTCTATGATGTAGGAGGCTGGACATAGTTAGGGGGTGTTGACTCAAGCATTCGCCCCTTCGAGATGCACCGAGTCGCTACAGTGAATGTTGGGTTTCAAGGGGCGATGCGCGCAGCAACGGGCCTCAACAGATTCTCTGATTAATGACCGCAGAAAAAGCACCTCAAGATACATATGGAACGCTGTGGCTTTGCCAAGATCCGAGATATGGATCTGAAGTAACTTTTTGCGTGTGTTTCAGGAGATGCACAGGGCCTCGGGAGTTATGGAGTAAAATTTTGACATTGAATACGGATCGGGATAGCTCCAAAGCATCGACTATGCCATCTTGAATGCATTTCAAGTGTAATATTCATATGTACATGTGACAGTGCGAGTTTTTTGGGTATGCTTGCAGATGTGGGTGGGCGATGTTGTCGAGCGCAGCCTCGAGACCAGCGCAAAGCCCAACCAACTCCATGTCTCCTCACAAGGGTAGAAGGCGATGATGAGTGGGTAAATGATGTTTAAATTTGTGAAAACTAGCGCCCCGACGATCAAACCCGAATTGCTTCTCTTAAATCAAAGGGTATCGCTCCAAATCGTCTTCCGCTAGATAAATCATACTCTTACATGCCTTACGCTCACGCTCATTCGATCCAGCTCTTGCCCTGCCCTAGTCTCAAGGAGACATTGGTGAGCTAAGTGTCAGCTCTGGAAAATACTGCGATATTTTCTTCTGATTACGGACGTCGGTCGCCGCTGGCTCATCGTGATCTGAACTCTGGTCCTCTGTCAACGAGATCCGACCGTGCTCTGCTTCAGCTGCCGGTGCTGCCTGTCTTTTCACCTTGATGTTCCCCTGCACAGGCGCAGGCCGCGATCCTGGTGCTGCTGTATGCCCCGGGGTGATTGACGCCGCGGGTCGACGGGCAATGTCTGGACTGAGGCTTCTGTTTCCAAGAGATGAACTTGGTGCCCCCTTCAGCCCGCTCTGTCCGTATTGTGACTCGATTGCTGGGCTTGAAGAACCAGCGCTCTGCGCCTTCTCATTTGTGACAAGACCTTTGGCCTGTACAAAGGCACTGGAGCGGACGTGATATGGGTCTCTCTCGTAGTATTTATCGAGGATGGGATGCATCATGACGGTTTGCCTGTGAATGGTGAGGATGGAGTTGGTTGGCACGTTCACCCAGTTCTCTGCGATGTCTGGTCAGTTGTATGTTTATGCTCGTTGCAAGGCTTATGCCTACCTCTCTCGAACGTCAAGGGCTCACTTGCAACAAGCACAATGTCAGCCCCCTTGTCTTTTCGTTCCATGTAATAGTCGTGATCATCCGGCGATGCTGTCCTCGTGACCCATTGAGTACCAGAGGAGTAATACAAGCTCGCCGCCTCATCCTTTGAACTGCTGATATACCGTGTGCAGATGACACTAATGCCGTCCGTGACGGCGAAATTCAACAAGCTCCTCGTATCCACATCCTCACTCTGGACGATGCCCTCGGGTATCGAGTCTGTCAACTCATTGATCTGCGTAATGGTCTTCTTGATGGCCTCTCGCAACACGGAATGCCCGAAACCTTTTTCTGGACAGGAGTCAGGATCGTGGCCCATGCGCTCAAGCGTGTCGAGGAACAGCGCAAATGCCCATTCGCTGTCCGTCCCACCCTTGACTCCCAGATACCACTTGTCGGCCAGACGGTCAGAGAGCTTCCGCTTGATGTATTTCCATCCACCCAGCCCACCGTTATGCATCCACATGAGGTTTCCATGAGTGAATGGGTGGCAGTTGTCTTCGGCCAGAGACCCCTCGGTGGTAGCGCGAACGTGACCGAAGATAAGTCTTGAGGCGGTTTTCGAGGCGATTCGCTGAAGATTCGTGCAATTCCACGCCGGGGTTGTCGATGTAAAGAGGCAGGGAGTCGAGCCGAGTTTCGGATCGGTGTAGAAGCCTATGCCGAAGCCATCCGCGTTGTTCTGACCTCGTCTTGTATCCTGGGAATTGAGTTAGCGCGATTGTCGATGAACGGGGGCAGGGTCGCCGTACAAGACGCAAGCGGGAGTCGAACGATTGCTTCAAGATGGAATGCGTGGGCTCGAGTATCAGCTTCGACAGTAGGATCTCGTCGCTGCCCTTGTAGACCTATTCAGGAGATGCATGTGAGCTCGCGTGCTGGCAAGCAAACTGTTGAATCCAACCTCCGGCCTCGGAGGAGCCTGCGACTTACCAAGAACCTGCACATGGTGTCGTCGAATCAAGTGAAGAGCTGCAAGTCAAGATGCGCATTTGGCGAGGGCGTGCAAACCAGCTTTTCAATATAGGGGGTTCGGTTGCACAATGTTTGGATTGGTAAGGGATTGTCGAGTCGACAGGTGTGGGCAATCGGGGGCGGATATGACACAATGGGGCTAGCCGGCAACGGGAGATCGACCAATTGGCAGCACACGAGTCGGGCGGTCAGACATCCACGCGATCTATCGGTTACTGGCATTTATGGCGCTCAGGCGCTGTCTGAAAACGGATGCCAGGTTGACTCAAAATACAAAAAGCATTAACATTCCCTTTGTTGGGCCTGCGTTGTAGCTACACCTGAAGAGCAGGGGTGGCAGGTAGGCTGTTTCCGCACGGCAGAACGACAAACACACGCTAACACAAGGATGCTGAGTATGATGTATTTTCTGACCGAAAGCTCATACAGATCATGATTTCTTTCGAAGGTGCATTCTGACGGCTAATGACTTGAATATAGAAGTATGTTGAATCAGCAGGCGCTGTAGAGACGCTTTCATGTTCAAGGGCGCTGTGTCGTATCGCCCGGCCAGCCCCGCCAAATTGCGTCACCGAAGGCATAATTAGCGGCAGGAACGAGCCTCCAATGGCGGGACGCGCCTTCCATACCACTCTACACGCTCCGCGTTCGCGACGCCCTCAAAGCGCGTCTCTCCACTACCGCCAAAACCACTCTCAACCCCGGTCATGGCAGGCTCTGGCCAGCCTTGGTTCCTCCACCAACCTTCGCTTCTGGTTCTTCTCTTGCGTCTCGATGCTCACATGTGCGAATGTTTGATATGATCATTGATTTACTGTTGTTGATTCGACCGTCTGCTTCTTGACTAGGACACATATATATACCCGCCTAGCATGGACCTCGACAGCTATGATATCAACCAGCCCAATACCTCCAGTCCCCCGCTGCCCTCCTCGTCACCTGCCAGCAATCTTCTCTCGCCCACAAGATCGTCTCGACGCAAGGAGAGACGTGCTCCTTCGGTAACACCAAGACGATTTGGTCGCTTCTTTACACCGCGAAACTCGGGACCTATCACAGGCCGACGTATCCTTGCCAGCGTCGACTCCGAAGAGCTCAACCGGCAACCCAACTCGCCACACTCTGTATTTAGCGACGCTCTACACTCGGACGCCATTGATTCATCACCAATTCAGAGTCCTAGTGCCAGGAAAAGGGGCAGCCCCGGTCATGGAGAGCCGATCGCTTCGAGGAGAGGCATTGCCCTCAATGATATGGCGCCGCCACGCCTGAACTTTCCTCCCCGGCAAAAGGAATCCTCGCAGGATGTCTTGGGCGAGTGGAGGAGCAAGACTCTGGTAATGAATAGCCATGTGCTGAGCAAGACTGAATAACGTTACTGACACTCTGGCCCAGAATCGGTTCTTCAAAACAAGCCGCGGACTGGAGACTCCACCAAAGGACAAACTTGTGCGTGATGCACTCGGCGGGCCGCCAAACAAGCGACACCGCGCTGAGGTTTGCTTTCCGAACCCCGCTCTCACGCGTGCTGTATGCTGATTGATTACATTAGTCTCCTGAGCGTCATGTACCTGTACCTACCCGCAAGCTGGCGAATCGCGGCCTCGAGGCTCAAATTGCGCACAGAGCACATGGCGATGCCTGCTTTCCGGGCAAGCAGTATCTCGCATACCCTGCTGCTGACCCGAGATTCGAGACTGCCAACTTCTACAGCAACAAGGAGGATCACGAGACCATTTTGAGCTACGAAGGACCGGGCGAAACAACACCATTCTGCCAGGCTAGCTTTAACAGCTCGTCGGTGACGGCCATTGGCGATGAGCAGGGTTACGTCAGACTGCTCAGAACTGATGGATGGTGTAGCAGCGCAGGGAAAGTCGAGTCGTTCTTCAAAGCGCAGGATAATGCCATTATCGATATGGACATATCGGCTGATGACATGAGGCTCGTGACGGCCTGTGGCGACTGGTCTGGCCGTGTGTTCGACATGACGACGCAGAGTGCGGCAGTGAACCTCAAAGGCCACGCATCCGGCATGCGTCAGGCCCTTTTCCAGCCAGGGCGATCGAACGGCGACGTCCTGGCGACGGCAGCAAAGGACGGATGCATTAACATATGGGACCTTCGGTGTAGCTCGCTCCCGGTCAACACCTTTTCGACAATGGCTGGCGACGACAGTCAGCAGGCGAGACGGCGGAATCTGAACCTCGATATCCTGGATGCCAAGCCTACCAATCCCATGACGCTGGCCCACGTTCGCGTCGCAAACGGCGGCCAGAATCCTGCATCCATCACAGCGCTGCAGTGGTTTCCCTCCGGCCGCGAGCACCTCCTCGTCTCCGGTTCCGAGTCTTCAGCGGCCATCAAGCTGTGGGACATGCGCTGTATCAAGCCTCGCAACCGCGAGCAAGCGGCACCCCTCGCGATCACGGCCGAGCCCAGACATCACACCTTCCGCTCATACGGCCTGACGTCTTTGGCATTGAACGGCGACGCCACCCGTCTGTATTCAGTCTGCAAGGACAACACCATTTACGCCTACTCGACGGCTCATCTCATCCTCGGTCACGCCCCCGAACTCGTGGACAGCTCCATCAAGCGCAAGCCTCGTGGCGTACAGGGGATCGGACCTCTTTATGGCTGGAAGAATGAGCGTCTCAGCGGTATCACCTTTTGGGTCAAGAGCGCCCTGCGTCGCGCGAACGGCTCCCAAGCCGAGATATTGGCTGTGGGCGGAAACGACAAAGCGCCTGTGCTGTTTCCTACCGACGAAGGATTCATGAAGAGCGCTCTCGCGCAACAAAACCACATTATGGAGACATGCTCTGCGGCGTCAATGGCACCGTTACTCTCAGCGTCGAGGTCGACGCCATCGAGCCTGACGCCATCTACTGCCAACATCCCCATCTTCAAATGCGGCACAGCCCTTGTCAACGGCCATGAGAAGGAAGTGTCTACTGTCAGCTGGACGCACGACGGCAAACTGGTCTCGCTGTCGGACGACAGCAGCGTGCGACATTGGCAGGGCGATGACGGAGGCGACAGGGCGAGGTACCTCCGGGGCGTTGGTGACTTTGGCGGCGAGAGGTGGAACTGTGGCTGGGCAGATGTCGGTGCCGACTGGGACGAAGACGAGTGTTGAAGATGTAGTGAAAAGGTACTTGCCTGATTGATTCTTGGGCAAGGCGATTTGGGTACCCTGATATGGTTGGTGGGATCGGCGTTGGATGTTGGCATTGCGTTGCATAGCATGGCACGACACTGTACGGCATTGATGATTTCACGGCGGACGTCTGTCCGGTCAATGACGAAATGATTCCTTACTTTCAAAAAGAAAGCTTTACGTATCCAAAGATTAAGTATTTCCACGTCTATGTTATCACGGCTATAAACTATCATGCCTCGTGTGCTTCGTGTCCATACCATGTCCAAATAAGTACAGAATGCTGCCAAAAGCTCCAAACGCCTTGTGTATGCTGGGTATTCTATCGAGGGGTATCATCGCCTACTCCTTCTGCTGGCCCCAGATGTATAAAAGAAAAACGCCTTATGGATGCGCAACCGTCGTGTCCCCGTCACCACCACTCCGTCAGTCTCCTACGACCGCTCATGTAGGCGCCAAAGACAAGTATCCCCACTGCCACAGCGAAAATCCAGTGCGCCGTCCGCGTGAGACGCACGCTTTTTGGTGCCTGCCGTGTATGGCCCGTGAAGTCCTCAATGGTTCCGTCATGCGGCGATGGAGGGATGACCTGGTTGGGATCGCCTTTCACCTTCTCGAACCGAAACGCCTTGCTGGACATGGCTGGGCAGAGTTTGATGCTGCCCACAGCATGTCCCACGGGAACATTGGGTGTCTCGGAATGGGGAGTGCTGACGTCCATCCCTGTCTGTCCACCACAGACCACATCCAGCTGCTCTACGAGCATCGTCATCCTCTCGAAGATCGATATGGCCTCTTGCACAATATCCTGGCGCTCACTTTGCGAGAGCTTTGCCTCCAAATCTGCTAGTTTCTGTTTGAACTCGCACTTCAAATCTTCTCCGTCTGTCGGGGTCGGGAAGTGAAAGAACCGCAGGGGCATCGAGCTTGTGACACGAGACTTGGGCGTGCCATCTGTTTCCTCGCCCGGGTTTGGTCGCTCCTCAGTGCACGCCTGCATCGTGGGCTTGACGTGGTCCGGTCCCTGGTCCCAGAACTCATTGCCCACTGACTGGAGCGATGCTCGGATATACCGACCGCCCGCGAAGAGGGCCATGAAGAAGATGTATGCGTATGCAAGGAGAACATGTGGCCGGTTCTCCACGGATCGCTTGATGTGATTAAGGAATTCGGCGAGTGGCCCCCGGTCACTGACGATCCTGAGCTGCTGTTCGATGATATGGTCGGACCAGCCTGTCAGAGCCTTGATGTCTGTCTTGAGCCTCTCTGTTCGCATGAGCCCAGGCAAACGCAGGCTTTCCAACATGGAGTGCACGCGACCGGACACCGGTGTCCCAGAAGCCTCATTACGTCGTTGTGGCAATGCGTTCTCGCCAATATAAAGATCCGATTCTGCAGCTGCAACTGCGGTAGTCGTCTCGGCTGGCGGCGAGTCAAGGATGTTCTGCCATAACGACTCGAATGTCGTGTATATCGGCGCGATATGGAGAAGCCCAGAGGCGTAAAGCGAGGGGTCGTTTGCTTGAGGAGGCAGAGCGACCGGCAGCCGAGAGATGATCAGTTTGTTGAGCCTGGCGTGGGCAACGCGCGTAGCGGCAGCAATAGACTCGACAAGAGACCTTTTGTCGTCATCATGGTCGTGAGCTCTGAGCCTTGTCGTGGCTACCATGGCCGAGACGAGGGATCCCCAGATGCCACGTCCGGGAGGTGCGGGAGCCTAGAAGAGGCGAGGCGACGGGTGAAGGCTGTGCGCGTGCTCACGGAAATAGGCCTGGCCAGGGTCGCGGCGCAGATTGGAACGTTTGAAGTTGAGGAGCGCGGTGCGGACAGCGAGTGTTTGCACCGAGCAGAGGTCGTAGGTAGATGAAGATCAGGGTCTTTCGGATCGATCTGGGGCGAGATCTCAAAAAGCGGCTTTCCTGTGGGTAATGAGACGGATCCTTCCTGGGATTATTAACAGTATGTAGTCGGGTCGTAGCGTGATCCAACCCCGATGGGATTGTTCGTGGCGTAACGTAGCCGGTGTTGTTGTTTGATGATGCTGCTACGTGTACTGGACCCTGTGTCAAAAGACTCCCCTACTTAGAAGACAATTCACCCCCTCCAGACAGCAGGTCTCTTCAATACTGCCCGTCCCCATTGCGGCGACTGACCCAAGGCCACGGTGCTCGCTTCGAGGCTCGGTGGAGTTCGCCAAAACATGGAAGTCTTGTTACTAGCATTCGCGACGGAGCGACGTCCGGAGATCGAAGGTTTGGAGGGGGATCGGCTTTGAAGGGCGGGGAGCGCATGTTCCTCCGTCAAGAAGGCAAGGGCCCTGGGCCGCAAAGCCTCGGAGGGGGATCTGAGCACGGGATTGGGAAGCGGGATTGGGTTTTTGGAGATGCCCTCTGCTGCCCCTCCGCGTCTAAGCTAGATTAGTTGGTCTGGCCTGGTGGTCTCTGACGCGAAAAGAAATCTACTCCACGGTGAACGCTAACAGCTATCGACGACTGCCAGAATTTGGACTATGCTTGCCTGCCGCGCAGTAAAACGCGCTCGGTTCACTGGCCCACGACGTCATCCTCATCCTCCCGACTCTCGCGATTGACGAATACAAAGGACGACAAGACGATTGCCGCGCCCACCCAGTAGACGAAGCTCGAGTACATGCCATACTGGATCATCTCCCCGATCAAGGACAGCGGAATGGTCAGCGACAGGCCGACGGTCACCACCAGCGGCGTCGTGAGGAGCATCGCGTACGCCCATGCCATGTCGCTGACCCACGACGCGCAGGAATTGACGACGACAATGGTCCATATCCGTGCCGTCGGTGGCATCTCGAACTGCTTACAGTTAGCTGATGTTGTCCCCTAATACATACACCATGAGCGCCGTACCGGTTCAATGTTGGTCCAGTGCAGGAGGAAAAACAAGGGCCACAGAAAGATCAAGTTGAAGACGCCCACCATGCCGAAGAAGAGGTTCATATCGACCCGGTCCTCGTTGCCCACGCGCCGCTTCATCACGGTCACGTAGACGCCGTACACGACCGAGCTAAGAAAGGCCATGGCGTCGCCAATGGCCACCTGTCCCGTCGTCTTGTCGGGAAAGGACCCCCGATCGCCGTCGCCCGCCCCCGTCAGGTCAACCGTCGAGATGAGCACGACGCCGGTCAGGGAGGCCATGACGCCAATAAACTTGCGCATGCTGAACGCCTCGATGCGGAACAGGGCGCAAAAGATGAGCGTCCAGATGCTGCTCGTCGAGGTGAGGATGGTGACGCTGGCCACGCTCGTGAACCCCAGACAGGCGGACGCAAAGTAGTTTGCGAGAAACCAGAGCATGCAGAACTCGAGGCTCATCCTCGACGTAGCCCGAAAGCTCAGCTTCTCCGGCCCGTCGTCGTCATCGCCAATGGCAGTGTCGACGTCGTCGTCGTCGATCAGCAGTCGCTCGCCCGTCTCGTCTGACTCGAACATGACTTTCGGGGGCTGGGTTTCCTGATCGCGCTGTCGCCACAGTGTCGCTGCATCGTTTCGTAGACCGCGAAGCCCGCTTCGCAGCATGTATCTCGTGAATCGTGGCACCAGTGCAAACGCAAACACCGAGGTGTTCACGTAGAGGAGGAAGAAGGGCTTGTCGTAGGTTTGGTCGGAAAAGATGAACTGCGGGGACAGTCAGATACGTATCTTGAATGCGTGTGCACACTATAACCTACACTGGCGAGGAAGTTGGACAGCGTCCACAGGAACACGGTGACCAGCAGCAGTGCGATACCTAGCGTCCGCCTCGCGTAGTGTCCCAGCCCGAGCCTCGCCCTCCAGCCTCTGGCCACAGGTGAGGGCGAACTTGCTCGGAGTGAAGATCCAATCGATGCAGCCAGGTCTGCTGCATCGTCGGAGAATCGTCTGCTGGCCTCTGCCATGTCGCCTCGTCCCGTGCTCCTCAGTCGGTACGCAGCTAGGCGTGTCGCGTGCTTGCGGGGATGTTCTTCGACATCAGACCGTACCAGTCTGCTGCGCGCAAGAAAATCAAAACTGGCAACCAACGAGTGAGGCCGCCGTAAGTACTGCCGGAGTGCGGCGCCAGCTCAATCCAGGTATGTTTGGATTGCGCAGGTCTCCTTCGTGGGGGAGAAGCAGGGGCCGTCGATCTGGCCTACGTAAATGCAGGGATGGGGCGGGTGTTTCACATCGGGGGGTCCTTAGGTCTTAGTCTCACAGTGACAACAAAAGCGACAGGTGAAGCCCTTCGAATATTCTGACAATAACACACAAGGTAGCAAACGTAGCTTTTAGGCTGTCTTTGTGGTTGATGTTGGCATTGTTCTTTGTCTCCTACGAGCTGTACATCATCATCTCGGGCTCCATGCCCTTGCCCTCTTCCAGGACGCCAGCCTTGCGCAGAATCGACACACAATTGTCCACCACCTCGGACTTGACGCCTTGCGTCTGGACGGGGAACTCGACCGTCTTGAGCCACTCCCTGGCATCGGGCTCCGTGTACCCCAACTCTGTCGAGATGTGCTGGACCGACTCCTCCGGGTTCTCGTTGAAGTGCTTGATGCCCTGGTCCAGCTTCCCAAACAGAGCCTGGACCCGGGCGTCCAGCCCGCCGTCGTCCCTCGTGAGGTTGGTCGAGGCGACAATCTTCCAGCTGCTCCACGGCGTGTAGATCTCGCCGACCCGCCTGATCTCCCCCGCGTCGTAGAATTTCTTGGACGTAAAGTGCTCCCACATGAAAAAGTCGGCCTCGCCCGCGTTGACAGCGGCGCGCAGCTTCTCAAAGTTGTGCAGGATGACCGTGTCCGCGTACGGCTCCTTGCCGCCCGACGACGCGAGCCAGCCCTGCTGGTCGGCGAGCACATAGCCCATGACATAGCTGCCCGAGCCGATCCTCGAGACACCAATCTTCTTCCCGGCGAGGGACTGGACGGAGGCGATGTCGGGCCGCTCCTTGCCGGTAGAGATGGCCCAGCCTGAGGCAAGTCAGCATCATTCTATACCCGTCCGTCCAGTCACGTACAGAGAGGCGTGTTGACATAGGTCCCCACAAGCCGATAGCCTCCGTCCCCCTCCACGCCTTGCTTCCCGAGTCCGGCAATCCAGCCTTCCGTCAGGCCAATGCCAATGTCGATCTCGCCCGCGCGTATCGCCGTGACCATGTGCCCTGTTCCGGAGGGGAACGGGATCAGCTGCGCGTTGAGGCCATAGTGCTTCTGCGCAAAGTGCAGCGGCGTGGAGAAGTGCTCCGGCACAAAGCCGATGCGCAAGGGCTGTGAAGACATGAAGGGTAGTAGCTATTTACGCCAAGTGTGAGCCAATTTTGTATGAAATGAAGCCGGAGTCATCGGGTTTGAGTAGGCAGAAACTGGAAGCTTGCACCATGCATGGCATTGACGGGGCCAACACGGGGAGTGGGGTTTGAACGTTCAGCTACCCATGTACCTACCTATGTAAAGTACCTTGTGTACGGTTTCCATTTGAAGGCTTCCAATTAATTAGTGTCCTTGTTGGGAGAAGATACAGCCATCTTGCTCCTGAGAATACACACGCAGATGAAAATCAATCTTTTCTTTCCGTGACAGAGGCCAGGCAGCAACGAGACCAGGAATGTATGACTGGGAACGACTGACGCAATCCTCGTGATAATCCGCGTTATGCGAGGTGGTCCGAGGCCGTACCCGACAAGTGGACCACCGCAGGTGAAGTGCGCGCTCAGGCCCGAAAAGACAAAGGCTCTAATTAACTTGGGAATGAAAAAAGCACAAGAACGCAAGAGAGTGACGCGTCGCACACGCATGCCGTCGCCATAACCTCATGAGGCTGAGCGGAACGACCCAGAAATCGTGCATTCACTATAGGGTAACCAAGGGACTACTAGAGCTTTTCAGCCCTACGCCCGGCAACTCAACTTTTTCTTAAGGACGAGACCCAATCGTTTCAGGCTCAACCCCTTCAACAGGTCCTTCTCATGGAGCTTCTTTCATGTGGACAGTTCACTCAGCATGTCCATCCCCTTGCAAACGTACGACCATGAGGATGTCCCGTTCCTCGATCACCCTGATGAGCCCATCCCAGACGAACCGATATACGGCCAGCGCCGACCAACCTCGAAATGGCACGTCAGGAGCCCACGGGCCATTGTGCTTGTCATTGCGTCCATCAATTTCGTCCTCGTCATGAGCGGCCTGATGCTGCTCTTGCCCGTGTACCGCCTCATCGAGGACGCGCTCTGCCACGCGCACTACCACGACGACTCACCGGGCCTCATTGACGAGATGAAATGCAAAGTCGACCAAGTGCAGTCCCGTCTAGCCTTCCTTCTCGGCTGGCTTGGTGTCGTGGGCTCCGTCTTCAGTATGTTCTGTCCCGCCCTCCTCCCTTCATCATGATGGCCGACTCACACAAACCCCAAAGACTTCATCGTGGCCTATCCATATGGCCTCCTCGCTGACCGCATCGGCCGCAAGCCCACCGCACTATTCGCCTTCAGCGGTGTTGCCGTTTCCTTCCTCTTGTCACCCCTCCTGCTCGGCCCGGGAGCCAACGTGATCCGCGCCAACCCGTACGTCCTCCTGACAGGTACCTTGTTCACCTTCTTTGGAGGTGGTGCCCCCGTCATGCTGAGGGCGCTGTATGCCATGGCCGCGGACGTCAGCTCGGCGGAGGAAAAGGCGAAGCACTTTTTCTACCTGACCATGGGCACGACGGCCGGTGCCATTCTAGGACCCCTGTTTGGTGGTCTCTTGATGGAGTCTTTTGGTCCCTGGCTGCCCATCTGGATCGTCACGTTCACGGTCCCCGTGGTCTTTTTCATCTTCGCATTCCTACCGGAGACGCTCGCTGTCGATACCAAGGAGCGCCAGGCGACGACGCGGCAGTTGACACTGCGGCAGCACGTTGCCCAGGGCGTCCAGGACTTGGTACGGTCGTTGTACATGATGCGCAACGTCAATATTGCCCTGTGCATGCTGGTCATACTCTTCACCTCGTCTGCGGAGACGTCCATTCTCGTGCAGTACATAAGCAAACACTTTGGGTGGACGCTGGCCGAGACGAGTGTGCTCCTCGCACCACGGGGCGTCATCAACCTCCTGGTCCTGGGTCTGCTGCCAAAACTCGGAGATCGCCTCGTGTCCCCGAGATATGGGTTCACAGCCTTTGAGAAGGACTTGCTGCTCGCCAAGGTGTCTCTGTGTGTGAGTGCCCTCTCCGCTCTGGGGCGCTTCTTCAGCGGGAGCATTGGGCCTTTCCTCGTGGCCCTCTTCATCGGCTCCCTGGGCGCGGCCGAGTCGCCGCTGGTGAGGGCAGTCGTGTCCTCATACGTACAGCCGAGCTTCACCAGCCGCTTGTTCGCACTGGCCGGCATGTTCGAGGTCATCGGCACCGTGCTCGGCGGGCCCGTATTTGCGTGGTGTTTCGGCAAAGGGCTGCAATGGAAGGGATTATGGACGGGTCTGCCGTGGCTCTATATGGCGCTGGCCATGGGATTATGTGCTGGCGCATTAATGCTTGTTCGTCCCCGCAATGGCGACTTCGAGAACGACGTCTTTGGGGAGGCTGAGGAGGATGAGAATGCGCGGCCTGCGAATCCAGTTAGACTAGTATGAGACGGGCTCACTGCCTGAATGTCACAATATTTCCATCTTTGCTCATTTGCATTTGCATGCTCATCGTTTACGTTGATCATGTTACATTAGATTCGCCTCGCTGGTGTCTACTGAATATGGTGTCCGGCCGTAAAATTCAAGTCGTCGTCATCTGAGCATATACGTCAGATCCGGCAGATTGCGCAAAATGCTCGTGGCCGTATCTTCCTCCTCTTGTGATAACTGATGCTTCGTCTCGCAATGCGTGGTCGCTGGCTTCGTGCTGCCAGCTGTGGTGGGTTGCGCCGGTAATGTCATGCGGGCAGGTGACAGTGACGGCGACGCTACAGACGGTTTTACTTCTGGAAAAGGTTGTTGCGGCGGTAGCGGCTCGTTTGCCGGTTGCACAAATGTGTCGAATTTCAGAGGCGACAAAGGTTTCGCAGTCCGATCAGAGCCGACTACAGGCGCGGTCGGTGAGCTGGCTGCGCTTCTGCTCTCAAAGATACCATTGCCAGTCGGAGTAGCGTTGGGAGTAGCTGAATCAGAGGCGCCTGCGACTATGGTCGTGTCGAGAACAGCGCTTGCAGGAGCAGTCGGGGAGGTTACCATCTCGCCCCAGTCATCGTCATCGTCATCGTCATCGTCATCGTCATCGTCTCCCTCTTCAGCCACTCCCGTTAGTGGAGCAGCGCTGAGCATCGATCCAGGCGAGTGCAAAGCTGGGGTCACCACTTGGTCAAGAGACGGCCGGTCCATCGGTTTCGGAGGAGGGATGATCAGGGATTTGGGTCGGAGTTTCTCCCGCTCGACGGCATCATTGGCCGCTGGGACCATCGACTGCGGTCTGCTCTTCATAAAAGGGGGTGGGGAGAAAGCACTCGCAAGGGGGTGGTCGCCTGATGAACTCCATCCGAAGCTGGCCGTTCGTGGCCTCTCCTCGCGCGCACTTGTCTTTCGGTTTCTCTTGAGCAGAGAATCAACGTCCACGGGCTCGACATCGGCGCCAGTCCTATCCCAGCCAAACATCTTGCCGCCACCAATGGCACCTTTAGCTCGGTGCGCGAGGCCTACGCCTCGGCCAGCTATGGAATCTTCCTCCATCCATCGCCTCACTGTCTGGAGCGTCTCCTTTCTGACAGTAGAGTGCCCCCAGTTCATGTGAACATAGTTATCGTCGTTGCCGTGGTCGTGTTTCCTCGAAGAACCAAACCGTGAGATGCGGTACCACATCCTGCGCTCACCTGGCGTGGCGAATGTGTCGTCGATGATGTTGGGTGGGAGTGGTTCGGGTGCTGTGGTCGATGGATGTGTCCAGGGAAACAAGTCATCCATTAGAGAGAGATCAATGGGCAATGCTGTAGGCACAACCTTTTCCGAACATGGTGTTTGTGCCGGCGGGTCATCGGCCAGATCTGGCTCATGGTGTGCTGTCTCGTCCACGATGACGGTCTGGTCTCCGAAGTTTTCGCTCTCGTGGGATTCTAGCCTGCTGGCAGCCGGTTTGGGGTCCTTCTCTGGCATCCCCGAATCAGTTGTGCTGGTACCGCTGCTAGACTCCGCCCCCGATTCCTCGTCTTCGCTTGGTGCCTCAAGCCGTGAGTCCAATGATGGCAACGTTTTGTCCAACGGTGAGGCATGTCTGGAGATTCCGTCATACAAGTCCACAAGCCCTTGGACTCTGGAGCCCTTCCTGCTGACATCCGGTCGTTCTGTCCTGAGCGCCGACCCAGGAGGGGGTCCATCCGGCGACTCTGCTCGTGTAGGGGGGCTGGGCTGTGGCTCATCGTATTCCCCTTCCGATTGCTGGTCAGCGATGTCTGAGAAATCCTCGTCGCTGATCTTGTGCGAGCTGGTAGACGGCGGCTTCTTCGGAGCGGTTGCGGGCGCATCCGCATCAGGCTGAAGTCCAACAAGGCCCGGGTCGCCAGCTCTCTGGCCCCATGGCACGGGAGAGACGCTTCTCGACCTCAAAGCTCCGACGGGCTTGAGTCCCGGGCTTCTCCCCCATCCGGGACTCTCTGCCCCCGGTGCAGACGCCGCGTTCCATCCGCCCCAGCCGCCTTCATCTTCCTCTTCACCCCATGGCGGCGCAGGGCTCTGCTTTCGGGTACTGGTGTTGAACGCGACTGCTGGCGGCGGTGTAACAAGTTGTATCGCTGCTATAGATCCATTCTCGTTCGTATCCCAAGGAGAGCCCCAAGGATCGTCCATGATGGGGGCATGTCGTGGTGGATGCAACCCGGGCACGTTATAACATGACTGTCGCGTGTCAGGTCGGCGGCTTGTGAGTGGTGCGGGCGCGGGTCGTCTGCAGCTTCCGGGATGCCGAGCTTGGGAGGAAACACAGGTTCGAGTGACGTCTCGGGTAATACACAATTGAGGATATCCTGTGCACCTCAATGCGTGGTAAATGTTTGGGTTAGTAGGTAGAAGAGACGAGCAATGCTGACAACCTACGAGTCCCAAGGTAAGGTCACGGTACCTAACGGGGTCTCTGGAGCCAAGACCAAGACCCGCAGATCGCGACTGCCTGACGCGATCCGCCTTACCCGGAGTGTCCCGCATCTTCGACATCATATCATGATGGTCGTCGGCTAATTACTACTCCGAACGTACTCCCAAGTCATCAAGATGAGATCTAAGAGAAGAAAACACCTTCCTTCATTTGATCAGAATAGACCACTCAGGTATTGAGGAGTAGGAATTCGTCACTGCCACGTGAAACTCCCCGTATCTTGCATGGCAGTAGTTCATTATCATTTACAAGTCTCATATAAACCAGCAATGTAGGACTTGCGTATCGCTCACGGTACGCCACCAAGAACTCAAACAGCCGAAAACTCCAATCGCTATGTTCCAGCATGTTGTGATGGTAATATCATATCTGGTGACCCCGTCACCCTCTGTTGTTGCGCCCGAGCAAAGCTTTGGTGTTCCTCAGACAGCCATCTCGTGTCCAGGTCGGAGGCACCACTCCTTCGCCCGTCCCGCACCCTGCTTCTCGGCCACCGTCTCGATCGTGTTCTTGACTTCTGTTCGCGACGCATTGTCGCGGAACTGATGATAGACAAAATCGATAATGCCAACTTTCGACAACGCCTTGTTGTCGAGTATGGCCTTCTTCACATCGTTCATAATCTCGGCCTTCACTAGCTTCGCCTGGGGCGGAGGGGCACCAGCCTTAATGGCAGCGAACGCGTCGCTCTGAGCTGGCGCAGGCGGAGGAGGCATGTGCAATGCCTGATCGGTCAAGTTGACAGGCGCTTTAGGCTCTGGCGACCAATAAGTGGCGGTCCACGGATCCAGTCCAACAGTCTCGTCGAGTGATTCTGGAAATGATTAGAAACCTTGCCGACACATACAAGACAAGTGACTCACCGATCATCATCTCCATCTTATGTTGGTGGATCAGGGGGTTGGCAGCTTGGTGGCCCATTCCTTCGAAACAAACTCCCGTACTCTCAGGTTCCATGGTGTTGATGAACAATCGTCGCGCAGGACCAGTGTCTTCCGCATCGTCGAGGAAGCCATCCATGTCGTCTTCATCATCTAGCTCCTCTTCCTCATCATCGCCATCCAGGTCCTCGCCTTCCTCTTCCTGCCATTCAGCCTCGGAGTCGTAGTCGTAGTCTAATGGCAGAAGCTTCCCTGTTGAGCATTTGGCGAGACCCCTCATGTGCTTCTCGCCAAGCACGAATTGCTTAAAAGTGCAAGTACCGTGGTAAGGAGGGCGTACGTCCTGCGAGAAGGCGATGACTTTTAACGGCACTTGGGACAGCTTTTGTCGCGCCACTTTCATAGTCTTGTTTTGTCCATCTGGTCCTGCATCCCCTGCATTCCCTAGGTCTTTGTACATCGCCTCCATGATGTGTCTAACGGGGTATTGTTGCTTCCCGCGTCGCGTAGGCTTCCCGTAGGACTGAAACAACTCAGCCGCCCTGAAGGGACGGCTCTCAATTGAGCGCGTGCCCGAGAGGTATTCATCAAGTATCGATGCCTTTGTCTCCTTCGTTTCACCGTCCATTCGGCAGTTTATAGTCGGCGCCATCGTGACATGAGTTCCGGCGCAGTATGGCATGAATAGTTTTCGGTACGGCGCATCTGAGACGGTCGACATTGTGCTCGTTGCTGCTTTGTTCGGTGATCCTTGGGTTGGTAGACTGGAGGCTTTCTTCGACGCAACGGAACCACCAAAGAAACTTTTAAGCTTCGGTTGTTTGCGTGCTTCTTTCTCCTTGGCCTCTTCAATTGCCCGCTTCTTGTCCTCCTTCTCCTGGGCCTTTTGCGCCTTGATCTTGTCCCTTTGTTCTTTTTCCTCGGCTTTGAGGCGGTCTTCCTCTTCCTTTTGCTTCTTCTTTTCCTCGGCTTCCCGCACCTTCTCCTCCTTCTTCTTCTGTTTCTCAGCGGCCTCTCGGTCTCGCTGGGCCTTCTTCTCCGCCGCTTCCTTGTCCCTCGCCTCTCGCTCAGCGGGTGTCAACTTCTTCCTTTGTGCTTTCGCGGTTGACTTCACACTTTGACTTGGGGTAGCTGCATTGGCTGCCGTTGCGGGTGCATTCGAGCTTTTGCTTGGCGTTTGTGGAGAATTATGAGTCGTCGCACTATTGCCTTCAGTGAGAGCTGGGGAATGGGTGGGCGGCGATTGTAGCTGAGTTTGGTCCGCTGAAGCTGTTAGTGAATGATTTGGTTATCCGAAAAAGGGCAGCTCACGACTGAGACCAAGTTTCGCGTCCCCATGTTGGCGTTTTGGGGGTTGTTTATCTGACTTGGTGTTGTCCGTGAAGTCCTCATGTGATCGTTTTCGGCAAGCCAACTCGGACTCTTGGATATTGAAGGACATTTCTGCCAGCGCTGCCCCCTCTGCCATTCTTTGTGAGGGTGTTGGAAAGTGCCAACGGCGATATAATCGTCTGTCGCCGAACGATGGTGAGGGTCCTCGCGTGAGCAGGGATATGGAACAACAAGAAAGTGAGCGATGCCAATTGTCGTCGCGCAACCAGAGCGTGACACGAGAATGTTAACAGGAAGCCTGTTCTTTTCGCAAGAGATGTTGTTGAAGTCTAGGCGCCAAAGTCGAAATAGGCCACCATAAGTGAGAGGGAGGATTTAGGCAGCTAACGCGACAGAGCCGCGTGACCCTTGGCACCTCCTTCCCCGGACGCGATTTCAGGTCCCTCTTGACGCGTCAAGCCACAGTTGTAATTCCGCCTTTTAACCGGCTCCGACCTCAGCCACACCAAAAAGGACCCTGGCATCAAATGGTGCCATTTTCCCCATCTCCCCTCCATCGAATTCTTGCCAGAAGTTCGTATCAAGGTGGGACCGACCCTGAGGCAGTGCTCGGTGCCGGGAATCGAACTCTGGAAAAGAATTGTTATTTTTTTGGGTTCCTAGACGTAGCTGCCGGGAAGTCTCACCATTACTAAGAGGGATCGATCACGCTTGGCGATCAATGCGGCCGACGTCACTGTTGGCCACTGGCGGCCACCGGTTCGGACATGTTCTCCACACCGAACGAACTGTGCTGTGTACAATAGATTCTTGTTCAATTACTGCTCTCATCGGATGGTATCATTAAAGTGACGCTCTCTTTGGCTTACTCCTGCATTCCATGGCGACTCTGGGCGAGCACGTCAACACATTTGTACAAACCACGACTTCTATAGCGAGTGGATGATTGGGTATCCAGATCCAGACCCGGAAACGACGGGCTATGTAGATAATCAAACACAAAAGGGGACACAATCAGATAGGTCACAACGCCTGTGTGCCAATAGCGCACGAGACCGGCCCTGCGCCTTCGCTGTGCATTCTTCTAGTCGGGGTTGGCGATGTATAGACGTTGGCTGGTAAGAGTCGCCGTTCGTTCGTCCACACTGCCCCTTCTCTTCAGCTCCTCGGGGTTCTTAACACTCTTCTCACGAGTGAGGGCAGAATGTAGCAATGAGTTACTGGCAAGGCGAGGCGCATTGCCCAGCTCACCAACATTGTCGGCCTTCTCTGCCTCGGTCTCCGCGCTGTTTGTGCTTTTGGTTTTAGTACTGGCACGATCGTCAGCACCTGCCGCCTCTCCGTGTTGCGGTTGCTGTTGCTGCTGCTGTGACGGGAGGTCTACAAGACTCCCAGATCGCTCGGGCGTGTCACCTGGTGTCCAATTTTGACTATTTCTGCTGTTGATGCTGCCTCGACCACCAGAATTCCGGTACGCCAGACCACGGCGGCCACTAGCGTTGCTGCTCCGTCCACTGCTCCCCGTTCTGCGGTGGTGCAGTTTCGAAGGTGCAGGCATCTTGTCGTCGTCACTGCTCTCGCCCTCAACCTCGGTGGCACTCAATCGCAGGGGCACGCCACCAACACCGACGTGGTTCTCGCCGGGCGTAAGACTCACGACGGGCTGCTTGCCGTGGTGTCGGATTTTCGCAGCGACCTTGTTGGTTGTGCTGATACCAGTGTTACTGCGGCTGCCACCATGGCCGCCTTGGGGACGACCACCGACAACCTCGAGGTTCGCTCGTTGTTTGGCAGCACGCTGCTGCGCGGCAAGTCGTGGATCCTCGTACTGGGCCCGGTCGCACCAGACCGTGGCCTTTTGTTTTCGGAGAAGGGCAACATAGCTGGAAGCGCTTCCGTTGGTCGTGCCGGCTGAGCGATTCGATTCGGAGCGGCGAAGATCTGAGGCAGAGGACTGGCGGTACGCCGCAGGCGGAGCCATGCTCGAAGTGGTGCTGAAAGTGTTTACCGATGGTGTGCGTCTCGAATGTGGAAAGGGATGACCGGAATGTGCCATGTGTTGCTGAGATTGAGGATGTTGCCCTTGGTAGAGGTTCGAGTGCGGTCGTTGGCTGGCGGGGGGGCCATAACTGTCCACGGCCCTGCGCTGCATTGTCGGTTCAAGCATGGTAACGCGTACGACTGGTCGACGAACGGACCGTGCTCGGCACGGGGTCGGGAGCAAGAAGCAAGGCGGGAAGAGAATCTGGTGATCAGACAGGCTCAGCCCGGTGGGTTTGCGGTAGTAAGACACAGGCCGTAGGACAACTTGGTTGGAGGTGATTTGGGGTGCAGGACTTCTTGTAGCACCGTCAAGATGCAGATGGGGAAAGGCAGTCGATCACAATGCGATTAACCAAGCAGACTCAATGCAGACCACATGAAGCGGACGGTGACTGGGACGCCTGCGCGGTGCGGTAGGGAATGGAGGAAATTGGAAGAGGGAGTGGTGGGTAGCGGCATAGATGAGAGAATCTATGCGGGTTGGTGGTGAGAATGGGCTGACGGGACCTGATTGAGGTGCAGGCAGCTCCAGACGCTCGCTCGCTAGGTCGCTTCCTCCAGCCGCAGCGAAGGCGCAGGTTGATTGGATCCCGACTGACTGACACTGGTAAACAAGAGCTGCCGGCCTTGGCTCCTGCCGGGCTAGGGCGCTGTCTTGGCAATTTTCGACGTTTATCCTCTTTCCAGCCGTTGCACCATCACTACTGGGCCATTCTCCCAAGCTCAACCCCACTCGTCAAGCGCTGGCCGGCGGGTCCTTGGCTGCCTTTCAGCTGTGTAGCAGTCAGTCCAGCAGAGGCCTCAGCAAGCCGGCCGAGGAAGAGCCATCGGGGCTAAGTGAGCGGAACCAATCAGCTGAGCACGTCCGCGCGGGTGTTGATGTAATTCTCCGCTCTGAGCTCCGAGTCGCCAAGCCCAAAATCGTCAGTTCATTCTTATGCGACGTTAAGCTGGCTTCAGGACCTTTGCCCTCCACTGCCAATGCTGTGAGCCTAAGAAAGCTGTCGCGCCGCGCGCGCATCGTCACCTAAAGGTTCAGGACTACAAGCCAGAGGCAAAAGGGACAGGACCCAACATTGGCGGAGACTCAATTCTGCAGTCTGCTGTCCCGCCACACACACACACACTACCATGCACGTATGGCCAGTCTTTCGAAGACAGGTAAGGTAATGAATGGGTGGGGGGACACAGGGCAGCCGTCGCGATTGGATCCCGGTTTGTTTTTCCAGGTGGATTTGCTTCGTAGGGATGGATGGAGCTAATAGCTGATTACTTGTTGAACGCCAAGCGGGAGCGGACGAGCTACTGGGTAGGAATTTTCTCAAAAGTCCTCGAAAAAGCTTGCTGCCGTCCGCTTGCGAAAAGTCCGTTTAATAACTCGCAAGGCCAAGACCAAGCGAGCCCGTCGTGCTACTCAATAACTACGTATAGCTAGCATCACGGATGCGCGGAGAAACTGACACTTGAGGACGCTTGATATCACGGTAGATGCTGCACGCTGCAGGGTGCTTCAGGGGTGCTTATCGCGGCGACAAAAACATCTTCGGGAAACAAAATATTTGCGATACAACAAATTGGTGCTTCCGGGACCATCTCGGTGTTGACAGAACCTAGGTGCTCGACCACCTGCACTAGCAAACGCTGTGCAGCCGGGCATGTCCTGGGTAAAGGGAAACAAGGCAATCCCGTCTTGTTTGACTAGTACCTTATGGTACATCAATCTGGTGATAGCGTCAATTGAGTTCGGTACTAGTCCTGTTGGTTGGCAGCCTTCTCATGCATACTGTAGGAATGCGACTAAATAAATGCACCCTGGAAGCGGGGACGTAAGGTAGTGTTGAGATTGGGGAAACAACCTTGCAAATGCTCTGTGGGATGCAACACTCATTGCTTCGAGAGCAAGATTTCTCTAGCTACCGCCATCCCATCCTTTAGTGAACACAAATATCAAGCCTCCTACGCGTCACTTGACCAGGACGAGCTATTCTTATCTATTGCACATCCAGTATCTTGACTCTTGCAGAATTGCTAGAACACAAAATAACAGCGTCTTGACAAGCTTTGAGACTTCTTGAGGATGTGAAGATAGAATACTCCGGGCCCCGGGCCCCCGGCTGGCCAAGGATACCCACTCTTGTGCATAATCACTCACGTACACAGTCTTGCAGATATCACTGATCAGAGGTTCTAGGCCCCAATAGCCTCGTTTTGTCCGGTAGACTGGCGCCAGGAACAAGTCTGACAGCCGATCTATGATAAATTCTTCCATCATACGTAAATGCTTCGGACACAGGATATTCTAACAGTGAGGACATTGGTGTTGAACCTTCGCTGTTGTCGATCCGAGTCCTGAAGCACTCGACCACGATCATACAGGGACAAGCGGGTGACTAAACACAGAGAGACGGTGCCTTGGCAGGAACTTTGCCTGCTAATGCTCGCCAACACCACTTGCTTCACTGATACGTCATACTTGCTGACAGTTCAAGCCCGTTCTTGGGAGTTGGAGACGGGAAGATGGAAGAGTGCCATTCTCGGCCAATGCTTGGGCGGCGTCGTTCCCCGACGAAGACGGGTGGATGAAACGTGTCAAAGATCGAGAGTTGATCAATGCAATCAATCTCGATCGGCATCGAGTGATCTGTGCCTCCTGTTCAGGCCCGGTCGCTGCATGCATCAGATTGATTAGCGCCCGAGGATTCGCGCAACGAAGAAATGAGAATCGGGTTGACGCCGTGCGCCTAATCCACAATACCCGGGACCCACGCCGGCTGTCCCGTCTCCAGACCCTCCGTAGAATCCTCCAGCATCTCGACGGGCTAGAATAAGGCCTAGACTCTGCCTTGAACTTTTTAGGCTAAATTTTTCCTAGCGATGCCAGTAAGTCGGGCCTATCTGACATGTGCTGTTGATTCTGCTTACCAGATACCTATAGCTCACCTTCTATTATACTCGAGTGGATTTGTGATATCACAATGACCTCATAACCAACGGTCGCGCTAACCCACAATCGTGGGGACTTGTTGTGGGCTAGGCCCTGTTGGAACAACTTGGTAGCTCAGATTGAGTCTATCTAACGATAAGGTAGGAAAAGAGAAAGAAGAGGGAATTTACGGTCCCCCTTTCCTGTGAAGACCCTGCGAGGTCTGTGCGTCCTCGCGGGCACGCGTCACGTGCCTAGGTGAACCGGGCTGGGTCTTGTACCCAGCCGCCAGCAACTGGTAGAACCGCAACAGGACTACACTGGTAAGGGAACATATAATTTAGGTCCGGATACGAGCCATGCGCACAAAACCGAGTCTTGCTTCAGCTGAGGCTCGAGTGGCATTTGCCGGGTCGACTGGATCGCAAAGTCTAACGGTCAGCTGTCAGTGACGGCTCGTGTGTTGATCGTAAGTGGCTGTTGAAACTATATCCATGAAGAAATTGCCGTGGTCTGTTAGATCTGAAAATCATTTTTTTTTTTGAAAATGTTTCCCGGAGGATTCATTTCGTGGGCCTTGACGGAAGGCAAGGCGAAACGTCTACAGCGAGTGGCTCAGATTACCGTCATATGAAATTCCGCAGCAGAGTCATTAATTGTCGACGGGACTTGCGTGCTTTTAGACGCAAACCTGGGTGTTTGATAACTCTATCTATTTGTGGTCCGGCTTGTTGATTGGCACGAATACAGGGTAGGCCGGTAATTTTCGAGGTGGCGCTTGCACGCGACGTGCCTTGCAAGCATCAGCGTAACTGAATAATGAACCGCGAGGCCAAGAAATAAGAAAGGAATGCTTTCCATGCCCAGGCCTTGAAAGCCGGGAGAAAATATGTCCAAATAGGACCTTATAAGCTGTTAGCAACACTAGGTGTCCTGAAAATTAAGGAACAACCACAAAACGCACACGTCAAACCCTGGTCACCATGACACCGTGATGGACATGGACTCGAGCTTTGGCAATCGCGGGGACGGAACTGCCGCAACTGCCAAAAAATTTGCGGCTCGAGCTGCCCACGTTCTTCATCCGTGCATCTTTACAGGTCAACCGCCAACCCCATCCGAGCGCTCCCTCGTTAAATGGTCTCAGACAGCACAACCGGCTCCCGCCTTGTCTGAGACTTCAAGTGCCAGTCCGTGGGCGTGCACCGGCGCCGACAGCCCAATCACCGCGCTACCCCGATAGCACGCGCCGGCATCGAACAACCGTTACTTGACGAGAGCTGGTCTCAGTCGCAACGACGCCTCACAGCCTTTATTGTATCCGCAGGTTCGGGACTCGACCGTCCATCGCAGCGATTTGCACGCGCATTGGGAGCGGCGAGCGTGGGATGCACACTGCGCCTGAGCGTATGACCCCCGAAACGTCATGAAGTTTGCAAAGGAGCTGGAACGAGATGCGGTTCCAGGTACGTCAAAGAGCTGGCGGATCGTTGTCTTAAAGGATGCTGGGGGTTCCTGAAGGTTTCTGGTGGTCTTGAAGCGAAGGCCACAGCCACGTACCTCTGCCTCACGGGACCTCACCTCCAAGAGATGTGTATTTCGGACCAGTGCGCTGACTACGGAGTCCAGAATGGCGAATAAAGTACCTAAATTACAAAGCTGGAAAGAAATACATCAAGGCTGTCACACGAGCCGTGTATCGCGCCAACGGCACTCCTCGAAATACCGGTGGACAGACACCCTCGTTCTACACGGCGCAGCAATTTCAAGAGCGAAGACCGCAGAACGCAGATCATAGCGACGATAACAGTGATGGCGAACAAGATGATTCTCTCCTGGAACGGACGATGTCAACAGCGGCAAGGCAGCAGACGATGCCACCTAAGTCAATACCAATGCCGCAACCGTCCCGGATGGAGGACGAAGCTCTGAAAGATGCCCATGATAATTTGCAGTACGGAAGCTTCGTCAAAACTCCCCCGACCACAAAAGCAGACATGAATGACGATGGGCTCTTTGGACTACCGCCACCGGCCATACAGGACCGACCATCAGAATCGCGAGAACCTCAGAAGCCCTCAGGCACTGTGCGGAAGCAAATGAGCCGTCTTTCAGCGCCTCGCAGTGCATCGGCAGGGTCTGTCCTGGCAGCGAAGAGGAACAGTGATCCGGACGCGCATTTGCTGCCGAAGCGCGCCATGGCTGGGCAGGTCTCCCAACGTCCTTCGCAGTTGAGGCGACTGCTATCACACGGCCAAGCAATAAACTCGAGGCTCAGCCCGAACAGCAGGAATGGCGTCAACTTGCAGCCTTTTGATCTTGTCAGAGAGAGGGAAGCTGAGTTCTACCGTTTCATGGACTCGGAGCTCGCCAAGGTCGAGACCTTTTACAAAATGAAGGAAGAGCAGGCTGGAGCACGGCTGGCGGTTCTGAAAGAACAGCTTCATGAGATGCGCAATAGACGGATCCAAGAGATTGCGCACAATGGGCAATCAGACGACCCGGTGGATGGGGTGCGCGGGGGAAGCGACAAGGATCGGTTGATCCAGAACGGGATCTTGCGGCCCATTAAGAGAAAAATGTTTCCGCCAGGTCCCAACAGCAAGGCCTTCCAGATCATGCCTCGCACCCCGCTGGTCGGTAGCTCTGGCCCGGGCGACGGGGGGCGTGATTACAGTCGACGACCGCAGGATCACGATGTGTCGTATCGGACGGCGAAGCGCAAGCTCAAGCTCGCTCTCCACGAGTTCTATCGAGGTCTTGAGCTGCTCAAGTCCTATGCGCTGCTCAACCGGACTGCCTTTCGAAAGCTCAACAAGAAGTTCGACAAAGCCGTCAATGCACGACCGCCATATCGTTACGTGAACGAAAAGGTCAACCATGCCTGGTTCGTGAGCAGTGACGTCCTGGAGGGCCACATTAAGGCCGTGGAAGACCTCTACGCACGTTACTTTGAGCGCGGCAACCACAAGCTTGCGGCCGGCAAGCTTCGAAGCCTGACCAAGAAGCAACCTGAGCAGTCGGGCTTGGCATTCCAGAGCGGGTTCCTCATCGGCACCGGACTGGTGTTCGCCGTCCAGGGCACGGTCTACGCCGCACAACTACTCGAGCACGAAGATGGTCAGCTACGGCAAGAGACGAGCTATCTCTTACAACTGTACGGCGGATACTTTCTCGTGCTCGTTCTCTTTGCGCTCTTTTGCCTAGACTGCATGGTCTGGACCAAGAGCAAGATCAACTATCCCTTCATTTTCGAGTTTGACCAGCGACACCACATGGACTGGCAGTCGCTGACCGCGTTCCCGAGCTTCTTCCTTTTGCTCTTTGGCGTTTTTACGTGGGCGAACTTTAGCAGGTACGGCCCGGAGTCGCTGTATCTGTACTATCCGGTGATCCTCATCGGACTCACTGTTCTCATCATACTCCTGCCATTCCCCGTCCTCGCCTACAGGTCGCGGAAATGGCTTGCATATTCTCATGTGAGTCGCTGACTGGGAGCGATAGTTGACGTGAAGACTAACGGCACCAGTGGCGATTGCTTTTGGCGGGCTTATACCCTGTAGAATTCCGTGACTTTTTCCTGGGCGACATATACTGCTCCCTGACATACGCAACCGCTGTGGGTTCCCAGGCCCTTTCTTAGTTTCCCATGGCTGACCAGAGGTCCAGAATATTGAGCTCTTCTGCTGTTTGTACGCCAACGAATGGGAGAACCCCGTCCGCTGTAACTCGAGTCACTCGCGTCTGATGGGCTTCCTCGCTGCCCTACCGCCGATATGGCGGTTTCTACAATGCATCCGGCGGTACAGGGATACAAAGAATATCTTTCCTCACCTCGTCAACTGCGGTAAATACTCCATGACCATCATGGCTGCTGTCACACTCTCGATGTACCGGATATATGGCACGCATGCCAATCTCGCGCTGTTCATCACCTTTTCGCTGATCAACAGCATCTACTGCTGTAAGTGACTTCTTTCTAGCGCCTCTATGATCAAGACTGACGTGACAGCGATCTGGGACCTGTTTATGGATTTCTCCCTGGTCCAGGCAGACTCAAAGTACTGGTGTCTCCGCGACATACTCGCTCTGAAACGCAAGTGGCCGTACTACACAATCATGGTCATTGATCCGATCATCCGTTTTGCCTGGATCTTTTACGCCATCTTTACGCACGACCGGCAGCACTCCACCATCGTCTCCTTCTTGGTGGCCCTGATGGAGGTCCTCCGTCGTGGTGGTTGGGCCCTGTTCCGCGTGGAGAACGAGCATTGTGCGAACGTATCGCAGTATAAGGCCTCTAGGGACGTGCCGCTGCCGTACAGGATCGAGCCACTGATGGACCGCGCCTCATCCGATACATCACCAACAATCCCCGCTGGCGAGAGCGAGGCACCACCTCCGGCACAGCAGGAAGAGGGCGGCATCACTGCGTCCTCCACTGCCGTGGGCAGCACCTTTAGCAGGGCTGGTCTTCGCAGTCGCGCGCAGACATTGACCGGCCGCACCTTTAGCAGGATCATATCAGAAGCGCACAAGCAAGATTTCGAGAAGAAGAAGCGTACACCACAGGAGCAGGAAGAGGCGGACGAAGCGGGTGCAGTGGGTGATCAAGTTGATGACGAAGAAGATGATGACGAGGACGATGTCGATGAGGAGGAGGAGGACTTTGAATTGGACATGGCGAACGAGCTGAGGAGACAAGCGGGGCGGTAGATACCCCTTTGGAGATACTGCATAGACCTATAGATAGCGACCCGGCTTGCGGAATTTGGAAACCCCATCAGATAGATTACAGCGGAGGCTGTCCAACCAATTCTATACATTTACATGCATGATCGATTCTACGCCCACTCACCATCAATCTGCTCCCAGTGATCCAGGAAACTCTTGAAGAACAGGGCACCCAGACCGGGGTCGAGCGCACCTGTCGTCGCCCTTACGGAGTGCATGCTCAGCTGTGGCGAGCCGACGTCGGCCGACCGCACGCCCATGGCACTCGACAGCATGGGACCCACAGTACCGCCACTCCTAGAGTCGTTCCTGATCTGGAAGGTCTGCGTCCGGAGCCCCTCGAGCTCAGCCACGCGCCGCATAATGGCCGTCGAGACGGCGTCGGTGGTCATGTGACCGTTGGAATCGGCCGAGATGACCATGCCCACGTTGAGCTGGGGGATGTGGTCGTCGAGGTAGTTGGCCAGGAAGTTGGGGTTGCCGGCGTGGGAGACGTCGGAGGAGCAAAGGAACGAGCGTGCGTACGTCTGGCCGAGCAGGCTGGGTCCGTAGGCGGATGAGCTGAGCGACTCGACGATGCGCTCAATGGTGGAGGGGAGGAAGTTGCCCTTGGCGCCCTGGCGCAGGAGCGAGCCAATCTCCTCGTCGTCAAAGAGGGCGACGAGCTTGATGTAGCTGTCATCCTCCTTCTCCTCGGCGTGGAGGAGGGCGGTGAGGGCCGACCACGAGCAGAGCTTGTCGTCGATGCGGCCGGCGGTGATGAACTCCTTGTCGAGGCCGAGGGTCTGGGCGGGCTGCGAGTCAAAGAGCTCGAGCTCCCAGTTGAGGATGGAGTCGTAGTCCTGGACGCCGAGCTCCTTGGCGATGAGCTTGACGAGGCGCGGTGGCTGCGACCGCACAAAGGAATCGTCACCGCCGAAGGCCTCCACGGCGTCGTTGGGGCCCTCGAGGCCGATGATGGGCACGGCCTGCGTCTCGGCGTTGTTGGTGCCCATCATGCCGACGCCAAAGTGAGGCGCCAGCGTGGGAATCTTGGCAATCGGCCAGCCGAGCTTGACGAGCTTGGTGCTCGTCTTGCCCGTCTCGATGTCGCGCACGACTACACGCCCACCGATGGACAGGTCACGATCCCACCAGGTGGCGTTGAGGCCACCGGCGTAGGGCGCGACGCCGAGCTGCAGGTAGCCCGCCTTGTTGGGCTTCTTGCTGACGGGCTTGAGCTTGGCGGTGAGGGCGTCAATGTGGCCGGCGATCATGGCGACGCCATGGCCCGGCTTGTACGCCTTGCCGACGGCAAAGGCGATGACGGCGCTGCCGTTGCGGGTGGTGTAGTACTTGCCCCCAGCCTCGAGCTTCCACGCAGCGCGCGGGGGCAGCTCCTTGTACCCCTTGGCCTCGAGCTTGCGCTTGCTGTACTCGACGACGTGGAAGATGGTCGGGTTCTCCTCGAGAAAGTCGGTGAAGGGCTTGGTGAAAGCCTCGGGCTTGGAGGCCTCGACGACCTCGGGACGGCTGGTGGGCAAGGCTGGGGTGGGCTCGTGTAGGCGGTGGGCGAGCATGGCGCTATGGAGGTTGGCGTGCGACGAGTGCGCGCTGGGCGTACGGCGGGTCATGGCGAGGGTTCTGGAGGATATAAGCAGAGAGAAGGAGGGGGAATGGGATCAGATTGCGGTTACAAAGGGAGGGTGCTGTTGGTCAGGCGCGTTGTCGGAAATCTGTCAGTCTGTCTCGCTCGTGACACAGCGCCCGCATGACGATCGATGCGCCCCACATTTCCAGGCACCATGACAACGTCTATTTGCATTAGCTAGTTAACTAAGTTAATTACAACGGTTTTGGCTACCCTGCTGCTTCATCCCCTCCTTCGCCTGCGGCCTGCCCTCCTGTCAGCGTCGTGCCGTTCGTGGTTAGACTGCCTGCCAGCGTGTCCGCGATAGACGACCCAACACTCGTTGCCGTGGTCTTAACGACATTGATGAGGCCCATGCTCACGACCCTTTCCTCGGGGCGCAGAATGGCTGCCAGGAATGCAGAGCGAGGTGCAACATCCATAGACTGGGTGCAGGACCTCAGAATGAGAAAAGTAAGAGACCCCTGTAGCGAGCTCGGGATGGGTATCAGAGAGAGCGAGGAAGACGGCGGAAGGGATGTGTGTGAAGACCATGGTCGGCACAATTCCCAGACGTTTGGCGATAAACGTCGGCTTCCTGCCAATCAAGCTTGGCAAAGGCAAAGTCCAGCAGCCAGCCGCACGTCATGGTACAAAATGCCGAGCCTGCACTGCCAGTCATGCTATATCAGGCGTAGATATCACCCCTCTGCTTGGGCGTGACGATGTGCGCAATTGTACTCTCCTCGACCGCACGGACCGGCTCAATCTCGTTGCCACTGGTGCGTCGTCAGTCAAGTAAGGGAGTCTTTTGGGCGTCAGCTCTTCCTACCTGGGGCTGATGACACCCAAGACAGCAGCGCACAGAAGAATCCAGAATGAGCTCGAGAGAGCAAAGTCTACGCCACTTGCTACCATGAGCACGGCGCCAAACGTGAGAATTCACTTGCGCCCGATGCCGTCCGCGAAGCAGGCGAGCACAAAGCTAATGCCCACATCGTCAAAGAGTGTCAAGGTCATGAACAGCTCGATATAGTTCTGCGAAATGTCCAGCTCCCGCCAGAAAGACACCAGGACCAGCGTATACGCACCATAGGCAAAGAGACGCACACCAGGCTGGATACAGAGGAGTTTGACGTCGATGGATGAGTGATACAGGGTTCGTAGGCCGGTGTGTTCAAGGATTCGCGCGAATATTGGGATGCTGCCCGTTTGCGACTGCTTGGTTGACGACATGTTGAGCGACTGATAGTTTCTGTCACAAAAGTGACATCTTATGATCCCAGCAAAGGGGTCTGGAGTTGCTACGTGTGACTGGAGGTACACTGCGCGGCAAATTCTGAGGCATCTCGGATTTTCGAGGGTTTGATTGTTGATAGACTAGACGCGAATACGCGTACAGAGACCGGATCTCTTCAAGACGACCCACTTGCACGTGGTTCACGCGGTGGAAGACAGAGCTTTTCTGGATGCTGTAATGCTGCTAAAGATGTATATACACTGGCGGGATATGGAGAGGTCTATGGGAGCCGATTAAGTAGGTGGGTATAATCTGGGAATCAAGTTCAAGGGGAGGTCCTCTGGTATCACCGCCAACATTGGAAGGTTGGGACTGTCATGGACCACCCATCTGTAATTAGTCCACATCAAAGACAGCATGCAAAAACCATATAAAATGTGCGAAAACCAAACCTTTCTGAAACAAGGTTCCTAGACTTTCGATACTCTTACCATCCCTCTGACTGGCCGGGCATTCGCCAAAATCTCTCAATAGTGCCTATTCACCATCCAATGTGGCGCTTAGATACGAATCTCGGAAACAACGTCTGTCAAGGAGCGTCCTTCACCGGGTTCGAGCGAACGACGCCTTCTCCACACATTTCTCCCCCCATGGTCAGTACACGTATCGATCATTGGATTCATGCCGAAATTGGACCAGTGCCTTTACTTTGCCATTTGTGAGATACGGAGTTCAAGAGTATGGGCATGCTCATTGAACACAACACGCGACTGCACGACCTCGAGGGTGTCGACACAACGGCTTGCGAATATGGTTCATTGGGCGAAGAAGCTCATCTTTCTGATTACTGGGATAGATGTTTCTTTTATAAGGTCGAGGGATGCCATGCCAAGTATCTCGAGCACTGACGCACCTGATAGCTACTCCCGGGCACGGGGCAGTGTCATTGCTCGTGTCTAGCCTGGGACGAAAGCACCCTGGGATTTTAAACACTAAAGATAGTTCATGGGCAAAAATAATGGTCCAGAGCACTCTGATAAGCAGGCTGGCACCATGTGCCACTCAATTCTTCCTGGTGAGGAAAGCTGTGGTATCTAATAAACACGAAATAATCAGTCCGATCTGGACCCCTAACGCGGCTCCTCCCGCTAAACGTGCTCGAAAGTTAATAACAAATTCTAGGTTGCTTTTAGTCCATTTTTGCAAAGCTTATGTCCATGCACTAAACCTTGCCAGATTTCTAGAAAGAAGTTGAATCAAGCCTTCAAAAGCTATAAAAAAGGGACCAATGCATCAGGATGAAGTCCGTCCTTCGTTGCTTTGCCATACCCTGACTACGTATGTCGATCAATATATCATCATCTCAATCCACTCCTCTCTAATATTCTACTCCATTCCTGGTCAACCTCTCTTACAATGGAGCACATCAAGCATGACCAACAGCGCCAGTCGCCCCTGTTCTCCCTGCCAGCGGAGATCCTCAACCAGATTGTCCACAGCATTCTGGATCCCGCAGACCAGCTCAGGTTGGACAGCGCTGGTACAAATCACTCTAAGTCCCGGCCAAACGTGTACCCCTACTGCCAGGAGAGGGGACCTGTCGACTGGACCAAGTCCCCGCCCCACCTCACCTACATGGAGAAGCCAGATCTCTATCAGATCCAAGCCATGGGGACGGGTGACATCTGCCACACCCTTCCAGGGCAGGTTGGCGACTACCGTGGCGACTTTGGCGCTTTTGCTGCGTTTCTCAGGACGTGTACCAAAGCGTAAGTCTGCCCCTTTTAAACTCAAAATTTCCCGTCCGCGCGCAAAGTCAATAATACTAATTGAGATTCAGGAACCGTATCTACGGGGAAATTCTGTGGGAGATCCCCATTTTTGCATTTCTAAGCTCGGATGCCCTGAAAAAGTTTCTGGACAAAGCCCCCTCCCATTGTCGCGGTCTCATCACGGACGTCCGGGTGACCTACGCCAACGTGCACTTCTCGACCACTGTGATGAATGGCTTGGAGCAGTACTGGGTTGAAATTGGCTGGGATCAGTTTGAAAACCATGTGATCTCAGATTGCTTCGGTCTGCTGCCTAACCTGCAGACCTTTACCTTTGACACCAGCGTCTGGCCACTCCTGCAGGGCGGACCGATGCTGATAGAGGCCCAGGTGCGGAACGAGAACCGACTTGATCGTCGAATGTGCGATATATACGACTATCTAAGAGCCGCAGCGTCTGCCGGTGTTCAGATCATGGCGTACAAGAGTGGGGAGAGGCACATCCACTCGCACAGCGTCGACGCAGACAGCGCTGCCGTCGTGAAACTCGGCGAGGACGGTGAGGAGGGTCAGGACGAGTCCGCCCACGAGGGTTCCAGTGGTGAAGACGAGGTTCCCGAGTGGTTGGATTATGAATTTGACCAGGCGGACACCACGTTCTTTGGGGAAGCTCTCGAGGGGCAAGTGGATGGGGCAGCGCCGGGTGCCAAGACGGCTCATCGGCCCCACCCGGGAACGGAGGTCGGGGGACTGGGAATGGAGGAAAGCATCGACATGATAAGCGTTCAATTATGATACCCGAAGCGATTTGCTATATTGACATTTCTACTTACTGATTCGTCTCTCGACTTGTGCTCTTCTTATTGTTCTGTGAAAACTGCCGCTAACGAGTCGGACTTTCGGCCAGGGCTCGGAATGAGAGACACTGACTGGAGCGGGGCAGCCCAAAGTGGCAGGACTTGGGCATGGCGAGCTTCAATCTCGACCATGGTCAAGCATCCAGGGGACAGCGCCAATATTCGATGAATGCTTTGAGCCAATACATGCTGACTGCGTTATATTTCTAATACATGTGTTAACGATAGAAGTGACCAGCAGCTTTGATCGAATCTTAGGCCTTGCCACTGGTGCAGCTTCTTTTCCACAGTCGAAGAGATGAGTCGTACAACGCTGGTGTCATACTGCGTTCAGTATGGGAGATCTAGAACTTGATCAGCGTAACGACGGGTACTGATGATGCCTCTGCCAAGAATGTGTTGGCTGCAGGAGTCGCCTCATAGAGCCGAAAACGAAGATATCGTCGAGAGCCTGATGAAAGATTCAGAATAGCCCAGATCATATGTTCATGAAACGTGAGGGGAAACCTGGACTGCTCAACAGCTTATAGCCAATGGTGCCCCAGCCGCAGTAGGCGCCGGCATCGTACCACACCACTTCGAGCATCTGCAAAGATCGGGCTATTCCCGTCTCTGCCCTCCTCATTGCCATCTGTAGACTAGACTAGATCCCCGAATAACTACCTCTTCCGAAAACATACCGATCCCTAGAAGGGGCATTTGTTCTATCACTGCATCTGTTTGATTTGTTCCGGCCGTGCGGAGGAGACACCACGCCCCACCCGACTAATGGCGACTCCGAACACCGAGAAATGTCCTGCAGGACACGGCACATCGACTGGACCAGCAACGCGGAGCGAGTGATACAATGTTATTGGAGCCGTGCACCAGATGAGGGGAAGGCGCACCGGTTCCTAGTCTAGCAGCGAGCAAGTTGACTCTCCGAAAGTGTCCCGTTGCGACGCACACGCAATGGTTGGGTGCACGGTACGAACGGCTCGTTACGTACGAATTGAAGAGGGGAAGTTCCAGAGTCATTGGAGGGTATATAAGGATTGCATTCGCTTCACGGATAGCATTCATTGATCCTGCTACGATATTCATCCATCACCCAAACCTCTCGCTCTCAGTCATATACACACAACCGCAATCATGGTGAGCGGCACTTGCAACACCGGTCCAGAGCCCGCAAGCTAACTAGTCCCAGGTCAAGGTTCTTCTCGTTCTCTACGACGGCGGCCAGCATGCCAAGGACGTACGTGTGCCCTTTCTCTCCTCCTTGACTTTGAGCCCTCCATCCACCCGAGCAAGACAATGTGATGAGGCCGAATTCGACGCGACCCAGAACATCACGCTGGGCTCTCTGCACCATTGCCTTTTTGGGAACACGTCACGCACCTTCCCTGTCGCTGCAGCCCGAAGAAGTGGGATTATGCAGGAAGGAGCGGGGCACTCGTGATCGGACCATGACCTCACCTGCCTCACCGAGTCACGTCCATAGCAGCACAGAATTGAGCCTCATGAGAAACTCCACGAGGGAACGGCATCTTTGGCCCTGACAGAAAGCTAACAATGACAAGGTCCCCGGTCTGCTCGGTACCACCGAGAATGAGCTCGGCATCCGCAAGTGGCTTGAGGATCAAGGCCACACGCTCGTCACCACCTCGGACAAGGAGGGCGAGAACAGCACATTCGACAAGGAGCTCGTCGACGCAGAGGTCATCATCACCACCCCCTTCCACCCGGGCTACCTGACCGCCGAGCGCCTCGCCAAGGCCAAGAAACTCAAGATCGCCGTCACGGCCGGCATCGGCTCCGACCATGTCGACCTCAACGCCGCCAACACCACCAACGGCGGCATCACCGTCGCCGAGGTCACCGGTTCCAACGTCGTCTCCGTCGCCGAGCACGTCGTCATGACCATCCTCGTCCTCATCCGCAACTTTGTCCCCGCCCACGAGCAGATTGAGCGCGGCGAGTGGGACGTGGCCGCCTCCGCCAAGCAGGAGTACGACCTCGAGGGCAAGGTCGTCGGCACCGTCGCCGTCGGCCGCATCGGCGAGCGCGTCCTCCGCCGCCTCAAGGCCTTTGACTGCAAGGAGCTCCTCTACTTTGACTACCAGCCCCTCAAGCCCGAGGTCGAAAAGGAGATTGGCGCCCGCCGCGTCGACACCCTCGAGGAACTCCTCGCCCAGTGCGACGTCGTCACTATCAACTGCCCCCTCCACGAGAAGACAAAGGGTCTCTTCAACAAGGACCTCATCGCCAAGATGAAGAAGGGTTCCTACCTCATCAACACCGCACGCGGCGCCATCGTCGTCAAGGAGGACGTCGCCGAGGCTCTCAAGAGCGGCCACCTCGCCGGTTACGGCGGCGACGTCTGGTTCCCCCAGCCGGCGCCCCAGGACCATCCTCTGCGCTACGCCAAGAACCCCTTTGGCGGCGGCAACGCCATGGTGCCGCACATGTCGGGCACGTCCCTCGATGCCCAGAAGAGGTACGCCGACGGCACAAAGGCCATCCTTCAGAGCTACTTCAGTGGCAAGCACGACTACAGGCCTGAGGACCTGATCGTGCACAACGGTGACTATGCCACCAAGGCGTACGGCCAGCGTGAGAAGAAGTAAGGCAAAGGGGAAGAGTCAGCAGAGAGGGAACGTACATTGTACATTTAGCATGTTAGCCATCATCATGAATCATGAGCTCATTTGTCATTACTTGACGTCTATTCCCTCCGAGACAATGCATGCTTCTTGATCACTCAACGCTTGAATTTTACAGCTTGTTCTGCCTGCTCATTTCCAGAACTTCCACCAGGGCTGGCTGTCGCTGGCATCCTCCCTCTTGAGCGGGCGATCCCGTCCCTTCACCCGCCAGTAGTACACTGGAATGCCCACAACGATGAACGCCAGCACAATCAGCGTCTGTATGGGCTCTGCAAACACAGCCTTGCTCAGCAGGAACAGGCTGACGCAGCAGAAGATGATTGGTGTCGTGATCCACGTCTTGTACGGCCTCTCGAGGTTCGGCTCCTTATAGCGCAAAACAATGACGCCCAGCACGGTCAAGAAGTAGAAGATGTAGCCGGCCACACCGTAAAAGGTGACGAGGGTGCTGAACTCGCCCACAATGCAGTAGAGCGCCGTCAGGATGCCGTTCAGGAGCAGCGCGTAGATGGGTGTGCAGAATAGCCCCGCGTCCCCGTCGCCCACCAGCGCACTCAGCTTCTTGATAGCCCAGCTTCGGGTGTGCTGCGTGTTGAGGCTCTGCCGGTCGGCATTCCCGACACCTAGCGTGCCGAAAATCTCGGGAAAGTAGCTCTCCTTGCCGGCTACGTAGATGAGGCGGCTCGACGTAAAGGTCGACGAGTTGAGGGCGCCAAAGCAGCTCGCGCTGACAATGAGCGCGAAGATGAGCGCGCCCACGGGTCCAAACACCTGCGAGCCAAAGGCCACCGCTACTGTGTTGGAGCTGTTGACCTTGTCGAGCGGCAACACTAGCAAGTACGCTACATTTGCCAACACGTAGAAACAGATGACCAGTGGCATGGCCGTATTGATCACCCGGGGCAGGTCGCGTTGCGGGTTACGAAACTCGCCCACCACGTAATTCGTCTACCAGCATTAGCACATCTCGTAGCCGACCCTCCAAAAGAGAAACATACATTGTCCCAGCCATCGTAGGCCCACAGACCACCGTACAGCGCCACGGCCCAGTGAGACAGGTCCGAGCTCGTATTGTCGAACCATCCCGTCTTCTTCCAGTCGTTGTGCGCGTCGCCCTTGTACGAGATCCCAGTGGCGGCCACGATGATACCAATCACGGCGACGCCCAGCAGGGCGAAGAATTTGAGGAACATGAGCATGTCATTCGCTCGCGTACCCATCTTGGTCGACACACAGTTGAGGGACGTGACGAGAACCAGTCCCACCAAAGCCACCCCCTTGCTCACCCATGGATTCATCGTCTCCGCATCCGCGCCAATGAACGCCCTCGCAAAATACTCTCCCATGATGATCGCAATGATCGCCGCGCTGCCCGGCTTCAGCACCAGAACAGCTACCCACGTGAACAGGAACCCCGTCAGCTCCCCGAATGTCTTGGCCAGGTACACCTGCGAGCCCCCGTTGAGGGGTATCGCGCCGCCGAGCTCAGCGTACGAGGACGCACCCGTCCAGACCAGGATACCGGCGAAAACCCAGACGACCAGCGCAGCACCAGGAGACCCGACCTGGCTTCCCACCTGACTAGGACTCGAGAAGATGCCGGACCCGATGACAAGACCGATAATGAGACTCAGCCCGTTGAGGTATGTCAGCGTCTTGTGTTTCTCCAAGCTCTCCACACCGCCATTCGCCGTCGGCGCTCCCAGAGGCGCATATCCGCTTCCGCCACCGGCAGCTGTCGAGCTTAACGGGAACATGTTGGCCGCAAAGTCGAAGGCTGACGACACGCTGTACGATCGGTTCATGCGCGCTCGACCGGATTCGTAGTCGGACGGGTGTAAGGGATCCTCTTCTATAAGGGACAGACGACGCGAGGAGCCGATGCTTGGGCGTGAGGAAACGTCGTCGGCGGTCTGGTCGTTGAGCTGGCTCGAGGAGGCCAGCGAGGCCAGCTCCAGCGAATCGCGCGCCATGGCTCTCTGTATAACCACCTGCTGCGCACAGGCGCGAGAAAAGGGGGTGGGATTTGTTATTGAGAGTCGTTATTGGGTTTGGACGCCCATGGCGGTACGGGTCGAGGCTCGGGCGTGACGTCAACGCTTGTGGTTCAATCAGGAGGTTGTCTTGAGAAGATGAAGAAATTGGTGGTGCAAGCGCGTGTGTCGATACAGTGCCTTTGCTCACAATGTGTCAACAATCCGAAGGCCTTGGTAAAAGAAAGGGATGGTCAGAAAATTACCGGAATGCGAATGCTAATAATGGGTTCAATGCAGGACTGGACCCCTTGCTCTTCGGCTGGCACCGCCTTTTCAAGTCAGGGATGATGTGTCTACCCTATACAGATTACATAATCGGAGCTACTGCCGCCTCAAGCCGACCGACCCTTCTCTGCCAGCGCAACTGCAAGTCAACCTCAAGGCTCTTCCGCTTCTCTTCAGGCTTCTAGCGTGTACACATCATGCCTGCAGACGACTACGTGCCTGTCGGCGGCGGCGCATTGAAACTGAAAGGCGCCAAGATTGAGAAGAAGAAAAAGAAGAAAAGCAAGAAGCCCGAACTCGAGAAGAATCTTGCGGCACCATCCGAAGAGAGCGATGCGAAAGCGATAGCGAAAAGGGACCAGTCGCCCACCAAGGGAGACGACCGCACAGCCAACGAAGCAGACAGCACGCCAGAGTCGCGGAAAACAGCAGCTGAGCTTCGGTATGAGGAGTTTAAAAGGAAGAGGGTACGTTTTGATCTCCCCGGCGGCGCAGGCGGATGCTGACAGAGGCGCTGCAGCTGCTCAAGATGGCGGAACAAGAGGGCTCGCGACCGGAGCTCATGAAAACACACAAGGAGCGTGTGGAGGAGCTTAACACGTACTTGTCCAAGCTCAGCGAGCATCACGACATGCCCAAGATTGGACCTGGCTAGGCGACTCGTGGGGCACATGGCGTTGTGGCGAAATTGATACCCAGGATACATGCTTTAATCCGACTTTCTTTTTTTTTTTTTTTTTTTGCAACCATGGGCCGTTGATCAGGCGAGGTCCCATCGGTTTACTACTCCCTTCAGATTCTATCGCCGATCCTCACAGGCGACTCGAGCTGAGAGTGGCCGTACAGCGGAGTCCAAATTTAGAGGCGCAGCCTTCTACTACCTGGTGAGCTCGGCAGATGCTCGACGAGGATATGGCTACGCCCACATGAACACGTGAAGAACAGATGTGAGCCCGGAATGCAAATCAAAGACCATGTAAATTTGTTGCAAAATGAGGCTAGTACCCCCAAAACGCCTTGTAATGCTATATATCCCATATGTGTCTCCTTTCCCAAAAGGACCATATCCTGTGGCCCGTCTATTATTCTCTTGACCCATAGATACTAGGAGAGGCATAATTCATTTCTTGATCGTGGGCTCCCGCCCATTATGAAAGTAGGAAGGCTGCCGCAGCGAGACCAATAACCACGGCCAGCGCCGGGTTCTTGGCCACGCCGACATTCTGCAGGTCGGGATCGTCGTCGTCGTCGCTGTCATCAGGCGCCGAGGTGGGATCAACCTCCACCCAAGAAGTCGACGTGATGGTTGTGACGCTGCCACCTTCCATAGTCGATGTGATTGTCGCCGTCACGGGACTCGACGTTGGCTCATCCTCGTCATCCTCGTCATCCTCGGTGGTTGTGCTCGACTCTGCCTCTGTGGTGGTCGAAACCTCCTCGTCTGTGGTGGTGGTGGTGGTCGTCGTCTCCTCTGCTTTTTGACTGTCAGTATGAGCTCTAGCGGTTTATGAGTTGCTAGCGAATCAAGCCATAAGAATGAATAGGTCGTTCCTGGGGGACAAGGCAGAACAGTGGAAAACACAACAAGGAGCGCAGAAACAGCTGAAACCATAGCGAGGTCGCGGTCGAACATACCGAGAGTTCTCGATGTGATCTGCAGCGATGTCTCCAGCGAGGTCTCCAGCGAGGTCTCCAGCGAGGTCTCAAGTGAAGTCTCAAGCGAAGGCTCAAGCGAAGGCTCAAGCGAAGGCTCAAGCGAAGGCTCAAGCGAAGGCTCAAGCGAGGGCTCAAGCGAGGGCTCAAGTGAAGTCTCAAGTGAAGTCTCAAGTGAAGTCTCAAGTGAGGTCTCGAGTGAGGTCTCGAGTGAAGTCTCAAGTGAAGTCTCGAGTGAAGCCTCAAGTGAGGTGTCCGTGGTACGGACTTGGGAAGTGGAGAGAGAAACAATGGCAGTGTTGGTCACGGTGGGCAGTTCAGAGCTAGGTGACGCGGACGGAACATGGGACTGTCCCGACGGAGACCTACTTGGAGCAGTGGACGTGGCGTCCTGGGATGTAGATGGCGTATCCGTGCTGGGCGCAGAGGAAGGCGCAGAGGAAGGCGCAGAGGAAGGCGCAGAGGAAGGCGCAGAGGAAGGCGCAGAGGAAGGCGCAGAGGAAAGCGCAGTGGAAGGGGCAGAGGAAGATTCCGGCGGCGGAGACCTACTGGGGGTAGACGTGGACTCTGGCGCAGTAGACGTGGACTCTGGCGCAGTGGATGTGGACTCTTGCGCAGTGGATGTGGACTCTGGCGCAGTGGATGTGGACTCTGGCGCAGTAGATGTAGGAAGGATAGGAGAGGTCGAGGAGGGGGCGTTCTCGGTGGTGGACATACCAATTGTGGTGGTCGTGGTCTCCTCCGTCGTCGTTTCCTCGGGAGCGTCGCTCGTTTCGACCGTTGTGGCCTCGGTATCCGATATGGTTTCGGGTTGCGTAGTGGTCGTTGTTGTGTCGGGAGGAGGGAGCTCCGTGGTGGAAGTGTCTGGCACCACCTCTGAAGTTGTGGGATCAGCTGTAGTCGTCTCGGTGGAAACTTGGACAGTCGTAGTGGCGATTGCTATGGGCATGTTAGCTCTATCTATCTATTGTAGTTCAGTTGCGAATGAAACTATACCTGTCGTCGTGACAGCAGGAGGCTCAGACTCTTCCAATGTTGTGGGCAGATCTGCCACCTCGTCTGAGGTAGTAGGCTCCTGGGGCCCAGTGACGTCGCCATCGCTGGCTGATGGGATGGGAGTGCCGCCAACCCCATCATCCTGACGCCTGTGAATCTTGATGGGCTCTAGAGCCTCCTCTTCGGTGATCGCAATCAAGACGGGGTCTTTCTGAGGCTCTGTCGCTTGCGTCTCCCGGCTCTCCGCCGCCAATTGCTGGCCGTGGCTCCACATCTGCTCTTTGTTCGCGCAGCAGTTGGCAATCATCCCCAAGGCGAATAAAGCGACCAGTCCTACAGCGAGAAGGCGACATCGTTGGCTTTTCTTGTCGTCTCTTTGTCTCGACGAGACAGTGAATGCATCATTCTGAGGGAGCGGCGCCTTCTCATCGCGTGGGAGTACTGACTGAGATGCCATTGCAACGGTCGATAGAAGGTTCTGGTGTCTCAGCAGCCTCTAAGGAGACCGACGCGGGATGGCAGCTGGCGAGCCTGGCTGCTAGACGTTGAAAATGACCGTAACGTCGGTGACGTCGGTGATGGCAAGATGAGGTGGCCGGGCTTGGTTATTGCACTGAAACAAGCCAGGTGGTTCTGAGGACTCCACGCGTGCGTCCAGCAAACAGGCACAACGCTAGGTAGGCAGGCAAGCAGTGACTTGACAACGAATGTTGGAAGCTGCAGATGGAGAACAAGAGTAGAAGGGAAAGAAAAAGGAAAAGATGAAGCAATGGTGGTGACAAGTCAAGCCATGCAAAGCTGGTGAGTTGAGGTGTGGTGAGGCCAGGCGGCGGCGGAGGAGAAAATGCCCAGAGTGATATCGAAGTCCAGGCCAAGCCCACAAGAGTCAAGAGGTGTGTGGAGTGGCAACGCACCTTGGACGATGAGCGCATCCGGCTGGGCTAATTCGCCGTGTCGCCGTCAGCCAAGAGCCGGATTTCGACCTGAACCATCTGATACGAGGTTTTGGTCCGGCTGTAGTGCCGTTGCCGTTTGCATCTACGTAGCTGCTATAAATGGTGCCCAGATTAGCGAGGCTAATGAGGTATTGCCTGGCCCATTCCACGATCGCCTTGGGGATCTGGGAGATCCAAAATGGCCTGTGACCTGAAATTGCTGGAAACAACGTCTCACTCTCACCCTGGACACAAACCGCCAATACATCGCGCCGGATTTGACGCTCGAAACCCTGCCCAGTCATCATCATCATCACCCAATGGTCCACTGCCCGGCTCCATGCTGCAGCAGGCTCCGGTCAAGCCAAGGCTGAGACCTTGTGGCGCGAGTGGTTCCAATTGTTCCAAACAGCACCAGCCGTTCAACAGCTATTACCTTGGCGTTTTGGAGACAAAATTAAGTTAATACGTAGGTACTCAGTAGAAATCCCACTCCAGCTATCCGCGCCCTCTCCCACTACGTATGTAATTCATCATTACGTACAGATGCGGAGTACTATTCGTGGTGCCGGAACTTTTCCTTCGCTCTCAATGGACGATGCCTGTGGACACGAGGCGCGCCTCGTGATGGTGAATTTCCAGACACAAACTTTCACGCTATCTGACCACCAGTATCCAACGGCGCACAAGCGCGCAGCAGCATGCAGTAGCTGTGCATTTTGAAGGCGACGCCCAAGTGGCGTCTCCTCAACGCAAGGTGAAACGAACCTGAAAGTGGTGTTCTCACGGTTTTGATCGACACCACCACATCAGGCTCTTGAGAAGTTGCCATTGACTTTGCGCGGCGCCCGTCGCTGGCGTGGGAAAACCCCTAGGTCAATTAGCCATATGGCCAGCTATTAGCTCAAATACGGATACGTATTCCGCAAAGGCTGGCCAAGCTCCCCTCACTAGGAGCATTTGATGGTGGCTGGCATCTTGCGGCCCTGAAGTTCCTAAACTACGGACAGTACCGGCACAAACACATGGCGGGGCTTCAAAAGCTTGAGCTTGAAGCTCCTCAAAACTCACCCCGAGTTCCCAAAATACCGTACTCAACTTGGCGCATAACTCACATAATCGTAGCTCCTATGTTGCGACCGCAGTGCTATTTCTCCCTGCAGTTGCCCAGTTTGGCGGCCTATATCGGTGTCTGTAGGTGGTGAACTTGGCAGACGCGCGTTATCGCCTGGCCCAGTCGACGCTGTCGTGACATGGGATTAGCGTCGGGGCCTGTTACAGCCTGGTCACAGCGAAGTTGGCACCGACAATCCAGCAATAGGTTTTTCGAATTTTGGTCTAAAGAGAGAAATGATGTAACGCTCATATCGCAATGTCTCACTTATCTGAACACGATATGCCGATGCTCAAGTGAATAGAATCGAACACTTGAAAGGACATGGAACTGCGGGAAAAGAGTCCTGCGCCCCAACGACAAAGTGAGCCGCACTTTCATGTGATAGTGAAGGCAATGAACGTCCCGGCTGGACCATGGAATGCATTGTCAATTTCTGCAAAGCCCAGTCGCTTCCACTTTATTCTCCCAGTCCAACTCAGTTTTCACTGTCCCTTACTATTATTTCTCCCTCGCCATCCGCCCCTCTCGCCGAAGTTCAATTGCTGTGCAGGCCGTCCACCTGGCACCAATAATCACCCCTCCAAATCTCACCCGAGAATCCAGTCCCCGTTCATTAGCCCTGCAACGTCAACCCCTACAGACGCGTATCCGAGCCATCCTGCTTCACTGCTCCCATGATTCAGGACAGGTAATCCAAGGCCGAGATCATGCCCGAAAATCCCAGCACCGACTCGCTGAAGCCGCCCGACCCCGATGAGCAGGATAGCTTGCGCGCGCTGAACCGCACACCGCATCCGTACCACCACCAGAGCGAGCATCTCCCCTATGCCGCCGACCACTTCGACGTGCGCAGTGCGAACGAGTCGCTGCGCCCAAGACCGAATGGAAATGGAACGAGCAAGTCGCCCCGGTCGATAGCAGACGCGTACAAGGAGTCCTCCCCTGGGAGCGACAGTGGCACCGAAGCTGACGACGAGCACTTTCTCAAGGGGCTGCCGGCCCCCAAGACCAGACTGCATAAGGGGCTGAGGGGTCAGAATGAGCATTTGTCGGACACGCCGTCGCCCATGCCCTCGCCGACATGGACGGGAAAGGAGGCCAAAGATTACACATCCCAACCCATCGCGCGGCAGCAGGCACTGGGGAGCCGAATACTGGGGGCGGTCCGTCGCAACAAGAACTTGACGCAGCGCGCCACCGAGGCTGGCATTGTCACTTTCCTGAGCTGGATGGTCATGGCCAATGAGCAGGTTCAGCCGCTGGTCAAGACGTGGAAGCGAGGTGAGCACCCGAGGTCGTCTGCACGAGCGCTACGTGTTACTGACCATTAAGACTTCGAATTGCTGGGATTGATTTACACAAGTTTGCTTGCAATGTATTCCGTGCGCGTTGCCATTTGGGGCTACAGGAAGCGGAACCCGACGAAATTCATTCCCCTACGGCTACCTGCAAACTTCGACCCTGCGCCGATTCTCTGGCCGCCCGCCGTCACATTGTGCGTCTCGCTGCTGGTGGCCACCGACAATCCCGCCGTGATCCTCCCCAACATGATCCTCAGCATCTGCACCTGGCCGCAGCAGATTATACCAAAGTTCGAGCTTGGGTCGGCCTACGACTCCGTACACTGGGCCCTGACTTGCCTGCCTCTCGTATGGAGTGCATCCCGTCAGAATGTCGTTCGCGTCGCAGGAACCCATGCTTTCGTCTCCAACGAAGAAATGGTGCTGTTATACCCGCTTCACCAGACGCTCTGCGTCGTTTTGCACCATCTCACCACTACCAGCCTGCTCACCGCAGAGCTGCAGCTTTTCTCCGTTGCGCTGATCAACGTCTTGATCCTGGCGTCATCACCCCAGATCTACGTCCTCAAATCATTGCTGTGGGTTGGTGGGCTTGGCATGCTCGTAACGTGCAGTGGTGTCATAAAGTCAGGCATCATCCTGGCCAGGGTGCCCAAATGGCGGTTTCGCAAGATCCCTGGGCACGGTCACCGGCCTCTGTGGAAGGAACTATCAAAAGTCTTCTCGTGGCGGAGGATCAAGAGCGAGTTCTTTGGTTCCATGAGAGAGGCGCGCATGGACGACGTTAGCACTTCGGATGATGAGGTCGAGTACAACCAGTTCAAAACACCCAAACGAACCCAGACCTTGGGTGCAGCCCTCAACTCGACATCAAAAGGGCGAGGTGGGCGACCTTCAGACAACCGCGACTTCCAGCCCAGTGGTCTGGCCCGCAGCCAAACATTATCCTATGCCAACGATTTGCCTCAGATTCACCACTCACATACATCATCCGGCCGCAAGAAGCGTTCGACATCAGTGACGCTACGACCGTTCCTGAAGCTGACTTATACGCAAGCCGTTATCCGGAAGTGGCTGTATGCGCTCCATGTCTATTCCATGCTCGGCGTCGTCATCCTCGGAGGCATCCGCACACACATGCAGCTCGTTGCTTTCAAGGGCAAGGACCCTATCGGATGGGCACTGGGCTACTTATTCGGCGACTTGCCCGCCTTCCGCTTCCAGGTCGTCAATGCCAATCTCGAACGCTGGATCTGCCTCCCGGAGCGCACCCAGGACGAGGACAAGCTGTGTCACATGGGCTGGGTACAACATGTCCGTCACAATGACTTTGGGGAGGCCAACACCCGCCTGCTCCTCGCCGCGTACTGGGCGATTGTCGTGATAGTCGGACTGGTCGTCGTCTTCCGGCTCCAGAACATCTACGAGGTCGACACGCGGCGCAAAGTGTTCCACTTCATGATGGTGGGCATCTTGCTGCCAGGCACCTTTATTGACCCGACCTTTGCCGCCCTGGTCCTGGCCATTGTGTTAGCCATCTTTCTCGGCCTCGACCTGTTGCGAGCCAGCCAGCTCCCACCTCTGTCCAAGCCGATTGCTTCGTTTCTGGCACCGTATGTCGATGGCAGGGACTTTCGCGGCCCGGTGGTGATCTCCCATATCTTTTTGCTGATCGGCTGTGCCATCCCCCTGTGGCTGGCTTTGGCGGCGCTGCCTCGCTCCGGGGCGGGCTCCAATGCGGGCTGGGAGGTGCCGACCCGAGAAGTCAGCATGGTGTCGGGCGTGATCTGCGTTGGGTTGGGCGACGCCGCAGCGTCACTCATTGGGCGTCGCTACGGGCGTCGCAAGTGGATCTGGGGAGGCGGAAAGAGTCTAGAGGGCAGTTTGGCCTTTGCCGTGGCCGTCTTTGTCGGTCTCGCGGCCGCGAGCATCTGGCTTCGCGTCGGGGGCTGGCCTATTGCGGACGAGCGCGCCGGTGTTCTGCAAAGCGCCCGGAACGCTGCGGTGTGCGGCACCGTGGCTAGTCTCACGGAGGCGGTCCTCACGGGCGGAAATGACAATGTCATTGTGCCGGTGGTGCTCTGGACTTGTGTGAAGAGCCTCGCGATATAGACGGATGAGCAATGTGTAACGACGTAATGTGTGATGAAATCCACAACGCTATGCTTCATGTGCCAGCGACTGACTATATATGCTGTTTCTACTCATGACATTAGGTCCTCCAGGATGGCCTCGAGCTCCTCTTTCCCAAAGGGAACGCTCAGCAACTCCGTGCCAATGGCATCCTTTCGACTCGTGATGATCTGATGATCGTGGAACCTGTACCGGTTAGCTGTGGTGTCTCGCTTCGAGATGAGACAGTGGGGACGTACTCTTTCAACAATGTTCGGAAAGCCATTTCCGAGCTGCAGATGAACTCCTCCACGGCTTTGTTGTAGATCATTCTATACTCGACTCCAACGTCCTCCCCGCCACCAACACCTTCCTCCTCCATCGCAATGAGCACCTCGCCGACGAGCAGCTGGAACAGGTTTCGCGCGTTCTGAGGTAGCGACTTGAGGACAAAAGAGACACCTTCCCGCCCATTGATGCGGCGCGCCTTGCGGCCGAGGAGCTCGTGCACGTCGTCCACGACATCGAGCTCCACCGTGAAGGGGCGAAAGGTCGTCGCGTCGTGAAAGGCAAAGTTGAACGATGAGCGCAGCCCAACGTCCCACAGCAGTGAGAAGTCGGGCGTGTCCGCTGAGGCGATGAGGCGGATCTGCGGATGCGATGCGAGTTGCGCCAGCGTCGCCTGGTGCGTAGCCTTGCGTATGGGTGCTCCGTCAATGGAGTTGACGAGGATGGCCAGAATGGTGTCCGGCGCCGAGGCGAGGCTGGCAAGCAGGACCTGCATCATATTCGGGGGAGGACCTGCCGGGATGCGCACGTTGAGTGCCAGGCCGAGGGTGGAGAGGATGTCTCTCATCGTGGTCGTCTGGGCGTAGCCGTTGACAATGACGATTCTCTGCGTCTTGCCCGGTGGTGTCTCTTGGTAGAGTTGCTTCGCCAGTCGCTGCAGAAGCGGTCGCTTGGATCCATACCCATACAGACATATGCTGAATCCCTGAGAAAGCTCAAACGTCCACTGAGGAAAGCTCTTGGCGTGGAAAGCTTCGAGGTCCTCGATCTGGCTCTGGTGTCGGTCCGTCTGCTCCCTTAGCAAGGTGAAGTATTCGTCATGTGTTAGCAGACTCAGTGCTGAGAGAGTGTTGTTCGAAGTCTTTGGTTTCCCCGGCTTGTTGTGTAAGAAGTAGAGCTCATGGGACGGTAGATCCCTCGGCGGAGTGGGTGACTTGTCCCGTTTCTTCCTCCCTCTTTTTTCAGGCGTATCTTTCGATGGTGTTGCATCTGTCTTGTCCCCGTCCTCCCCCGCAGCTTCCTCTTCACTTGAGTCGTAGATTGCTCCCGCTATGCCATCCGGCTCCGCATCAGAATCATCGTTGCCAACGACCGATTCGATCAGGGCGCGTGCCGACTTGCGACGGGCGGATCGATCTGCGCCAGCCTGTCTACGGGGCGTAGCATCTTCGTCCTCGCCGTCTTTGTTCTTGCGCTTGGAGGGTGTCCTTGGGTCAGATGCCCTTGGCGTGGGCGTGTCGCCATTCGGCCTGGGTTTTGGTGGCCGCCCTCGTTTCCTGGGCGTCGTCGTCGGTGTCTTCTCCGCAGGCGATGGCTCAGCAAAGCCGTTGGTCATTGATTCATGCTGGTGGTCGGCGTTTTCACGATTTGTGATATCGTCAGCGCCCAGAGCGTCACGTCTTCGCTTCGAGGGCGTCTCGGATTCGGTTTCGTGGTTGGCATTGGAACGACTGCGCTTTCGGGGCGATTGAGAGTTCACAACAATGGGGGACTGATTCTGAGCCTTTCTTGGGGGCATTTTGCCTTGATCCCGATGTCACTCGCTCGAGTTTCGAAGTTGGCGCAAACGACTGTGGGAGGAAGGAAGCTGATGCAGGGTAGTTGGAATTCCGTGAAATGTCGAGAACGCGTCCAGAACGCGCCGGTGGAAGGAGCATCGTGGCGCTAATAAGTACTAAGGTACCTACCTACCTAGATTTGGGTCTTTGGCGGCTTGAATGCGTGGCGTCAGTCAGACATCCCTGCCACCTGCCATTTGATGCTCAGAAACATGAGGTCGTCCATTCTCAATCTCACCTTTCATCAAAACACCCCAGTGTGGTACTGATACTGATCATGATCAACTTCAATGTATCTGCGTCTTTTAATGTCATAAAAATCCTTTTCAAACCGGGCATCTGCCTCCCGCATCACACTGTGCCAAACTTTGGCGAATTGCCAATTCCCCTGGATAAAGGTTTTCGGAGCAGCGGATACAATTCGCAGGTCCAAGCAGTGGTGTTGGACAAGGATGACTGCTTCGCCTATCCTGAGACGAGTGAGGTGTACCAACCATATCAGGTCGGTCTTGTTCAGCGAACCTGAAGCCCGCACATCCGACTGACTAGCCGCGAAGGAACATTTCGAGGCGCTGAAGAGGGCGTATCCTGGGCGCAAACTCCTCATTGTCTCCAACACAGCTGGCGCGAAGAGCTGGGATCGCAAGGGGGATCAGGCTGTCGATGTTGAATCCGCGACGGGCATCACTGTGCTTCGTCATGCCGTGAAGAAGCCTGGGTGCGGCGCAGAGATTATGGACTACTTTAAGCAGCACCCCGAAACGGGCGTGACGCACCCGTCCCAAGTCGCCATCGTAGGCGACCGCCTGACCACCGACATGATGCTCGCCAACATGATGGGTGCATGGGGCGTGTGGGTGAAGGATGGAGTGAAACCGTTGAAGCAGAAGAGCATTGTAAGCTTTGCCAATAACATCTGCTCGGCCCGCGTCGTCTCGATTTCACCGACTGACCTTGATTGACTAGTTTGCCCGCTTGGAACATCGTCTCGAAGCCTTCCTGCGGAGACGAGGCTACGATGCACACGAACCTATGAGCCCATTCGAGGAGTGAGAGCGGTGAAAGCATTGAGTTGTTCTCGTTTCATTGTTTTGGTCATTGCTACTGCTGCCTAAGGCCGGCGCCATCACGTGGAGAGGCTACGATGGTTCATGCAGGGATGTAAAGGTCACGGAACGAGACGACAATCGGGTTCTCACGTGCCAATGATTCAATGAGCAAATGAACCACCCCAACAGAGCGTTTGCTTGGCCATCTGTTCTCTTCTCAAGGGCATTGTATTGTTACAGAGCTGGCTCACCGACTCCCTTCTTTTAGGTTGAGGGGAATGGCGCCTCCCGAGACCAGGCTGGCTCTTCATTGAATCATGCACAAGAGCCCTGTGTGTGGTGCAGCACAAGGTCGTGGGTATAAAGCTTCTCCTTCATCTTGGCGTTGGACGAACGGTCCTTCTTCGAAGCACACATTGATACTCCTCATATCCTTTCCTGTATCGATACATTGTCTTACATCCCACAACCTTCCGCCTCTATCAGTGTGAGATCCAAGGGGGTGTTGGCGCAGCCTTTTATCATGGGCGGCAAGACATGGCAAGAGGATGAGGAGAAGTACTTCTGGCATCGGCTGATTCCCACGTCACCGGAAGGACTGGACCCGGCAATTGCGAAGAAGTCGTGGGGAGAATGTGCTGCGCAGATGCAACAAGACCTGGGTTATCGCGGCCATCGCAAGTATGGCAAGCAGATGATATGTACGTTGTGGTCTTATTCAGCCATGAAGCGAAGGACATGACTGACATTGGCAGACGAGCATTTCTACCAGAACTGCGTTACTGGGCGTATGTCCCCTCGCTCGTGCCGTTACGTGATCGAATATATGCGAAAGCGAGGTAAGTGATCCTCGATCAAGAGTGTAGAACAACTTATTGATATGAAAACAGGTGACAGGCCCATCGAGCATGCCCCTAACGCCAAACGCGCCAAAAAGGAGAAGCCTACTGCAGCTGCTGTTTCCATGGCGAACGACACTGACAAGTCGAACTGCGAGGGAGAAAACACTTGTGCGCCCTCAGCCAAGCCGGTACATATTTCCAGCCCTGATCATGCAAATGCCCGCGCTGCTGTACATGTCGAGGTCCCTGGTTGCTCCGCTGACGATGCCGCCGCATCTGGCAAGGCATCCTCTTCCCGCGTGCCTCTCCCCTTGACACCTATTCGACGAACAACACCGTGTGGAAAGCGAAACATTGTTCGTCTTCCATCTGTCGCTTCCCTCCTCAGCCCTCAGATCCATGCTTGGCAGCCCAAACACGGCATTCGAGGCACATGGTCTGGCTACAAGGTCCCTCTGACTCGAGTGCCCTCCAATCCGGTATCTCCCAAATCTAGGCTGGACAGAAGCGCCACACAGGAGATATATCCAAAGCAGCTATCTGTCTCTGGGTCGAGCCGGAATGCCAGTGCCCGTCATCGCCATTCGCAGGGAAAGATAGCAGGCACTGTTTTCTCCTCTGGATTCGAAGCCCTTCTGGCGGCTGCTGAATCGGTTTCTGCCCATAACTTTCGGCAGACATCGCCTTGCTCTGAGAACAGTCGTCTACGGGGGTCCGTGTTCTCTAGTAGCGCGGTTGATGCATGCGACAGCAAGACCACCAAAACCACGCTGGAGGTTGGAGGGGACAACAAGGAGAACTATTTCGCTAATGATCACTGAATCTTTATTATAGGCTAACAAGGCAATGGGTCGCATGCATTTTCACATTGGCAGGGCGTTCGGGAATAGCAAACTGGAGACAACTACTGTTGGAGGTTGGTGAACACTGTTCGAGCTGAGCTCGGGGTTTTCGAACTCACGGGGTCAAGGACTGTTTGGGGCATTGACAGATGGCGTTTGGGGACATTTTATGACAGTCAAAAAGTAGTGGTTTGCGAATTCTGATGAAAGCTTCGATGGCTTCCACGCTATTTGTGGCATCATGCATGTGCAGAGAGGTTGTAGATCCGACGTCTTGATGCCAAGCCGGGGCGTCACGCCCGTCAGTGGAGGCGGCGGGGCAGAAGGCGGTCACGTGCGGCAGAAATATATTTCGCCAGTTCTCGGGGATAATATGAGCTCGACGGCAATTCGCGAGCATTGGATGTTTCTTGGGAATCGGGGACCCATAGCGCTTTATCGCAGCAGCACCGCATCGCGCCGAACCACGTTCGCTTCACCACGTTCGTATCAAGAGTCGACACCTCGCGCAAACGACACGATGAACTTTCCCGGCATGAGCGGTAACACAACCGCTGGCGCAGCGGTGCCAGCGGTCCCTGGCATGGACAACGACCCTGGCGTGAAAGCCGTACGTCTCCCAACAACAAATATATCGCAGGAACGCATCACTGACATGAGCGTATCAGATGAAAGCGGCCATGGAGTCATGCGCAGGAAAGACAGTCATGTCCGGCGTAATGGGGTTTGGAATGGGTGGTCTCTTTGGCATGTTCATGGCATCCGTACGTCTTCCCCTTCTCAGCCCTGTGAAGAGAGGCCTGTTTCTAACACCCAATCCAGATGTCATACGACACTCCTTACGGCAGCCCCGGCACACCAGGCAACTCGCTCCAAGGCCTGCCCCTCCGCCAACAGCTCAAACTCGGCTTCAAGGACATGGGCACACGCTCCTACTCCATGGCCCGCAACTTTGGCAAAGTCGGCGCGCTCTTCTCCGGCATCGAATGTGGTATCGAGGGCCTACGCGCCAAGAACGACCTCGCAAACGGCGTCGCTGCAGGCTGCCTGACGGGCGGCATCCTGGCGAAGAACGCGGGCCCACAGGCGGCTGCGGGCGGGTGTGTGGCGTTTGCCGCATTCAGCGCAGCGATTGATGCGTACATGCGACAGCCGAGCGACGAATAGACAGAAGACGCAGCATAGATGGAGAAGATGCGGCATGATTTTCAGGGCATACGGCGTTTGGGACATGGGCATATTGAGGGCGTTAAGAGGGCTTCTCTCACCTACCTTGGATTTGGGTATGTCATGTATCGTGCGCTGACAGCGCTTTTGTACAGTTGTGTATTATATCCCCGCGTTGTCGAGCCGTGTGTTACACAAGGGGGAAACAAGGATGTACAGATATGGAAGAGGCCACGTCAAGACTCCAAAGCTCGGAGGGGCTAGAATAGAAACATCAGAAAGGCACGTTCTTTTCAAATTCCTTACGCTCCCGCATGACATGATTCAGTATAAACCCAAGCGCCTCAAAACGCCTTTCCTCCAGGAATAACAGTCTTAAGATCCAGGGCCATCATCTACGAAGCTTGGTACACGTCGAACGACCCAAACTCCCAGAACGCATTCTTGAAAGCATCAGGATTATTGGCAACGTAATCTGTGCAGTTGCTTGGGCCTGGTATAAATGTAAGAGGGTGATGACACGTTTGCCCGCCCATATGGACTTACAGTCGGACGATGAGTAGGTAGCTTCGGTCAACTCCCCGCAGAGGTTGATGTTGGCCACAATGGACTGGTTGCGAAAGTGGTTCCCAATGTTGCACTTCGTGCCGGGAAAGTCGGCGTTGGCCGTGCCCCAACTCGCCGGGTTGGGCTTCTTGCTCGTGATGTCCGAGGGGATCGCGCTGCGTGCCCATTGCCAGATGCGAATGCCAGCGTCTCGCCACTCGACTGCCATGACACCACCTTCGTCTTCGTTGAAGGACTCGCCATAGCTCTCCTTGTCGTCGGTGACGCCACAGCCGGCGTTGTTATTGGCATCGTGATCGCAGTCGGTTTTCTCCGCCTTGCCGGTTTGCTTCCGCTTCACGTTCATTTTGCAACCACTGGTCGTGTGGAGTGTCATCTGGTTGCCATCATCGGCTTCGTTCACGGCCTCCATAACGTCAATCTCGCCATCGTCGGGCCACTTGTAAGGGTTGGTCAACCACAGAGCAGGCCAGGTTCCACAGCCAAAGGGGCTGTGCTTGATGTCGAAGATGAATAGACCATCATCGTAGGTGTTGCGAGACGTGACGCGGACGGAGAACCGCCCAGTGGAAGCATTGGGTTCGTCATTGGGTCCGACGGAGGTGTCAACGCGGAGAACAGCCGTCTCTGAAGAGGCGTATGTTAGGTTCTGCATTTGTCAACACTTCTCGCAATTACTAGACAGCCGTCAAAAGGCGTACCAGTTGCTCAGCCTGTGCACGAGGAACGTAGTGTACAAAACCGGACGCTGCTCAGGTTAGAACGTGTCCTTGCCACCATGGGGGTTTCTCCTTACTTGGATCGTAACCAGTGAAGTAGTCAAAGTTATCAAAGAAGGACTCGCCCTCATCTACACCATAGGTCAGTTTGCACCCGAAAACGCGAGGGCTCATGCGCTTACAAGTCTCGCTCAATCCGTACGACAATTCAGAATAATCTGGATACTTGTTCGACTTGGACTGTGTTACGCCAACAGCCACTGCGATAACAATGATAATCAACAAAATGACCGCGATGGCGATCCAAACCCGCTTGCGCCAGTATCGAGGATTTCTCCATGGTTTCGATGTCTGTACTGGCCTCGATCGGTTTTGGATGTTGGTGTCTTGAGGCGTCGCCATAGGAACCTCATCGTACGCAGGGGGCATCGCCCCTTGCTTGTAGTGATCGCCATCCATGATGAAAATGGCGATGCTTGAGTGGCCTCGTAAGAGTGATCTTTCTCTTCCGGTTGGGGTGAAGGTGAGGATTTCCACCTAAAGGAGACTGATAAGAACGACAAATCAAAGTGAGCGAGTGGAATACAATGCCCAACACCAACGAGTGAGATCCAAGACAATTCACAATGCAGCCCTTGCAGTTGAGTTCTAGGAGCAGCAAATGTTGTTTCTTTGCAAGTTGAAGCCCCAGTGCAAAACCTATCCATGAGTCTCTGCAACGATCGATATTATAAGGCATGGAATGCCCGGATATTCGGGCGGTCACCTTGCACTAGGCCCGCGCTGCGTGGCCTCCGAAGTGGACATACAGTAGGGGCAAAGTATTGATAGGCCAAACGAAGACTTTGTGGTGTGCACAGCGACCCATTGACAGTCTGACAGAAGCGCATTGCCCGGTTGGGACGGCATTTGTCTCCTCGCTCCACTGCGTCTCAGAGTCGAGGCGATGAAAATAGCAGCCCTCCGCCAGGCGACGCGTCATTGGCCACGAAACGACTGAAACCTGATACGAGCCGAATGGCAATGCGCGAAGATTTGAGACCCGAGTTCAGCGTTTCTGCTTCTTTGACTTTGGAGTGGCACTGCTCAGCTGCATTCCTGGCACTGCCCCCTACCCCAGGCGACGCGGGTATGTCCATCTTGCAAGTGAATATGTATTGAATTTTGAACCATGGGCGAGCCGGATGGAAGATGCCCCAAAATGGCCGAACATTTGCGATATCTATCGTGAAGAAATGGAGGGAGGAAGTTACCTGCTCCGTGACTTTGCTAATGAGGGACGTCGAGGGGCTGTGCTGTTGACCAGCCCGTCCGTTGTCTAGAATCCGCGCGCGAATACGTACGGAGTAGCTGATTACCCTATACAGCTCCTATGGCCTCTCCTGATGAGAGAAGGGGCGTTACAACTTGCCAGAGCCTGGGTGGATAGTTTGAGCCTTGTTGTTGAGCACAGAGTCTCAAGGGACCGGGCCAAAAGTCCAAAACGGAACTTCTGAAGTCAAGGTTTGTCTCGGGTATACATACTGCAAGTAGTGGAGGACAGCCATCAAGGAACTTAAGCCTGAGGACTTTTGTCAGTCCGTAAGTCTTACTCACTGGCTCAAGGGATTCTCTGTACCGTACAGTAGACTGGTCTTCCGTCTTTGCTCTGTTACATGCCGCTGTGTTATACATTGTGCCTATGCCGCTGTGCGGCGTGCCTGTGCTGGACAATCGGGGGTCGGTACGCCTGTGCTTCGCGCAAGTTCCCACCTGGGCCGTCGCTAACAGGGTAGACCTGAGGAGAGAGTGCCGATAAGATAAGATAAAGAGCTTCATGAGGGGCCATCAAGGTCAGGTGGCGCATTGCTGCCACGTAGCCAATCGGGGAGCCGCAAGCGCTGGGGCGTTCCCCAGCAACCCAGGGACTTATGAAAGTCATGACGTCTAACTGGCTCGCTGCGCTGCACGGGTGTTGCGTGCCTTGCACCGTGCCTGGTGGTCCGACCCCGAGGCCCAAAGGAAGCTTCGCGCCTCAGATCCCCATCCTCTTTCCTCCATCTCCCCATCTCCCGCCTTTTCCCATCTCCATCATCGCATTTGCCCACCAGAACATCTACAAAATGCGGATGTCATCGTCCGCCCTCGTAATGGGCGCCGCCAGTACGGCCCTCGCCCTCCAACAGGACCAGGTCGTCCTCAACGGTCCCTCTGATCAGTCCTTCCTGGACGTTGAGGCTCCCACTCTCGAGTCCTGGGCCAGCTCCCTCGAGGATGTCTTTGGCAAGATGACCAAGGAGGCCAAGGGTGCTTGGGACGAGGTCTCGATGCTCATGCCCGATGCCATCGAGTCCATCAAGAAGCAGACCTTTGGCACCACCAAGCCAAAGCCCACCACTCGCCGCTCTGACTCGCACTGGGACCATGTTGTCAAGGGTGCAGACGTCCAGAAGATGGGCGTCAACGGCGTCAAGGGCTCCCAACGCATGGTTGGCGGCAAGCTTGAGAACTACAACCTCCGTACCAAGAAGGTCGACCCTTCCAAGCTCAAGGTCGACGACGTCAAGCAGTACAGCGGCTACCTCGATGACGAGGAGGAAGACAAGCATCTCTTTTACTGTACGTTGACTGACACCGGATATTCGTGACATTCACTGACTGATGAATAGGGTTCTTCGAGTCCCGCAACGACCCCAAGAACGACCCCGTTGTGCTGTGGCTCAACGGTGGCCCTGGCTGCTCGTCCCTGACCGGTCTCTTCCTTGAGCTCGGCCCTTCGGGCATCACCAAGAAGCTGGATCTCGAACACAACCCCGCCTCCTGGAACAACAACGCCTCGGTCATTTTCCTTGACCAGCCCGTCAATGTCGGTTACTCGTACAGCGGCAGCAGCGTGAGCAACACCGTTGCCGCCGGCAAGGATGTCTACGCTCTTCTCACCCTCTTCTTCCACCAGTACCCCGAGTATGCGGAACAGGACTTCCACATTGCCGGTGAATCGTACGCTGGTCACTACATTCCCGTCTTCACCTCGGAGATCCTCGCGCACGAGGACCGCAACATCAACCTCAAGTCCGTCCTGATCGGTAACGGTCTCAGCGATCCCTACACCCAGTACGCCTACTATCGTCCCATGGCTTGTGGCGAGGGTGGTCAGAAGTCGGTCCTCAGCGACAGTGAGTGCCAGGGTATGGATGACGCCCTGCCCCGCTGCCAGTCACTGATTGAGCGCTGCTACGATTCGGGCAGCGCCTGGTCATGCGTCCCCGCTACTATCTACTGTAACAATGCCATGATGGGCCCGTACCAGCGCAGTGGCCGCAATGTCTACGATATTCGCGGTCCTTGCGAGGACTCTTCCAACCTCTGCTACCCTGCTATGGGTTGGATCTCCGAGTACCTGAACCAGAAGGATGTTCGTGATGCTGTTGGCGCCGAGGTTGACAGCTACGACAGCTGCAACTTTGACATCAACCGCAATTTTATGTTCGCTGGTGACTGGATGCAGCCCTACCACCAGCTCATCCCCGGCATCCTCGAGCAGCTCCCTGTTCTCATCTATGCTGGTGACGTTGACTTCATCTGCAACTGGCTGGGTAACGAGGCCTGGACCAACCAGCTCGAATGGCCCGGCCACAAGGACTTTGCCAAGGCGGAGCTCAAGGATCTCAACCTTGCTTCTTCCACAGAGAAGAGCAGCAAGGATGAGGCCTATGGCAAGGTCAAGACCAGTGGCAACCTGACCTTCATGCGCATCTTCGAGGCCGGCCACATGGTTCCTATGGACCAGCCCGACGCCTCCATCGACTTCTTCAACCGCTGGTTGGGTGGTGAGTGGTACTAAGGGAGTCGAATCGCAATGACAGCACGAAGGGTGCTTCAGATGATGTTGTTGATATAGCCGGAGTAGAACTGTACAGCATATGCCACTCATGTAACAAGGAGGGTGGTAGTGATTAGCCAATGCACAATGTTATGATATGATCTATGAAAGTCCTGAGTGATGGAATTTACAGTGACCACTGTGAAAAGTCGCCTAACTCAGTCAACGCTCAAGGTCTTGGTGACAGCTACTGCAGCGCAAATCCATGCGGCGGTATCTGTCGTCCATGTCCGCACCAGATTCCAGCGCAACCACTCATTCAACGTTTGGACGCTCGACTTGCTTCCCTCCCGGGCAGTGTTGGCCTCGGCATCGGCTTTCCCGCCCTCGTCATCCACCATCCTCTGAATCTTGGGTGCGACCAGTGGAACGAACGCCAAGTGGCTGACGGCTAGAACTGCCGCGGCGAGGTACCACGCCCGACTCCCCCTGTTCTTGAGGATGACCCCGTGACAGCAGACACAGCCGACAGCAGAGCCCACCGTCAGGCCCAGAAATGAAAGGACTCTGGTCACGCCAGGGACAAAGAATTGTCTCCAGTATGGCGGAATGATTGCATTCGAGTTGGCTGCCCCGACAGTGGGATGGACGAGATAGGAGAGGAATGAATCCTGGGCATGGGCAAAAAGGAGGGAGGAGGTGGTAGAAACGAGAGGTGTGAGGAGGAGGGTCGTCTTGAGGTTGAAGGAAGAAGCCATTTCGTTTGGGTGGCGCAGCCGGTTGGGCAGAGTATGAAGATAAGTGAGCCGAGAGGAAGAGAAAGTGAATGGTGCATAGAAAGTATTCAATGATGAATGAACTGATGTGTTGGCTAAAGCATTGTCGCGGACTGGTGGGTCACTACATGTTGGCAGATGCTCTTAGGCGAGGAACGAAAAGGAGCCGGATCCTTCGCCCCTGCATGAGCTGATCATTGTCGGCTGATGGGCTCATGTTGGCATAGACACAGATGGATATACGTAGCTGAGTGAGACAAACATGCAAGGTTGAGCAACACGACCACTTGATTCCAAATGGGCGCGATATACGTAGATATTCCATAATATCGAGAGCGTGTACCTCCCTCACTACACAATCTCGAATCGAAGAGCATCGTACTGCACATACACCGACTCTGCAAGCTTAGCAGGCTCGTAGTTGGTGGCATTGTACGGCAGGCTGAGCACCAGCTCGTTCTCGCCCTCCTTCAGCAGCCTGGGGTGGAACTCGAACTTGTGGCCGACGTTGTAGCAGGTCGCGCCAGACCGCACGCCGCAGGAGCTGCTCTGGTTGTAGCTGTGGCGCAAGTTAGTATGGAATGATCTCCAAATCTGGATAAAGAGGGAAGGTCACATACGGGATAATCCATGGCTCGAGATCCTGACCGTTGACACTGACGGTGTACTGCAGGTTAGCGTGCGGCTCCGAGGCATTGAACCTATCTGTGTTGCCCGCAGCCGTCTTTGCGCCGGCCAGCTGCACCGTGAATGTAGCTTGGCGCTTGCGGTGAATCTGGTCCCGCTCCAGATCGAACGAGATGGTCCAGTTGTTCACGTCTCCCGTGCCGACGTAGGTCTCGGGGCGCTCGTAGTTGGCCTTGCCGCCAAAGACACTCCAGTGGATGTAGTTCCAGTCCTTGGCCTCGTCCGACTCGCCGACCTTGAAGTGCACGCCGTCCGGGAAGTCTGTGGGGTAATCCCAATCCCCCCAGTAGATGCGGTACTGCTCTGGCTCAAGGGTGTGCTCCTTGTCGGGGGCGGCTCCGTGGAGGTACTCGGCGCACGACCGGTCGGGTTTGCCGATGCGCCAGATCTCCTTGCCTTCCGTCTCTTCGCGCCAGCGAGCGTGGGTCATGTGCCGCTTGTCGTGCTTGTTCTTGCCCTTGCCTGATGGTTCGACCACGACGTTGTCCTTGACATAGTACCCGAAGATGTTGTCGGCGTAGATGGTCAGGCGATACGTGCCCGCTTTCACCATGGGGATGGTGGCGTATCCCTCTGCGTCGATTTCACCCCAGTATTGGTAGGCTTCCGTGTCGAGCACATTGTCCTGGAAATCGACGCCGTTTTGGGAGAGGACTGCCAGGGCCCGCTCTGCGTTCTTCGGGAGGTCAACATGGAGCTTCCACGTGGCGCGGTCCGACGAGGGGACGTAGTTGGCCACGTGCTCGGCAATGGAGTCATAGAACTCGGCGTTCCACTCAGGGTCGGCAAACTGCGCTGCATCGGCGTGGAGCTCAAGTATGTCAGAACCTTCGGGATACTTGTTGAAGTAGTAATATTGTGGACCAAAGGTGCGGTCGAAACCATTGGTGATGTTGGGTGTCTGGTCACCGTGATGGTTCGAGCTGATGTAATTGTAGACGATACCGTCGACCGTCAGGTCAGAGTGCGTAGGACCGCCGAAGTACGTGTCCTTGGTGTTCATGACCATCCAGGCGCCAAAGGTCGACCCATCCTCGGTGTTGGATCCGTCAGCAAACCTGTCTTGTCAGCTATCCGGATTCTTGGCAGGTCCGGAGAGGCACTTACAGGCCGTATGCATCGAGATCTCTGAAAGGGTCAGAGAAAGTGTACTTGGTGAAGTAGTCCGCCATCTCCACAACGTAGGGATCATCGGGCGTGTTGCCGAGATACCACGTCGCGTCCTGCACAACAGGCCACTCGCCTTGGTTGTCAAAGTTGGGCAGAGGGGCATAGTTGCCCTTTTTGGACAGCAGATGCGTCCACATGTCAGAACTCGGGCGGAACAAAACTCTGAGCTCCTGCAGGTTCCTCAAGAATGGCGTGGTCTCGTTGTGGTATGCCACACGGCTGAAGGTATGCAGTCCAGTCTCGCCGTCGCGGAGGAACCAGTATTGCTCAAGGACCTGACCAGTGGGCAGGTACGTATCAGCCATGCGGATGCCGCCATAGTCAGTGCCTGTAGAGTCGGTGCCAGAGTAGAGCTCGAACTCGGGCTCTGACCGGCCTGGTGTCCAAAATCCGCTGGGGGTACAATAGCAGTCGAGGTACGGCCCTTGACCAGAATTGCCACTGCGAGGACCGAGAAGATCTTGACCATCGAGAACCAGGGACGAGACAGTGCCGCGGCTCTTGTCGACTTCGGTGTGGAATCTGTCGTTCGAGAGGACAAGGTGCGTGTCGGTCTCTTCTGCTTCGAGCTTGGCCTGGACGGGCTGCGTTGCCTGAAGCGCCCACAGCAGTGCCGCGGTCGTGGAGAATACCTTGGGAGCCATTGTGGGGATGTGGCAGGTCTGTGCTGCCCTGAACTTTCGATTCACGTACTGGGGAGCGCCATTTTATACATCGCGAGCTGGCATTGACCAGAACTTCGGTCAAGATACTTGCGATGCGGGGAGGTTGGGGTAACTCTTCACAGCCCCCCGATTGGAAGCCGTTATGGTTCCTTACCCCATGGGGAGCTTTCGTATATTACCCAGCAGGGGGTGGGCCCTGCTTTCGGCAGATCGAGACTCGGATTTCGGTGCAGTGCATGGCGAGGAACCTATCGCTCGGGTGCGCCAAGGTGCTTCTCCCCAGGAGGGAAATGCAGCTCTGGATCTTGCTCCGGGCAGCAGGTGACTGTCAAGCATCCCATGTGTGGACTAGACGCTGGATTGACCGAGGCAATCAAGATCCTCGGGCATCTGAGCCCGAGACTTGATCTCGCGGGTTGATTGTGCGCGTCGCGGTCGAAACTTGCAAGAGAGGGAGAGATGTCTTGGCCTGTTTCTGGCACTCTTGGGCAAGAGGTTTTCAATTCGTCAAATCACTGGTATCAATTTGGTTGATGGAAAGAACTCTGACCGCTGTCGACCGGACAGCCCTATCGTAATTAGCCTCGAAAGTCTCAAAGGCTCGAGCGCAGAGTAGCTACTTAGTCGTCCTCCCCTTCTACACGAGCACGTTTGCTCGTGCGGCCACCGTCCTCCTGCAGACCGAACCCCCGTTTCGATGAGCTGGATTGCTCCACCTCGGATAGAAACTTATCGACGTTGAAAGGATCGGTGGCATCTTTCTCAAATTGCACAGGACCTTCACGAGCCTGTTTCCTCTTGTTAGCAAGATCATGCGAGTGCAAATTCAGATCGCTTACCTCAACGTCACCGGACCCCTTGAATGTTCCCCTGCCCAGCGCCTCGCCGAATCGGCTCGACTTCTGGATCTTGGCCATCTCCTTGTCACCAGCCTCGGGGTCATCGTCATCGTCGGCGTTTGCGCGAGGTCGGTAGATGCTGTTGATTCCATCTTGGGCGGCAAACAGCGGCTTGTCGTAAGCGTTGTCCTCATTGAAGCCGCTGTTGAAGCCGCTGGACTGGTTGAATAGTCGGGAGTCGTACATGGTCTCCTTGGACTGGGTCGGTTTCGCCAGGCCAAGGGCAATCTTCTCCGAAATGTCACGGTCTTGCTCGCGCGCCATCACCTGCATGCGGCGCTCAGCGCCCATCCTGTTCTTCCTGAGCTTCCGCTCCTCCTCCCGTTGTTTCTCCTTGCGAGCTCGTTGACGCTCACGCACTTCAGAGTCTTCACTGTCCGAAGCACCCGACTCTGACTCGCTGTAGCTTCTCGACCTTGATCTCGAATCTCGCGAGTCCCTCGAGTAACGCGAGTCATTCGAGTCTCGTCGCTTCTTTTGTCCAGCATTTGCGCGTTCGGCACGTGCTTGTCGTGCCAACTCAAGCAAGCTCTCCTCCTTCTGTGCCTTCTCCCTTTCTGCCAACTTCTGTTGCATCTTGGCCCTCTGCTGCACCTCGTCACGGGCATGTCGTTCGGCCATTTTAATCGCCTCAGCAAACTGTGCGTGCTTGTCGTTGATGTCCACGTCCTGAAGACCACGTCCGTCTGCGGCCAATCGCTTGTCTAACGCAATCGTAAACCCATTGGGGTTCTTCCAGTTCGAGACAGGCGGCGGAATCTTCCAGTTCTCCTGGTCTTCGGCTGTGAGTTTACGGGGAGGTGAGTGCATGACAGGGGGAGGTGGCGACGGAGGTCCGCGGGGAATCTTCTTGTGCTTGAACTTGGGTGGTTCCATGGGGTCCTTCTGACGCTCGACAATCTTCATGATGCGGTCTTGCTTCTTCGAGTTGTCGCCCATCTGGTTCGCGGGTGTGTACCGTACAAAGGTGGCGTCCTTGCGCTCCGCCATGTTCCAAGCCTTGGGTTTCTGCGCAGCAACCGCACTTCCCGTCAGCGCTGCCAAGGCAGCCTTTGTCTTCTCCGTCGTGGCAGCCACAGACTCCTTGTCAGGTCGCGAAAGATCGATCTCGCCCGCATCGGCACGTTGCCTCAAGGGAATGAGGTCCTTGAACGAGGTGTGAATGATTCTGTTATCGCCGTGACCTTGCCTCGCTATCGCGTCGTATTTGACTTTTCCGTCTGCATCGACCTGGATGGCCAACGCGTTGCTCTTCGTCTCGCCCTTTCTGCCCATGTCCAAAGGATACTGCGCAACGGGGACTTCGGGGAAGGCGCCTCCATCGCCGAAATCCTCCTGCGACCGCGGTCGCCATCCTGCGCGCTGACCATAGGCCGGAGGGCCGGCTCTCTTCAGCACTACCTGTGTCTCGTCGAGTTGGTCGGCACTGACGATGCGCGGACCACGGGGCTGGGCATGGCGTGGCGCTTCTTCCTCTTCGCCAGTGTATTTTGGTTTCGGTAGCGCTGACTGCAGCGACGCGGCTATCGATGCCATGATGTGTACCGGCTGTTGTGTGAGCGTATGGTTAAAGATGTGGTTTGATCTGCGAAAGTAAAGGGTTGCAGTTGGGAATTTCCGTTGGGCGCCACTGTGGCTTGGCACACCAGCCACATCAACATCGAGCTGGCGTGCTGGGTTAAGTTGGTGCCATGAAAATCATTACAAGAGTCAAGCATATTTCAACATGCTGGTTGCGCCCTGTGTGTTCATACACGCATTTCAATGGGAAGGATGCTTGGTTCGTTAATTTGAAGCGGTGTCTGTATTGCCACCATCATGCTGAACTATTCTCAAAGCCGCTACAATCACGCTCGAAAGCTCCGAGGCTCTTCACACATAACCAATGTCGACAAGTTTTGATTGACCGTCCTGCGCCTCGTGACCCGTACATGCGTCCCAGTACATGATTCCCAAAATGCAACCCTGTTCATACGTATCCCTTGCGCGCGCCCTGTCCTCCCGTTAGCAAGTGGCCAAGTCACGAAGTGATGAACTCCACTGACCTGGAAGAAGAATCGCACGACGACGACCTGCAGCGCGCCCATCGCTATAATGAGACCAATCTGCACCATGCTAAAGCGAACAATGCGTCCCTCTGTGCTGTGCACGGTGGCAAAGTTGCGGTTCTCACGGGTGCGGAAGTATTTCTGGTTCCTCGTAATCGTCGAGATCTGGCCAGAGATCTTGTAGATGGACTCCTCGAGGACGGACGTCTGTTCGGGGGATGTGCCCTGCTTTGAGGGCAGCGTCGCGCGGGACTCGTTCTCGACCTGTTGGCAGTTAGCCTTCTCCTCCCGCAAGTGCTGGCTGGGGTACGTACTGCGATCTCAAAATCGACAAACTTGTCGGCAAAGGTGCTCATCTCGTTGTTGAAGCAGAACGAGTAGTGTCCGGCTTGCTGCGCAGTGAAGACGAAGTCACCCTGCCTCTCCTTCTCGCCCTGGAGAATGATCTTGCCGTTGGGTCCCTCAACGATGTAGTCGACATCGAAAGAGCCTCCAGATTGCACCTGTACATATCTCAGTTCCCATTACACCTTGTCATTTATTCTCCGGAATTGCGTGACTTACAGCAAAGTAAAAGGCCACCTTCTCGTTGTCTTTCTTGGCCTCGGCGTAGAAGCACGCCTTTTCGTGGGCGGCAATGTTGTAGGTCAAAGCCGTGGCGGTGACATTGGTAATGAGGCAGGCAATCAGCCCGGCGAAGAGGGTCGGCAGTCTCATCGTGGGCGGTGGTGGGCGATGTCGCGTACTGCTGGCTGGCGATTCGAGGACAACTGGCGCTGGCGGGATACACAAGGGGCCACGATGGTGGTTCCACTACAGCTTCGACGGAGGGTCGGACTTTTGCGCTGCCGCTCCGGATCAGGGGGCCAGGTGTATGGGTTTAGTACGAACTACCCTACATTCCAATTTACCGCAGACTAGATGAGGCCCCCTGGAGATAGGAAACGCTGTTCGATTTTGCGGCCTTGCGAGGTGCTAATGAACTATATGTGATTCCAATGGGCTAGTACGTGTGCGATTGAGCCTTGGTCTTTGATGTTTGGTCCACCGCGCGCTGAGTATCGCCACTCGTTACGATTTCATCCTTTCCGCGTGTCAAACACATGTCACATACCCAATTTTACACTATTAACGCAGAAAGGTAGCAAAAAATATACGATTGCTTGAGCCATATCACTAGCGTATCGATCAACGTATTACTGGTAGTCCGAGGACACAATTTGTACCTTAACTCCTTGCCGGGCCCTGGGGTATAAAGAAAATCCACTACAACTTGGTAACAAAAAAAAAAAAAAAAAAGAAAGAAAAAAAGAGTAAATCACCGGCGATCTCGCCAACTCCAAGAGTCGACGCTCAGCCGATCCTGAGCCTCCAGAGAGGAGTCGCTAGTCTGGTGTGTGAGGTTGCGCTCATCCCCAGCGCGCGTAGCATAGCTTTTCTCGGTCGTCTTGGTCCTTGTTCCGCTCCACGAGGTAGAGATGGCCGAGACCTTCCTGTACGCACTACTGACCCATTCTCTGAAGCCCATGGCGCCCAGTAGAGGGCCGAGTGGCGGGAGATTAGCAGCCCACGTGCCGAGGAACATCTCCACCATGACCCAGAAGGTTGGGTTGAAGACTTGAAGTACGAGGGGAGTAGGCTGGTCGGGAGGCGAAACATATCCCCAAGCCATTCGGCCCATGGGGTACGAGATGCCCAAGAAGATTGTGCGCATCATACCGGCGGCGGTCGAGCTGCGAGTTGTTATTAGCAACCACAAAACACGTTCTGGGCAAGTGGACTTACATAAAGCCAAGAAAAAAGACAAGGCAAGTTGCGAGCTTCTTCTGGGGCGGCATTTGCAGCCTGCGAATGTAAAAGAACGGAAGGCCAAGCACCAACATGTCCGTCAGGACACTGGTAATGGCGAACATGAGCAAAAGAAAGCCCTTGTCTCCGCAATGGTCCCGCGCAAGTGACTGATCCAGCAAATAGACATAGTGAAGCTTGGTTCCGCAGATGGCCAGATCACCAACGATGAAAGCAATGGTCCAAGCGATGACGACGCCGATGAGTATCGTGTTTGCTTTGCGAAAGCTGTTCCAGGTATCGAATATGCGCTTGTAAAAGAACAGAAGCGAAAGTTTGATGCACCCAAACGCGGGCTTCTCGATCAGAACCATGACGAAATCTGCCTTCTTTGACGCGACAATCTGGGCGGCGTCGTCCTTGTTAGTCACAGCCTGGCCTCCAGTTCCCTCCAGGGCGTTATAGAACTGGATAGCCGTGCAGCCGCAACAAATGACCACGCCGGTGAAGATGAACCAGTCATCAGCTCCAACATTGGTCTTGGTGTAGCTAATGCGGGTCCAGAAACGGACAACCGTGAGGACGATGGCGACAGCAGTCAACACCGAGTAGACCGGTAGGGTCGTCGTAGGGGGGTACATGTTCGCCATGTTGGACACACTTTCGGTCTGTAAGTTTAGGTGTAGATGGACAGGTGGTAAGGCTGATGCGCTTTGATGTTACTGTATCGGAAGCCTCGAAACTTGTGATGGCTGTTATGCTCTAAGGTTGTCGATTCAACACCAGCTCTGTACTCGCAAGGTCAACGCGGATGGAGGTACTAGCGAAGACTCGGGTCAGATATATAAGAGTCGCGAGGTGCTCATCTTGTACTCGTAGTCGCCTATGACAGGGCATCTATCTGTATGACCCTTTAGGCAGGGAAACCCGCCTCGGCTGCTATCAGGTGGCGCCAACAGCCCATCATGCAGAATGCAAGTCATAACCAAAGACCCTTTTTGTACGGCAGTTGTTGGCTTTTCCATCTGGCAACGGGGGCGGGCGGGGTCACTTGACCACCTCCTGGACTCCTCGTGGGACAGCACCGACTCTCATAGGTGAGGAAGGAGATGGCTCCAGCTTTGTGGGATTTAGATCACCCCCACGAAGGTCTTGACACGCCCGTTGTGGGCGCGTGCCCCTGGAGAGTCCCGCAAGCGAACCATGGCAGTGGTGCGTAGTGCGTCGCACTCCCGCATGGTGCTGGATGGATCGGTGGCTTGCCATCAGGATCAACATCGTGGGTGGGTCAGTAGCGGGCATGCCTGCAATGATGCAATGCCTACCTAGTTTGGGTTGTCCTGCGTTGCCTACCTGGCACTGTCACGTCACTTATAATTATTAAAATACCTACAGATTTAGCCTCGATGTGGGCGTTTGGCAACGGGAATGAAGCGATGGAGTCTCAACCGCTAGAACAGCAGACGCGGATACCACGCACCGAACATCGCTGCCCGTTTTCGCGCGGAGGAGGTGCACCCTCGAAATCCGTGTGCCCCCATCCTTGTGTCTGATGGCTGCGCAACTAAAATACTTCCGATCAAAGCATCAATGTCCATGTTATCGCTGGCTGGATTTAAGCGAAGGATCCTGTCCGAGGAGGCCGCCAGCTTCGCGGTGTTTATCTCGGTGCCGAAACCGTCCAGTAAATGAGGTCGAGAGATTGTTTCAAGGCGTGGCGACACCTTACCAGCATAAGGAACCAGACCACTGGGTACCTTATAGATGCAGCATGTGATTTGTTGGAAAGCCAACAAGTAGAATGTCGGAATGAAGCTTTGGGAGACACGAACCCTATTTGGCTTGGCTTGGCTTGAAGAACATGGCTGCACAGGCCGTCATTCCTGTGGCTGGTGAGCTATGGCCTCCTAATTCATGTGTGGCGCAGGGACTCGCAGCAGACGCGCTCCTTGCGTCAAACGCGACTTGACGCGCGGGTCTCGGTGACCTCATGATCTGGACCGAGTGTCGCAACGTGCATCATCATCATCACTCACATAGTAATGGCAGCACAGTACGGGGTACCCTAACAATATTCTTCTTGACGATCCTTTCTCGTACCCTTATCACGGTCTTCAGTTCTGGTCACTTCATTGTTACCTTGCGACGTCGACCGTCACCAATTTCCTATCTCTAGTAGGATCACTTCAAAAACAGCCTTCGCCATGGCTGTGCAGAGGACCCTCGCAAAGGCGTCTTCAACCTTGCTGAGGATATCTGCCATCCTCTTCTTCAGATTCGTATGCTCCCAATAGCATAACCCTACTTCTGAATCGAAGCTGACCATTCCTGCAGTTTCCCGTATGATCCGTTGATGGCTGCCCCTGAAAGCGCCCAGCCGTGTTACTGACTGAACCAGGCACATTTCCCGACCGTCACATTCACCCTTTTTGCAGTATATGTCCCCACCTTCTTGGCGACTTACTTCACAAAGCCGAAGCTCGTGGTTTTGGAGGATAGGACCGCCGCGAGCATAGAGGAAGTCACAGCCAAGCCAGACACGCCATTGGTGACCGAAGAAGGCGTAGCCGTGGAAGCTGAACCAGAGGTCATCGTCCAGGAAAGCAGAATTGAGGAGGCGATTGTTCTTGGCGACAAGGACGCCAAACCCTTGAAAATCCTCCTTTGGGGCGCTCCGAGTGCTACTAAGCTTGGGGCTTCCGCGCTGACTTTTCTCATCAACACCATGCTTGTCGCCCTCACTCTCGATGCACTGTACCGCGCAAGGTTTCTCTACCCCGTCGACGACCTCTCTTTTGTCCGACTTGGATATGTCTCGCCTACCGAGGCCAAGTTCCTCATCCGCGAACCCGATCAGGCGCAAATGCCCGTAACTCTCCAGATTCACATCAAGGATGCTCAGGCACCTTTCGACAACCCACTCTGGCAGACAGCTGGTGGCATCAACTGGACCGACAATCAGACCGATTTCAGCGGCGTGCTCACCGTGCCCCTGACACACTCAAAGCAGCGCACATACGAATGGCGCACGTCCAACAACCACACTGGCGAATTCTTGGCGCCTCCTGCGGCTGGACACATGCCTGAATACCACGGTGGAAAATACACCTTCTTGTCGACATCCTGTATCCTGCCAAGGTTTCCGTATAACCCATTTGATCACGCTCTAGCAATCCCGGGTCTGCGTCATTTGGCAAACAAGTTGCCGGAGCTTGGCGCGCAGTTTATGCTGTTCCTTGGCGACTTTATCTACGTCGACGTGCCTGAGCGCTTTGGCGTTTCTGCAGCTGAGTATCGCATGCAGTATCGTCAGGTCTACGCGTCTCCCGACTGGGCCCCGGTTGCGCAGAACCTCAGCTGGATCCACGTTTTGGACGACCACGAGATTTCGAACGATTGGTCGTCAGGTCAGACTGGGGTCTATAATGCCGCCGTCGAGCCATGGCACATCTACCAGGGCGATTTGAACCCCCCAAAGTCTCGTGTTCCTGGCACCACCACGTACCGCCGAGAAAACGCCACCTGGTACGAGTTTACCCAAGGACCCGCCGCTTTCTTTATGATGGATACTCGCAGCTACCGCTCAAGCAACGACTTGCCCTTTGATGACATGGAGAAGACCATGCTCGGGTCCGACCAGCTTGATGATTTTCTCGCCTGGTTGAACAGGCCTATGCCTCGAGGCGTCAAGTGGCGATTTGTCGCCTCGTCGATTCCCTTTACCAAGAACTGGCCTGTCAATGTCCAGGACACCTGGGGCGGTTTCTTGGTCGAGCGCAAGCGCATTCTTGAGGCCATGTGGGATGCTGGGGCGCGTGGTACAACTGTGGTCGTCTTGTCCGGTGATCGGCACGAATTCGCTGCCACCAAGTTCCCACCGCCCGAGGGTTCGCGTTGGGCCGACACGGCTGCCGCTTACGAGTTCTCGACGAGTCCACTCAACCAGTTTGCATCCCCAGTGCCGTCCTACAAGCAGACCGACGAAGAGGACATCAAGCTCAAGTAAGCCGACTGTCGTTGTGATTGACAACGTTCGTGACTGACATCTACAGCTACATCCCCTCAGGCAGCTCCAAGTTCGGCGCGTTTACCATTGAGAACATTGCTGGCGAGAGCGCGCTCCAGTATCGTTTGTACATCGACGGCAAGGAGCGTTGGACATATGATCTTGTGTCGCCCTTGACCCCCCTGGAAAGCGAAAAACCCCTGGCAGCCATATGGTCCAGAATCAGGGGCTTGTAAGAGACAGTATTGTCAGCGCTTTGTGAGGTTTGTGCCCGAAGGCCAATAGTCGACTACAAACGGACCCGGGGACTCGAGGTCAGAGAATGGATATCGTGTATTTGTATATGTGCCGCTTGCGTATCAGGGCGTTTATGTGGATGGCGTTGCGGAAACAGGCCTGCCCCTAGGACTAACCAAGGGACTTCTTTTCATCGGGAAAGTTTTTAATATGATTAGGTTGTATTTCTTGGATTCACATCAGATCTTGCTCACTGCACAAACAGATTGCGGACAATGCTAGCGCAGAACCCCCAATCCATCACCTATTGCTCACCCTGATGTCACCTCATATCGAAGGCTCATGTTCAGTTCTGAGCAATAACCAAACCTGAACCTCCAACCCCTGATAATCCCATCGATATTTGCCAACTTGATCAGGCTTGCGCGGAAAGTCCATGGTGCCGTATCTGACGAACCAGGCGGAGCGCATTCACCAGGAGGAGTTTATCAACAGATGGGAGACATGTGGGCGAGCGGCCGTACGCAAGGGGGACTGGAAGATCGCATTCATTCCTAAGCCCAAGGGCCCTGAGAAATGGCAGCTACACGATCTGAGCAAGTATCCTGGCGAAGTTCACGACCTTGCAGACAAGGAGCCTGCGCGGCTACAGGCTCTGATCAAGCTCTGGGACCAGTACGTGCTGGAGACGGGCGTCATCCCCTTGAGTCCCGAGCTGGGCGAATGAATGAAGGCCATGGACGAGCAAATGCCTAAGAATGCATGGACCTTAGTATGAGTACTGGCACAAGGGCGCAAGGGACGACCCCAAGCAGTTTACCTGGGAAATACCTCGTTTTTAGAGGCAGGTAAAGTCGATGTAGGTAGCTGAGAGACCCCAGCAGATTGTAAATCTGTTTTGAGAGCGCAAAGCGCAGCGAGTGGAATGCAGTTGGGTCGATGGTGATTGCAAAGGCGATGATGAGTGTTCTGAAAGACAGCTTGTCCAGGGTTCGTTACTGTGGACCCCCATAATCCCGAAGTCCGACACCGCCTTTGGGGGCCCCTCCAGACCCGTGAAAAGTTACTGGCAAAATATGGAAACTTTTTGTTCCCGCTGAATCAATCGCTATTCTACTACCCAACTGCAATCAATCAATCCGCCATTGCACCACACACAACACATCATGGCAGGCCCCAAAAGAAGTCGCAAGTACGAGAAGCCCAAGCTCGACCGACCGAGCAAGAAGCAAAAGCGCCAGCTCGCGCAGTACAACAGCGACTCCGAGGAAGAGCAAGACGACAACTTTGATCCCGTCAACCTTCTCGACTCGGATGACGACATTCACAACGCCGAGGTTGACGATGGCGCACCCTCAGCGGGCGAATTGAGCTCAGGAGAGGAAGAAGAGGAGACACTGAAGAAGCCTGCGCCGAAGAAGAAGATGTCGTTGAAGTCACAACAAAAGGCCCCTCAGCCCGCGCCCGAGTCAGCGTCTGAGAACGAGGATGACTCGGAATCAGAAGGGCAAGGAGAGGATGACGATTTCGATGACGATGACGACGAAGACGAAGACGAAGACGACGACGACCAGAACCCCCGACAATCCAAGAAGAAGCGCGACAACTCTGCGTTCGCAACGTCCCTGACCAAAATTCTCGGCACAAAACTCGCAACCTCGAAACGAGCTGACCCTGTGCTTTCCCGAAGCGCCGAGGCGCACTCGGCATCGCGCGCCATCCTGGACAATGCACTGGAGGCAAAAGCCCGGAAACAGCTCCGCGACCAAAAGCGTCGTGCTTTCGAAAAGGGTCGCGTGAAGGATGTCCTGGTGGCCAGCAGGAATGAGAAGACGGGCGAGATGGAGGCTACCACGGCCGAGATTATGGAGACGGAGAGGAGGCTGAGGAAAGTGGCACAGAGGGGTGTGGTCAAGCTGTTCAACGCTGTCAGGGCGGCGCAGGTTGCCGCCACCGAGGCCGAGAAGGGCACGAGGAAGGCCGGTGTCATTGGCATGGATCAACGGGAGGGCAAGGTGAACGAGTTGAGTAAGAAGGGATTCCTGGATCTGATCGCCTCGGGAGGCGGAGGGTTGAAGAAAACAGCCATCGAGGAGGCCTAATTTGGTGTAGTAGTCCATGAGATACCCGATCACCCCTCCAAGCATCTTCTTCTATTGACACAGGCTACTTGTTACAAATATTGGTATTGCATTGATACAAAAAGGGTGGCGTAAACCCCACCTCAATTAGCTGCTGAAGTCGCTGGCCTGCAGATTCCTTGTCATGGATGGCAGCTTCACAACCAGGCCGTCCAACTCCTTGGTCATCTTGACCTGGCATCCGAGCCGGCTCGTCTCGGTTAATCCAAATGCGAGGTCCAGCATGTCGTTCTCGTCATCCTCGGGCTCGGGCATCTTGTCGTACATCCCCTCGTCTTCCACGATGACATGACAGGTCGAGCATGCGCAGGATCCGCCACAAGCGCCCTCCATTTCAAGATCGTTGGCCTGCGCAATGTCGAGAAGGTTGTCGCCCTCGCTGACTTGATATTTGTACTCGTCGCCGTCTTTGTCAATGAAGGTGACATGCAACCTAGAAGGGGTCAGAAATAGCGCTCTGGCTGGGGACAACGATGAACTCACTCCTCTCCAGGCTTTGGCGGCGTCAGGTGGCCATGCCGCCGGGGGCTAGTTGTGGTAAAAGCCCGAGACGAAGCCGCAGGCGCAGGAACGAGAGAGCGTATCGAGACGGCTGTCCTTGATCTGTTGGAAGACCGTGACTGGGGCAACGAACACATTGCCCTTGTCTGTGTCTGTGTTCGTGGAGTTCGTGACGCAGTAGACGACAGCCTCGCAAGGCTCGTCGCAAATGTCCGTGAAGTCGACATGATTGACAGTTGGAATAGCGCAACGATAATAAATAAATCGCGAAATCAAAGAAAGATAAAACAGTTCTGGTGGTGGTCGTCGTCGGCCAACTCGCGGGTGCGTCGCAAGTCCGAGCAAAGGACCGAACCCGAACCTGGAGAAAAAGTAATCGATTTCGATTTTCGAGTGCCCATAGCTCCGGGGCGCACCCGCATGCATGCCGACCGATTAATTGCCTGGCCTCCAAATTCTCTCGGGTAATCCCTCCGCCGTCGCCCAGCGTCCAGCCATTCGATGCTTGATGATTTCAATTCCTGCCTCCACGCACCTCGAGTCTTCTCTAGCATCACCACAGTGACATAATAACACATGCGGTGTCTCGCCTAGCATGGCGTCGCAACGAGAAGGAGTCAATCCTTTACGACCCTACTATGTTCCTCCCACAATCGGCGAGCGCGCCGAGCCTGCTCCTGTAGCTGCAGGCAATGCGACTGCAGGCAATGCGACAGCAAGCTCCGGACGATACACATCCAAGGCGCGCGATGTGCTCAAGGATATGGAGTACGGCTACCTAGGGGAAGAGACAACATCGGCCGTGCAGAGCGTCAAAGATCTGCTGGATGAGCTCCTGTGGAAGTACTGCTCTGTTCTGATGGCACAACCATTTGAGGTTGCCAAGACCATTCTGCAGGTGCGCGATCAGGATGAGGCCGCAGCCATGCCCGCGACACCGGGCGAGCCGGGAATGATAAAGAGGACCTCGAGCTACGGAGGGTCAATCTACGATGTTTGTGGCAATGGCACTGAGGAGTGAAAGCTGTCATTTTGCTGACCAGTCCTAGCTTCCGGATTCTGATTCTGAAGGCGATGAGCCCTCGTATTTCACCTCCAATGTGCCCGAGACACCGACGCCCATACACCCGCGTAACCGACATGGACGTCAAGCCGATTCTCCCATCGATTCGCCCCGCTTACCGAAGAAGACGAACGTGCCCGAGCACTACCTGAACATTCGGCGCTCGGACTCGGTCACTGGCGTCATCTCGGCTTTGTGGACGAAAGAGGGCGCCTGGGGCGTATGGAAAGGCTCGAATGCGACTTTTTTGTACACTGTGCTGCAGTCATTACTGGAGAACTGGTCGCGAAGCTTCCTGAGCGCGATCCTCAACGTGCCGGATCTTGGTGTTAAGGACGACATTGACCGGCTCGTCGACATTGCATCGCCTTACCCATGGGCTTCGCTATTTGTGGCTGCTTCCGCTGCTGTGGCGACGGGCGTGCTTCTCGCGCCGCTGGATTTGGTTCGCACCAGGTTGATCCTCACGCCGACAAGTCGAGGACAGCGCCGGACGCTCTCGATTCTTCGCTCCCTGCCATCATACCTGTGCTCCTCCTCGCTCCTCATACCGACCATGCTCCACTCTCTCATCCACCCTAGCCTCACTCTCTCGACGCCACTGGTCCTGCGCACGCAGTTCATGATCGACAGCCAGGTGTCGCCCATGACCTTTTCGGTTGCCAAGTTCTGCGCGTCCACGGCGGCCATTTTCGTTAAGCTGCCGCTCGAGACCGTTCTGCGCCGCGGCCAGATGGGAGTTCTATCTGGGAAAGAGTACCTACGCATTTTGGGTGGCAAAGAGCAGAAGTTGGACACGATTGTGCCCGTTGGACGCTACGAGGGCGCGTTCGGCACCATGGCCCATATCGCCAAGGAAGAAGGTCAAAGGGAGGTCATTGGCAAGCCTGCACAAACTAAGAAGGGCAAAGGCAAGGCCAAGGTCTCTGCGCCCACGTACCGAAAGGGTCAGGGCGTCGAGGGTCTGTGGCGCGGATGGAAGGTCAGCTGGTGGGGGCTTGTTGGCCTCTGGATGGCCGGTACTCTATCAAACGGCGGCGAAGGCGAGTTCTAGGAAACAAGCAGGCACTGTACGATGTGGTTATAATTGTGGCTGGCTGGCACGTGTAATTATCTTGGGTTTTGGCATGGCGTTGCGGAAACAGGGCTTCTCCTACGAATCTGATGATTGGGATGGTATGATACCAGTGCTACATTGATACTGTACTCTACACGGCAATACGACATAATCTCAACAGTATGATTATCAATGCTCGATCGCACTGTTAGACTCTACTGCGTATGCCACCATGGTACTGAGCTAGCGTGTGAATGGATATACCTCAAAATGTGTTGCACCATATAAGACTAGACCAGGAATAGCTACTGTGACAGATGTTGCCAACGACGAGATCGCCTCAAGGTGATAGAAGCAGTCAAATTCAAAATGAAACTCAGAAAAGGGCAGGTTTCAGCTCAACCTAAGGCTGTCACGTGAACTGGCGTCTGCTAGCTGCAGCGTGACGCCGGGCTTCGCTTAACTTTACAAACTTCCAGTGACAACTTTCTCACACAATTCAACATTCTTGCAAAGTCCTACGTACATCTTCCCACCTCACGACCGAATCGTCGAAAACATATCAATCGAATCTATAGCCAACATGAATTGTTGAAACACTCCCCGAAGTGTACAGACCGCGCGACTGCGGGCTTCCACCACATTTCACAACCCCATTCGCGCTCGGCTTGGCCAGCTCGTACAATGGCGGCTCCTTCAAGCAAACCAGCGTCCGAAACCGTCGGCAATCCGACCGGGAATGCGCCTCGTAGATTCAAAGCCTCCGAGCTTCCCCTTCCCTCCGCGACACGCAGTGCGATTGAAACGCTCGCGCACGCTTTCAAAAAGGAGGGCGCCTACGATGCGATCCGGAAACAGGTCTGGGATAATTTCAAAGCGAGTGTGAGCGCGTCTTGCCTGTTCTGATTGAGGATATGTTGTTGACAAAGCTGGTCAGGATTACGAGGCTCAAGTCACAAAGTCCATCCTCGCCGTTGCCGAACAAGAGGTCGAGAAGAACCCCCATCAGCTCCTAACGCTGGACACACGCAAAGCGGCCGCCCTCATCGACGGTGCTCTTGAGCGATCTGGCGTTTACCAGCAATCGGAAGAAGTCATTGGTCAGCTCATTGACGTGAGTACTATCGAGGAGCGCATACGCGCGATCCGAAAAACGGACATTGGCGAGGAGGCCGCCGAAGCCGAACGTTTGCGAGGCGCAAAGACCGACGAGGAGTATACCGCCGAGACCGAGGGGCGAAAGGAAGAGAGGAGGAAGATCCGCGAGGAGCTCAAGGCCAAAGAAGAAGCAATCGTCCTCGAAAAGCAAAGGATTGCAGAGGAGGAGCGTAAGCGAAAACGAAGGGCCGAAGACGAGGCGGAGCTCAAGCGACAAAAAGAGCGCGACGAACGCCGGGCGAAGCGTGAGAAGGAGCGCGAGGACCGAGAGAGAGAGCGGGATCGTGAACGTGAAAAGAGACACCGCGAGCGCGACGCTAGAGACGCCGCTCGTGAGGAGGCTCGACGCACAAAGACATCCGACGACAAGGCACCCGAGCTGCAGCGTGAGTTGTCCAAGGAAGAGAACGAGAGGTTGGAGCAGGAGGCCCTGGCGGATTTGTTGCGAGAGAGTGGCAACAGATCAGCGAGCCGACACCGTCACTCAGGGTACGAGGTTGATCGAGAACTTGCACCTCCGCCGAGACGATCCAAGCCAGCATCTGCCATTGACCCTATTCGCAGGGATTCCTCCACCAGGCGCGACAGCTTGAGCAAAGTCGTGCGTGACGCGAGAGGCTCGACGACTCCAATGGACTCGAAAATCACGGATCAGAGAAGCGACCGGAGACCTAGTCGTAGTGTTTCTAGAACTCGCGACCGCGACCGCGACCGAGACAGGGGCCTGGACCGTGATCGCGACCGTGATAGAGACCGCGACAGAGACCGAGACAGGCGAGATCGCAGCAGGGTACGTGATGATGATCGCAGGCGGGAAAGGGACAGATCTCGTTCGCCAAGACGAGACGGAGACCGAGATCGGGACAGAGTCCGTCGCGAGAGGAGCCGTTCTAGGACTCGGCGCGACCGCTCGCGATCACGGACCCGGAGGGACGATAGAGACGACCGACGTGACAGAAGTCGATCTAGAAGACGCGACCGCTCGCCCATCCGCGACCGCCGTGATCTTTCCAGAGACCGTGGCAGTGTTCGCGACAGGAGTCGTCACCGAGCCAGGAGCAGTGACCGACGCGATCCCCGCTCCCGTTCGCGCTCGCAACGCAGAGACAGCCGCCCACGCCGCGATCGCAGTCGTGAATCGTCGCGCATTATGCAGCATGATCGCTACCAGCCCACGCGCGACAGAAGCCGTGATCGGGATGCCACAGCCCGCGCTAGCTCCCGTTCAGTGGCCCGCGTCGCCGACAGGGCTATTGAGGACTCGGAGGAGTACAAGCGTGAGGAGAGAATCCGCCGGGAAAAGGAAGCTAAGGCATACATGGCTGCTCAGAAGGAGGCCGCTGCTGCGGGTAGTGTGAGCGTGACGGCAGACTCCTACCACCCCCCTTCCGCACACAAGGAGGATCGCTACAAGCCATCTACCTCCGGACTCGACAGCGATAGATACAAGCCACCGGTCCCCATAGGCGACAGCGATCGCTACGTGCCTAGCTCACGCGACGACAGACGGCGCAAGAGTCGAAGCCGCTCGAGGGACAAGGATCGTGATCGGAGAGATAGAGACAGGGACCGTGAGCGTGAGCGTGAGCGCGACAGGCCGAGGGAACGCGACTATGACCGCGACAGAGACAGAGACCGCGTCAGAGGCGACAGAGATAGAGACCCGGTTCGCGACGACAGGGACAGAGACCGAGATCGTGATAGGGATCGTGACAGGGACAGAGACCGAGAGCGGGAGCGAGACCGGCGGAGGAGGGATAGGAGCCTTTCCCCCAGAAGGGATAGGGACCGGGACAGGCGAGAGAGGAGTCGCAGTCGACGTCGCACTCGCAGTCGAAGCCGTCGCTGAGGCTGATGCCATCTTGTTGGTCGATGTTCGTCCTTGTACTAAGTACCTCGTCACATTATGTATGATGATGCCCTGTAACTGCAAGCCTTTTCGCCAGGGAGACGTTTCCAATCATTGTCATTGCGCGTGAACTACAGCTATATGCCCTGAAGAAGAAAGCAAGTCTAAGTATGCCATGTTGTTTCTCAATGTAATGCGCCAGCAAGATAGAGATCACCAACACTTATTCTAGAAACCAAGTAAGTGCTGCTCCCTTTTATTCCCTGTAATAAAACACCGCCGTTCCGAAATATCCACGCACTCATTGATGCAGTCCTCGTGCCCCCCGCTTTAGTATATGTATTAATCGTAACAGTCACCTCATGCCAACGAGTAACAATAAGAGTCATGTCATGAGCAATAATCGTAAATTATCGCTCGGGGTTGAATATCGACGGGAAGGACTCCTGTGCTTTCCTCATCGCCGTGGGGCCCTGCCAGATGCCCACCATGATGCAGAGGCTGATGAAGGCCAGGATGCCAGTAATGAGGATGCAGCGGCGGCGCTCAGGTGTCCACTGGCCCTCGCGACCGGATTTCCATGCGTCCCCTGCCCACGACGAGGCCATGTGGTAGCCCTTGGAGAGGGTTTCGTAGCCGAGGGAGTAGTAGACCAGGCCGCAGAGGGCGACGGAGTAGCCGAAGAACTGGAGGGGAGAGATGGTGGTCTGCCAGATGATGACGGAAATGATGACGAGGAGAATCGACTTGAGGATGCCAGTGAGGGTCATGACGAGACCAGACGTCTTGCCAATCTGTCGCCATGGTTGTTAGCGGGGAAACCACGCCTTGAGACCGCCGGGGGAGGGGACTTACCAGACACACGCTCGCAATGTTGAGCATGAATGCGACAAGCGCGTTCAACAGAAGCATGAAGATGCCCGCATCCCACAGGTGCTGCATCTCAAACTTGGGGACCTCACTCCACAGCGCGACAAACATGTTCATGACGGCGCACACAGGGGCGTAGTAGTAGAGACCGACGAGGGGGTCCATCTGCAGACCCTCGGAGCTGAGCATGACCTGAATCAGGACCAGGCGCATCGCCTCGAAGACGGTGCCTCCGACCTGGTACAGAAACCCCAACCACGAGAACTGGATCTCGCCCGCGCTGGCGATGGCCACACCGAGGACGATGACGAGAATGTTGAGGAGGGTCGACATGGTGGGATTGGCGATGCCCCAGAGCCAGGAGAAGAAGAGCACCACAACGGGCGAGGCCGACTTGAGCATCTGGATAAAGGGCACCGAGAGGTAGAGGTAGACGACATTGGAGCAGACGAGGGAGCCCGAGTATAGGATGCCAATGGGGAGGATGGTGCGGAGGAAGAAGCGCCGGTCGATGGGCAGGGTATGGCGCGACTCGAGCAGCGACGTTGTCCTGGCGAGCAGCTGCGTCGCGGCGGTCGCAAAGACGAGGTGCCAGCAGGTCAACAGGATGGGGTAGCGGAAGCCCGCATTGTCAATGAGCCACTTGTTGAAGAGGATTGTGCAGTTGGAGAAGAAGATCCAGCTGAGGATGTAGAACGAGGGATGCAGGCTCAGCGTGCGCGACTCGGGGCCATGCGCCTGTTTGTGTGCGAATCCAGCCTCTGGATCCTCGTCGCCGTCCTGGAAGTGGCCGCTGCCGTTGTGACGCTGGGTCGGGTTCTCCATCATGGGGACATTGTCGCCGTCGATCGAGGTCGAGGTCGAGGTGCGAGGCGACAGCGTCGACGTGGCCGCCATTGCGACTGTTCACACGCGCGCGTGGAGGGGGGGACGGACTCGACCGTGGAATGTCGTGATGGCTTCGTCGATGGAGGAGCAAGACGGAGCGCAAAGCCAAGGTTGCTTATTGCGAACTATTATTAGGTGGATGGGCCAAGCGTGTCGAACGGACGGTAATGTGGGTGGCGGTTTGCGTCCCGAGCGGCCGCCAAGTTGCCAAGTAAAATTGGCCGATCAAAAGCTGGGCAATCCAAGCAGGGTCTGCTATTAGTGCAACGCTGAAGCGACGACTGCAGGGCAAGGACTAGCATGCACAGCGAGTGGGAGTAGAAAGAAGGAACAAACAAAAATAAAAAAGGCAGCGACTGTTGGAGAATCGAGTGCTGGCTGGATCCGAAAACAAGGAGGAGGCGGAGGAGGAGAGGACTGGAGGATGGATGGTCCAAGCAAGGATCTAGCTCTCGACGGGCTGAGCTACCGGTGCCACCACCAGGTTCCTCGTGTACGTAGTAACTTTAACTTGATAGGGACTGGAGTACACCATTCACCTCGACAAATGACGGGGCGCGAACATGAATGCAAGGTCCAAGGGGTAATATTACCTGAGAAACCTACTCGCCTGCCAGTCCAGTCTTTCATTCTTGAAAGGCGCTTGGCTGCTCGAGGGAGGAGCGGACTCTCAATGTTGCTTGGACTGAACACGAGCAGGGCGGGCCAGGCTAATAAAACCCAAATACGGATAGAGAGCCCCGTCTCCCTGTTTTCGGTTATCCCCTCCAAAAAGGTCCCCAGAGACCACCTTGGACTGCACCCATCCGTCAAGGCAATGATGACGATCGCAAGATCCTGTCCCATCGTGAAGATTTCGATAGTACGTCGCGAGAGTACTTGATCAGAATGCCACAATGCCTGCGGCAAGGCCAGGCGGCGCTTCTGGCGCGCGCCAACCCGGTCGAGGCCTCCAGTCCTGAAAGGCATGTCTTTCCTGCTAGCAGCCCCTTTTCTTTCAACCAGCCAACACCATCAAGTGCGCTCCCGTTCCCGTCCCGCGTTTCCTGCATGCCAGGCCCAGCCTCCCAGGGGCCAGAAGAAGACTGGGGCCGAGACCGGGGCGCAGATGCTGATTTCGCTGGATCCTGTCGTTACGACGTCAACTTACATACCTACTTGTATAAACTTCCAAATGACCCCAGTATTCGTTTACTGCGCTGAACGTAGTATTACGCACAAAGGTCAAGCTCTTGGTTGACAAGCCACGAGCGCGCGCCGAGCTGCGCTACACGTCCCTTACCAAGCCTGTCCGAAAACCCCAAGCCCACAATAAGTGACCAAGTCCTCTGGGAAGTTCGTGTTGGCCAAATTGATGTGATGTCTCATAAGATTGTCGCGCTCATACCTCGACTTAACAACCGGCGAGGGAAATGCCGGCTCAAAAAAATCATTGCGTGCCTTATATCCAGTCCGCGGTTCTCGTGGAGTGATGTACATTGTAGTACTTCCAATGCACGTTGCTTGCAGGCAAGACAAGGCTGACTGGGAAGGATACCCGCGGGATGCCGCCTCAAGCGCCAAGGATGACATCGTGGCCAACTGAAGGTACGAAGAGTCATGTTTCGACCACTCGCGAGAACCGCATATTCGAGTCCAACAGATGGAGGAAGTCATTGATTGCAATACATCACACGCAATGCAGTGGGTGGCAACTGCGAGCGCAGTCCCCTCCATGTTACACTGGTTTCTCTACGTGGAGGTGAGATGTCCAAGGCTCTTCATGTGGCCTGTGCTATTCGCGGCCGTATGTATGCTCCCATTCGCTTGACGCTCCGAACATAAAATACTCCTCAGTCCACCAGCGCCCGTTGCAATGCAGAGTCAAAAGCCACCCCCGCGTGAAGAGATGGAGAAGGCCTATATGTTTTGCGCCGATGAACATGCAGACGCCGTCCTCATCACTCAAGTCTCAGGCTGGACTGGGTTCGCCAACAGCCTCATCCTGTTTAGGGGGGCTGCTAACGGTGGCAGTCGGGTCACGACCTGCCAAATCCGTTGAGGTACCCAGATTGCCGTTTTGGGCTGTTTTTGGCGTCGAGTTCCCGCCTCTCACGGTTAACTGTGTAGACCTGCTCTTGCCAGCCCGTTCTTGCTCAGCCCGGACTTCATCTGCCGCATGGGTGGCCTCGCCGACTTGCTCCTTGTCTACCGTATCACTCGACGGTTCGCCAACCTCGTGCCGCTCCATAGTCGGGTCGACACAGTCGTAAAACAGCATAAACACTCCGGGGGACAGTGTAGAGACGGTCTGCTCGGTGACCTTAGACACATTATGATCGCTCAGCCGCCACCAGTCCATCTCATGCTCAGCGTGCTTGTGGTCTAGGTCCTCATCATCGCCTGCCGTGAATTCAGAACCCTCGTTGACATCCCCTCGCGCATCCTCGAACACCGGCGTTGACCCACGACTCCCAGATTCGTGGTTGCGCGCGTGCTTTCGGTAGCAGATGTAGTGCCCATTCTCATGGCGGCCATAGTGCGTCACGACCGCACGTAGTTCGTATATCGGGCCGGTCAGCTTCGAAGGGCGCTCGCCGCCGGCTACCATGGACGCCGTAGGATCCTCGAGCCATTTCTCCTCATCCGCCGCGCCCGTCGAGCGTCCAGACGCCTTGACCCCGTCGGTACTTCCCAAACACCACGGGCCCAGATCAAGCATCATTGGGAAATGCACTGGCGCCGAATTTTTTACCATATCAAAAGTGTTTGGATCAAATACCGAGCGGTTCACGTGGATCGCTAGACTGCGAGGCGGCCTGGCGATGACGATCTGCTTCGTCTTTGTAGTGGTCACCTTGCTCTGTGAGGTGATCTTGCACTTGTCTGCCAGTGTCTCCTCGTCGAAAGAATCTTCCTCCAGCGCCAGATCCACGGCTTCCAACCGCCTGGTCGGTTCCACGAGTTGGGCTTCAGGCACGTCCTTCTGTTTCATTTGCTCCACAAGCTTGCCCAGGAGCCTTCGCGCTTTGAGAAGGGTACATTTCGGACACTCGACTCCCTCGATGGCTTCCACATGGCTGTAAGCATCCAGTCTCTCATGTAGGTCGTGTTGTTGCTGTAGCCCCAGACTCAGCGTCAAACAGTTGAAAGGGATCATGGATAGGCCATCCGAATGTCCGCACTGCACACAAGACACCCGCTGTGCAAGCAAGCCCTCCAAGGGGTTTCGTAGAGACGTAGCCTCCGGGCTTCGTGAATTAGCGCCATGGCTCTGGTAGCCACTGTCGTCGCTGATGTCGCTAGCACCGGCGTCGGTGTCGATCTTGTCCTTCTCTGTGTACTTCTCAAAGCCACTGTGACGTTCTGACGCCTTGAGCGCGCGCGCCGCACGCTTGTCAATGTCATCCAGGATCTTGGAAAAGTACTCCTGCGCGTCCTGCTGCGTCCATGTGCTGAGAAACTTCAGTTTGCTCGGCGTCCAGAGCGTGCGCCCATTGTTCGATGTGTCGTGGAGGTCGCTGATCAGGGTCTTGAGCGTCTGTGTCACCACCTTTTGCCCATCGTCTTCATCCGCATCCGTGTCGTCGCCAAGGCAGTTGGCAAGGTATTCGGGCAACGTGTCGAGTGACGCGAGACCCTGAAGAATGCTGTTCTGAAAGCATGAATTGTCTCGGTTCCCCAAGCCCGCCGGACGCTCTTTATCCGGGTGCAGCCCCAGTGCGTTGGTCGTGAAAGAGAGGGCGCGAGTCCTCGCTTGGAAAACCGACGCGACGATGCCTCTTTCGCTCTCCAGCCCTAGGACTCGCTTCATCGCCGCGCTCTTTGAGGCATGGGTGTTAACGTGTTTCGTCCTCATCAGGGGGTCGAACCAGGCGTCGATCGAGTACAGGATCGAGGTTGGGACGATGTAGACCAGCGCGTGCCACGAACGGCGCGCTGCTGCGATGAGGTTTTCTTGAATAGCAGGCGTGGAATTGTATGTGTTGTATGCGAAGGCGGCAAGGAGCACAATACCGGTGAACAGGACAAACGGCTCATTCACGCGGTCCCAAAGAGCTTGCGATAGCGGCTGAGCGCCTCTCTGGCTGTGACGATACCAGTCCTCGGAATTGTGCTGGCGCGAAGACATGCTGCTCTATGCCGGCGATGATGTGGCAATGTCGTCTAGGTTGTAGCGCGAATGCTCGGCGGGTGCATTCAGGGGCCAGAGGCTTCGTAGAAAGTGTCGGGCAGGTCCATGACCTTGGGCCTCGCGCAGCTGCTTCGCATTCAGTCCTAAGGTTGCTGGAGGTTTTGATGTTCAAAAAGGACGAAATTCCCAGGTGCGACGTCGCCCCGTCATGTGTGGCAAGACATCCTAATATGGATGCAAGGGTTTGTCATACCCTGCAGGACGACTGCGTAAGCGTGTAGCCACGAAATAAGATGCCTTGCATCAGTGAAGTCCCATGTGGCAATATCGCATGATTGAAGCGACTAACATGCAAGATACGGCCATGGACTTGGCTATAAGGCAACCATTCGACTTTTCAGGTGCCGTTTGTATCACTCGGCTCAAATTGGGCTCTGGCTATGAAGTTCTGAACACCTCTCAATCGAGTGCAAGACATCAACATTCAACAGCCCGCGAGTTTTGCTTCAATGCTATGTTGACCTGCCAATAACATAAGTATTGCAAAGTGGGAGATTTAGAATCAACCAATGAGCTGAGGCTGAAATAGCCAAGCTTCTTGTTTTATGTAACTCTGAGTGAGGCTCTTCAATTACGTACCTCTTCCTCGGTGTAAGCGACCTCGGCCGTCACGTGCCCCCCCACAGTATACGAAGCCATCGGCCCCCGGTGGGCTCCGCACCTCGACATTGATCTGTCTTGCGATCTTCCAGATATTTTGACTGTGGTCTTTAGTCGTTAAGTCCTCGACCGGACTTGCAGCAGTATGAGCGCTTTGCGATGGGCTAGGTTGGGGTTAAGGTACGCTTGTGACTATTCAATAGCTTGCAGCCTCGACATCAAGCTGAACCATTTCTAGGGCTGCTCTTGGAGAAGCCCGATCCAGTTGTCTGAAGCCTGGTTGGCGACTGGCGCAAAGGCGAAGCTTCTGTTTCACTTCGTGGCAGCAGTCGAAGACGACGGGTGCTGCGAGTGCGCAACCCAGAGATGCCTCGTTCCAGGTCGGACCTGGTGCGGTCGATCTTTTGAAGACGTAAGACCAGAACAATGTGTGAAATTCGCGTCGAGCTGACAGTTCCAGCCCTTCTCTGTGGCTTCGGTATGTGCAGCGTGTCGAGGAGCATAGTACCGGTGACTGAGACGAGAGCCAGTGACAACTGCCAATGCAACGAATGTGTGAACCAGGACACGCTGCAAAGAAACTTTGATACTTTCCAGGTATGTCCTTCTCACTCACCTAGACGCATTCTTCTCATGCGTCGGCCAGATAGACGCGAAGAACCTCGAGGTCACGAGCTCCCAGTACGCTGACGGTGCACTTGCTGTCAATTGTGAGTTCTCCCGCCTCGGACAAGACCTTCAGCTTAATAAATACATCAGGGTCGGACGGACACAAGTCTCATTATCCGGCGTGGTGGGTGAAGAAGGCAAAGCAAAGCCTGACTCCTCGAACTCCTCCGCCATCAGTGTGGGATACAGTCGAGCTGTGGAACCATGAGCAGGCGGCAGGTTACCGCAAGAAGCAAGAGGTACCATACGACCCTTCTTCCAGCAATGATTGCCTCCGCGAGGCGACGGCCCGTTTGAATCGATACGGGTACTGCTTCATCACCGGCGTGCCAGCGGCCCCCGAACCCACCGAGGCATTGCTGGAGCAGTTCGGACCTATCCGCAACACTCACTACGGAGGCTTCTACGACTTCACGCCCGACCTCGCAAAGGCTGACACAGCATACACGAACATTGCGCTGCCACTCCATACAGACACAACCTACTTTACCGAGCCAGCAGGCCTCCAGTCCTTCCACATGCTATCGCATGAAGGACCCCGAGACGCTGACGGCGACCTGGGCGGGAGTTCGATCCTTGTTGACGGGTTCGCAGCTGCCTCGAAACTGTATCATGAGCATCGGGAGGCCTTCGACTGCCTCAGCAAGGTCCCTATCCCGTGGCACGCCAGTGGCAACCAAGGTGTGACAATTACGCCTGCAATGCGTGCGCCCGTCATAGAGTTCTTGCAAAGCGGTTATGGTGATGACCTCCTCAGAATCAGATGGAACAACGATGACCGTGGTGTGGTGCCGATGGAGAAGTCTGATGAATGGTATGCAGCAGCGCGCATTTGGGACTCCATTCTGAAGGACAAGAAGATGCAGTACCACTTTCAGCTTGAACCCGGAACCGTCCTGAGTGAGTATCCCAATTTGCGATGCTGCGATGGTACTGACATTGGATAGTTTTCGATAACTGGCGTGTACTCCACGGCAGAACAGCGTTCCAGGGGGTCAGGAGGATGTCTGGTGCCTACAGTCAGTGTGCCTTGGAATCGATGGAGCCATGGTCAGCTAACTGTGATAGTAAATCGCGACGACTACTTCTCGACCAAGATCAACTCGCAGCTGACGCGGGATGAGGTCCAGTCTTGGAGTCTGTTCCAAGACCGCAACAACCTGGTGGAGTCGTCAAAGCGGATTATTTCCAGGACGTGATCAAGCTGGCTTCGTCCTGCTTCTGCGGCGAGCAGGACATTTCCGCATTTCGCAGGGCGGCCCAGACGGTCCGACACAGGCAAGCGAATGCAACCCGGCCGAGGTATGCCTCATTCATGCGCGGGGGATGCAACATCTATACTCGAGTACATACAAGTGCCTCTCGCGGACAGCAACCGCAAAGGAGTTTGAGGTTGCAAGTCACCATAGTCAGCGGGGCTTTGCGCACTTGGCGCGCGACAAGTACGGCAGAGTGAAAAGGGCATGGCCTTTCACGTACGACGAACGAGGCTAGTCTCCCGTGAATGGAAAAGCGATTTAAAGCGCGCCTGTTACGTGACACGATTCCTGGAAGAATGCAGGATGATGTCGGCGGGGCGGCCCCTCATCCCCCTCCTCGTAGGCTCCTAGCGTCCAAGATGGAGGCCCTGACGGAGGGGCTTCGAGGAACCGCCGCGCTTGGGCCGGTTATTCGCACCAAGTTGATCGATAATGCCAGGTCTGTACGTACACTCTGCGAGGGGCATGGGTGTATGCGAGTCAGATTGCCCATCTGCGGCTGCTGCACTCTGCTCTGCTGTGCTCTACTCTGCTGGACTTCAACTCGCAGACTTGCGAACAGGTCACAATCAGCGTGGAGCAGGGATGTGTTCGTGTGAAGAACAAACAGACAGCCCGCACATAGGCATGGTCTCGCGGGAAGCTCAAAAGTGCGCAAGCTGTTTCAAGCTGTTTTGAGGGGGGAATTGGATGTCACGCAATGAAAATGTCGCATGTACTGCCGCCGAGAGATTGTGGATGGCTTCGAGGACCTCCCTCCTCGTTGCGCTCTTATAAAGTCGTCGCGTGCCCCATGTGGAGGGCCTTCTCCATATCTCTTTCCCTTCTCCAAGATTACCGTCTCCAGAGGCCAGACTGAACTGCCGGTACACCACGACCCATCCTGAGCCGTTGCAACACCAATCGTACAATGGCTGTCGACATGAAGAACGGAGCTTTCGAGCTCGACAACGCCGACATCCCCAAGGGCGACCGTGTTCTTCCCATGTTCTCCTTGAAGGGCCGTACAGCCATTGTTTCTGGCGCTGGCGCGGGTATTGGTCTCGGTGTTGCGCAGGGTCTCGCCGAGGCCGGCGCCAACGTCGCCATCTGGTACAACAGCAACAAGCAGGCTCTCGTGGAGGCGGAGAATATTGAGAAGACCTACGGCGTCAAGTGTGAGTTGGACATGGCTATTGGGTATCTGGGCCTACTTTCCTAATCCATCGTGCAGGCCGCGCGTATCAGGTGAATGTTGTGTCTCCTGAGGCTGTCGAGAAGGCCATCAATGAAATCGTCGCCGAATTCAACGGTCGTCTGGACGTCTTTGTCGCCAACTCCGGCATCGCCTGGGAAGACGGCGCCTTCATCGACGGAAGCACCGAAACCGCCAAGAAGGTCATGGCGGTCAATGTCGATGGTGTGATGTGGTGCGCGAAGACCGCTGGTGCTCACTTCCGTCGCCAGAAGAAGGAGGGCACCACACTCGATGGCAAGCCTTTGGAGAACTTCATCGCCGGCAGCTTCATTGCCACAGCGTCGATGAGCGGGAGCATTGTGAACATCCCGCAACTGCAGGCTGTGTATAACGGTTCCAAGGCAGCCGTCATCCACTTCTGCAAGAGCTTGGCTGTCGAGTGGACTGGTTTCGCCCGTGTCAACACAGTGTCTCCCGGATACATCCAGACCGAGATCTCGCACTTTGCGGATGCCGAGGTGAAGAAGCAATGGAAGAGCAAGACACCGGCTGGGTGAGTGAAACGCGCAGCGACAGCGGAAGGTCATGCTAACCAATTCACAGTCGCGAGGGTGTCGTGAGCGAGCTCAAGGGATCGTTCCTCTACTTGGCCTCGGATGCCGCCTCCTACACAACTGGTCTAGACCTCATTGTCGATGGCGGCTACTGCCTGCCCTGAGCTTCTGGATTTCGATGGTGGATGTGGCCAGCATGAGCTGGGTACCTTGCCTTACAGATGACAAGGAGAACAGCAACAGCAACAAAATGACTTTCACGTAAGTAGATACCACCGAGCTAGGCTTGAAATTGGCTTTTGTCTTGCACCATTTGTCTGCTGCATGTGCACGTGTGAGGCAGCCTTGTTTTGGTGCTGCTAGTGTCTCCATCAACAGAAGAGAACAGCTTGGAGGCCTCGTGCTTGTCTCGAAGCACGCTCGCTGTGGATGCCCGTACCACGATGCGTTGGTTGACTGGAGGTAGAACTAAGCCGAAGCCGAAAGACTGAAGATAGACAATCAGGTCGCCACATATCCAGTAGTGTCAGGTTGTGTCAGGGAAAATTGAAGTCCAGTCGGTTGGAGGTGACCTATTTCGTCCAGTGCCCAGCGTCACCAACGCCACCCGCTGGAGAGCAGCATGAAGCAGCAATTGGCGGGAGCAGCTACCTAATGGACTCTAACAGATCTCTGCTTTGTTCAAAGCGAAATCTGCTAGTAACCACGGAACCGGTCAGCCACGCTGGGTACTTCCACCTTTGGCTGAGAGCGCTGACCCGCCCGCACTCCAGCTTTCCCTCTCAATTGCTGATGCTGTGCTCTCCACCACTTCTGCTTCTCCATCAATTTCTAGCTTCGTACTTGCATCAGCGACTAGACTTCTCCTCCTGCACCCTTACCTACGTATTGTTTCAAGTGACTATTGAGCGACACCTCGATTGCTTGCGACTCGACACCCCTCGTCGCTCCTTGGCATAAACTTGCACTACAACGGGGCTGGCCCCTTTGTCTGCGTTACGCCCCCCCCGCGCTCATCCATCTCCTCAAACCTGCCGCCTCCAGTCGTAGCAGTACTGCCCGCACCCAGGCAGCCCAGCATGGAACACGACGGTGAAGTCCGCGAGACGCAAATCGACAACGCCATCCGTGCGATTCAAGATAAGAAGCCTCTGCCCGAGATCGACTTTACGATCCACACATCCGAAGACGGACAGCAGATCAACACGCAGGAGCGTGTATGCAAAGGTACGTCTGCTCGATACCTAGTTACCCCACCATCACCAGTGCGCGATGCCGCCACCCGATAGTCTCACGCACGGCGTCGAGCGCAGCGAGCTATCGCAATGGTCGCGTGCCTCTGGGATCCCTAGTTCTGACCTTGACCAGATGTGCAGGCGCCGGCAACCTCGACTCCCACGGACGAGCAGTTCTTTGAGGACGAAACTCACACGAAGCCCAACATCAAGTTTTTGAAGCAACACTTTTATCGCGAAGGCCGCTTGACAGAAGAACAGGCGCTATGGATCATCAGGAAGGGCGCCGAGGTGCTCAGGGCGGAACCCAACCTTTTGGAAATGGATGCGCCCATAACCGTCTGTGGCGACGTGCACGGCCAGTACTATGACTTGATGAAGCTGTTCGAAGTCGGCGGTGACCCTGCGGAAACCCGATACCTCTTCTTAGGCGATTATGTCGACCGCGGATACTTCAGTATAGAGTGCGTACTCTACCTCTGGTCACTCAAGATCCACTATCCCAACAGCCTGTGGCTGCTTCGGGGAAACCACGAGTGTCGCCACTTGACGGATTACTTCACTTTCAAGCTCGAATGCAAACACAAGTACTCGGAGGCCATTTACGAAGCCTGCGTCGAGGCGTTCTGCTGTCTGCCTCTGGCTGCTGTCATGAACAAGCAGTTCTTGTGCATCCACGGCGGCCTGAGCCCTGAGCTACACACCCTGGACGATATACGCAACGTGGGTGTTTCTCTCTCCTTGGCCGTGACCTTCCCTCTGACTTGTCCTAGATTGATCGGTTCCGCGAGCCCCCAACTCAGGGTCTGATGTGCGACATGCTTTGGGCTGACCCTCTCGAAGACTTTGGTCAGGAGAAGTCAAGCGAATATTTCCTCCACAACCATGTTCGAGGATGCTCGTATTTCTTTTCCTACCCAGCAGCTTGCGCTTTCTTGGAAAAGAACAACCTGCTATCAGTGATCCGCGCCCACGAGGCTCAAGATGCTGGATACCGCATGTACCGTAAGACTCGCACCACGGGGTTCCCCAGTGTGATGACTATCTTCTCTGCACCCAACTACCTGGACGTCTACAACAATAAGGCGGCTGTGCTCAAATACGAGAACAACGTTATGAACATCCGCCAATTCAACTGCACGCCCCACCCGTACTGGTTGCCCAACTTCATGGACGTGTTCACCTGGTCACTACCTTTCGTAGGTGAGAAGATCACCGACATGCTCATTGCAATCTTGAGCACGTGCTCAGAGGAGGAGCTCAAGGACGAAACCCCATCGGCTGCTTCGCCCGCGACCATCGCTACGCCAACCTCACAGGACCCAGAGGATCCCAACTCCATCGAATTCAAGCGAAAGGCCATCAAGAACAAGGTTTTGGCTATTGGTCGCATGTCACGTGTGTTCCAGGTGCTGCGTGAAGAGTCGGAGAGGGTTACCGAGCTCAAGACCGTCTCTGGCGGCCGCTTGCCAGCGGGTACTCTTATGCTGGGCGGCGAGGGCATCAAGGACGCCATTCGGACTTTTGAGGATGCCAGAAAGGTCGATCTGCAGAACGAGCGCTTGCCCCCGTCTCACGAGGAGGTTGCGCAGCATCAGTCTGAGGAACGCGCACAGGCTCTGCAGAGGGCATCGGAGGATGCGGAGAACGATACAAAGTTGCAGCAATTGTCGCGGCGGCTGAGCACGTGAGTTCACCCGCATTCCATACTTTCCTGGGACTACGTCGACTAATGCATTCATAGTGACCGCAAAAACCGCAACGCGCCCAAATAAACGGCAGAATGTATAGTAGTTCCACCGAGCACAAGCAGAAGTGGCACGCGTCTTTGGCTTCCGGAAATGTGTTATGACTCATAACCAACCAGCCCATTCACTACTTTTATCTTCCCGGAAGTCGACAGTTTGCCAGCTACATGATTGTCTGTGGTCAGCGAGGCGGCATTTGGATGGATGGAATGAACAGCTTCAACATAGATGACCAAAGCTCTGAAGCATATGCAGCTTGTGCATATAATAAGCGAATGGACAAAAAAGTATGATTATAAGATCCTGTCCTTTTGATATTGTGAGGTCATCACATCACCTGTTGTGCTAGCTCCAAAAGATCAAAGAAGCCTTCTCTCCCAGTATCGGTCTTTTCAAGCCCCAGCCCTAGCACCAACGTCCGCCGATCATCAGGCGCGCGCAACGCCATCTGGCTCGCGATCTGGGCAGCATACAGTTGACCCAGAGTTTCCCGCTCCTCACCACCGCCGCCTAGCAATGTTACGGGTGTGAGATGTGTGGACGGGAGTAGTCCACGAGAGGTGCTTGGCAGTGTCATGTCAACGATACTGGATGATGAGCCCGTGAGAGGCACCTGCATCTGCAAGCCATACATTAGCTGACGTTAGGTCCGTTATTGGGGGATGGGCATACCCATTGTGACAGGCGTCCTCCTTGCGAGATTGTGAGGAGGATCTTGTCTGAGAAATCCAGGCGTGTTATTTGTGTTGGCACGGATGATACGTGACCCGATGACTGTCGACTTGGCGCAGGGAAATCATCAGGCTTCACTGAGAGATCCATTTTGTTGACAAAATGGGGAGCTGGAGGTTACAATCACCTGGGATAGATGAAGATGATGATGAGTGAGTGAACTATGCCCCACTGCCACCAAGTGCGCGTTTAACTCTGCTGTAGGGTAACCACAATGGTCCATGACGTTTAGGGGGACACGACCACGATGTTCACCACAGACTTTTGCTCCCTCATCAACTACTTACTTAGTCTCTGGTCGCTGTCCCACCGTAAGAGTGGAAAGACAGAATCATGTTACATTGTTGTTGACATCGTCGTCACTTTGTGCCTTGCAAGGTGCCTGGGGCTGCCCCTAAGGCTGGACGCTGGCCAATTGATGCCCTCAAAGGCTCAATACGGATAGGCCTAACCCATCCGCTTACCTGCATGTCGCGGCGATGACCCTGGTCGAAATGGGATCGACGCGAACCCAGATCTTCTTCATCGCTCCAAAAATGAATGGTATCACCATGGTGTGTACATGTAACGACGACCCCTCTAGTCGGTATGCTCTCCAGGTATGTCTCTTGGATATAGCTTACATCCAGGGTGAAGCTGACTCGGATCGAAGCAACCGTTCCCATTAACTCCATCCACAGCTGACCTCTTGTCGAATGGTGACCTAACCCCAGGCGATCATGCGCCCGTGGATGCCTTGCCCTCGTCATATCGCGACCAGGCGCATGCTCTCTCTTCCGTGGATGAAGGAATCGTTGACAAGGAGCTTGATCTCTCGCGGCTGGATAGGGTCGCGCAATTGCTGTGGATTACAGGAAGGTTGATGCCACCGCGGCCATTGCATCAGCAGCTATGCATGGGACGCGAGGTTGTGCTCATGGAACAGACTGACATGCATCTTGTCTGGGAAGCAGGGAGGATATATCTGAAGCCTTTGCCCCGATACCTGCTTGATCCTGCTTTCTGGAAGCAGTATCTCTGTTCCGCATCCTATTGCGCCTGTTACAGTGACGATCCCGAACGCATCGTGCGTGTGCGTGTTACGCAGGATGGGCACCCACTGCGGAAAAAATCATGCAGGCAGCGCAAGGTGGCCATGGGGCTCCTATACTCGTACGTCGCGCTCATTCAACATGAATCAGACTTCCACATGGCCCAAGACAAACGGCTCATTCCTGCCCACATAACTTGGTCATCCTGGAGGCAGCTTGTGCGCGAGATGCTGGAATATCCAAACATATACAGGCACATGGACTATCGCTTCTGGCACGGCGAGATGCGTCTGAGCAGGCTCAACAAGATATTCTATCTATGGCAGACGCCGGGGAGATACTATTCGACGCGCTGGCAGCAGTACAGTACATTCTTTGGCGAGACATTTGCGTACCTGGCGGCCATGACGGTGTACATTTTGTTGGTCCTGACTGCCCTGCAGCTTGGAATCTCGACCAAGCTGCTTGAGAACAGCGCGTCGTTTGACAGGGTCTCTGCGGGCTTTGCCGTCTTCTCCATCGTTGGACCGTTTGGCGTCGCTTTTGGGTTGTTTCTGGTGTTCCTGTACTTTTTTGTTGACAACTACCGCGCAACTCTGCGCTTTCGCGATATGAGATTGGGCATCATCAAGGACGGTTGAAAGTGGACACCTCTTTCGCGGAGAGAAGCACTCGCTGGCATGGCATTGCCGTTCACTCAGTCTAGCTTGGAAATCTGTAATTCACTGCTGCCTTGATCGGGGAATGGCCTCTGTCTTTTCTATACCTGCGGGTGCTGGGCTGTACTCCAAGAACTCTGGCGCAAGTTTGGGTTCCTCATCGAGTCATTGCTGGGTCGACAGCAGCTGGGACTGGCTTAGCAGGCGAAAGCCATGTTCGGGAACAGATATCAGTGACGCTCGTCAATTACATCTAAGCTTGGCACCTCCGTTGCCTTGAGGCTCTAGGCTATCCATTCATTGCTTTTTGGCGTTGCTGGTAAGCATCCTATATATAAATGATGTGAATGACGAAGCTGTTGGTGGACATAACGGGTCCTTTCTGCGTCTCCTCTCAATATCCATATCAATGCTGAAATCTTTAAGAAATACCCCAAATTCGGAGTACAGGCGGACATCCACATGTAGTGATGATGTCAGCTGCTCACTGAAGTGTTAGCGAAGTACGAAGTGACAGAGGACGACTGATTTGTGGTTGGACTTGGCGCTGCAGTGCCAGTGTTGCACCAAGTGGGGTGACCAGGGACCATCCCCGCGCTAATCCTAGAATAGATGCAGACTTTGGTGGTGAGCAGCGGCAGTATCGTCCTCAACTCAAAATTTCCTGGGCCTTCACTCCCATCGCTAATCCATCCAACACGCAAAGATGGCGCCCAAATTCGTGCCCCGCCAGCGGAAACACAAAGTTCTAGCACGCCGAAAGGCTGCTGAGAATGCACGCCATGAGGTTCCTGAGGATACCAACCAGGTAATCCTGCCGTCTCAAGATGACCGGCAGGCGCGCAAGCAGGCGTTGAAGGACGAATTGCGCCAAGAGGGAGAGAAAATGTCGGGCAAGAAGGCGAAGCGCTTTGAGAAATACATTGATAACAAGCTCCGCAAAGACGAGACGAGGGATCTGCTGGCAAAACTAGCAAAGCAGGAGACTGTCGACACAAGCTTACTCAGCAGCAGTCGAGCACTCGGACGAGGAAAGGAAACCAAACGTCAGAGCTTTGCAAGAGCCTTGAAGGAACGAGAGGCCGGTTTGGCGGGGGATGACGAAGATGTGCTGTTCGAGAAGAGGAAGGAAATCGAGGAGGACGATGCCGAAACCGCTGGAGACAACGAGACAGCTGCAGCTGTTGCGCCAGTCGCTACGAAAGCTGCACCGTTAGCCGAGCCGACATCAACCTCCGAAACCCAGATACAAAACCTTGGAACTGGACTCAAACGGCCCCTGGATGTGGATGACGAGGGCCGTCCTGTGATACCCAAGAGACGAAAAAGAGGAGGTGTCAAGTCCAAGGTCTCTACACCCTCAATCGCAGTGCCTGCGCCCGAAACCGAGACCGACAATGGCGACGAATGGACTGGATTCTCAGTCGATGAGGCGTCCACGAAGGAGAAGGACAGCGAACGGACTTCCGAAGACGATGAAGATGGGTCCGAAGACGATGCTGGAAGTGATTCAGAGGGCAGCGAGGAATCCTCTGAAGACGATGACGACAATGACGAGGACGAGCCAAAGGAGTCGAGGTCGTCTGCATTCAAAGCGTGGGCGACAGCCCAGCGAAACGAGGCACAGGGCTTTAAAGGCATTGAAGAGAGCACGACGAACATGGTGATACCGAAGCCCGACAACTTCACGCCTAGGGCTCCCGAACAGGACCCTTTACCGCAGGAATTGCAGCCCACCAAGGTCGTTGACCGCAAAACATATGCAGTGCCCGTCACGAGAACGCCCGATATTCAAGACGCCCGACTCAAGTTACCGGTGGTGGCTGAGGAGCAGCGTCTGATGGAGGCGATCTACAACAACCATATTGTGGTGATATGCGGTGCCACTGGTTCAGGAAAGACCACGCAGGTTCCGCAATTTCTGTTCGAGGCGGGCTATGGATCAGTAGGCTCGGACACCCCAGGCATGATTGGCGTCACGCAACCTCGCCGTGTAGCGGCAGTGAGCATGTCGAAACGTGTCGGCGACGAGCTGGGTGACCATGGCCACAAAGTGGCGTATCAGATCCGATTCGAGGGTACAACAAACCCGGACACGGCCGTCAAGTTTATGACGGACGGTGTACTACTTCGTGAAGTGGCAGAAGATCTTGCGCTGCGCAAGTATTCGGCCATCATTATTGATGAAGCGCACGAACGCAGTGTAAACACAGATATCCTGATCGGTATGCTGAGTCGCGTCATCAAGTTGCGGACCGAACTTGCGCAGGAGGACCCCAAACTGAAGCCCCTCAAGCTGATCATCATGTCTGCTACTCTACGTGTCGAGGATTTGACGATGAATTCGAGGCTGTTCGAGAATCCCCCACCTGTCATTGAGGTGGAAGGACGGCAGCATCCCGTCACGGTTCACTTTGCTCGGAGAACCACATCAGATTACGTGGAGGAAGCGTTTCGCAAAATTAGCCGCGGTCACAAGAAGCTGCCACCCGGCGGATTCCTAGTCTTTTTGACCGGGCGCAACGAGATCACACAGCTCAGCAAACAGCTCAAGGCTGCGTTCGGCGGGTTGAAAACGGCAGAAGCACCCAGAGTGCGACTCACCGCCAGCGAGGCGCCCACTGAGGTGGAGGACATTGAGTTTGGCGATGTCGATGACGGAGACGCCGATGACATGGACAGCTTGCCATCAGAAGACGAGGACGAGGAGGCCGACGAGGATGAGTTCAAGATTGAGGACGACCAGGAAGCCGCACCGATGAAGATGCAGGTTCTCCCGCTTTATTCATTACTTCCGACAAAAGACCAGCTCCGCGTCTTCGAACCGCCCCCAGAGGGCACCCGCCAAATCATCTTGGCAACCAATGTTGCAGAGACATCGTTGACTATTCCGGGCACCAGATACGTCTTTGATTGCGGCAGAGCCAAGGAGCGCCAGTATGACCCTGTGACAGGTGTGCAAAGCTTCGAGGTTGGCTGGATCAGCAAAGCCAGCGCGAGCCAGCGGTCAGGTCGAGCTGGTCGAACAGGGCCCGGCCATTGCTACAGACTCTACTCGTCGGCTGTATACGAGCGAGATTTCCAGCAGTATGCTGATCCTGAGCTGCTGCGCATGCCCCTGGAGGGTGTTGCTCTACAACTCAAGGCCATGAACCTTACGCATGTCGTCAACTTCCCGTTCCCCACGCCTCCAGATCGACGAATTCTTGCTAGGTCAGAAAAAGTCCTGCATTACCTATCTGCTATCTCGACAACTGGTAGAGTTACAGAAGTTGGCACAGCCATGTCCGTGTTTCCTCTCGCGCCACGCTTCGCTAGAATACTCCTCGTCGGCCACATGCACGGTTGCATTCACTATACCATTGCCATGGTCGCTGCGCTCTCCGCGCAGGAACTGTTCTTGCCGGACAACCAGGCTGTCCCTGCACTCGCCGAGTCGACGACGGAGTTCAGGTCGAACTCCGACATCATCGCCGAGACGAAGCAGGCTGAGATGCGAAAACGATTCAACGAGGTGCACAAGAACTTTTGCTACCTAGACGACCGGGCGGATGCCATCAAGCTACTGCAGGTCGTTGGCGAGTTTGCCCACGAGCCATTCGAGGCGTGGTGCGACAATCACTTTGTGCGGTTTAAGGTCCTCAAGGAAATCCAGCAGCTTCGACGCCAGATCACCGACCTCCTCCGGAACAACATCGACGGGTTCGGCAACCTGCGGTTCGAGGATAAGCTGGACCCCCCCATGCCAAAGCAGGTTGCTGCGTTGAAGCAAATGGCGGCAGCGGGCTTTATTGATCAAGTCGCGATACGCGGCGACCTGGCGCCCACACCACCGGAAACGCACAGGCCGCCTCGCAGGCCGATAGATGTGCCGTATCTGCCTTTGACGCCGTTGGTGGAAGCTGACGAGGCGGATCGATGCGTGTATATCCACCCTTCGTCGCCCATGTCGCACCTCAGCGTGCAGGAGTGTCCCCAGTTCATCGTCTACTCGCACCTACAGAAGGCGACACAGTCTGCCAATGTAGACAAGAAGCCCAAGACGAGGATGCACGCCCTCACGGATATCACTGGCGGACAACTCTCGGTGTTGGCCAAGGGTACGCCCCTGCTGACGTACGGCAAACCGGTCAAGGAATTCAAGGCCGAGTTCGACAAGACGGACGGATTGATGGTCAGGGAATGCGCTGTCATCCCGTATCTCAGAGCCGAAGGCACGGGTGGTCAAGGATGGGCACTGCCGATGAAGAAGGTGAAGCAGAAGAAGATACCCGGAAAAGGATGGACGGTGATATAAAGTGTATAACGAATAAATGATGAGCCCCGAAAACGCCTCGCTTGTGCATGTGGGTATCTACGTATCCAGACCTTGTTCTCTATTCTTTTCCCTAAAAGGCCAGCATTGGACACTCCTACGCAGCCGGTGTTGTCGCGGCCGGCGTCGTGGCCGCTGAGCCCTTATTCCTCTTCCTCTTCCTGGGCTTGGTGCCTGTCGATGATTTTCCAGACTGCTCCTTGCCATCCTTCTTTTCCGCACCGCCGACCTTGCTGTCCAGGGTCGTGGGTCCGCTCATGCCCATAGTCTGCTGTGTCTGCGGCGGCGGCACTGGCTTCCTCCCCGTGGACGAAAGGTGGAATTCGCCAGGGCGACCTGTGATTGGGTTCTCGTCGACGTATTCTCCCCCGTAGCGCATGTGTATCGCAAAAGCTTCCTCCACACTTCTGTCGAGTGACGGATCATCCTTGGCAGGTTGTTCGCCGGTTTTGCCTTGCGCAGCGTCAGGCATCGGTGTCCCCTCCTTTGACGGCCCGTGTGTCCCGGCGTTCGTCCTCGGTTGCGCAATCTGCTTGGGGGGCGGATACGTGTGTCCCACAGAGGGTCTCCATTTCCTGACCCCCTGCGCCTTGGGCAGCGCGCTCGATATCGCATTGGTGAGGATCAGCAGCCGCGAGCTCAAGATGTCTCCTAGCTTTGGCGCTTGGTAGATGTGTTCGCCGACAATAAAGTAGCTCGACAGGATCGTCGTCTGATCCTCGTCGCCCGCAATCTTGCGCCGAACCTGTTTGCGGATCACCCAGACACCGGTGCCCATTCCTGGACCTGATTCGGCGGGCTCTTCGCCGACGATGAATTCCAACCCAGACATTTCCCGTAGAGACGACTCGAAGGCTTCGCGTGTTTGGATGCGCCAGAACTCGTGGGGATTCGTCATCGCTTGGGAGAAGATGACCTGGTTGTTGGAGGTTCGCTCGAAGAAGGGCGATTCGGCAAAGTAGAAGAGGATGTTGTTGGAGTGCAGCTGGCCCATGTTGGCCAGGTGCTGCGGAGAGTACCATTGAATCTCGTCGAGAGCGGGTTCAGGCATGGTGATTGTGATTTGGCGCAGTGCGCTGTCGTGAATCTCGAGGTTGCGAACAAGTTGTGGAGGAAAAGTTGAGGACAATGACGGCAGTTGGAGCTTGAGCTGGAGGTGCCTGCGAGGTACGTACCTAAAGGTAGTGTGTGGCAGCGGAATCACGCCGCGCGCGCCAGCCTCAACTTTGTCTTCCACATGCGATCACTTGACGACACGACCCTACATTTCGCAGCCTCGCTTTTTCTTTCGCACAGGACTATGGATCTTCTCAACACGGTTCGCAAAAGCGGCTCTCGCGGTGGCGTTAACTTTTCCTGGGATGAAGTGGCCAACTCGAATCACCGCGAAAACTACCTGGGCCACTCCCTCAAGGCGCCTGTAGGCCGATGGCAAAAAGGCCGCGATCTCACATGGTACGCCAAATCCGGCGACGGATCAGCGCAGAACCCCGACGAGACAGAAGCCGAGCGAGAAGCTAGGGAGAGGAAGGAAGAACTGAGGCGTGTGAAAGAGGCTGAAGAGGATGCCATGGCTAAGGCAATGGGGCTACCACCACCGGTGAGAGATGCTTCAGGCGCCAACGCCGTCGAAGTTAAAGGGAGCAAGATGGGCCCCGAGCAGCTTGAGCAGGCAGAGCCTGCAAGAGAACGCTCTAGGCGGCATGGTGACACGCATCGCCGGGAGCGCCGACGGCATAGAAGTCGTGATGGCGAACACAGACATCATAGGAGCAGAAGCCGCGACCGGGATGACCGGAGGCGAAGGGATCGCCGTGAACACCAAGGCGGGGATCGAAGCCGTGACAGAGCCAGCAGGGGCGAGAGACGTCACAGGCGGCATAGGAGTCGCAGCCGAGATGATGAAGACTATGGGAGGACAGATCGGCACCGCGAGGACAGAACCAAGGAGCGACGCAGGTCCACGTCTCGGGGCGAACACCGACGCAGCGGCAGCCCTCGAGCAAGGCGGTGAAGGGAGGAATGTACGGGGTCGTCCAAGAGATGAGCCATTCAACGCACCCCGGTGAGACTTCTCCAGAGGCGTCGGCATGAAGCAAAGAGTCAAGCGTCCGATGACAAACTCAAACGCAAACGCGACGGCATGCCTCATCGCGTCACAGCAGCTGTACTTGGCTGATCCATGGCTGCGAGGGGGCACTGCTAAACCACGCCAACCAGGCAGATAACCTAGAACAACGTGACCACGGCAAGCCAACGCCCCTAGCGAGACCCTTGGACACGCAAATCAAGCTGAGTGCTGTGACTCGGACGTATCCTAAATAGTCTACGAGTGTATGTGGTGTGATGACAGCGATGCTTGTCTAATACGGCTCGATGGGAGATGTTGAGCTGCCACACTCTTCGCTCGGAATAATCGCATCAGGTATCTGGCAAGGCTGAAATATGGGTTGACTTAGAGTTGTAAAGGCAAATTTCTCTTTTTCCACCCTTCTGTATGTTGTGCTTGGTTGTAGAGATCTGCAGTTTTGAAAAAGCATGACGTTCCGCGTCGAGGACTCGAGATGCATATGTATTGCTTACTCTTTCCGAACTCCGGTCCAACGTTGGCCAGGCACACCACATGACGCGCTGCACGCACAAAGAACGGCGTCGCCACATGACTGAAGCCAGTCAACCTGCGCAAACCTTCAACTCCTAGAAATTCTGAAATCTGCCTTAGCTACCTCCGGACGGACTGGACTTGGGGCTTGCTGGCGAGCCTGACCACAAGCGTCGCGACTAGACTGGCCTCCTCTCGCTGGTGGTTTGACAAACACCGCCACTATCAGCTCGCGCCCGAAATCTGCCCCGTGACAATCACAGCTCCCGAAGACGCCGCCTTTAAAATGAACCGCTGATCCATCGATTGTCGTGGCAGACGAACAACGAAACAGCCGCCATGGATTACTCACGACTGCGGGCTGCGGCGATGCAGCATGGCGAGGACGAGGAAGCCGTGACTGTAGACACACGCGCCTTGATCGACAAGGTCCTAGCACGATACTCGGGCGAATGGACAACATTGAGAGAACTCATACAGAACGCGGCCGATGCCCAAGCCACTACCGTTTCTGTGAAATGGGAGACCTTGCCGTCGACGCTGGTTCCCATGCCCAACACTACCGATCGTTCAGAGCTCCTAAAGCATACAATATCAAATCACACGGTCCGCCGACTTGTTGTGCAGAACGATGGACAGCCCTTCACAAAGACTGACTGGGGCCGGCTGAAAAGGATCGCTGAAGGCAACCCTGACGAGACCAAGATTGGTGCCTTTGGTGTAGGTTTCTACAGTGTCTTCGCCGATTGCGAGGAACCGTTCGTCAGCTCTGGCAAGGAAGCGATGGCCTTCTATTGGAAAGGCAATGCACTCTTCACAAGGAAGTCCCAGATTCCGGATGATCAGGCGACCCATCACACGACTTTTGTCTTGGACAACCGCAACACGACGACACCTCTGCCGAACCTTCTCTCTGTCAGCCAGTTCCTGGCCACCAGCTTAACCTTTGTTGCACTACAGAATGTAGAATTTTGGATAGACGGCTACCAGATTCTCGGCCTCAAGAAGAAGACATCGCCAAGTACCGAGCTGCCTTTACCTGCAGACCTAGATGCGCGAACAAAGGACGGCATTATGCGAGTTCGAGATGTGGGAAGGACCAGCACTCAGATTGACGCAACATATATAAGTGCAGTCGGGTGGAAGCCCAAGGCTGTTACAACCACTAAAGCGGAGGGAACGACTGCTTCTACTGAAGCGCCGTCACTACGTTCATTCTTCGCCAGACTGACATCAAACTCGTCGCAATCATCGTTAAAGGCAAAGACACAAAATGACGAGAGGCAAGCGCAGACTGCCATTGCGGAGGATGTTACAAAGCAAAGTTCATCAACCATTTTCCTCAGGTCAACAACGGCCAATATTCACACAAAGGTGACAGCGTCTTTCTCGGCAGAACTGGAACGAGCCACCAAGAAACCGCCTCCCAAAACGACGAAAATTTCCATTCTTACGGCGTCCTATGATGAAGCGCAAGCCTCTCAAGCCTCTGCAGGTGATGGGGCGGTTTCCAAGGCCACCGATGTCTTCGCATCTGTGCTACCAAATAAAAAACCCGGGGGTCGCGTCTTTATCGGATTTCCCACTATGCAGACGACCGGCGCTGGCCTACATATTTCGGCTCCTTCGACGATCCCAACCGTGGAGCGTGAGGCGATCGACCTCAACGCGCGATGGGTGCGCACGTGGAACATAGAGCTCCTGCGTGCTGCGGGCATCGTGACACGGCTAGCATTCGCCAATGAGATGGACGAGCTGAACCAGAAGATCCGAAGGACTGTGGACAAGCATGGCAAGATCACCAGCGAAAGCGTGCACCGTTTCATGCCCGAAGCTGCCCATATTTTCAAGACGTACTTTTTTGGCGACTCTACTCCAAGCGGGCAGGTTGGGCAACTCATCGAAGAGGCATTCTGGACTTGCTTCAGAAGGGCATCCATAGAAGTATACTCCACTCAGGGTGTCCTACAAACAGACAAGGTCCGCTTGGAGTCAGCCGAGCTGACTAAATTCGTCGACAGCATCCCCGTCTTGCCCAAGGAGCTCACTGACGATACGTTTGTTAAGAAGCTCATCGACTTCGGGCTCATCTCGCACATCACGGTGAAGGACGTACAAAGGGAGCTCGAGGCCAAATCGCTGGACAAGACCCAGTTGTTGGCCTTCATCAGCTGGGCGGGCAAGAAGAGCTTGTCGGGAGAGCTCGACCCCGCAAGCAGGTCATCGCTGATGGACGTTGCTGTTGGTTCTGTGGGTGATGAGGGCGGTGGCGAGATCATCGCGCTGGGCGCCGTCAAGAATTTCGTGATACCTAGCAAGATCCCAGTCACCATGCCTATGCCTCCCTCGACTATCCCGCACGCCTACACTGTCAGCTCGACACAGGCTGAGCTACAATCTTTGGGATGGGAAGCTCTGGAGGTTCTGCCGTGGCTTCGCTACTTGTGCGAAACCAAATCCTCTAAGCCTGAAGCACAGAACTTGGCAAAGTCGCCGACCTTTGCGGTCGCGGTCCTCACCGTTGTATCCAAGAACTGGGATCATGTCAGCGCCAGTCATCGCCAGGCAATTGCACCACTTTTGCAGGCACAAACTGTCATGCCCACGAAGCTTGGCATGAAGAAACCCGGGGAATCGTTTTTTCCCACTGTGAAGCTGTTTGACGATCTGCCCATCATCGAGGGCTGCGACAAGATCAAGGAGAAGCTGCTCGTAAGCATAGGCGTCCGCAAGACAGTTGACCTTGACACCATCTTTACACGCCTGCTGAATCCTTCGGCCGGTGAAAAGCAGCAGAAGTGGAGTCACATGGAACTCATCAAGTACCTCGCATCTGTACAGAATGACATCCCGAGAGCTGATCTCGAGAAGCTCAAGTCAACGCGCTTCTGCCCGGCTGAGGCTGGGCCCCCAGGTATGGAACAAGCCAAGGCAACGGAAGCCCTCTACGCAATCCCCAATCTGTTCCAGCCAAACGACGCTTTACGAGGTCTTGGCCTAACTATCCTGCAATGGCCCGGGGCCCCAGGCAGTTTCCGGCCCAAGAGCGCCGAGGGACAGTTCTTATCGGCCCTTGAGCTCCGGTCTCACCCTTCTGCTTTGGAGCTACTGGATATGATGATAGAAAAGGACGAAACTCGCCGGTCACGGGCAATGGCCTATTTCATCGACAATTACAGCAGTAACCGGTATGCGTCGAGTCTGACGCTCATATCGGCAACGCGCAAGGCTATCCTCCCCTTGCAAGGGAGCATGCAACTCGTCATGCCTTCTGCGTGTTTTATCAACGAGCGTGCGTCAGTGCTTGGCTTCCGCATCCTGCGCAGGGACCTCCATGAGCACGGTCCCAAGTTCGGCGTGGCTCGAGATCCACCTATCGCCGATTGTGTCAGCCGTTTGCTAGCCGACCCGCCGCAGACGACGGAGACTGCAATGTCCTTGTTCGGGTACTTTGCGAGTCGCATCCGTGAGCTCGGCCCCAAGGAGTTGCAGCGCTTGCGGGATGCCCCTATCGTGCCAGTCCAGCGAGTGGACAATGCCAAGGGCGCTGAAAAGTCTCGCATGACTACCATCCTCCTTGCACCGTCGCGAGCGTATTTGGGTACCTCATCCACATACGGAGATATCTTTGACTTTGTCGACTTTGGGACAGATGTCAATGCGTTTTTGTACACTTGTGGCGCCAAGACAGAGCCTACCAAGGTTGAAGTTGCACATATGGCATGCAGTGAGCCTGCAAGGTTGCTGGGCGTACTCCAGAGCCCGGATAAATATCTCGAGTTGCTCAAGTCCTTGGCCGAGGCAGATGCGACGCTGCGCCGCGACAAGGACCTTTGGCGCAAGATGAAGTCAGCGCCCTTCCTGTTGGCATACAAGGAGCTCGCATCACCCAACAAAGACAATCTCATAGATCTCGACGAAGAGGAGGCGCCGGTCAGACAGTATCAGCTGGCTTGTGCAACGCAGATTGTTGTTCTTGACGACATCATCAGCTACCGCCTATTCAAGGAGAATTTGGTGTGTGCTCCCGAAGAGGATGCTCTGGAGAAGTTCTACCTCTCACTTGGAGCGCAGCAGCTTAGCAGCCTTGTCCAAGAGGATGTTCGCATTGGATCTTTGTCAAGCAAGAAGAGCATGGGAGACGCCTTGAAGAAGCACGTACTGGAAAGGTCGAAGATATTCCTTTACGAGTACGCCAACTATCGCCGCGACGCCATAAAGCATGATACCAAATGGCTCGAAAAGAATCTGCGTGTCGATATTGTCAGCTCGGTTGCTCTACGTCGTACCCTCAAAGGTCAGAGACAGACACACGTCGAGAAGCGGTCCGCTGCAAGCGCTCGTGATGAACGCGGCTGGGTGCTGTATATTGCAGGTGAGAGCAAGCCTGACATGTACCAGGTTGGACAGGCTCTCTGCCAGATGCTACTCGACAGGCCGAATCAGCAAGCTTACCTCTTCTTCGAGCCCTTCTTGACGCTAGATCTCTATGGTCTGCGGGCGCGTGGCTACAATGTCGATCGCATTTTGCGGGCCAAGGCTGCTGAAGCTCGCATCGCCGAAGAAGAGAGGCGGAAGGCGCTTGAAGACGAGCAAAAAATTATTAAGGAGCGGGAGAAGAATTGGGCTGCGCAGGCCGGCTCTTCTGCTGCAGCAGCGGTTGCTGGGCGTGCTGCTCCCCCGTCCGCTCCCAGCAGTCCTCAGAACAAGATGCCAGGAGGTTGGGACTCGAATGACGACTCAAAGCACGAGATGGCGGAGTTCACCAAGCGCGGCAAGAGCTTTTTCAACAACCTCACACGCAAACTGGGTTTCGAAAGCCAGAACAGCCCTGAGGGTCAGGAAGGGCTTGATCCGTTTGTCAATCCCGAGAAACCTGGCGAAGGCAGCGGTCAGTCAAGTGGCACGAAAACCGGTACAAGCATGGTCAAGGATGGCGAACGTGGGCAGAATGATGATGGCCGTGTGACGAATCCGGCTACGATCCAGCGGAACCTCATCAATGCGGTCAATGCCTCGCGTGCTCATGGCTCATCCAGTGTGTTCACTCAGCCGACTGTGAACGAGGTCAAGGAGCAGGCGACGTACTGTGACTCGACTGCCGCCGCCAATATCACCTTTGTGGCAGAAGCCTCAAACTGTATCAGGATCTTCATGGATCAGAACATGTCCATGCCGCATAGCCAGTTTCTGCGAGCCAACACTGGCGCCATCAACACATTCGCCTCGATTCTCCGCGATGTCGGCGAGGTCTACTCATTGGCCCGTGGCGTGCTGCACATCTACTACGACGAGTCGGGTCGCACTATTGCGTTCAATACCTCCGGCAGCCTGTTTTGCAACTTCCGTTATTTTCTGCAACTTCACGCGGCCCGGGTCGAGTCAGATCGGTCCGGCGAGGCCAAGGCTGAAGTCGCAACATGGTGGTGGGTTGTCCTGGCTCATGAGCTGGCACACAACTTGGTCAAGACTCACAATGCTGACCACAGTTACTACACGTAAGTTCACACTGACGCGCGGCGGTCTGAGCGTGAATGCTAACGGATGCTAGTGAGTCGTTTGTGCAACAGTATTTTGGCAAGATGATGATGAAGGTTGCGAGTTGGTTACAGGAGCAGCCTGCTGCTGCTGCACGACCATCCATAGAACAGGCACCTGCCGCCGCCCAAGGTCGCGAGCCACCACCACCCCCCTATACAGATGGGCCCTTCAATTGAGGGCAAGCGAGATAGTACATCACTACCCTAGACACATCACCGGCGTTGGACTTGAATAGTCTCACGTGCACGGATACACGGACCTTAATAGCATTATTCAAGCGTTGGTACAATAGAATCACCTCTCAGCCTGGCTTATGAGCATTGATGCCCTCAACCGCGTGAACTGGTCCCTCTACAGCCAGAAGTCTCGCTAGTCCTCGAGGCCTTCATTTGGTGAGATCAGTATCAAAATAAGCATTAAAAGAGTGATGGTATGTCCCAGAACACACTCGTACCTCGTGTAGTCCGCAGCTCAGGAGGAGCTCGAAATCTACTCACGTGACATGTGGGTCCTTCCAATCCGCTCGCCGTTGAACCTGATGACCACGACCGCAACGACCCTCGCAACACGACAAGTTCCAATCAAACCCGCACTCTCTCCCCCGACGTCGACACGTACGATCTCTGCGCGAGCAGCCCTACAGGATCCGACGTCTCCGAGTTTCTATACAGCCCATTGACCACTATGGTGTCCCGCATCGCCTTCTGGAGCCTGTTCGGTAGGTGACCCTCCTCGACAACAACAAGCTTTCTTCTGCCCGGCCGACGCAGCGCAGTGAGCAGGATGATTCGGAGAGACTGGCTGACAATCGTACAGGTGTCGGTGTACGCTTCTGGCAGATGGGTATCGAGATGCGCCCCTTCTTCCAACGCTCCAACCTCTGGGTGTACCCCATCTACGCGGCCGGCGGCGCAAGCTTCGGATACTGGCTGCAGGGTGTCGACGACAAGCAGACCGCTTTGTTGACGGAGAGGAAGAACAGACTGTTGGAGAAGAGGGCGAAACGGGCGCAAGAGGCACAGTCTGCTGAGGCTGAGGCATGAACGACATGTGGCTGCATGCACAAGCGAACGGATGGATGAAGAAGGCACTGTACATATCACCAACAAAGGGAAGATGAAGACGGCATAAGTTGAGACTTTTTTTTTTCTTTGTGTGGAATACAATCCAAATTCCTACGCTGGTTGGAGGTGACTCCTCAACCAGTCTTTCGCTGGTGTCTGAACTGCTCTTAATTCTCCTTATTCCTGCTCCTCCTGTTTGCGCAACATCCCAGATATGCTCGACGGCTCCGACAATCCCATCTCGTTGATCGTCCTATGAATATGCTCCGGGAGGACAGTGTCAAAAAGCAGACGCACGCCGTCCTCGGTGCACATCTCTGGGTCGATCTCGTTGTAGGTCAGCGAGTCGACCGACACGCGGTCTGTATAATTAATGGTCTCGCACAGCGAGACAAACTTGACATTCATTTTCTTGGCGTACATGGCCACATCGGCCGTCCCTGCACGCGCATACGTGGCGCCGTTGCTAAAGGTAGCCTCCGCGCCCGCGAGAACGAGATCGGCGAGTTTGAGGTAGTCAGGCAGAAGACCCAGGTTCGGGGAGTACTTGATCTTGCCGAAGCCATAGGCGCGAAGTCGCTTGGCGAACTCGGAGCCTACAGGGTTGAAAGGATCGTCAATGACAATGACATTGACGTCTTTGCCAGACTCCTTTGCTAGCCATAGTGTGCGCTCCACAAGGAAATGGTGTCCGTACGTGAGGATGGTGTCCTTGTCTTTGATCAATGCATTGGTCTTTTCGGCAATCACAGGACCGGCAACGTCAATCTTATCGCGGATGTAGTTGTCGATGGCTTCCGACAGTGCCCTCTTAGCCTCGAAGTCAGCCAGGTCAATATCCACTTTACTGATTTGAAGCTTGAGCCATCGGATAGCATTGCCCATGCTGAAGCACATGGGGCGGCATGCTGCGAGATAATCGATCTGAGGGTTCAGGACATGAGCGGTGAAATGGCGAGAGAATGTGGTGCCTTGGGGGGTGGAGTATGCGGCAAGGACCTATATCTGTCAGTATTAAAGAGTCGCGCTCTAGAATATGGAGCGTACCCTTTTGATGGCCAGCAGAGTTGCCTGTGTTCGTGTGGTGCTGTCGTCGACAACAAAAGCAGCCATTTGCTGTCCGAGGAGCGTAATCCTTGGGTCAACGTCCTTGTCCGTCTGCTGCAGTGATATCCTCTTGGCCATTGAAAGATGGCTAAAGATTACTGGCACCTTAGGCTTGGTTTCTTTGGGAGGCACCGGCGCAGCGACAGGTTTGACCGCCTGCCGTTGGTTCTGTGATCCTGATTGTACATCCTGCTTTGGCTTGGTTCCCTTGCCACCCTTGTCTTGTCCTTGCTGCTGCCCGGGCGGTCCTTGCGGGGCTACGCCCGATGCAGCTTTCGCCTGTGCTCTTCGCGCCGCTTTCTCTTCCTTGGCTTTCTTCTTAAGCTCCGCGCCTGACAGTTTCTTCTCACCTGCGGGCTGATCGGCTTTTGGTTGTTGTCCTCCCTTGGCTGGCTTCGCGGATTGTGCAGCGGGTGCCGGCTTCGGTGGCTCGAGGTCGTCCTTCGTTTTCGCTTGATTCTCGTCTTGAGTATCTTGGACGGTAGCTTCGGGTGGAGGTGTAGCTTCAGGACCTTGGCCTGCTTGCGCAGGCCCCGGGGCTGGTGCAACTGTGGCCATGGATCTGTGCGATGACGGAACGGGCGGTAACGATGTTCACAGAGTTGTTTTGGGGAATGCGGTATGAAATGATGGTCGATAGAGATATAGGCGGCCTCCGTCACTGTCTCTCTAAAGTGTTCTGGTTGTACGTATGTTGTGATGTGGAAGGCAAAATTGACGTCGCAACAACAATCGTCTTGAGGCTCGCAGTTGAGTCACTGCAAGTTAAAAGCCGGAGCAGGAATGGTGGGGGTTGAAGAAGTTGTGCCCCGCGCGCGCTGTGTGTACAATGGCTTCACCACTCCAATTAATCGAGTGTTAGTCAGTCTCACAGTGCACACCAGGATATAAGTATCTGTAACCATGGGTGCAATGCACGGATCATATACATATTGATTATTTTCAATGTAAGGAGTGCATCATCCGTAATTTACTCGTCGCAATGCATGGTGGCATCAACACACGCCAGCGATGAATATTTCTAGCAAGCGCGACATCATTCACGGGAAGACGCGTTTGCAGACGCGCTTAACGTCGGCAGATGGTATCCATCCAGCTGTTCTACGCGGATGCATTCTATACGAGGTGATCGGGAGAACGTCAGGGCGAAGAATCCTTCTTCACACCAGCCCACAGGGAGCCAGTACAATGAAAGAGCGATGAAACCAAAGGCTCATGGAAGTCCAAAAATTCCCTACCCAGGACGAACCCAGATAGGAGCAGTCAGTGAATAGTTTTCAACTAGCAAAATTCCTCTCTCAGCTTATCGCTTCACGGAGAAGGAAAACGCCCGTGCACTTGGATGGAGAGGAAAGAAGAGAAACAGGTAAAGGAAGCGGGCGGGCGAGCTGCTTTTATAGATCTCATGTGGTCTGTGCGCGCTAGTGAGTCAGTAGCGGGCTTCCGGTCTCTAATTGGTGAGCCTACTTCTAAGTGGATGACTCATCCTCAGCCGCAACCTCTGCTGCCTGGAGGTGTGGTTACATGAACTGAAACTGCGCTTGAGGAACATTACCGCAAAATCTATCGCAGATTCACAGACGCGACAATGCTTACAATTTCTGGTCATTGTGTGCGTTCAAGGAAAGTGGCTCGTAACGGGTTGTGTCCATGGTATTTCGCTCAACTATGCGGACGCTGCTTCCTCTTTGAACCTCAACGTGATAAATGTTCAAGCATGCGAGAGTGAAGTAAACCACGATTCAAAGAATGCACCATTGCTTGAGCAATCAACATCAACTCAATGGGTATTCGGCATGAACTCCAAAGAAAGAATAACGAGGAAATGTCCACTACCAGATGCTCGAGGCATACGAAGGAAGTATCGTGGTTTTGGGGTAATCTGGCACGCGAGCTCCGACGTCGGCAGTGGGCAAAATTCCGCGGTCAAGGCGTGCGCGTCAAGACAGAAGGCATAGAAAGGCTTGAAGCTTAGAAAAAGTTAACACGTTATAGAATCCATTTGTGATATGGCAATATCTTATAATTGAGGGATAGAGCATCTTCAGTCGGGGTTGTTGACTCATGGGACTATCACATCAGTCTGCTTTCTCATCAGCTCCAAAAAAAACCATCCCTCTTGTCAACCTAGATAACGTCTCAGCATCACTCATTGCCCACGATGAGAGTCACCCGCGCTTGCTACTCGGCATCGCTGAGCGGCGCGATCCCTCACGCCAAGCTCAAGTATGTTCCCAATGCGGGCGTCTACCCCCAAGGCTTCTCAGCCTCAGGCGTGTTTGTTGGGGTGAAGCCTGGCAACACGAGCAAACCCGACCTCGCCATTGTGACCTCAGATCGCCCATGCGCTGCAGCGGCGGTATTCACAAAGAACAAGTTTCAGGCTGCGCCTGTGACTTTCAGTCGGAAGGTTCTTCAAACCAAGAAAAACGAGGGACTGCGAAGTGTGGTGATCAACTCGGGAAATGCCAACGCTGTGACAGGCCTGGGCGGTCTGGAGGACGCGGCGAACATGGCCAGGACCACCGACCAGAGAGTTGGCGCCGAGGACTCGACACTTGTGATGAGCACAGGCGTCATTGGGCAGAGGTACGTTGCGCATGGTTTATTTATTGAGAGACTTGAGGCTGACACTCTCGAAGACTACCTATCCAGAAGATTATTGACCACATTCCCGTGGCGTATCATCAGGCTGGAGACTCGCACAAGCACTGGATGACCTGCGCAAAGGCAATCTGCACGACGGATACATTCCCCAAGCTTATGAGCCGGTCATTCTCCCTGCCCTCGTCGCCCAGCGTCGAGTATAGAATTGCTGGGTTGACCAAGGGTGCTGGTATGATCGCGCCCAACATGGCCACCCTGCTCACGATCATCGCTACAGATGCACCCATCTCGCCGGCTATTATGCCCCAGGTGGTGAAGCATGCTGCGGACAGGTCATTCAACGCCATTACTATTGATGGCGATGCCTCAACGAACGATACCATGGCTTTGTTGGCGAACGGCGCGGCAGGCGGCGCAGAGGTTTCTTCTACAAGCTCAGAGGACTACGCTGCCTTTAGAGAGCTGCTGACTGACTTCTCAGCCGACCTGGCCAAGCTCATTGTCCGCGATGGTGAGGGCGCGACCAAGTTTGTGACCATCCGTGTTGTCGATAGCGCCACTGAGGAAGCTGCACGCGAGGTTGCCCGATCCATTGCCCGCTCGCCGCTCGTCAAGACCGCGCTCTACGGCAAGGACGCCAACTGGGGTCGCATCCTGTGCGCTGCTGGGTACGCCCTGGTCTCACCTCCTGGTCAACCCATCAACGATATCCCTGAGATTGTGCCTGAGAAAACCAATGTCTCGTTTGTGCCTAGTGACGGCTCGCCTGAGCTGAGGCTCCTGGTGAATGGCGAGCCGGAGCAGGTCGACGAGGTGCGCGCCGCCGAAATTCTGGAGATGGAGGACCTGGAAATTGTCGTCAGGTTGGGGACGGGTACGGAGAGGACGGTTCACTGGACCTGTGATTTTAGCCACGACTATGTGACCATCAACGGCGATTACCGGACTTGATGAAGCGAGTGTATAGAAAGAGAGCAATGTAATTTTCTTTAGATGATCAACCCGTCTACCCAAAACGCCGTCTAACCCGTGCACGTAATTCGTGATCGTTTCTCATCTTTAGGCGCTCAATGTGCCCTTGGTGCTGGGCACCTCGCCCTCCTTCCCAGCTACCCGACTCGTCGCCATCTTCACCGCAACGGCGAGAGCCTTGAATGCGCTCTCTGCTCTGTGGTGGTCGTTGTCGCCCCGCAGGCAGTCCACATGCATGGTCACCCGCGCTCCTTGCGCAAAGCTCTGGAGGCAGTGGGGAACCATCTCGCAGCTTAACTTGCCCAGCCACTCTCTCTTCAGACCAAGGTCGATGACGCTGTAGGGGCGGTTGGAGATATCGACGACTGCGCGCGACAGGGCTTCGTCAAGAGGGGCGTAGGCGTAGCCGAAGCGCGCAAGACCAGTGGGCGTTCCGAGGGCGGTGGCGAAAGCGTAGCCAAGAGCGATGCAGACATCTTCAGCTGTGTGGTGGTCGTCGACTAAGGTACTCCAGTTAGCAATTTGTCCAACGTGGCCAGACACAAGCCAGACTCACTGTGCAGATCGCCCTCGCAGTTGATCGCAAGAGACCAGCCCGCATGCTTGGCTAGAGCATGCAGCATGTGGTCCAGAAACCCGATACCAGTGTTGACGGCGATTCGCTGCGACTTGGAAGACTGCGAGGCGTGGGCATCGTCATTGGCAGAGGTTAGACGGGAGTCGGTCTCTGGGGGAAAGGAGCCACCATCGAGGTTAATGGCGAGCTGAATCTTCGTCTCGTTTGTATCGCGCGCGAGGGCGGCCCAGCGAGTTGCGGTAGTAGACATTGTGGCTAAGACTGACTGTTCGGAGACGATTGAGTCGCAAATGAGCGTATGGGCGAGAGTGGTAGCGTCAACCGTGGCGATGATGAATGTTGAGGTTGAGGGACCGACTTTTTGGCCCCACCTCTGACAGCATCCGAGAATCGGGGTCCAGGTCGTGGTGCGCTGCATGCCAGATGGAAACATAGTAGTCAAGCATTCTCAAAATTTGGGCGTAAGTTACTGATTTATTTTTTCGAAGAATCCAGAGCATGTTCTATAGACGCAAGAGACTTCTCAAGACAGATCACACAAGGTATTGACGTGCCTTGACTGGAGCTCAGAGAGCTTTGATCCTCTGTCGCGACTGCCCCTCCACCCGCTGTAATTTAATTGTTAGCGTCATCATACGCGACCCGTGGAAGATGCAGACCGCGACGAAACATTGACACCTACAACACCTCTCGTCGCAGAGCCTCAACAACTCTGGCTCCCACCACAGAGCTCATGTGCATCGGATACATGTGTCTCAGCAGATAATGGAGACATACCTGCGCGAATGGCGCCAGGATGCCCTGAACAAATCCCAGTACGAGTCGGCTATCTTCATCGGGGACAAGCTACTGGCCTTAACACGTGCGGACAGAACCCGTCGATCGAGCCAATGTAACTGACCGGTACAGATGACGATGGCGATGCATTCTGGCTGGCACAAGTTCACTTTGCTACGGGCAACTACACGCGAGCTCATGCCTTCCTCGAAAAGCAAGACCTCGTGAACCGCAGCTCATCATGTCGATATCTCGCGGCCCACTGCCTCACCAAACAAGGATTGTTCGACGAAGCACTGAAAATTCTGGGTGATCGAAATCCGACGCATCTCATCATGAACGGGGGCCCAAGCCACAAGCGAAAGACACAGGCAAGAACCGGCGCGCGAGGTGCAAGAAGACACGGTGCCGACGACGAGACTGCCGCCTCAGAAGAATCCAAGGAGCGACGATACGAGGCGGGTATGTGCTATCTCAGAGGCATATGCTACGCTAAAAAGAATGCGTTCGACCGGGCGAAGGAATGCTACAAAGATGCTGTGAGGATTGATGTCCAGTGCTTCGAGGCGTTTCAGCAACTCATGTCGAACCACTTGCTTTCGCCAGATGAGGAATGGCAATTTCTGGAAAGCCTTGATTTTGACCAGGTGCAAGTGCCCAGCAATCCGGGGGTAGCCCAGGAGGCGAGCGACTTCACACGGATGCTTTACACGACGCGATTATCCAAGTATCGCAACCCCGACGCTTTCGAAAGCGCATATGATTCTTTGTCGACACATTATCGCTTGTCGGACAACCCAGATCTGCAACTGGCGCGGGCGGATCTACTCTACACTCAGTGTCGGTACCAGGACGCCCTCACAATCACCAACGAGATCCTTGAGACGGACAAGTACAACTTTAGCATATATCCCGTACACCTAGCTTGTCTTTTCGAGCTCAAGAAGATCAGCTTGCTCTTCCTGGTTTCTCATGACCTGGCCGACACGCATCCGGAGGAGCCCTGTACATGGCTTGCTGTGGGCATCTACTACTTTGCGATTGAGAAGATCCCAGAGGCCAGGCGATATTTCAGCAAAGCGAGCATGATGGACGCACACTTTGGGCCTGCGTGGATAGGGTTCGCGCACACGTTTGCGGCTGAGGGCGAGCACGATCAGGCGATATCAGCGTACTCGACGGCAGCCCGGCTTTTTATGGGAACGCATCTGCCGCAAGTGTTCTTGGGGATGCAAAACGTGGCCTTGAACAACATGACTCTGGCTGAGGAATTCCTCAAGACAGCTCATGGTCTGTGCAAAACGGACCCACTACTGCTCAACGAGATGGGGGTGGTCAAGTTCCACCAGGACAGACCTAGAGATGCCATACTTTGCTTCAATCAAGCACTGCAGATGGTGGACGAGATTGGTGGTGAAAGGTCCGCTTGGGTGGCCGTGAGAACCAATCTGGCTCACGCAATGCGACGACTGGGGATGTACGAGCAAGCCTTGGTCCAGTTTGAGCAGGTGCTCCGCGAGGGAGGCAAGAATGCTGCCGTATTCTGCGCCAAAGGACTGATTTTGATGGAGCAGGACAAGTCTGACGAAGCTGTCGTTATCCTACATGAAGCGCTGGCGATCAACCCGCAGGACAGCATCGCGACCGAGCTTCTCAACCGGGCACTCGAAGAGACAGCCACTATGGACACAGTCACCGAAGAGGATGCGGATGAACTCGCATGTTTTGAGGGGCATCTTGAGCAAAGGAAGATGGAGGCCACACGCAAGCTGATGGGTGCGAATGGTGCCGTGGCGAAAGGCAAAGGGGCAATGGACAGACGACGAATTGTCTCTCTGGAGGGTGAAGAGAGCATGATGGACATGACTGATGAGGAATAATACGACACGCAATTACACTAGCATCCAGAAGGAAAGGCATGCATAATCACTATTTGATAGAATGTGACCACTTGTCGTCCCCTTCCACTCATGGTCCTGAAGTTGTCGGAATAAAACTGTCGCACTCGCATTCGTTCCCCGCATTTTCCAGCATCCAGAAGCGTAAGACCAGACGTCGCTTACGAATCGAGGAGCGATGATTGACACAGAGCTTCGGTGTTATTTAAGGTCGCTGTGTGCCTTCTTCGTGAAGTTTAAGCTACCCAGTCAAACGACGACCCAACTATCATGTCCTCGCCCTACACCCATGGCTTCCGCCAGGCTCCTTATGCCGAGGACCAGAAGTATGCCAAAACCATCCTCACCACGCACGTCCTGGAGCGTGGCCTGACGACAGGCGCCATTCTTGGCTCCACTTACACTGCTCTACGTTATTTTCGCGCCCCTGATGTCAAGACGAAGCTCTTACACAATGCTGGTCGCGGACTGCTGTGGAGCGGGCCGTTGATGCTTGTAGCCCTGTGGGGCCGTATGCGAGGCCGAGAGCACATTGAATGGCAAGATCGCAGTTGGAGACTCTTGGGCAACCCTTTTCAAGGCGAGGTGGATCTCTTCACTGAAGTTGGCCTGGTTGCTGGTACGGCGACGTACCTTGGAAGAGTACCGCGCGCTACGTGGACAGGATATGGGGCATTAGGAGCGGCTGGCCTTGGTACCATTGGGGGAACGATTGCTTATATGGCCTGGCGCCATGGAATGCATGGTGGAAACTTCAAAGAGCGCGAGGCGTTGTAATGTTCGTGGGGATCAGTCCTGCTTGGGATGTCCCCTGAGTGAACTAGCGGTTCCTGTATTGATTGGTACTGTGCTACTCTCTATTGATCTATAGCTTGGCCTGTGGCTCTGTAAGGGCTTCTACGTTCTGGAAGCGGTAGAAAAAGTCAAGACTTTGGGGATTCAGCAGTGTTCCACTGGGGTTCACTGTGCGTCCAGATATAATGTGCTTCACGGGAAGCTCAACCTTCTTGAGGTTGACTGTGGTCTAGTTCTTTGTTAGTCCGTGTGCAAGTCGCGGCGTAGTGTAATCAAGTGAACTCACAGGGATATCGGGGACCTCAAAAATATACTTGGGCACGTGCCTCTTGTTGAGCTCCTTGGCGATCCTCTCTCGAATGTCGCTCACCAAGCCCCTTGTCAGCGTCCTGCCCTCGCGCATGAGCAGGAAGAGGACCACCCTCTCGTCCTGATCTTGGGGCCGACGCTGGCCCACGCAGATACTCTCCCTAATCTCATCGGCGAAATACTTCTCTACGACACCATAGATGTCGGAGCTGCCGAAGCGGACACCGCTGGGGTTCAAGACGCCATCGGATCGACCTAGCATGTTGACATTGCCCGTGACGGGATGGATGACGCAAAAGTCGCCTTGCGCCCAGGTGTTCTTGAATCGGGAAAAGTATGCTGACGTGTATTTGGGACCAGGTGCCTTGGGGCCATCGTTCCACAAGAACAGCGGTACGTTGGGGAACGCGGCCGGCGCGACGAGATCGCCTGGCGTGCCTGCTGGGAGAGGCACTCCTTTTTGACCGGGCTCAAGGTCATGGTCGTATACGGCAAAGGGTACACCGAGAGCAGGACCTTGAGTGCCGCCAACGTAGACTGGGGTGAGGGGGTTGTCAATGACAAAGCAGCCAGCCTGCACCTGTCAATCGATTTGTCCAATAACACGTACGAAAGAAGAGACTCACGATATCTGTACCGCCAGAGATGTTGCACAGATGAACATTCATTGGGAAAGCTGTGTCGTAGAACCACTCAAACAGCTCATCGGGGAGAACCATGCCGGTACTGCTCACCATCTTCAACTTGCTGAGGTTGAAGTCCTCACGGGGACGAATGCCACTTTTTCTGACCTCGCTCATCCACCTTGGACTGGTTCCAAAGAACGTGACGCCCTGTTGTTCCATGATTCTCAAGAGCACCGCCGCATCGGGGAGAAGGGGACTTCCATCGTAGAAGATAGCCCTCCCACCTATTAGCAGATGGGCCACGCTGGCGAGATACATGATCCAGCCAGTTGTCGTATATTGCATCGCGACGTCGGTTCTGTCTAAGTCGTGGTGGAGGGTGCTCTCCTTGCTAAGATTCAAAAGCAGGGGACCCGTACTATGGACGATGGCTTTGGGCGTCCCAGTGGTGCCAGATGAGTAGTAGATGATGCTGGGTGCTTGGAAGGCAACACGAGCCAATTCGGGTGGGGGCGCAGGCGACCCTCGTAGAAAAGCCTCCAGTGTCTCCGTGTTGTCTATTCCGGCCTTTGGAGCTCGGCGAGAGGCCTCGAAGCGAGGGATGATGACGGTAGCCTTGAAGCTTGAGCATTTCCTCATGCCCTCCGTCACCCCCTGGATCTTGTCTTGCAGGTCAATCTTTTTGCCATTGTAGATGGCCCCATCGTCGAAGAAGACGAACTGTGTGAGTCAGCATCTCACACCTTCGTGTAAATCACCAGATATCTTCACGTACCTTGGGATCGATTTGTGTCGTCCTTTGGAGAAGACCACCAACGCCCATATCCGTCGAGCTACTGCTGAAGATACCGCCGAGCCATAGCGTCGCGAGCATGACGGTAAAAGTGCTGACGCTATGTGCACCGACAACAACGACGCGATCGCCTTCCACGACTCCCCTTGCCTTCAGGGAGCCGGCAAGCTCACCAGCTCTGCGTCGTAGGTCCGCCCACGTGTGGTTTCTGACTTCCGTGTTGCCCTCGCGAATCTCGGTCACGGCAACACGATCATCCTCCTTGTTCGTGGTCGTCCTCTCGCCAGGCGAAGCACCAGTAGTCCAGAGGAAAGTCTCCGCGAAATTGACCTTGACGCCCTCAAACCACTTGGGCAGATCAGTGATGGGTGCCGTTTCATCGACGACACGGCTGTATGTCCCCTCGTGGATCCAGTTCCCTAGTTTCCAGACTCCGTCGTAGAAGGCGCCGCGGTTGTTGACGGACCATTGGTACAAGTCATCGTATTTCTGTGAGAATTAGCCAGTTACAGGGTATAGTGTTCCAAAGACACTTACTTTGAGCTTCACATCATGCATACGATTTACGTCCTGCATGAACTGGTACATGGTTGTGGACTCGGGGTTGGGGTGCTCCCATAGCTTGCGGGGGACAGTCTGTACATCCATTGTGTCTAAGGTGCGTGTTTTTTGCTTATTCAAACGAAAACAAGAGGATGTCCAAATCATATAAGCAGCACAAGTCGAGTCTAGTGAAAGCATAGCTGGACCGCAGGATCCCCCCACACCTCGGTCAACCTCGGCAGACGCAGACAGGTTGCGAGGTCGGATCCGATGATCGCTTGCCGACCCCACGGGGTAAGCAGCGTTGGACCTTGGAAGACGGATCCTCATGAGAAACAAAGAAATTGGCCCATTGCTGTGACAACACATTCGATTGCCTACCAAAATGATGACATAGGCTTCACTTTCTGGAGGAGGGGAAGCACCAAAGTGAAAGATAGTTCTACCTACCCTGAGCCTGACGCCGTGCTGTGAGAAACCCGTCTTGGGTGAAAAATGGTAACAATATTTGATCAAGCATTCAGCTAGGATATCCTCGTGGTCATGTAATCTGAGTTGTATTTATTGAGAGATGAGTGGAGACACATGATCGAATACTCCGTTTTGCAAACATCGAGACGCTGTTTGGTTGGTGACCAGGCGTGACTATCACGAAGATTTTTCTCCAAGGGATGAAGAACAGTCAAGATCGAATCAATGGATAGCGTGTTGTTTATTATGAATGTAACCAATTACGTCAGCTTGCTTCCAACGGCTGATAAAAGTACACTCGTTGTGGTATCTTCGTTTCTTGGTCCTCATGCGCTAAAGCCGCCAATCCCAATCATACCCTCCTGTAACGCCATGCTTAAAACGACATGCCTCCCAAAGCCCACATCCGTCTTCCTCTTCCCCCCTGTTTCCCGTGTCTGGAGAGCCGCAAAACTTAGTTTACAAGTATGGCATCCAAAGCGCATCGCACTGTGCCAAGTTCCTGGGGTTGACGGCCTTGGCAATGGCGTCGATAACCGTCTGCGTTGCTGGCAGATTGCCCGAAGGGCTATGCGCCAGACTCATGGCTCTCTTGACAATCGAGTCGCTGTTCACATGAACAGACTCACGGACCTGTTGTTCCGAGACACTGCCGTGCCTATGCGTGCTAGTGAACCAGAAGATCATCTCATCACGCACTGTGAGCGTGAGAGCATGCTCGAGCTCATGCTCCGATTCGGTGAGGCAGCGTGCGATAGCCATGACGGCGCTCGCGAAGATGCCCTCCGTCGCCAGTGGGCCCATCAGCGTCTGGAGATTGGGTGTCAGACGGAAGGGCACTGGTTCCGGGTTCGTGAAGTACGGCTTGTTGTTGCTCATGTACGACATGAGTTCTGACCCCCAGATGTTGCCCGAACCACGAGCAATGTTGAACTTTTGCGGGTAGCGGACGTGCATGTACATGGTGTATGTCATGAAAGTCAGTGCCGCCAGCTGGTAAGAGAACTGGCGGCGGAAGAGCCAAAAGTCCGCGAATTGAGGGTGTGTCTGCTGGAAGTACTCCAGTGCAACCGTGTGTGGAACCCATTTCTCTTGAATGGCGTTCAGAATCTCCAATCGTGCAGTGGCAGTCTGCTCAGCCTTGTTCTGCACCGCGTTAGTATGATCTGCCTCGTCGTAGCCGCGAAAGGGATGACTTACATTAACGTTGAGCTCGTGCACACCGCGAAGCTTCTCCATCGTGAAGAGAACAGGCTCATCTCTTTGGATCCCGTTGCGTCGGCAGTGATCCTCATAGACGCCTTGCAGGGTGATGTACGAGCAGTCCTCCTGCACGATTCGAATGTGTGGAGCGAGGGGCACCATGAGAGGCAGGGTAAACTGCAAATCGCGACGGCGACTTTCCTTCTTGCGGTTCAGGGTTTGGTTGAGGTGTCTGAACAGCTGCAGAATGCGCTCCTCGCGACGGCAATGTCTAGCGGCAGGATGCTGCACTGCCCACGTATGAACGCTGCCGTCATGTCCACGCATTTTCACCCGTCGATAGGATGCATTGATGGTGCGAACAAGGTCGACGTTGGGCAAGAAACGCTCGATACGGATAAAGTCCTGGTTCTTATCCTTATGCTGGAGATACTGCCCTGGCACTTCCACCTCATCCAACTTCTGGTATCGGAACTCGCTGAGGTGAGGGGAGAACACCTCAAGCGCCACGCGGGTCGTGCGGCGGTCCAGCTTCTCTTCGAATTTGTCCCGCCATCTCCGCAGCTTGTGGATGTACTCGTACATGGTTGGCTTGACGTCCACAAAGTCAGCCTCGAAGGATTTCTTGATGTGTGGCGGCAAGATTGTCTCGGCGAAGCGGGTGATATTCTGCTCTGTGGCCGCTGGAAGCTTGACGCTCTTCGCAAACGAGGCGGGCGTTCTAGCCACGTACGCAAGCGCATCGTTGAGCAGCGCGACGATGAGTCGATAGGCATCTTCGTCCGGCGGACACTTGAAGTTCTTCTGGATCTGGTCGACCATTGTCTCCATGGATAGCGCCAACAAGGGGAAAGCGGTCTTGAGCACGGACATGATCTCATCAGCAAGCTCCCAAGGCGGCCGTTTCTCGTTGCCACCAGCAGCATTGGCAGCGGGAGGAGCGCTGGCATTTGCATTTCCGGTCTGATTGGAGTTCGCATTGGCAGCCGTAGCAGGCGCGGTCGCAGTGGCAGGAGCAGAAACAGGGGCCGCATTGTTGGCCTCCGCGTCGTTACCCTCAGTCTTGACTTGCGCCTCCTGCGTGGGCTGTTGCGCTTCGGCACCATTGCCGTTGGCAGTCGCGGGACGAGACGATGAAGCTTCAGTTTTGGGTGGCTCGGCCTTGGTCTGTGCAGGGGAGCCGCTGTTCTTTGCCGCCGCTGCCGCTGCTGCAACGGACTGTTGTCGCTGCTGACGGGCCTTCTCCTTGGCCTCCTGGCTCTTCTTAATCACTAGCATGTCCTCCCTGTTGGTACGCAACTGGAAGTAGAGGGCTTGTGGGTAGGTCTTGGCGATCTTGAGCAAGATAGCCTTGACTCTCATGGCCTCCTTATGACCCAAGCCAGTGAGTAGCTGAGGAATAAAGGTGATCCAGTACCAAGTTGGTGTCTCGCCCTTGTAGTCGTCAAAACCAGCGGCGATGCCGCCCTTGGAGTCATCCAAGCTCAGCAGCCACAGTATCCTGGCGAGTAACTTGCGCGCCTTGTGATTTTTGAAGCTGCCAGCAGCTTGCAGATACGATGTGAGGGCCTGGCGAGCTGAGGAAACATCTGACGCATCCTCGTTGAACTTGCGCTCATTGAAGTAGCCCCATTCAGCCCAAGCCTTGGCGGCCGTGATGTCGTGAAACAGAGCCGTACCGTAGGCATTGTCCGCCTCCTCCTTCTGAGATAGCTTCTCCAGGAACATGCCTTTGAGAGTGTAAAACTCGGCTTTTTGTTGAGGATTGAAGTAACCCAAGTTTGTGTTGTTAATTACGTCGAGACCACTGGTAAGCTCATCAGGGTTCTCGTAGTGACACTTTGCTTGTTCTCTGAGTTTGAGGAACGCCTCCTGGATTTCAATGTTGGGCAGCGTGTAGATGCGGCTCAATTGAGCGATGCAGACCTCGGGGAGGTTGTGCTTGCGGGCAACGTGCGCGAAGCGGTTGATGATCCACGCGGTTTCATGGTAGCCACGATACGCGTATGAAGAGGCGCCATTGGGATTCTGCTGGCCGTTCCCTGGAATGAGGCCCAGGTATGTCGTGTTAATCAGGTTGAAGATGTGCTGCCTCCACGTCACAAGATCTTGCCACGCTGTGATATCGTCCCAGACATTGGGCAGTCTGTCTCTCCAGGCTCCAAGAAGAATCTTCAGCTCAGTCGACTTCATATCGAGGTTGCCAACGTTGGTACTGGCGAGACTCGAGACGATGTTCGACGCGTCGTGAAGCTCTACCAACTGTTGGAAGTTCTGCAGCAAAGGAATATGTGAGTTGGTCAGACGGTCCGGAAGCTGGTGCCACCTGCGGATGGAGAGTTGGATTGCCTCATCGCACACCCTAATAAAGTGTGAACTGTCCTCCTGTTGGTAGTGGAACTTGAGAAGGTGCATGAACGACTGGAAGAAAGCCCGACGGGGCGTGGGCGCATCGATGACGCCCTTAATGATACCGTCAATGGCCTCCCGATGATTCTCCTCTTGCCACATCTCAGGAGTGCGCCAAGCACACTCTAGAAGAAGATCTTGGTAGTTCTCGTGCTTCGCGAGTTCTTGCAGCACCTCCCACTGCTGCAGCTTCTGGGCACACAGTACCCAGTGGTCTTCCCAAAGCACGTATTCGGGCTGGCTCAGCGGGATTACACCGGTACGTGCCTTGATCTGCGCGTTTTCGTACAGCTTTTGCGCCTTGTCCCACATGCCGTTCTGCTCGTACGATAGCGCAGCGTTTGTCTCGACGTATTCGCAACGCCGGCGCCACGTTCCATAAAACATGTCGTCCTCAGAGAGCGTTGCGTACATCTCCACCAGCGCATCAAGGTTACACGACCGGACCTTAGCCGTGTCGGAATCGGGCTTGATGGCTGCTTCTTCCAGTTGTACAATGGATGTGTACCAGGTGTCGTACGTTCGGCCGACGAATTTGAGGACCACTGGGGGAAGCCTGCAAAGGGGCTTGGTTCGCGCCGCACCCTCCACCAGGGACTGAACAACGTTTGGACGCTTGTCGATCTGGCGACTGTGATAGTCTTTGGTCAAGAGAGCAAGCAGGCCCCGCTCCAGGTCATTTCGCTCATCACGCGCGGCGCAAGACCAGAAAATGGGGAACAAAGACACCCATAATTCGTGCGAGAGCTGGTTGTCGATGTGTTGTAGTTGCACTAGTGGTTCAAGCAAATCCTTGACCTTGACATCGCCAAGCTCAGCCACGAACCGTTTGTGCTTGGCCATGAATGCTTCAAAATTGTCGTCCATCATCTGCGTTGGCTCACGTCCGGCTTTCTCCTTTGAGTAAACGGTGGCCAGCTGCGACGCCTTGATCATTTGGAAGTCTTCGGGGTGCAACTGTGCAATGGCGTTCATCTCCACCCCACCCAGGAGAAGCTGTGAGGCCTGCGCCAGCCAGAAAGTCTCCGAGAGTGTGTCCCAATTCTGTGATGTGAGCACATATGACAGTCGGGCGTTCGCCGATTTCGAAAGGCTCTTATCGAAGATGGCCATGAAGCGGTTGCGCATTTCGACGTCATTGGCGCGGGTGCCGATCAAGAAGGCATGTTCCATTCGCACCGTCAGCTCAGTCCTCGTGATTTTCGGGTCTTCGTAAATCCGAATGACCAGATTGAGGAACTTGTTCAGTACAGTTGGGTCCGATCGTCCTTCGAAGGACAGCATCTTGTGGAGCACGGCCGTTTTCTCCTTGAGCGTCGGCCATGTCCCTTCAGACCGGAAGATCCAACCCTCCACCATGTCCAGAATTTCCATGCACAGGGGGATATGCATGGACTTCTCAACCAGTGTTGCCAATACGCTGAGAAAGGGTCTTCGGTTGTCCCCTAGCCACTCCATACGTAGAGACACGGTCTGGATCTCTTTGATCATGATGCGAGTATGTATCTCCAGCTCATGCGGTGAAAGCTCGGAGGAGGGCGGGTTGAGTTCCTTGGCAGCTGATGCGCTCAGAGCGGCATTGTAGTGTTGAACATGTTCTTTGGCATGTTTGCTTTGCAATGCCTTCATGAGCGCCGGGATATGCTGATCAATGATCTGTGGCTTGCGTTGACCAATTGACCAGAGAAGGTTGACGCCAGAGATGTAGTTGTTTGCATTCATCGCGTCCGTGGCAAGCTGCGACAGGTATGAGATGAACTCTGACGTCTGAGCCTCCGGCTCAGCCTCAGCATCGGCGTCCTCCATGGGCGTGTCGTCAGGTATGGCATCGATCACACGCTTGACGGTTGACCTCATGTTTGGCCCAACGTCGGTCTCTGGGTCAGAGTGGTGTAGGCAGTCTTGGATCTCCGGGAACTCGCACTTGAGACTCTTCTCTAGCACTTTCTGTACGGCGGGAATATTGTTGCGGATCCATTCGTCCGATTTGGCATTGAGCAGGACGCGGACAAGCTGTAGGGTGTTGATGATGTTCGTGAGAAACTTATCGTCACTCTTGTCCTTCTCGCCAGCAGAGTCTGGGCCGAGAATGGCCTGCGTCTTGTCGCTGGACAGAATCACATCGGTGACATTGGAGAACAAGTCTGTCTCAATAGCTCCCCAGTAGGTCGGCTGCACAAGGTTGTGCAGCAGGGTCAACGCCTTCTTGCACAGCTCGGTTGTGGGCGCAGGCTGTGGAATTTGCAGTGTTGGTTCCGGGCGAGGCTTAGCCGATGGCAGAACGTAGCGCTCGTTGAGTTGGGCAATGAACTCCACGAGGTACTTAAGCATCTTGAGTTTCATATACTGTGGAAGGCCTTGGTGCTGCTGCTGCTCAGGCTTCTCAACTGGAGCAGCGGATTGCCCTGGTGACGACGTGACTAGCTCGCCATTCAGCGTGCGCTTTTTGGCCGAGGGAGACTCGGACGAGGCAGCCCTGGTCTCTACCACAGGGGATGATGGCATGCCTTCCACGCGCCACTGCTCCCAGGTCCAAACCAGCCACATCATGTTCAATGCCAGCTTACGGCTCTCATAGGAAGCGGATGATGGAGTCGCGATCTTCCTCAAGGAGGTGACAATGAGACCCATGTACTTGTCCCGAGCCTCAAAGAAGAGCGCGGGGTTCTTCACGAGGAAGTTGAAGATGCTGCTCATCTGCTGTGCATTGTTGCCCTCGTCGGCGAGCACCTTGCGAGGCGCCATCGCCCAAGTGGGAACTCTTTCGTTCGAGTTGGCGGCAACGCATCGCTTGGGCAAGACGGGTGCGATCAGCTCCAAAGCTTGGTTGACCAAAGCCCGGCCCTCATTCTGACTAGTCTTGAGCAGCGACATGTACACTTGCGAGGCGATCTTGTAAGGAGTGTCGTAGTGCACGATGAAGTACGCAATCGCGACATAAGCCGCGTGCTTGTTGATGACATCCTCCAAGCGAATGAAAGTCCAGCCGAACTTGATGATGTCCTTGCGAGCTTCCTGCAACATCGCGTGGTAGTACTTGATGAGCATGGCGGACAGCTGAAGGACTTCAAATCGCGTCTGGTCAATGCCGGGTTGCGCTTGATCATCGAGGCTCATGTCGGGGTGTGCTTTCCAGATCTTTGAGGACACCGAATCTATGACCGAGCGATCAAGAAGTTTGGGAGCTGTCGCATCGGCTCGGTGCCCCTTGCGCATGACGTCCATTGCCACAATTGGATTGACAATGTAGTGCAACAGGAAGTGCTTGGTCTTGTTCGACGCAGCCTTTCCCCAATAGATGTCCAAGCATCGCAGGACTGTCCGTCTCCAGAAGTCGATAGAGTCACTGCAGATGATATGCTGGTAGATGAAGGTATGAAGTTGTGGCGTTTGGCGAAGTTGCTCCGATGTAACCAGCTCGACCAGGTTGAGGAGGCCATCTAGATCCTGGGGATTTCGCTTAAGAGAGCTGATGAGGATTGTCATCAACTGTTCACCCGCTTGTAACGAGGGTAAGCGTAAGTGGGGTGCCACAGAATAGGTTCGCAGCTGCTGCTCCATGTCCTTGCCAAGCTCCTTGAGCCAATTGATGTTTTCCTTCTGGCCCATCCACTCGCTCGAGCTTGGATATCCGCCGAGCGAGTGAAGCACGTGAATGGTGTTGACGATAGCCACAAACTTCGTGTCCGTGCCTTGCACAATGACAGCCTTACACTTGCTGATCAAACCGTCGATGTCTGCAACGGCAGCTTCACGCAATGGCCCACTGTCAGGATGACTCAATACCTGGCCAAGCAGGCGGCCATATTTCAGCTCGTCGATTTTCCCAAGCAAGTAAGCCCAGATCTCCTTGGGGTATCGGTTCAGGTATCGATAGATAGGTGCGCGGAATGGACTGAGATGCGTTCTCCTCAGGCGCTCTTCAAGACCCATAAATGTCTCAATGAGCCTCTCCTTGAACGCCTCGGCCGGAGCAGGCAGCAGGTGGAAAATGTTGAGTACGGCTGTGATGACCTTCATCTGCGGATTCTCTTCAAAATAGATGAATGAGATCTGCTGCCAGGCGTTGGGTTCGACGATGGACTCGATCTGATCAAGCAATCTTGTGCCAATCTCCGTTTTGAAGTAGCTCGTGAGAAGTTTGAGCAGGCGAGCGAGGTTGTCCAACCCAGGCACGCTAAGACGCTTAGGTTCGGACAGATTCTGCAATACTGGACGCAGACCACCTTGAAGCAGGTCTTTAGGCAGCCGACGGTCAACGGCGAGTACTGCTTTCAGCGCATCGTTAGCAGCTGCTATCGTCGGTTTCGATTCCGAGTACAAGCACTTGAAGAACACCGAGAGAACACGGCTCTTGGTATGTTGGTTCGAATTGAACTCTTCAAAGCCCATGGCGGTGCTCAACAAACGAATGCACGAGACTCGCAGGTCCACAATGTGCTCGTGAGTGCGATACTCTGCTGGCTTGTTGGCCAGTGACTCATCGTTGGCGTCCGCTAGAGCCAGGGACTCGAGAAGCAACCTGTTGAGGTTCTCATCAAACGCGATCCAATCACTCTTCAGCGCCATGTGGTAGTTCATCGCGTTGATATACCCGATCTGCGTAGCGAAAGGAAGCGCTCGCAGCGGTTTCGAATATATCGGTTGAAGGAATCGCTCTTTGTACGGCTCAAGAAGTTCCCAGACCTCACACTGCACCGCGTTGGCGATCAGCTCGAGCGAGCTCTTGGCCGTTGCACGGACGTGCTTGTTCATGTGAGACAACTCGGTGTTGAGCTGCATGCAAATTTGGGCCAGCCGCGGTTGCTTGGGTGGCGGCTGACCTTGGACGTGTGGTACAGGCATCGCGGCCGCCTTCTCCATGTTCTTTGTTATGCGTTTCAGCAAGACCTCGAGACTGGTCTGAGCTAGCCGACGGGTCTTCTCCGGCAGATCCTGAGGCATATCCTTGATAACATACAATAGAGCACGAATAAACTCTGTTTGCTTTGTTTGGATCCAGTGGTCGCCCAGGTCCAGCTCGGTCAGCATGAAGTGGATGCCCAAGCTACCGCCCGTCTTGGTGAACCATTCTTCCTCGTAACAGCTGTGGCAGAAGATTGTCGTGAGGTGACTGAAGAAATACAGGCGGCCCACCTGCGTCTCCGAACCGATGATCGTAGCCGCCGTGTCGTACATCTCGCGGATGACTGCTTTTGCAACGTCTCGGACGTCGGGCTGGTCTGAGGCAAGCGACTCAACAATAGCGTCGCAAAGGCATCTTGTGTCGATACATAGAGGCCCTTCGCCAGCGTTAGGGTTGAACGGGCTCATGTTACGCTTCAGATCCACCAGCGACCGCCCTACTTCGAGGACAGCAATGTGACGGCACATGTTCATCAGGAATGCTTCCGAGTCTTCCTTGAACTCGGGCATTGACACGGTATACATCATCGCTTTGAGGAGTCGCTTGACAATCTCATCCTGGTCGTCTTTCTTTGGTATCGAGCGGTCCCGGTCCGTGCCCTCGAATGCAGATAAGTCGATATCGGTCTGCTTGGTGAGGAAGTCCTGGATCTGCAAGCGCACTATGCGCGGGAAATCTTCCGGGAGCTGGTCCATACCGATGCGGAGCTTCAGCTGCGACTTGATAAAGTGCAACGCTTGCTTTCTGTAGTAAGGGTCATAGGGCCGCAGATGGGTGTTCTTGCCAACTCTGGGAACCTCCATGAGCTTTGTGATCGCAAAGTCGATGCCCAGATCGGCCGGGAAAGCTCTGTCCCGCTTTGAGCCAATCAGTCTCATGTCGAAGCTGGAAGGGTCGTCCGAAAACTCTCGATACTTCAAAGCCACTGCCGTGCTCATGAACTTCCTGTTCCTGCCACCTAGTTTCCCGAGAATGCGCATGGTGGTATGTGAATGGAAGTGGTTGTACGGTGAAGGACGTAGGTGATCAAAAAGCGCCGTCATTAGCTCATCGATCACAGGTGCCATGATAGGGTCCAGATAATCAGCTGTCAGGTTGTCCACGCAGAGCTCCAGAGTGCGAAGGCCCTGACCCACCAGATCTGTGCCTGCACGGAGAGCAACCACCAAGGGACGCATCAAGAAGCTTAGGTGCGGTAGTAGATGGCTCAGTCGCGCAGGGACCGTGAGGCAGAGCTCAACGTACAGATCGCGTTCGGAAGGTTTCCGAGCAGCCATGAGCAGGTTGTTGAGAACGTCCAGAAGCATCTCCAACAGAGGAAGAATTTGCTTGTAGAGCTGCTCAAATTTGCCGCCGCCAATGGAGCGGAACAAGGACCGGAGAAGGAGGAAGTAGTTGATAGGCTCCTCTGCCTTTGTAGACAGCTCGATAGACTTGGTCACAATGTTGACCACATGAGGTAGCAAGACTTGCTCGTTTTGTGACGCAAACAGAGTGACGGCCATGAAGGCTAACTTAAACAGGCGCAACAGAATGGACGCCTTCTTCACGTCAGCTGAGCCCACCTCGTCGATTCTCTCCATTAAGAAATGAAGAAGCATGCCACAGAAACTCGGCGACGTCGCCTCGCTCGCGAGGAAGAACTGAGGGATATGGAGCAAGGCTGTATGCTCAAAGATCATATCATAAAGCCGGGGAATTTCTTGCTGGAAGACTTCGTGGAAGATGGCCGGGTCAATGCAGTGGAACACAGTCGCAAAAGTCTCGAGCAATTCCTTCTCCTCCTTGGTACTGGACACCATGTAGAAGTTAGCCATGTATTCCACCGGCGAGGCGTAAGACGATTCCGTGGCAGGCTTCTCGATTTCGTAATAGCGGAAAACGTAGGCGCCCTCTCGGAACAGCTTGACAATGATGTTGACTTCCTCCGCGGTGAAGCCTGATGAGACTTCGCGCCAATGCTGGGGCGTGGTAGTTGGGTCGAGCGGCGCCCCTGTGTTGCATGTCCTCAACTGGTAGAATGTGTTCTTCAGCCCATTCATAAGGTTTTTGAAGAGAAACTTGTTCTCCTGGACAGGGTCTGACGTTCGGTCTCGAGGATTTGACGTTTTGATCGGCATAGCGTTGAATATGTCGATTTCGTCCCACTCTGGTTCGCTCTCTTTGTCGGCGAGGAATGTGTCCGACATCCCAGATGAATTCTGCTGCTCGTACTGTTTCGACAGTTTCACTGCGTTGGGATACTGTCGATTCATGGCGGCAAACTTGTCTCCAATCGCGTTGAGAATCATGAGCAGGTAGTGACGAGCGTCCACCTTATTCGGCATTTTGGCAATGCATTCGGCCATGTTAAGTAGCAATTTGGCACTCATGGTCTGGAAGCTGGTACCTGGGTAGTTTTCCTGCAGATTTCGTGTATACACATTGACCGTCTTCCGTATTTGATCCGGGCTCAGCTGATCGCGCACATGATGGATAAGGTCGGCGAGCATGCTGTACGCCAACGGACGCATGGTCTCATACACCGTCAAGCCGTCGCCTGTGAGTGTCCTTTCGTCCAGTAGCTCATCGATATGTGGCAAAAATATCGCTCGGAAGTTGTAGTTGATGATGTGCCTGATAGCAACCAAAAGTTCTTTGCGTGTGCCTGATTTCTCTCTCGGGCAGTCTTTGAGCAAACGTACAATGACAACTGGGAGGATAGGTAGATAATCTTGAAGAAATTGGGCGTACTGTCGAAGGAGATAGGCCAGAAAGCTCATAGTCTTGACCTGAGCAGTGATCATGTCTCCGAAAGCAGCCCGGTTCTTTATCCCAGAAGCGACACCTGTGTGTATTTGGCCTTGCTGCGCCGCCTCCTCATGTGCCTGAGCTTGCGCGTTCGCCTGAATCGAGAGGACATTCTTGATGACTGGGATGAAGTTCTTGACGTTCGCCTGCACGGTATGACGATAGACCTGAAATATGGACACCACAATTATAGGACATTCGCACATGACTTTGAACGATCGCATACCCTTCAAGAGAGGTCGGTTGTGTTGCTGAGGATCTGCTCCAAAATCGGACATGGTGGCAACCGGCGAGCCCGGTCTAGGGGACTGAAAGGTCGTCTGAGAGCTCCCAGGCGTTGAGGGAGCGCCAGTCTGTGGATTGACGCCGCCCATTGGGTTGTCGAGCTGATCCCTGACTATGCTCTCCATCTGCTCGAAGTGTTCGAGGATGAGAGACAAGAACTTTTGCACATGCTCCCCCATGACTTTATGCTGGTGCCGGAGGATGTCGCTTGTGATCTTGACGGCAATAGTGGCATTGTCCTCGTTGTCGTTGCGCACGAGCTGCATAAGCAATTCGACGGTCTTGACGGCGTACGGCTCGAACGGTTCAGTCGGCGTCGACTGCATCGGTAGACGGTGGAGGATCTCGAGGATGATGTGTCGGAGCCTCTGCTCCTGGGAGGCGCTGTGGAAGACGCATGGTCCGCTCAGGATCTGGAGGAAGATGGGGAGCAATTGCCGAAGGAAAGGTGCGTATATTGGGCCACTCGTGTACGAATCAATACTGTCGCATAGTTTGGTAGCAGCATCGACCTTGAGTTTGATGTCTGTGTGTTGAGATTAGTTGCCGAACATGGTGGAGGGCAGTGTCGCTCGCATACCCGAGTCTGCGCTGCCCAGACGCTTCACGACATCATTGATATCGTACGACATGTTGCATCCTCAGTGTGGCAAAATTCACCCCAGACTGGGACAGTCAGAGGGTGAGGCTTGGCTTCGCGAGAAGGATACGTGATTGCCCTTGGGGGGCGTGGCTTGAAGGTCGACGCAGGTGGACACCGTGATAGCTCTGAGTTCGCGCAATCGTGGGCTCGTGTCGATCTCGGTCGGTTGTGGAAGGATAATTAGTAGATAAACCTCGGGAATTTTATATCAGTCGCTTCAATTGCAGTCGCCTACGCTTTGATAATATACAGCGTTCTGTTGGTGGCGTTTGCGAAAATAGAGGCGTTGATGCGCGTGGTGAGATGGGCAGGATGGATGGAGAGCTCCAAAGGCCGTTCGCGACAAAATTCACGAGTTGCGTCGAAGGTGGGAGCGCATGCCGCGAAATCAACTTGCGCTAGGGAGGGAACATTGAAAACCCGTTGCGCTAGTCTCTCGCGCCGCGCGGAGTGGGCCTTCCCGCGTCTGGTTGCCAAGACAAGCAAGAACACAACTTTTGGAGATGGGCCTGATCATCCTCCACAAGACGTTGCGTCAACAGTCCTACACGGCCCCGGACGGGTGTATTCACGTAGCTTGCTGTGCTGCATTCTAACACTCAAACTTTGCGCTCATGAGATCATGCACACCAGCCCATGGAGCCGACGTAACTCAGTGTACGGAGCCCTCGCGGTTTGCACTGCAAGGGCGCTTATCGATAGGGAAGCGGTACAACACGAGTACAACGTACCGACGATTGACAATCCCCGTTGTGGGCAAACAGTACAACAACGGTGACCGTTGTTAGTTGAGTGAAGCGCTCATCAATTCACTCACTCGAATTCGGTATATAGCGTGTCACTTCTCTTCTTTTGATTCTTGTCTTCATTCTTTATTTTCGACTTCCACCAGCTTTGTCTGTGCAAGCCAACATTAAAAGATCACTTCGCCCAAGGCAGTAATCACGACATCATCAACGCGCCATTGCGAATCAAAATTCTGCCCAACATGAGTGGTGAACACACAGGCTTCTTCTATGGTAAGTCTGTGGCAACATTAGGCGTCCCCTAGCTCCCGTGTCTGCCGAAGCCAGTGCTAATCTAGACATCAAGGTACCTTGGTATGAAAACATGCAACCGTGAGGGTTCATGAGATCGCCTCGCTGACCACTGTAGATGGCGCGCGAGGTATTCTACAGCGTCTGCTATGGCCAGTCGGACCCGCCAGCTGCATTCAAGCAGATGCACACCTTTTCTCCAGCTTTGCTCGAGGGCTACTGCCGCCACCGCGTCCAGTACGCGGACTACCCAGGCATCATAGCCGAAGAGAACCATCGCGTCATGGGCGTCTACGTCACTGGTCTGACGGACGCCAACATGGTCAAGCTGGACTACTTTGAAGGTTCCGAGTACAAGCGCCAGAAGGTTAGGGTCCAGTTGCTGGACGGGGAGGATGGCAAGCCCGTCGAGGGCGAGGAGAAGGAGGCCGTGACCTACGTCTACATGGACCCCAAGGGTCTCGAACGTAAAGAATGGGACTTTGAGCAGTTCCGCAAGGACAAGCTGCGGTACTGGATCCGTGACGGATGTGCGACTGAGGGTAAGTTGGACCACGCCTGCAATCTGGACTGATGTTCAACCATCTTAGATCCCGACGACAAAGCTGCGGTGGACGGAGAGACCAAGTAGGCGACCTTGAGGATATCTGGGGCGCTTGTTGGTGTCGCTGGCCGCGTGATCTGATCATGGGCGCGTGGCAGTGCATTCGGAGGATAAGCGGTGAGAGACCCAGGAGACTGGTACGAAGGTTACGAAATTGGGCCAGGTCAATATGTCCTAAGCGCGTCCTAGAACCCTCTAATTAGAGACACGCACCCGGTGTGACCTACTGACAAGAAATTGATTTCCGGATGATACTACTTGTACTATGAGTCGAGGCGGCCGACGTTGGGTCGACGGAAGCTTCCACATTCATGTGAAACAAGGTCGTCCATAGCAAATACGTACAGCTGTCTAAGAAGACCCTGCGGCTCTGCCGTCCGCCAAAAAGAACTTCAGCCTCGCTATTGTTTCAAAGGAAAGATCGCCTCTGGCTCTGCTTTAGAATGTTACGTGCCACGGCTGGGCCAATACATGCTAGGTCTGGTATATGGATCCTTCCATGGCGCTTTGACTCGATTCGAAACGGCGTTCCTATGAGTGTTCAGATTCCGTGTTGCTGTTGTAGGAGTTGTGCGTAACAGTCATATCCCATGAGGATAGAGGGCGAGAAAGACAAAGTACTTCGTAATTGTTACCTGCGATGTTCGAAGGGTCCCAGAGAGGTAGCTAGACGTCGACACACGAGACTTTGGCGACGTTGCATCCGCCAAAGCACATGGGTTCGGATGCCTGTTCTGCTGATGACTGCGAGCTTTCACTAATGCGCATGAGTCGATCCCATGTTGCCGAGCGATTGAACCAAGATGCGCAGATTACAAGACGTGGAGGACGTGGAGGCTGGTTAATGCGTGAGCCTCGGACGACGTAGCCACTATCGTTTTGTCACGACGGTCGATTTCAATATGACTGGTTGTCTGTGCAAGTCAAGCGCCGTGCCGCTTGTCATGAGTGGACTGGAAACCGCCATGACCTGCATCGAGTCCCTTTGACTGGTCAATGTGATGGTGTCAACACTGAGGCAAAGAGCATATTCATTGGCTGTCAGATTCACATGCGAGGTTTACTCTCCAGGGACGGTCCTCGCCGAGCCCCTGGCTCAATTAGGTTGTCCGCTGTGGTTGTATTGCCGACAAAGCAATGCGCAAAAAGACTCAGTGGGTGCGGTGGTGAAACGAGGGTCTGGTTTCACGAGGAGGCAGACGTGGAGCGAGTGGTTGTCTGTCGAGAGCTGGGCTGCGTGCCCAGATGTGCAGCTCAGGGGCATCGTGTCCAGGGCTCCAGTCAGAAGACAGAGCAGCCCCTGCATGCTTCCTAGACCCCTGCTAGAACCACTGGAGACTGGAGTACATCGCAGATCGCCCTTGCCAGCCAGGTCTGTAGGTGGGCCAGGAAGATCGTCAAGCTGGTAACGCAGCATTCGGCGAAATGCACGAGAAGGATGCAATTAGCTTGTCGACTGTACCAGGGCAATCAGGGCGCGAGATGTGCGCGGCCGACCGAGGGCTGACGGTGTACCACGATGTACAGTCGCATACGTCGTTGGACTGCAACAAACGAAGCACAGATGGGATAGCAGCCGGATCGAAGCGAGATGAGGCTGGCAATGATACAAGAATTACTAAAGGTCAACAGAGGGTTTGAGTAAGTTGTTGAGAAGTGGTGAAAGAAAGTGGCACCTGTGTTCCCTTTCGGCACGTGAATGCATGACATGCCCATCTCTTATTGTCGATTGCACGAAGTCTAAACAAGGATGGCCAGGTCTGCTGCTGGGCCGCGTCAATCCTGCATCTGACCAGATCGGCAGGGCTCCAGTCTCCGTACTACATGAGTATGTGACTACCCTGGAGCGGGAGTTGAGCGTGTTCAATGAATGGCACCTTCATGTCACGATGGTCAACGAGACTCCAGAGCGTTGTTCTGGAATGTGACTCTTGACCAGACATGCTTCGGTGCATCACGGCAATATTTATAAACGTGAGAACGTGGCAGGAGGCCCTGCTACCGTTATCATTCCACATTCTTTATCCATGACCCCACCCGTACAGGCTGGACTTGGCGAAATGAACTCGCAATACGACGTAGCCTCGCCGATGGACATTGTGTGTCGATTGCTCAGCTTTAGCAAGTTTGCTGCAATCCTCGGAGGGCGCTCAAAGCATGTCCGCAGGAACAACCTCATGCCAGTCCAAGGCTCACAAGGTACATAATTCGGACATTTTCAGCTCACCCACAAGCCCACAGGGCCACAGCCCACCATCCAGCCCCGAACGATCGATTTTCCAGGGGCAGGGGTCTCCTCGTGGCGCCCCTTGGCGACATGGAGGATTGCAGCCAGGGCGGTGGCACGGCAGGCCCTGTAGCACAGCATGGAAGGGCCTCGCAAGTTCACTAGGTATGTACTTCAGCACAAACAGGGACTGGAGCTGGGCAAACCGGCGGCACGCCAAACGCACTAGCTGGCAGGTCAAACAACAAGCCATTGTTTGGCAGGAATGCAGCCACAACAAAGCGCACAGGTCTCGACACTGTCAGGCTGGAATGCGTGATGGTGAGTGCACATGAACCGATTGACTGGGCGAGCCTGGGCGACAACTCGTACATGCCAGCCAGCTAGCCAGCTGCAGCTGGCCAATGTAACCGCACCATGTTGCGCGCTGTGGTGTGACGTCGGGTCATGCGGCCAAACGACTGGTCGCCACACGCGCACAGGGGTCTCGACAGGCTGTCGCTTCTATCCAGTCAGTCTGCCAGTCCGGCACCGACGTTGCGGCTCACACGAAGAAGGGAGACAGCTGGCTGGGCTGGACTGGGCCACCTCGGAGGCCGCATGATACATACGTTGACTTGCGATGGGCATACGTCGGGCATGTCTCTCTTCGCTTGTTATGCGCTCATCAGACGCCTGGCTGGACTCTGAACAGGGGAAAGTGGAAAAAAGTCGCGCGCATGACTCTTCAGCGTCTTGGTCTTGTCTTCAGCCACAATACGCACTGGGTCTGTCTTGTCTTGGCTCTTTGAAAAGCATGACAATTATCAGGGAGCATGAATGGTCTCCAGGGCCAGAACAATGCGTGGAACGGACATGTGCGAGATACTGTGGCGCAATGGTCCATTTGCGCAGGGCTGTGCAGCCACAGTACTGTTCCTTGGATACGTCCGAACGGATACTCCGTATTACCCCATACAGAGCTCGCTCAGAGTCCAAATCGTGACACGGCACGCAGAGGTCACGCAGGGAGCGCAAGGGGCACTCAACATGCGGCTCGCAGCATCCTGTCTGGACTCTGAAGACTGGAGGTGCTCCATACTGACGTTGCTTTGTCGACTCCTGACTGCTGTAGGCCTCTAGCACAAGCAATATCACTTAAGGCATCGGCTGCGGAAGCAAAGAGGGCCCACCGATCGTCGACGCTGAGAGAGGTCCCCGTCGCGCTGTCGGTCGAGTCGTCGAATGAGCCGTGGAAAAAGACCAGCGTCGTCTTCGCTCCACCCTTAGTCGACTTTCTCAGCCATCTTGAAACATGATTACAATGACAGTGGCCTATGAGGAAGCTGATCGCTCAGACATTCTCCCTTGGCAGACGCTGACTCAAAAAATCTAGTCTGTCCGTCTGTCCCCCCCCGGCCCCTGGCAGCTCCGCCATGCCTCGAAACAGGACATGCAGGTCCCTTTGCCGGCCCATGACTGGCTGCGCGCCATCTGCGTACCTGGCGTCGTCCCTGGCAGGTTGACAGATTTTGCTCGCCTTCTGGCTTCGGCCGCCCAGAGCCCATCAAATTGCGAGCCATCTCTCGACGCCATCCCGGACGGACCACCCGCAAACCATGTCCAATCGTCCGCCAAGCCGAGCCGTCGCCTTTCTCTTCGGGCCTAGTGCCCCCGTATTGGGCCTTGTGCTGCTGCTAGACTAGCTGGACAGCCCAGCCTAGTGCCGGTGCCAGTGCTCATGCTTGTCCCCGTCTCCTGAGACCCATCTCCACCGCCTCGGCCATGCGCAGGAACGCATCGTATAAGACGACCGGCCACCTTCGTCCAGTCCCCGTCTTGTCTCTACTCTCTCGTCACAGACAGTTCATCGTCTCCCAGTCTATCCTTTGTGGTCCTTTGTCGTCAAGACATCCACCTTCATTCTTCATTCTTCAGCGAGGCTAGTCCTTTGCGGCCCTCCGTTCTTCTTGCATTACGACACCGCCTGGCGCAGTACCTTCATTCTCATATCAAGTCGAACAACCTCACGGTCAAAGAATTCGGTCTCTTGCATAACACGCTCTCTTTCTATCACTCTGTACAACCTGCAGGCACCGTGCCCTCTTTCCAGTAAGTCTCTTCTCTGAGTCAGACGTCTTCCAGACAAGCAAACAATGGCGCCTCCTTTCGTGTGTAACTCATGAGGTCTCCCACGACAACAAAATTCACACAAAAAGAACGCCGTCACTGCTTTGTCGATCGCCAGCTTCTGTCTCTTCCATACTGCACCATCACAGATGAAAACTGACCATGATTCACCAGGACTTGCATACCACTTGCACGCTTTCGTCTTGACGACAACAACCTCCCACAACTTCCAACAGGAAAAGAATCTACGTCTGGCACGTGAGATTCTACAAAAAACCACACAAAACCTTCTACGACGAATCGTATTTTCTCTTCAAAATGCTTTCCAACACTTTTGCCTTCCTTGGCATGGCCTCTGCTGCCACCGCCCACATGCTCATGACCAACCCGGTCCCCTACGGAAACCCCAACAACAGCCCCCTGGAGGCTAACGGCTCCGATTTCCCCTGCAAGAACGCCTCTCCCGACGGCAGCGTTGGCCAGAACGTTTACAAGGCCGGTAGCACCCAGGCTCTCACATTTCAGGGTGGTGCAACTCACGGCGGCGGCTCGTGCCAGGTTTCCGTCACCACCGATCTCAACCCTACCCGCGACTCCGAGTGGAAGGTTATCAAGTCTATTGAGGGCGGCTGCCCAGCTCGCGGGGAGGTTGGCAACATTGGCACCGATGCCAGCGCTGCTGACCCCTACGAGTATGACTTCGAGATTCCCGAGGAGATGCCTGAGGGTGAATATGTCTTGGCTTGGACTTGGTTCAACAAGGTCGGCAACCGTGAGATGTACATGAACTGTGCTTCCGTGCAGATCACCGGTGGCTCTGGCGACGACTCCTTCCTCTCTGGTCTCCCCGACATGTTCGTGGCGAACATTGGAGAAGAGTGTGGCACTGTGGACTCGACCGATGTTATGTTCCCCAACCCAGGCAATGTTGTCGAGCGCCTTAATGGAGCGACCGATGCTTTTGCTAAGCCTACCGGCCCTGGTTGCCCTGCTCCCAACGGTGGCGGTGATGGTGGCAGCCCCAACGCCCCTCAGCCTACTGCTTCTGTCCCCTCCGCTCCCGAGGACGCTGCACCCACATCGGCCCCTATTGCGACCAGCGCCTCGATTTCCACCGGGCCCAAGCCGACCGCTACCATCCCTGGAGGTGTCTTCATCACTGTTCCCACAACTGATCCCGTGGCTCCTACTGCTACCCCAGAGCCTGAGCAGCCAACCCAGCCTGAGCAGCCAACCCAGCCTGAACAACCCCAACCCGAGGAGCCTACCACCCCTGAGCCCGAGGTTCCCTCCTCTGGATCTGGCTCGCAGGCCGCAGGCTCTCCCTGCACAATCGAGGGTACTTGGAACTGCGTGGGCGGATCTTCCTTCCAGCGCTGTGCTAGCGGTGTCTGGTCAGGGATCATCAACCTCGCGCAAGGCACCACTTGCGATGAGGGCCAGTCTGAGGCACTCAGCGTTCACGCATCCGCTGGCGAGCGAGCCATGCGTCGCGCTCAGCGTATCCGCTACTAAACAGCTAGGACGGCTTGGTTTGGAGACTGGACTGGGGTAGGGGATCCACCGGCAAACTTCGAATTGGGAATCACGATTCATTGGGGTATGGATAGAGGAGTTCAGGTCAATTTTAATATACATCACCAAAACATATAGGAGTCCGTTCGGAATACGTAGCCTTATCCCGCAGTTGAGCTATGTTTATGAAGTGGTTCTACTCAAAAGAGTTCCTTTTCGATGTAAACTCTTCCTTTGGAGGAAATGATCTCCTGTCCGTCAATGATTCCAACAATGTTCTCTCCCTGTTCAGATTATCGAGCCACATTTGCACTGAACAGACCGCAGCCTTTCCTAGCATGCTTCCCCGGAGACGACTGTACGATCGGTACGACGTACGGATCCATCTCAATGCCCACATGGAGGGAGCCATCGTGACCTACGAATCGCCCGAAGCTGTACGTGGATGCCGCCGTATCTGCCGTCGAATCGTGGCTCTTCTCAGTCAGCTGCCGGCTTGGGGCGATATAAGCAGCGATGGACCCGATCGTGGTGGGTAAGCGAGGCAGCGCAGGGGCCGAGCCACGCGTGTACACTGCAACTGCGATGGCCATGTTGACACCGAGTAAGACCATGCTCGTGACGAAAGCTCCCTGTTCCATGAAAAGTCGGGTTTCCGGGAGACGCCGATGGCCATCGACCTTGTCACTCGCGTTCGGCGCGGGAAACAAAAATGATCGATTGAACGCAATGAGAAGTGCGACTAGACTCCTGAAGATGGGATCAAATACCTCTATCATTTCGTCTGGGTCCGGTACGGGTTCTTCTGCATCGAGAAAAGCCCTTGAGCCTGACTTGACCGTCATTAGATGGCTGATCCAATCCCTTGTTAATGTGTCGTTATGCCAGCCCCCGGGTCCTTGGCCCAGTATGAGATTGACGTTGGCCAACAAGCCCGCGCTGTCGTCCAAAGTTTCCAGAGCTGTAGAAACGTCATCTGCATCTTCCACTGCCTTGTACCCTTGGACATAGCCTTCTTGATCCACTTCGATATCAAAAACCGCCGTCTGTAGAAAAGGCTGACAGATGGCGAAACTCCCATCAATAGTCCCGTTTATGTCAGCCGTCTTATTCGTCCTCGCCCAACCGAGGATCAGACTCTTGTCACATTCCAGATGGGCACCCATGTTGATCACATCGGTTCCGGTACCGGAAAATTCCCCTGCGGAAGCTCCTCTGGACAGGGTCGATTCTGAATAACGCATCTTGCTCCTTGCGACGGCCAGTGTATCGGGACATTCAGTGTGCGCGGACTTGTCTGGGAACTTGTACTCAGGAAGCAGAGGAAAGGCGTGCGAAGCGATTGATGTACAATTGCTCTCGATGCCGAATCCACGCGTCCGGAAGGAATAAACCCCCGTACCCATTTGCTTCGCATTTTTGTCGATCTCCCATGATTGGAAGAAGTAGTCGTGCGTCACCCAAGGCGGCAAAGGTGTCCCGCTTGACAGATTTGCTAATGCCGAAACCATGTGATCATGGTAGAACGATGTGACAGTGAAGTTCACCAGGCTCAGTCGAAAATTTGAAGCTGCGTCGTTGTCATAGACTGGCGCCATTGTCGCGTAGAAGACCTCAGGATGATGTGCCATGACGCTTTGATCTTGGAAAACGGCCGGCAAGCTGATCGTCAGAATATTTGCCAAGAAGACTGCACAGCAAACAATGCTTAGCACAAAATGCCTCCGTTTCAGCGCTCTCCACAAAGTGAACTGTGGTGGCACCGAGGTATAAGTCGCCCCTATAGATTGAGCTGAGGGTGCATTTCCTCGCAAAAGCTCGTTGAATGGCTGCAAGACGCAGAGCAGACGGTTGACCAAAACCCAAAATGGTTCAATCAAAGTGGAAAGAATTGTCGGTATGTAGTTCTCGAGGATTTGCTGTACTTCTTGGTTCGGCGAAGGTCGTTTCAAACCTTGGGGAATGTTAGGTGACGAAGACTTCGCAGGAAACGTTGGCTTACCGTTGAACTTCATTTCGGCCCATTTCAAATAGCTGAGTCCTCCAAGCATACCAAGAACCGCGACTACGAAGGCAAAACCGGACTCGAGCTTCAGGGCTGATGGCTTGACAGGGGGATAAGAGACGTCTCCCACCTTTTGTTCCGCCTTTGCTACCAGAATTTCCCCTTCGCTGCTGACCCGAATCTCAGAAGTCTCGGCAGCTTCGTTCCAAGCAAGTCGAAACCTGCGGTTGCCGAGAACTTGGGCTAAGGAGCCATTGTCTCCATTGTCTGCTGAGCAAAGGAGGTTCACCATCTGCGGGCTGTCGCGGAGAACGTCTGCTGTTCTTTCGATTGAGGATGGATTTGCGTCCAAATTTGAAAAGACCCCGCGAGTCAACCACAGCATGACACCGGTGCAGATTGCAATCAGCAGCAAAAGTGCTTCCAACGCGATGGATATGGGCCTGTTGACTACTATACCGTGCATGACGAAAGTGGACGAGGCGGTATCGTTCGCATTCCCCGTCTTGTTTACCAATAAGTGACTGACCGCTGCCGCGAACAGGCTTTGGTGGGCAGCATGGTATGCTTTTCGAAGGACTTCCGAATCCGAAAAGTAGTCCGTACTAAGATTCTGTTTCGCCAAGGCGAAGCCAACCATATTAGAAGTCGGAATTGTCAAATTTCGACCAGCCAGTTTCGCGTGCTGATCCACCACAAAGCTGTACGGATAGTCTCGGACTTTCATTTCCTCAGGCATCCCGTTAGCAAGAAGGAACTCGAAAGCCGTACTGTTGAATTCGTTGCCTGACAAGATCTCTTTAGCTCCAATCGTCTCGACAGTGTTTTCAACTGGTTTGTGTGTGTTCGCGTCGACGGTTAGTAGCACCTGCTGCTTGAAGTAGCTCGTTTGGCAGAATAACCCAGTGATATTATAAGGTCCAGTGTCCTTGGAGAACGGGTCAATGTCTGCGTGCGCCCATGTTGCGAGGAATTGATGTTTGACGTCGGAATTCGATGGACACTGTGGTCTTCCCAGAGCAAAGCTCGAATATGGACTGTCACTGTATCCGATGTAGAACATGGAGTATTTGGGCGTTTTTGGTATGATGACACTTGCGTTACAACCTTGACCGTTCAGGAAGTCGTGCGTGTTGCTCGTTTCGCCACCAGAAAAGGTGTTGCGCATGATTTCCGCAGGCCAGCAGTCAAGTTCGGTGGTCAAGCGTGTTGTTTCCGCGGTCCAGCTGGCCCCTGGCTGTACCGGTGAATTTTTGGTAGCATAGAAAGGTAGGAAGGCTTCAGTCGGAGTCATGAATGGTGGATATTGCTGCTCCAACCAGGCAATAGCATAGCCTGTGTGTAGGATCTTGGAGTCAAGAACATCTCTCTGCTCAGCAATTGGAAGTAACTGAGCTCGGGCATCAAGGTCGCGAGTCTCCGTGAGCTTGACCTCATTGGTACCTAGCTGAGCCGACTGCAACGGGGTAATTGCCCAGAAGATCAAAACCATGGCGGTTCCGGACAAGAACACCAGCCAGTGCCTGGCAGCAGTCAGCACAGACAACGACTTGAACCAGGGACAAGTGCACACTTACTTTCGCTTTGCGGCCACAAAGGGGACAAATGCCACAAAGGTGAAAGGGTAATCAAGCAACAATGAGTCCTTGGCCAGAGCGCCCTCTGGCTTCGACATCTCAAACCACGGCTGCATGCGCTTGACGTCCAAGTCCACCCAACTCCACACCAAGCTGTATGCGACCGCAAGCACCTGAGGGACATACTCGGATGATATCCTGGCCCATTGGGGTATCTCATCGAGCGAGGGGGACAATGCCAGCCCGCCCTGTTGCGCACTCTTCTGAGCAAGAAGCTCGATACCGACGATCATGAGCAGAGTAATGATGATAATAGCTGAGAGAATGGGCGCCGTCATGGACAGTGGTTTCCAGTTCACCGGATCTGACAGTCCTTTCGTCCGTGTTAACGAGACCAAACGAATCCATCTGGTTATGATTGTAACTGAACCAAGTACTTACCTAGTGCCGAGGGTTGCGTCCATCGTTCGATCAATGTCGGTTTTCGATCGATGCCGCCTTCCCCCTTTTTCTCGGCAACCTTGACCTGCGAAATGGTCTTCCATGACTGCTCCGTCACACTCCTCTCATCGGTTGGTGTAGGCGTATACTCGAAGCGACGAATGGCCATGGTCAAGGGCGTACGATGTCCGACCCAATGGTTCCCCAGAGAACGTAATTAGACAATAACAGCCAAGACAAGAATAGAACCAGAGCCCAGCTCCCACTCAAGCCAACAAGAAACACGATAGAAGATACAAGGGGCGAGTTGATGAAGAAACACTAATTGCGGTGCGGTCCGCTACTTGTAAGTGGCAGGTGGCACAGGTCCTTGATCCCTGGGGAGGACAGAGATCCGTGGCCGGGCAGATCTCTGTGCTTCCCAAGGATCGGGGCCAACAGCGAGACCTAACAATTCGTACAGCATTCTGTGGCAAACAATGTTAGCACCGACACGTAGAAGTCGTTGGTTCTTCTCGAAACATGAGCGTCTGGAGCTGCGGGTACCGTGGGACAAGTCAAGTGGCAGATCTAAGCGCTGGGGTAGGACAAGCGCCCGATGCGCGACGCCCGACCAATAAGAAGGGATGCGACGTCGTAGCGGATGGAGAAAACACACTGGTTACTAGACCGTGATCAGTCATACTAATCCGCGTTGTCCTCTTCCGCGGCCTTGGAAGGGCTGACTGGAAGCTGGATGAAATGGTGTTGGCGGATTTGACGAAGAGGAGATGCCTCCCGAGTCCTGGGCCCCACAGCGCAGCGCGGCAGCTCATCGAGGCCGCAGACCATGGTCCTCGGTCAACCTCGTCCAGGCATTGTCATTTGATCTATCATTACTTATTTAGACACGTAATTTAGACCCTCACAAGTCTCGAGCATTGCTGTACAACTCGTTCTTTGAAGGTAAGGTCAGCTGTCATGGAAACCCGACTGTCTGTAGACTCGGAATTGGAACCATCGGCAGGGTTCACGCCATGTCGATACAATATGTGTTGCTTGTCTTTCGCTATTAAAGTAAAAATTTTGCGTTCAAGGGGTTGAAGTGCATTAATAAGCCTATTGCCCTGCATCCTGCCAATGACCTGACAAGCGACCCACAAATGTTCAACCAATAGCAGAGACGCCAGGTGACGCTTGAACTTCCTGATGGCAGTCTGACACCATCAACGCCGTGACTTTCGCTGCTGATCCGCTACTGCTATGTATAAGGTACGGCCCGCCGGCCCCCGCAGAGTTGTACAATGAATAAGACAAGGGAGAATAGAAGAAAAGGTCATGCAATCATGCTGTGTACCATCCTCAGGATGGGACTCATATCTGAATCTCCCTCATCGACTCATCGGCGACCTGGGGCTGTTTGTCCCTGGCGACATTGGAAGCTGCACCTCCTTGGTCTTTTGTGAGCTTGATCAAGTCCGACTCGGAGCGCGCCAGCGTCTCCACCCTCGGGTTCTTCAACTCCTGACTCTCGGGCGGATTGTCAGCCTCTACCAATGTCGACGGCTGAATAATGGCGCTTTGTAGTTCCTCAGGGACAGCCTCCTCAGTGACCCTATACAATGGAGGCTGTTTCCCAAATCCAGTGCGCATGGGACTTGTGAGCGGTGAGCCACGCAAGCGCTGCATCGTACGGCCTCTAGCATCGCCAGCAACGTCGGCGGGACTAGCGTATGGTGAAGATGAGCGAGAGCCTAGAGGGGACCCAGCCTTTGCCGGGGGAGGCATGGGCTTCCGCGGAGGAGCACGACGTCCATACTTTTGATCCATCCTCCAACGAAGGATGCCAAAGTATGGTGGCTCGACACGCTTCTCTTTGAACTCCCGCAATTTGAGTTCGCCAGAGTCATCGTCAATGAACCATTTGCCGCTGTGGAGGTCGTCGGCCACCTGCGCCAGGAAGGCTGACCATGAGCGGGCTACAACGTACTTTGTGTCGTAGTCTCGTCCGAAAATGATGATCTGGCCCCATTTGCCTTTGGGTCCGGGGGCCAAGTCCACAGCCAAGTTGTTGCCTCCCCAGTCTCGCGCAAGAGGAATCCAGCGAGGGTGAGCGTAAGCCTGTCGGCAAGCGCCGGGGGGGACACATGTCTGCTTGGAGAGCAGAGCCGAGCGCCATTCGTCGGGGTTGCTGCCTTGCGATTGAGGTCGCTGCTTTGAGGACGAAGCTTCGCCATTACTACCGCCAAACGCCTTGGAGGGTACCGTTGTGTGCTGGGCCCTGGCTTCTTGCAGGAACTGCTCATTCACCCGTCTCCATTGATCCCACTCTTGCACTATCTCTTCGCAATCGAGCAGCATGGCGCTGAAGATGATGCCAGTAGGTCTCCCACCTCTTTCTTGTCCGTCGTGGATCATGAGAGACTCCCGCACATCCTGCGGTAACGAGCAATCCAGCTGATGTTCGAGTTCGTTGAGATCGTTGACTGTGGCGCCTTCACAAATTTGATCCCACAGCTCTGTGTAGTGTTCCTCGGCCCAGTCCATGATCCGTCGCCAGGAATGACCAACTGGAGGAGGAGGGGCGTGGCCGTCCTCAAAGGGCTGCATGGGAACCTCTCCGGCGCCCTGTGCCTCAAAACCATCGCTCTGGCTCGCATTCCTGGCAGCCATTGACCGTAAGCCAGGCGAGTATGACCCGCCATTGGGACTTGCCGGGGTATCGTTTGAAGGTGAAAATCGACCACTGTCATCGTAGTAGGGTGATGACACATCGGCGCGCGAATCTCCGGCTGTTGCCACACCAGTGAATGGGGTGCTGCTGCCGCCATTCTGTAGAGGGACGTGGCGGCCACTGCGTTGAGGTGAGTCGAAGGAGGAATCTGCATGACTGTTAGCGACCGTGTGAAGATTGAACACAGCGTGGACTGACGTCTGTCATTGCTCGCCATGGTGTGCCAGAACGACCGAAAGGCCGCACCGAATCTGTGCATGTCCGTTAGCACTGGAGTAAGGGTCTGAAGTCGCGTAAACTCACGAATTCGCCATTGTGGTTCTTGGTGCCCAAGTCTATTCGAGCTCAAAGGGTCGGAAAGCTTTGGGTCGACAGGGTAAGAGGGCCACGTTGATGTTGGCCGCAGGATGATGCACAGCTTCGAGGTCGAGATCGGACGCGATTAAGCGTGTTATTGATGTCTCTGACCCTGCGGAGTTGGGAGGTGGAATTTTCGGACCACTGGAACAGCGGGTCCGTGGCAGACTCGACAATTCCCAGGCTTGGGTACCGACCGGGCAACTGTGAAAACGGAACGGGACAGAGATGAAGCGTGAAGGCTGGTTGTGCTAAGAGAGAGGATTGTGTATTCAATATCGTCGGTGAACGAAGGACGGTTCGCGGGCGGAAGGGTCTCGGTAGGGCGATCGCGATGTGTACGACGGGAAGCGGCTCAAAGTTGGTCGTTCAGCGTCACAGAGGCCAGGCGACACCCTCAGCACCAGGGCGTAAAGAAGCGAGAGTGGTTGGAAAGAATAGACAGAACGTGACCGCTGCCTAAGAAGTAGGAAAGAAGGTACGCAGGCGGTTGTGAAGAGGTGAGGTATGAGAGACTGGAGATTGGAGGGTCGATTAGGGGAAGGCACACTTCAGAATTCGGAGGAAGACGATCTAGCTAAGTTTTAGCGGCAGGGGCAGTTGGTCTGCTAACACAAGCGAGACGTCAATGGCGTAAGTCGCGCTCAGGGGCGCGCTTCCAAACTCCAGTCAGTGGCCCGCTGCCGTGTCCGCTGCTGCCCGCCCTCCAGTCTCATTGGCCTGCTCCGCCTGGCGCTTCAGCCTGCTTGGGAACCTCCGGGGGCCTTGTTAGGGGCATATTAGCTCTGGCATGAGTCGATTTGTCCGTACGGACTCCAGTCCATTTCTTGCCACTTCCTCACAGAACGAATTCTCACCGAGATAGTCAGTTGACACGTGCGTCTAAATCAATTATGATCCTCGTGAAAAAGACAGCTTTCAAGCCAGTCTTATGTCATCCCCGCTCCTCAAGTACCGGTGCTCGGCTGCTGTCTATTTCGAGACTGTCCATGATTTAATTGGTGCCGCAACTTTCAGACGAGATCCTGAACGCCAAGACGTCAAGACCCCAGCAGTCCGCCCTGTATCACGGACTCACGGTCACACCGGTCACGCAGCGTTAAGAATGAAGTATTGGCAGTGGAGTCTAATTCCATGAGTGGTACTTGCTGTAATGAAGTGATCACTTTCGCAAAGTCAGCCTTGATGAATGCTGATGCTCGCCAGTTGCCAGTTGCCAGTGGCCAGCTGTCTGTCCGCTGGTAGTTATCTCGCCCCTTGATTGTGACGTTGCAAGGCTGTCTTATTCCCCAAGAAGATAGTCACGTGACTAGCTCAATGACCTAATGGATCATGATCAGACCGCGAAGCCTGACCCTGAGATTGTTTACCAAGTAAGGGACTGTGCTGTCTACCTTAATTATGCTTTATCATGCTAGTATAAGACTCGAGCTACACGTCAAACTTTGAGTCCATGCCGAAACCTTAACCACGCGCCTTCGATGAACTGCACAACGAATGACTTGAGCGAACCGGCTCTCTTAAATTTGGTCTTGAAGCCTATGCAGCATCTTGGTATATTTAGGGGCTACGCATTGAGTTTCTGGGTAGCAGTCGCAGCGTTTGTCCCAATGATGATGACTACTTACCTATGTGTACCTGATGTTACGGTTTTCATGTTCTCATAGCCTTCGCGAACCAGCCAATAGAGTTCAGCCCATCAAGGCACATTAGGGGAAGCCAATCGAACAATAGCTTCCACTTAGACCATGTTTACTGAACTCATATACATAAGGTACCTACAGGTAAGTACCTATATATCTGACGATCCGAGTTGTCCCTCGCTTCTTCGTCTCATGCCATCCATCTCTGCCTTATCGTCCAAAACAACACCCACGGCCGCCATCGTCCACATAGTCGTCATGAGCGCCAGCATCCCTCTGCACAACATACGAATTCTGGTACACACATTCAGTTACCTCGTGCCTCACGATACTGCAGCAGAAAGACTCATGTTCATGAGAAGGGTAGTCTGCCTACACCAGTAGGGTCGGGAGTTCGATTCTGCCCAAGGGCGCATGTTCTCTTCTCCGGACACGAAGGATCAGGAATGCAATTTTCTTTTTGATTTTCATGTCAACCCCCCCGCCTCTGAACATGAACAGGTACCGTGTATTTGGTATACATGGTCAGGAAACACTCTGTAGGTGGGATCGTTGCGATTGTGCATGCTCTCTGCCCTGAATCACACTAACAAAGCTCGTAGGGCTCGTGGCTGCGGGAAAATCTGTCCCGAGAAGAAGAATGAACTGGAGCATAGCCTATGGAGTGGCCAACCGTTCCCCCATGCGACCAAAGGGCCGGATGGGAAGTACGATCCACGAACTCTCTGCAATATCATCATGTCACACACAGGCTTTGGTTTCCCCTTACACAAATACCATCTTGAATTCCTAGCAGAGCATCCAGAACACGCACAGTGGGTAAGGGGGCAAATGTTGCTTCGAACGCAGGCTCGAGATGGCCAACCATCCCACGACGCACCCAGAGGGCCGGATGGGAAGTACGATCCACTAACTCGCCGCAATATCATCATGTCATACAGAGGCTTTGGTTTACCTCTGTCCAAAGACGACCTCGAATTCCTGGCGGAGTATCCAGAACACGCACAATGGATAAGGGAACAAATGTTGCTTCGAACGCAGGCGCCAAATAAGACACTCGACAATCCCTCTAATAGTGAAACAAAGAAAAGGGAAACCCCTCCCCCTTCTTAACGTGTGGTTCACGGTAATTGAGGAGAACAAGGAGGGGGAGAATACCCAGCTACAGCATCTTTATAAATTGGTTCCCCAAAATCAATCGTGCATTGCGTATAAAGACAAACATGCTCTCATACTCCCGTGCTTGGCCGGTCATCTATTCAAAACAGACTGGCAAGAATCAAGCATCCCACACATGCTCACTTAGCTGCTGGAGCTTCTCGTCCATGGCGCGTCTACCTGCGCTGGCAATGCCTCTTTCCGGATTCGCCATCTGTTCGCTGAAGCAAAGCTCGATGAGAGCCTTCAACTCGTTGTACGAGAAGTTGTTGGGGTCGTTAGGATCACCTCCGGCTTGTTGGCGCTCCTTGCTTTGTCTTGCTTCCTCAATGATGTCGTCGACACCCTTATCGAAGAGCGCATAGTAGTTTGCCGCGCGGGCGAGATCGACACCCTGCTCTATGTTTTTGAGGTTTTGTTGCAGCACAAGAATATTAAGCTGCATGCGTCCCGAACCGTTCGCATTCATGGGCGAGGTCATCCATGCGTTGTTAACGAGATAGCAGTTGACCAGCCGTCCCAGACCAGTACGGATAAACCCCGTCTCTCTCTCTCGCAAATATCTTGCAACAGTTTCGTCGAAAAGTATAAGCTCCGAGTTCAGACTCAGAATGTGCGGATCTGGCTCGTTGACTTCTTGATCAAGGAGGTACGGCGCGACATCTGGCGACAAGGCGATGTGGAGGGAATGGACGATCTTGCATCGAATTTCCATGTGCAGTGTCAGGAGTGCAGTTCCCGCGAGCTCTTCAAATGACGACACGATGCTGTCAAATGCCCTGTGCAAATGTCAGTTTCCGTGTCTGTCTTTGCCTACGGCACACTTACTGGACAGTCTCCGGGGTCAGGGGTAGCTGTACGGGCCCCTGATCCGCCGTAGCCCTATCAGGGTCGTTGAGTAAAGTCCATCTTCGGTTTGCATCGCGGGGTAGATTGTGTCTTGATGAATCGGTCTCATGAGCGGTGATGTGACGCAGGCTAGAGATCTTGCTGGCTAGCCATTTCATGCTGGTATACAACAGGCACAGCGAGGTGATGGTTTCGCGATCCTGGATGATGTCGTTCATCTGCAGCTTTGTCTCGTTGGCTTGCTCGATCAAAAGATGGATTTCCTGGTCTGCTAACGCTTTGTCCCATGCTTCTGCAGCCCACATCCGTTGCATCACCTCGTGTAGCTCGCCAGAGTCAACAGCTGCTCGAGCAGCTGCTCGGAGGTTACCGTTGTCTACGGACTGTTCCTGGGTCTTGGTGACGAGTGATTTGAACCAGCTGAAGCAACGATCATAGTATCGCATCATTTGAGTCACAATCAAGGCGCTGAGAGCTTGGTCGGGAGGGATGGTTCCGAGCATACGGCAGAAAGCGGTCACCACTTCAAAAAACGCCGTCGTGCCTTTGAAGATTGGCTTTCGCGCCACCTTGTGCCAATGAGGGTTTTGAGCAAAAGCATCGGCTTCCCCGAAAACGGCATCACTAAGTTTTCCGAGGGTCTCGTCCAACTGCGGTTGGAACACATTGACAAGAAAATTGTCCAGGAATGTGGTGAGAGTGCTGGTAGCCAGATCAGAGCCGGGCGGAACGATCCCCCTGAGTCGTTGCAGAAAGATGAGCGTCGGGGGAAGCAGCAGGCTCATGTTGAATACACTTGACTCTACCAGGGATTTGTGTGTCCCGCTTGGTTGCTGACTCCCACTCATCGCCGTCCCACCGCGCTTCGAGCTCTCATCCACAGCAAGACGATTTTTCTTGTTGATTTCGGCCTTTCGCGAGCTGCTTGTCAGGCCGGGTACTGTTGCTTGGATGATGTTCTCAAGAGCGTCATACTCAGTGACCATGTCTGTCGACTTGGCGTCCAACTCATTAAACTTGAATAAGTGTTCACGAGACCCGTCCTTCCTCCCGTTCATGGCACTGGAGGAAGGAGAGTCGAATTGATAGACATCAGCGTCTGTAGTGACATAATTGTGGAGCAGCGAGCGAATCTCATTCTGATAGAGATTCCAGAGCTCTTTGAAGCTGCCAAGGAGTGCAATGTTGTTGCCGGCGCCTTCTCGGCGAATCAATGCCTTGATCGATTCGTGGAACACCCGGTGGCCTTCACTGATGGCTTCAAACTTGCCGTACAAGGTCCAGAGTAGATCGTATATAACATCCGCGCGCATCCGTGTTTCTCGGGCACTGTAGACGTGGAGACCGTCGGCCTTGGCTGTACCACCGCGTAATGAGCTGGGGTGCCGTTGATCGACTTCGTTGATGGTCTCGTTGACAACGCCAAAGAGCTCGACAGGAAGGCGCTGCTGCAGCGTCTCAACGGCGTTTTGTAGTCTCCCAAGCTTGTTGAGTGCCTCCACCAGGAGGCCGACGTAATAAAATGTGTCTGCCTCGGGATTCTTCATGGGGTCTTCTGTCACCGACTTATCGGGGTCCATGGCGTCAAGCACATTGTAGAAGGGGGTGATGGCGTTCCCATCATCGTAGCCCTCATTTGAGGAACGCTGCGTTTTGGACAAGTGCTGCCATCTGTCCTGGCAGTAGGGCGACTTGAGGTACAGATGCTCGTGCAGCTCTTCCACAAGGATATCCATGAGGGCTGATTCTTGGTTCGACAAGTAGCTCCGCAGCTCACTGAGAGCACCGATACCGTCCAGCTCAGGTTTCCTGAGTTTACGCAGAGCATTTTGTAACACTTCAACAGCGGTGATGAACCTCTTTTCAGATATGCGAGCCTCCAGCTGATCGGGCACGGCGCGGAGATCGTCGAGCTCATTCAGGACTTGTAGCTGCTCGTCGTACACCTGCGACGCTTTGGAAAGCTTCTTGAGCTCCGGGTCCGTCGTGCACAAGCTCGTCTTTGAGCTAGCGAGTGATTCTTTCAGTGTTCGAACACGCTTTTGCGAAGTGTGTATGCTGCTTTGGATCTTGTGGAAGGTACCAATAGAGCTATTGAACCCCTGGTGATGCTCGTGGACGATGTTCTTGAGAGACTCTTGCAGATACTTGTGCGTATCCTGGAATTTACGGTATTCGTGGGCTCTGCCAACGGAGCTGTTGTCGAGGAGCTGCAGGGCAAGCTGAACAGGTACGCAGTCACTTTCGTACATGGCAGGCCACTCCAGCTTGATGTGCTCGAGAACCTGTGTGATTTGCTGCTCAGCGTTCGTTTCGGATCGCATGCGCTGGCGCGATGGCATGGTACGGACGGCAGGTGGTTGCGACTGTTGGGGCTGGGGAGGAGGAGCTCTCGAGCTAGATTGGGGTGGCGTACCATAGCGGTCGTTGTCGTACCCATCGCCGTAGGGGTCGTAGTCTTCGTTCGACCTCCCGAGGCCGCCATAACCGTTGCCATTGCCATTGCGTGATGTCGCGCCGTACCGGTTCGCCATGGCGGCGGTAGTTGGAACGTGTGCAGCACTTTAGAATAAGGCTCTTGGTCATTTATGCATGGTCGCGTAAATAATCCTAGCGTCCAGTGCTCTCAAGCGGTCCAGCACTCGAGGCACTAGGTAGAATGTGTTTCCGCGTCTTCGAAGTCGTGGTGAGAGAGCGCAGTGTGTCACTTGTTGGTGGGCTGGCTGGGCAGACTGTAACTGCGCCGACATGCCCCCAGGACAACTGAGCTGGGGTACGTACCGATTCCCAGACGAGGCAGGTACGCGCACGGACCATTTTTCTTCGACCTCCATGTCGACTGAATTACATGATCTTACCAAGTCCTTACAATGCTCACAGACCGTAATCAGTCCCTCTGAGAGAGGCTACAGTACAATCGTCTACAAGTTCAAGTGAGCGCTTACTTTGATGCCAGCCTCTTATCATCCTATGGGGGTATCTACCGCATAAACTTCGTCGCCACAATTGTGTCTACACCATGCTCACGTCGTCCTCGACTGGGACGCGGTTCCCGCCATATCTCTAGCGCCCACCGCAATGACCGTGTCCGGGCTCGAGTCGTGATCCTGACCATCTTCGTCCCCGCTGATCGTCTCTGTCACACTCCCACTCGACAGCAACGGTTGCTGCGTCGTGGACGTCCGCCGCTGGGCATCTGGCCCAGGAACCTGCAGAAATTGGTCGGACGGAGATGTAATCTTCTTCGGCGATGACAAGGGAGGGCTTTCTGTCCCCTGGACGGTCGTGCCTGAAATATCGGCCGGCGCGTGCGCGTAGCCCCCACTGACAATTTGCCCCAGCAGGACAGCGCCGGGCTGCTCGGTCATTTGCATCCTCGTGTCCTTGGCCAGGATCTTCTCTGCCAACCTCCTGACGCCGTGGACGAGAACCTCGGGGCGTTTCCAGGCGATCAAGCCGGGCGTGCCGGGCACGCACTGCTTCGCAACGACGTCGTAATTCGACCTGCCCCATACCGGGCATACGTAAGGGTGGTTGACCGGCAGAGGCAGGACAGCTGTCTCGGCAGGGCGTTCGGCGCCGGATGCTTCGTCCAGGCCAGCGAAGACGGTCACGGCGACTTTCGGCCTGGTCGCAGGTCTCTTTTCCTCCTCGCTTTGTATCGCCGAGTATGCCCAGAATCTCATCATCGACTCGGGTCCCGGGAGCCACGTCAATTCTGTCAGGGTGATGAGCTCTTGCGAGGAAAAATCCTTGTCGGCACCGAGAACCCGCAGGATCATGAGCACGAAGAGCAGCAGGCCCGTTGGCGAATCGCAAAGGGCGTAAGAGAGGGTGTTGGGTTCCCGGAATCCTCTTCCGTCAAACGCATACTGTCCAAGCTGAGCAACGCGGGCTCTTCTCGCTTGCGAGACCTGCTCGTTGCGTAGTGCTGCAATGTCCTCTTCCGAATAGCCCAGTTGCGGTCTCTTCAAGAGCCCCACCACTTTCCACTTTGTCCATGCCAAAGGGGCCTCTTGGAGCTTGGGTGCTTTCCACGGGGGCGAGACAAAGTGCGCTCCAAGGCACGACCCTTGGAACTGCTCAGCTAGACAGTTTGCTAATTTCCAGTCCGTCTGCGCTGGCGAATCTGATGAGGGGCCCGTGTTGGACACCAGATAGTGTTTGTAGCCGAGACGGTGCATCAGCGAGTCGAAAAGCTCCGCGGTCGCTCTGATCACGGGCGTATTGTTGGGCAATCGGTCGCTGAAGCCGATGCCTGGTAAGGAGGGAATCACCACATGGAATGGCTGATGCGCGCCAGCATCGGCAGGGTCGTTGAAAAAGGGTATAATATGACTCAAGGAAAGGTTGGTGAAAGGGAAAGGTGGTATCAAAAGTAAAGGAACAGCATTGGCATGTGGCGAAGAGGCGTGGATAAAGTGTAACCGTATGGCCGAGTCCGTACCAGGCACGATCAGGCTCGTTCTGAACTGCGGCACCAGGTCATTGAGTCTGGCTTCTTCCTCTCGCCACGAATACCGCTCAAGCCTTGGGAGTGTCAGTCAGCGGGTCGAGAGAAGCAGCGCCAGGGCATGTGTCACTTACCAAAAGTCGATGAGTGGTTCTACAATGGGTTTCGGCTCCCACCAGTGCTTAGACTGGGGATCCGAGTTCTCATGGGGCAGTCGTGTAAGTTCTAGTTTTTGGCGTGTGAGATCGAGATATTTACTCGAAACCTGTCGCAAGTAAGATGTCAGGAGCTGATGGTGACTGCCGTTTCGCTCGGATACGTACGTGGATTTTGTAGGGTTTGACTTCTTCTCCGTAAGGCGTTCCAACTGTTGGCGCTGGTGTCGCCATTGTAACGCAGAGTGGTGCACGCTCTCAATCGCCATGTGTAACACTGACAGAAAGGATGAAAGAGAGGAAACTACAGCTGGGAGCAGGAGACAAAACGAGGTCGCGCGAGTAATTATGGTCCAGAATCAAATTATGAGTAAGAAAATGCATCAGCCTCACGAGGACGCGGTCAGTGTTTCCTCAGGGTCCAGCCAGTACCGTCTCGTATTATCCACCGCAGGGTCCAATTCAGTCCAGTCCAGTCCAGTGTCCCTTGTTGACGTGGCTGGAGACCGCTATTGTGGCGCCCCTCGCGCATAGCTTGCAACGAGCATTGCGCATGAAACGCACCGTCTGGCGCTGCCATGACTCCCTACGCCCACAATGCGGCTGCCAGCTGGCTTTGACGTGGCGGTGCGGCACTAAGGACCTGGTTTCTGCCCCTTTAGGTAGGGTGATGGACCAGGGGAGGTGTGGCGTTTCCTTGGAAATGAAGCTCAAAAATCAGGGCAGACATGCATGTGTGATTGCGATGTGAAAGGGTTTAATGTCAGCTGGCCCAGTGGATAAGCGAGGGGTTTGTTGCGACGAGTTGGAGGCTGCGATTGGTGACCTTCATTATTACCAAACGGGCCGCGAGCCGCGACGACTTTTGGGTCGAATCTTGCTTTAATAAGTTAGGTGCCTTGTTCTTGGAGCCGCAGCGTTGGAGGCCTGGGTTCGCTGGTTGACACCCTTCTCGGCTGTCGGTGTCTCAATTGATCGGCGACATCGGCGTCCCTCTCTTCAGACAAGCTGTCGCTTTCATCCCTGTGCTATTATTTCATCGCTGTCTACATTATCAAAGCTGCCTCGACGCCTGATGCCCATCCCACTGCGTACATTAAACCGTGATCCATTAGGCATTCCGCGTGCTAGAACTATCGGCTCCTTGTGACTGCGCGGGTGCTTGTCCTTGGTTTCCCCTCAAGTTGATCTGGCCAATGCGCGAGACAATGTTGCTGCCCACAGCGTCGACAGCGCCCCTCGGGGACGTCAACGTAGGCCCTGCGGCAGCCGTCTCTTGGACTCGGAAGAGCTTGATGGCTGTGCCATTCCAAACGCTCATGTTGCCTCGGGCAAACTGCATCTCGCTAGCAAATATGACGCCCCACAGAAGCGACTCGTACCAACCCAGAGCAAGCGGAGACCATTCAAACGAATGTACACGTGGCGGTGAAGGCTCGATCCCGTACACCTCCGTCTGCTGAACTTTGCGCAATGTGTCTGGCGAGGGGGGATCTTGCACGAGCGCTTGACGAGGCAGGACGGCAGAGACCTGCTGGATTATCGTGAGTATCGTGTGCAGAGGCAGCTCGGGCAACCAAGACTCAATCCAGTGGGCGGAGGGCTCGAATCCACCGGTCATCGACTGTCCAGCCGCTGAGTATGCACCGAGACTGGTGGTGCTGTTTTGTCTCGAGAATGATCGAACACCGACAGGCATTTTCCCTCTGGCCTTTTCAGACATCCCCCGTAGTTGGGTAGGCACCGCATCCTCCGCAGATGTCCCTACTTGATCCTGCGACGCACTGTCGCTCGTCGTAGATCGAGCAGGGGTTGGATGATATCCGTCATCGCTATCGTCGTCGTCGTCGTCGCCAATGGCGAAGGCTCCGTCTTCTGGGACCTCCTCCAACGTGCTGGTTCGAGCTGGCGGTGCAGGCGAGCTGCGCATGCTTTCGCTTGATGTGCGCAATGCTGCCGGATCAAGAGGGTCGAGCGGCTCGCCAGATTCCTTCCTTGACCTGTTCCTCCTTTCCATTTCTTCTTGGCCGCTCTCAAGTGTAAAGGTGCGGAGGGCCTCGATTCTCTTCGCATTCCTGACTATGGCGAGAACAAGTTCGGGGTTCTTGCGATACTTGTGCTCAACAACAGAGTTGATGGACTCCAACAGGGAGTGCAACAGGGTATAGTTGCTCTCATTCGCGAGTAAGAAGGAGGGCGAGGCCATTGATGAAAGCAGCTGTAATAGAACGGCACTGCTGGCTCTGTTCAGCTTCTCAATATACGGGGCCACGTTGTTGATGACTGCCATGAGCGCTGGATATATTGCCGATAGCTTCCCCTGACTGGTCGTGATGAGGGTGTAGATCGATTGGATCAAGAAATCAGCGTAGGATCCGTGGAATCCATTGATGCGTATGGACGGGGGTAGACTATGCTGACCCTCAAAAATTTTGTTGAGACTCAAGCCGAAAGTAGTCTCCACGCTCAAGGTCTGTAGTAGGAAAGCGCACATGCGCACGATCCCTTGTCGGGAGGGCTCGTTCTTGTACTCCAACGCGTAGAACAGTGCCAAGACAACAAAGTCGTGTACTCGGTTGGTATCGATGATAAAGGCACGGAACCGCTTGTTGCATTGTGTGATCTCCCAGAAAAGCATGATGACCTCTGCAGCGAAGCTACCCGATGTCTGGGTACCAGGAAGATAGGACGCCTTCTCTTGCAGTGGCTGGTTCAGGATTCGCAGCATACCATCCACGATGAATTGAAAATCTTGTGGCCGGTGAACGCGGCCGAGGAAATGACGATAGTAGTTCTTGGACGACATTGTCGATGAGTTCTCGGGTATCGGATACAGCAAAACATTGAGCAGAAGTTGCAACGAATGTGTGACTAGAACCTGCTTGGTGTCCTTGAACACAAGATTGTTGTAAGGCACTCGCCACGAGGCCGGGTTGTATTTCATGGACTCGGAATCGTTAGCTTCTTACAACAGTGAAACAGCCGCGAGGCTTACCGTATTCAGCAGAGAACAGAGCATCGATAAGACAACTTGCTTGTCAGGACACGTGCAGAGTTGTGTCAGAGTCCGCACGCCTCTCCCCGGCAGCACACCTGGCGTCATGTACATGCTTTGACCGGCCATTGTGATGAGCAGTCGTAGGATCTCACTCCTGTTGCTTTCGTATTCCTTGGTAGTCGCCACTGTTGTGTTGCAGCCAACGCCACTTTGCCAGATAGCGTAGGTTACTTTCGATTGCGCATGCTTTTGTGGAGGGAGCGTCAAGTCAACGAAGAAGAGTAGATCAACAAGTGTGTCTATCAGTTCTTCTGCGAGGGGCTTGACCTCTTCAAATTGCGGTTCGTCATCGTCGTCCCTTCTTGATTTATCCGTCGCTTCGTCAAAAAGGATTTCTGAGGCGATAGCTGCTTTCCGGGTTCTTTTTCTGCGCTTTGCCCAGAAGAACTGTTCTTCCCACGCTGCGAGGCTCTCTTTCTCGTATATGTACGGTAGTATTCTCGTCAGAATTCGGATACAGTTCAGCGCATCTCGTTCGGGTGCCAATTCGGGATCCGGAAAGGATGGATGATGTCGTAAGATGAACAAGCGTGAAGTAGTCGCTAATATCAACGTTTCGAGGTTCTCTAATGCGTTGTCTCTGGTGCGGCGGATATCGGCTGGCGAGAACAGGCTGAAGACATCTTCTGCGGACTCCGGAAGTTCCCAGAACTAGTGAACAATGAGTTTCATTCGTTTTGTCTCGCAGAGAATGCATTGACATACTGAGGTCCAATATTGGTCTTCAGCAGAGATGTGACGCTCCTCCGAGAGTCTGAATATGCCCTGCTTGAAGACAAGCTTCGAATCGCTAGCACCCATCGCGGCTCATGCGCGCAATGAGGGCGCAACGAATCGCAGGCAGTGTGAGACTTCGCGGTTCCAGAAGCAGCTGGCACAGAGACGCCGTTGTGCGATGAAACAAATGGTGGACAAGAGTAGCGTCTGAGGAAGCAGGATATCGTCGAGCGCTTTGGACAAGTACGACTCAATTACCCTGGCGGCGGCGTGTGAGGACGTTGACGTTGACGTCGATCCACTCGGCTACGTAAAGGCTTGGAGCTGCCAAGTGCCAGTGAGTTTACCCCTGTCACCAGCTTGCTTATCGATAAGGAAAATGCAACACGCGACGACCGGCGCGCTTTGAATTTCGCCCGCTCTAGTCGTCATTGCCGACCATCTCCAAAGGGGCACTGTGCACCTTGTACGGGTGACCGGCTACTTTTATGATTTTTCATTGCTTGGCTGCCGTTTGAACTGTAGCGCCATGCTTCTTTCGCAAGCTTTGAGCCGTTTGGGCCGGAACGTCCACCCGATCCGGCACAAGCAAAGATACCTCCACGCGTCCGTCCCTCTCCTCAAGCGCAGCCCGTCCAAGAAAAGGAGCAAAGCTGCCAAGGCCGCTTCGAAGACCGGCAAGCCCTCGATCAAAGGTGCTTCGCCAAGCAATGAAGATGGTTTTACCGACGATCCTCACCAGCCCATGTCGGAACTGGAATACCAGAAGTCAATATGGGAAGCCAGCCGACGTGAGGAGGCCCCGGACGCTGAGGGAAGTCTACTGAACGGGCCGGGTTTCTTTGGCGAACAAGTTTCTGAAAATCACCGACAGTCGCCGGACAGCGAACAGAGTAGCAATACCAGGCACAGTACACTGCTCGCTTCATTGAGGAAGCAGCTGGAAGATATCGAGCGGGAGGGATACACAAGCCCAACGCTCGGGAAATCGAAGAAAGGTGCTGCCGCAAAAGCGAAAGCCAAGGAAGAGACGGACGAGAAGTCGGAATCGTCAAAGTCAGAAAAGGAACCACGGCGGCGACGATCTCTCGGCACACCGTTGCCTGTCCGCACTGCTCATGCTAAACTGCTCAACCTGGTGCCCGTTGCTCCAGAGGAACAGCGTGACGTGCCTCAGCTCTCGCATAACCTCGAGCGTGTGCTGTTCAACCCTGGTGTCTATCAGCTCCAGGATCCGCGTACCCAAGTATTCAACTTCGACCCTTACCTGGCCAGTATCATGGCCGTGGAAGACTTCGACTTTGATGCTCTGCAGGCATACATCACATCTTCCAAGGACGAGCGTTTGATGGGAATGGCGAGAAAGTTTGGTGCTAAATATTGCGGATCGACGTCGAGCACAACCAGTGTCCTGTCGCATTTTCACTACCTTCTGTCCGCCTGGCGACAGCCTAACTATGACCAGGCTGTAACAAAGGGGTTCGAAATCCAGACCCCAAACTTCACCTCGATCATGTTGGCGCCTGCAGCTTGCTACGCTCGCCTCAAGAATGGCGTTTACGCCATCGACTCTGACAAGCAATACGATAAAGAGAATGTTCTCAGCATGCTAGGCAAGTCTATGGAGAAGCTCTTGACACTGCCAAAGGAGGAGTATGAGAAGTACCGTCGGACGCGATCCCATCTCATCCCCGAAGAAGATCGCAATGCCGAGGAAGCTTACAACTACTCTACCATTGGCGACTTCCTTCTGCGCTCACAGCTAGACGCCAAGGATCCTCGGCTACCGGGTGGCGGTGTGTTTGATTTGAAGACGAGAGCTGTGGTCTCCATCAGGATGGACGTGCACGACTACCAGAAGTATCGTGATTACGAGATCCGGGATCGTTTCGGCCAATGGGAGTCATACGAAAAAGAGTACGTGGATCTGATCAGGGCAGCCTTCCTCAAATACTCCCTCCAGGTTCGTATGGGTCGCATGGATGGTATCTTCGTCGCCTATCACAACACCCAGCGCATCTTTGGGTTCCAGTACATTGGTCTGGAAGAGATGGACAAGGCGATCCACGGTACGACTGATACGAGGCTTGGCGACGATGAATTCAAGTTGAGCATCAAGTTGCTCAACGAGCTCATGGACCGGGCAACACAGCAGTTCCCAGGTCGGAGTCTACGCTTCCACGTGGAGACCCGGCCAACAAATGTTCCCTTGACTTACTTCTTTGTGCAGCCCGTCACCGACGAGGAGATCAAGCAAGACGAGTCCTCGGCCAAGGCAGCTGTGGAGCGTATCACTGATGATCTCATCCGACAACGGGGATCTATACCTCAGGAGGCTCAAGAAGAAAGTATCGAAGAGGGAGAGACGGCTGAGGCGAGCACCACACCTGGGACGGACAACGGGTCCGGCCAAGATGTGCACAATAGCGAAGCTTGGGAGGAAATGATCGCCAAGGTTGAGGACACAATTGAAAATGAGTCCCTCGGTGTCGCTTCGGTTCGTGGCGCACTTCGCATTGCGCTTGAGGAGCGGGATCTGCTACAAGCAGCTTCGGAGGAAGAGAACCAGCAAACATTGGACATGCTTGTAGAGGCTTTGGCTTCGGCGGCGCCTGGCCGCAGAGAAGTGAAGGAAACAGCTGAGGAAACGCAGCCTGACTACGCAAAGGAGAACACGGACGCGAACGCTGAAGCGACGTCGACCGAATCAGGAGATGAGTCAAATCAGCAAACGCAACAGGATATTTTGAAGGACCTGATTGTCAAGGTCACTGAGGTTGCCGAGGCGAAGAAGCACGAGCTGCGTGACTTTGAGCGATTGGTGGCAGAACTGGCGGAGCGCACCCGCGATGGTAGCAGCAACGGACAACAGTGGCCTGAAGATGATAGTCCGTCCGAGACGAGGCCTGCCGAGGTGAAGTCGCAGGCAGAGGTCACGGACGCCATTCGCAACGGCGCCGATGCCAACAACGCCGAGACGCAAAAAGGCGAGTCCGACAAGGACCCTGAGAACATTCCTGAATTGCTTGGGATGTACGTGACCATCCGGAACAAGGTCAACGGCAAGGAGGTCGAGCGACCTACGCTGGAAGATTCTCGCAGTGACAGCCAGCGTCAGCCGTTTCAATGGTCCCTGGAGTACAGCATCACAGATATACCAGACCAAGAGGCACAGCGAATCTACCGCCAAATCACACGACGCCGTTCTGCTGCCCTGAACGATGAAGATCCGAGAAAGGTCGGCAATCGTTCTTGGAACGATGCGTTCAAGGATCAACTCCAGGAGTTGTCCAAGAGCGGGCGAAGATACCGCAAGGCTTTAGACAAAAAGCAGAGCAAGAAAGAAACGCAAGTGGCCTGGCGGACGGAGGACGCCGAGTCGTGACGCATCTGCCGCATGGGCTCGAGCGAATGTACGATATGTAGGAGATGTGTATGCTGGCGTCCGATGGCTGGGCTGTTTTGACATTTAGCGACGAGCATAAACAGGCGTTGGGTATGATCCTAGAGGGAATTCTTGTGTATGCCAAGATCTAGTAGAGATTTCTTGCTGCATGTAACAATGTATCAACACTGTACAGTCGTCAACCATCGAGCCCTGTGCACGCGCACCGACGCATGAGGTGAATTGATAGTTCAGCAAATGTTGAGCACGAGCAATGCTCCAAAAGCAGGTTGCACAGAACTGCAACCTGTGCATGTGGTATGTGACTCTACTGGCTGGGTCTCCAAACCTGAATACAAGCGGGCTGAGCCATGCATTTCACAACAAGACTACGGATACAGACCGGACATCTCACCTTCTTTTCCCTACCCTTCGCATAACCAGCGAGACCAATCAACCTTCGACCCAGCCATTGACCGCTGCACTCACACAAGGATCACTGTGCGTCGTCTCCATATACAGCACTTGAGGAGGTAGCTTTGAATGCAACTAGGGATAAGGCCCAAGCTCAAGGCGCGGCCTTCGTTGCTGGACCTCGTGCGAACGCGAAGCCACCAGGGCCAGGACGACGACCACAAGAAAGCTGGCTACCCTACAGTCACCAGCCACGCGATATCGTCATCGCCAACAGCGGCACCAGCACCGGCACCAGCCACAGCCACAGCGGGCCCAGCAGCACCTGGAGCGCATCGTGACCGCCCGCAGCCATTCGCAGTGGAGGAAGCTTCCGGCCTGCCTCTGCCAACCTCTCCACCGACATCACCGTCCGCGTCAACCTCAACGTCGCCTCCAGCATCCCCGTTCGCAACCTCCTCCCCTCCACTGCGGCCAGCCTCGCCGTCTCTCCGAAGCTCTACTGAATCCGTAGACGTCGAGCTCGACACCTCGGCGCCCTTTCTTCGCTCTTCTGGATCCTCATCGTCATCACAAACACCGCCCGCCATGGCTCCCAAGGTAAATGCTGGCTGTCGTCGAGGAACCCCCGCTAGTCGACCACGAGGGCTGACATGCGCCAGAACAAGAAGGCTAACGCAGCCACTGATGGCGAGGAGGCGCTCCCTAGCGGTATGTCATTTTATCCCTGGCTTTGTTGGCATTCTTATTAATAACACAATGTAGGCAAGATCTACTCCGTGTCCGGGTCAGCACTCACGAAAGCCAATGCCGAGTTTTGAGCGCAGCTAACCCCGTCGTAGACCTGTCGTTATCGCCGAGGACATGATTGGCGTGGCCATGTACGAGCTTGTGCGTCAGACATCGACACGCCGTCCAAAATCACAGACTGATTGCTTCGCAGGTCAAGGTCGGCCACGATAACCTAGTTGGTGAGGTCATTAGAATCAGCAATGACCAGGCCACCATTCAAGTCTATGAGGAGACTGGTAGGTTCTCCTGTCAGCAATTCCCTGGTTTATACTGACTGTGTCCAGCTGGTGTCACCGTCGGCGACCCTGTTGCCCGCACTGGCAAGCCTCTTTCCGTCGAGCTCGGCCCCGGTCTTCTCAACAGTATCTACGATGGTATTCAGCGCCCGCTGGCTTCCATTTCCGACTTGGCCAAGTCTATCTACATCCCCCGCGGCATCGCTGTCCCCGCCCTCGACCGCACCAAGAAGTGGGAGTTCACCCCTACCATGAAGGTTGGCGACCACATTTCGGGCGGCGATGTCTGGGGCACCGTCTTTGAGAACTCGTTCATCCACACTCACCGCATTGTGTTCCCGCCTCGCGCACGTGGTGTGATCACAAAGATCGCCTCCAAGGGTGAACACACCGTCGCCGAGAACATCCTTGAGGTCGAGTTCGACGGTACCAAGACTGAGTACCCAATGATGCAATCTTGGCCCGTCCGTGTCCCTCGCCCTTCGACAGAGAAGCTCTCTGCCGACCAGCCTTTCATTGTCGGCCAACGTGTGCTCGACGCCCTCTTTCCCAGTGTGCAGGGTGGTACTGTGGCCATCCCCGGCGCTTTCGGCTGTGGCAAGACTGTCATTTCGCAATCCGTTTCCAAGTTCTCCAACTCAGACGTCATTGTCTATGTCGGCTGTGGAGAGCGTGGTAATGAAATGGCCGAAGTCTTGAAGGATTTCCCTGAGCTGACAATTGAGGTCGACGGCCGCCAGGAGCCCATCATGAAGCGCACAACCTTGATCGCCAACACGTCCAACATGCCCGTCGCTGCTCGTGAAGCCTCCATCTATACGGGTATTACTGTAGCCGAATATTTCCGCGACCAGGGCCTCAACGTCGCCATGATGGCTGATTCCACTTCGCGTTGGGCCGAGGCCTTGCGTGAAATCTCTGGTCGTCTGGGAGAGATGCCTGCTGATCAGGGTTTCCCCGCCTACCTGTCTGCCAAATTGGCTTCTTTCTACGAGCGTGCTGGCCGCGTTCAATCGCTTGGGTCTCCTGAGCGACAGGGCAGTGTCAGCATTGTGGGTGCTGTCAGTCCCCCCGGTGGTGATTTCTCCGATCCCGTCACGAGTTCCACGCTGGGTATCGTGCAGGTCTTCTGGGGTCTCGACAAGAAGCTCGCGCAGCGCAAACACTTCCCTTCGATCAACACCAGCATGTCGTATTCCAAGTACACCAACACACTCGACAAGTTCTACGAGAAGGAGTATCCTGACTTCCCGCGTCTCCGTGACCGCGTGAAGAATCTTCTATCGGACTCGGAGGAGCTTGACCAGGTCGTCCAGCTAGTCGGAAAGAGTGCGCTGTCAGATACTGACAAGATCACATTGGACATTGCCGGTCTGGTCAAGGAAGATTTCCTGCAGCAGAACGGTTACTCGGATTACGACCAGTTCTGCCCCATCTGGAAGACGGAGTGGATGATGAAATTGATGATGGGCTTCCACGACGAGGCGCAGAAGGCCATTTCGCAGGGTCAGCACTGGAACAAGGTTCGCGACTCGACGAGCGAATTGCAGTCCAAGCTCCGCAGTCTCAAGTTCGAGGTTCCCTCGGATGGCCAGGATGTTATCAACAAGAAGGTTAGTTCCAGTCATTTGTTCGCGCGCGGACGTCACCGGCTAACGAATGCAGTACGAGGAGATTCAGCAAGAAATGACAGACAAGTTCGCAGCGGTCATGGACGAGTAGAAGGTGCGGTGTCTATTAGGTTGGCAGGCTGTTGCCGCGTGTTGTAAGCACTGTTCTATAGAGTCGGACCTCAGAAATTGTGTCCCGTCAGCATCGTCCTGACACATCGAATTGATCTGATTATTATCAGGTGGAGTAAGCCATTTGCCGTAGTCGTGCATGCTTCGATAATGGGCTGTTGCTGCGACCACTCACTAGCCCGCCATGAGGCCAATGCGTTGTGGATACGCGTTTAAAGCGTATACGAGTTTAGAGCCCCATGTGCCTCACATCTTCCCAATCCGTACAATGGTAGTACCTGATAGATACGCGGCGAGAGATCTGGCTGCTGTAGCCACCAAAGGCATCATCATGTCTGAAGAGCTCCTCGACGAGGTAGAGGCAATCAACTCCATCTACGGAGACGCCACACTCGCCCCCGCCTCCGACACAGCGAGCGATGACACTTCATCCATATACATTCTCAAGCTGCCCAATGAGGCGTCATCGCTCCGAGTCGCGTTTCCAAAGACATATCCTCACGTACCTCCCGAAGTGCTAGGCACGCATCATGCATCGGGCGGGAAGAAAGGCGCCGGAGCTAGGGATCTCGGGCTCTTTGTCGACGCCTTGAGCGAGGTGTACGAGCCTGGCATCGTATGCATCTTTGATGCGGTCGAAGCTTTCAATCGACGAGTGGAAGAGGAAGGGCAGCATGATGAGGAGGAGGAGGAAGGGGAGGACAGAGAGGTGACGCCCGAACCGAGGACGAGGGCGGAGCAGGAGGAGATTGACATTGCGAACCTACCGACGCCACCGTGGACAGTAACGGATCTCACTGTGGAGATGAAGTCGACGTTTGTGGCACACGTCGCGCCCGTGTCCTCGCCGGCGCAGGCGAGGCAGTATCTCACCCATCTTCTGTCCTCGTCGAAACAGATCCGCACGGCAACGCACAACATCTCCGCCTGGCGGATCCGCGACCCGAACAGTGGGACGAGCTGGCAGGACTGCGACGATGATGGAGAGACGGCGGCGGGTGGGCGGGTGCTGAGGCTGATGCAGATGATGGACGTCTGGGGCGTCATGGTCGTCGTGACACGCTGGTACGGCGGTGTCAAGATGGGGCCGAGACGATTCGCGGTCATCAATGGCGTTGCGAGGGAAGGGATCGTCAAGGCTGGCTACGTGGAGGAGAGAGGAAAAGACGGCAAGAAGAAGGGGAGATGAGAATAGGAAATCAATCGACTTTTCGGGCATCTGAACTAAATGACAATCAAGAGGTATCATGCGCGTGGCCAAACGCCAACCTAACCTATTTAACTCCTTCGTTCATCCATCCTTCTTCAGCAACGGTCGTAGGATATCCAGTGCTTTTCCGGCCTGTTCCTCCGGCAAAATGACCACGCCCGCCCTCGCGGTGGACAGGTAAGACAGCTCCGCGCTCGCTTCCATTTGCATATCCCTGACCAGTCTGCCGGCCACGCCGCACACGATGCCAATGATTTCGACAGGCAGTTTCACCAGATCCAAGAAGATGGGCACTTGCTTGTTGTCGGTGTCCCCGACGATGGAGTCCGCGAATAGAGGCAGGAGAGACTTGTCCAGGAGCAGAGAGGGCGGATCGCCTTGCGCCAGGGTCACCGAGATGAACTTGGGTTCCGCGACGAGAGCAGAGATCAAGCACGTGTAGAGCTTTGGGTCGACAGTATCGACCCACGTCTTTTTCCGAGGTTTGTGGCCGTTGGTGTGTCTCCCTGTGGTATGGCGGGTATCATATACCTCGTCTGTGATAGGGTCCAACTCTTTGCCCGAGCAGTGCACCAGATGTAGGTCGTCAATCACCTGGGGTAGAACACTGGTCTTCTTGAGGGTGTCGAAGGCGCGTGTCTGGACGTCAATCTCCGCTGACGACTCTAGTGGCGGTGGTGTGGTGCTCCGCTCTGGTGTGACCGTCCTGCTGCCGGCGGCGCAGTCGTTGACAAATTGGCCATGGTCCCCGCTGAGGTGCAGCCCTTTCTCCTCAAAGGCCTTGATGACCTTGTCCTTGGCCTTGGCCGGCACGAGGATGAAGTCGGAGTAGTAGGTGGAGATGAAGAAGATGGGGATGCCGGCCAGCGCGAGTGGGCTTGTCAGCTCCATGACCCTCCTGGCTGCATCCAGCCCCGCGCTGATCACGGAGAGTACTAGGTACTCATCACGGGATAGGTGTACCGTCTTCGCTTCTTTGTGCGGGAGTCTTTCCAGGGCAGGCTTGAAGATGGCCTGGGCCCATTCGGACGGACACACGAGAGATACCTCGAGGGGCGTGACGCTCACATTCAGAAAGGCGTGGTGCTGGGAGTCGTTCAGAGCGTGCCTGTGAGAACCCTCGCGTGCTGTCGCTGGGTCACTGTCGACGCATTGTGCCTGTGGCAGCAGCACGCGCAGGATGGGTTGCAGGAGAGAGGCGTAGAGAGTTGACGGTATGTGTATCAGGGTATAAGTCCCATCCTATTGGGAGTCAGCTCTCCGTTTCCATGTATCTAAGTCATGCCCGATGCCGGCGCGAGTCCGTGAGTGACGGTTGGAGGAGAGACGAGCAACTCACCAGGAAGGACACTTGAGTGTTCATCGCAATGGCCGTGGCTCGACGGCCCTGTATCTCGTATCTCTGTCGCAAATTCGACTTGTGAGGTCTGACAAGGTCCTGAGTGAGTCGATTGAAGGACTACCCTCCTCAATCTGACAAGATGTTGAGCTGCTTCTCCCGTCGGTCCTTTTAAGGTTCGTGACGCTCGGGATCAACGAGCGATGGCCTCGAGAAGAGTCACAGATTCAGGGTCTCTCGCACACTAACTTAGTTCGGTCACGCGATCCAGCAAGAGAGGTAATATTTCAATACTGTGATGTCCACAGCCCTGTGGGAAGTTGAAGGACCACGAGGGTACAAGATAGCAACGTCAAAGGAGGGGCAAGAGATAAGGAAAGCCCACCCGCACCGCGCCGCGCCAGCGTCATTTCCCGATGAGAGATTATCGTGGCTTTTGCAACAGCGGCGCAGCATCGCAGCTTGGACCATGGGCGAGGGAGGTTCGCGCATGTGCCTGACACTCGTCATAGCGGGCGGCTGCGATGCGCATCGCCCGACGTGACTGGCCAAGCTGGCGTGTTAGGTGGCATCGAGACGCCGGCACCGCGAGCTGTACGCAGTGTGAAGTGTGGGGAAAAGGGTATCGACAACGGTTGACTCGCTGCAGCCTGCAGGTTCGACAACATTCGTGTGGGGGTTGCATGGATCGCGAGGCATGACGCGAGTTGTTCAGAGACTCCGTCTCGGCCTTGGGCCGAGATGCGTCCATGAATGCATCGCTGGTGATAAGATGGATGATGTGTAGTCGAAAATGGTACATGTAGCATTCAACAGGTGCAGTTGAGCGATAGTCATTGTGGGGAATACGCCGTGACAATTACTGTGGGCGATCTGACAAGTTACGTTATAGCTCATCGCGGACTGGGCCGCCCCTGGCTGCCACCACATCCCGATATTTACCATGCAGGATGGTTTTTAATTGTCGTACAAGCCTGGCATGTCTAGTTACAGACATGGGAGGGTTCTCCTATGTTGCAGTCACTGTCCCTTGACACGGCTGCTAGCCACGCTAGTGGAAATATCGTCAGTGTAGGCCTTTTTCTATCTTACTTACACGGCACGACCACAAAGGCAACTGCTACGCATGCCTGCCAGATAGGTCAGATGCAACCAACGGACTGGATTTATTGTCGTATCCCATTTCCCATGTGTCTAACAGAAGCTGGGAATCCTAATAAACGTTTGCCGGCGTTGTGGTCTCAAAGTCCAGGGTAGGTCAGTGGTCAGCGATGCGATATCCGGTACTCTCTGGACTTGATGGGATTCACCATGTCAAGTAAAAAAATAGTTGGGATATCGCTTAATATATATGACGATTCAAAGCCTAGATATCATCCGCAAAAGGGAAATGTCGTGCTCGCTCGTATTTACCCTCCAACACGAGCAAGTGTTCGCAGCAACCGTTCGGCTGGGGCTGGGGTTGGCGCCGCTTTATGATGCAAGCAGGGATGCGTCGATCACGTTACACAAGTCTACAATTTGGTGATGCATGAAAATTCGAGTGTAAGGGGCTAAGCGATGGCTAGCACTCAGGGACGTAAAGCAGCATGCGGGACCTCCCAAATTGGGAGGATCGGTGGCCCCTTTGGCAACCGCCAAGACCAAGCCAGCCCATCCCGTGCCTTCCTTAGCATGATTAGGTGGGCCCTGGTGCTCTCAGCGCTGGGCTGGCCGCGAGAAGTCTCACTCCGCGTGCCTGTGCGTGCGTGCGTGCGCCGCTGTGCCTGTTCTGTTTCCCCTTTCCCTTTCCAACCCTCGACCAACCCGATCACGCCCTCACCCGCCCGCCCCCTGGCAGCATCAGACTAGTACCAGATTCATTCTTTTCAATTATCTGTGCCGGGCTTTTGTGAACTTTGGATGTCATTCGTTTCACCTCAGTTTCCACTTACATCTCTCTGGCAAACGATCCCGCAGCACGCTCTCGAGATCACGCGCTTTCCAAGCATCGCAACGCAGTCCCCGGAACACAGCCACGGCGACAGCCTCCCTTTGGACCAGCCCCATCGTCTCGCCAACGTCCCAGCTCCATTGCGACAGGGGAACCTCCCTCCACGATCACCCTTCTGCCAACAGGACGGGTCGGCCCACCGACACTGATCCTCCATTGTTGAGGTTGTGCTTAATCCCGAACTTGAGGAACGACACGACGCCCAAGATACACTCTGCGCAGCCGCAATCATGCGTCTCCGCGTACAAATGCCGAGGCGGCGATATGCTCTAGCGACTGTCGCTGCCTCAGGTGCTATGCTCGCTGTGAAGCCTGTCTTCGCCCAAAACAATGGCGGCAACGACAACGACAACGACAACGATGATAACGACCAGAGCAGTGGTGGAGCGGACTCACCGGCGTCCGAGACTCAAGAAGATTCGGCACCAGAGTCAACAGCAGAGCCAGCGTCGGAAACGACGGATGAACCCGCAGCTGAACCCACCAGCACCGAGGACGAGCCAGAGACCACTGCTGAACCCGAATCAACGGCCACCGAAGAAGAAGAAGAGCCCACCAGCACGGCAGAGGAAGAGCAGACATCGATCACAGAGGAGCCTACCGAAACCACGACAGCGGCCGACAACGAGGACGGGACGACCCAGTTCGGAGGCGGTATCACTGGAGGCCCAACGCTCACCCGCGGATTTGGTATTCCAGAGTATCCTGCTGCGACTGTCCCTCCGACGTACCATGCTCCGTTCATGCACCATTCGAAAGCCCCTGATGGTACCGTCTTCATCATTGTTGGCGCCATTTTGGGCGCCTTCGGACTTGGCATCCTTCTCTGGCGTTTGATCGGGGGCCTGCTGCTCCATCGATCCGTCGAGCGTGCCGCTATGGCACAGCACGACGCGAACAGCAAGGCTGGCTTTCCGGCACCTCCTGCTCCGTTTTACAAGTACACCGACCAGGGGTCCAACATGTCCCTTAGCGGTGGCGCTGCTGCTGGCCGTGGTGCTCGCCGAACAAACCGCGGCCCGACCCCTTCTGCAAACCCAAGCCACTCGAACCTGTTCTTTTCGCCAACTGCTGCCGGCACGGGCAGTACTGGCAATCGCAGCTCGACATTCCTCCCCTCTGGTTTCTACGCTGCAGGGGGTAACGCTGGGGGCGCGAACCACACTCACTCCATCAGCTTGACAAACCTGCGGCCAGATTCGCGGGGCCATGGCGCCGCGCGTAACATGACCGGCCCTTCGCCTCCCGACTCCCCATCATTCGCTGCTCGCCGAGACATCAGCGCATCGACGCTCAACCGCCCGAGCAGCCAACGGGCGCCCAGTGCCTACCTCGACGATTTGCTGGCTGACGATCCGGGCGCGCTGCCGCCCCCGCACATGCCCCCGTCGACTGGACCACGCCACTCGAACCTGGGCCCTGGGTCGAACCGATTTTGAGCTTGACGAGCAACAAATCGGGGGCACAGTGCATCTCATTTAGGAGCATGGTTGATTTGAACATTGAGTGTGAATTCGGCGTCAAGGACGGTTGGCATAAGATCCAAAGGAAACGCGTTCATTTGGCATAGGGTGTGCCTCTTGCTTAATAACAGACTTGGAAGCGGTGGCATCCTATCGTTGTGTGTTCGCCAGCGGGATCAAGACAACGGGCATCGCCCAGTCTGGCACATGAGGCTGCCCCTAGTACATATTCTACCTCGTATGCGCATTGATAGTATAATTTGCCGCAACAGCGACTCTTTTTGTTTTAGCGAGTGCACGCCTTGTTCGAAGTGGCCTTTATGGATGCCTTTTGAAATCTACCATATATGCCATGGCCAAAAATGTAACGTCTGCATGAGTACCCCGTGACCAAAACGCCAACAAACACGCTCATATACATTGACACAATGTCAATCCCACATCAGGTGGTGCCGCTGGCAGAGGAACTGGCGGCCGCGCCGTCAAAACCCATCATCTCCTCACGGGCCCCCTTGATATCTTCCAAGCGGATGCCGCTTCGCTCACACATGCCTCGGAAGATACCACCCTCCTTCTTCCACAGCTCGAGGGGGCTGTCCAGCTCGGCGATCCGGCCCGCGTCCATGACGCAGATGCGGTCGTAGCCGACAATGGTCCGCAGACGATGCGCGATGCACAGCAGGGTCTTTCCGCGGAAGCCCGTGGCGATAGTGTTCTGGATCTTGGCGTCGGTCTCCATGTCGACGGAGGAAGTGGCCTCGTCGCAGACGATGATCTGGGAGCCGCGGACCAGGGCACGCGCGAGAGCCATGAGCTGGCGCTGGCCGAGGGAGAAGTTGAGACCATCCTCTTCGACGGTAGTGTCGAGACCGATGCGGGATATATCCTTGGCCTCGTCACTGACCTGCTCGGTCGGGTTGGGCAGGGCCGCGTGGTCGGCGGGGATGAGATCAGCCTGGCGGAGGGCCGACCAGAGCTCGAGGTCCGTGTGCTCGTTGAAGGGGTCCAGGTTGGTGCGGACGGTTCCCCGGAACAGCGTTGGGTCTTGCGGGATGATGGCCAGGCGTGACCGCAGATCGGCGAGACCAATGGTGGAGATGTTGAGGCCATCAATGGTGATGCAGCCCCCCGAGATCTCGACCAGACGGAAGAGCGTGCTCATAATGGAGGACTTGCCGGCGCCGGTGCGTCCGACGATGCCGATGCGCTCGCCGCCACGGACGTGCATCGACAGACCGGACAGCACGAGCGGGAGGTTCTCGCGGTAGCGCATCTCGACATTTTCAAAGATGATCTCGCCCTTTTCGGGCCAGGAGGGGCGGACCTCGACGGTGTGCAGCGGCGCCTCCTCCTCGAGGGAGGTTCCGTAGTAGCGCAGACGCTCGACGGCGTTCATGCCGTTCTCCACCTCGGCCAGCTGACGCACACCAAACTGGAGCATCTGGACAATGGCCAGGATGTAGGACAAGACGAGGCCCGCAATGGCTGGGTTGACGTCGAAGCGCGAGGTGACGACGAGGATGCCGACGGTGAAGACCAGGGCGTTGCCGATGCAGTCGACACGGATGGAGAGCCAGCGCTGGTTCGAAAAGGTGAGGTAGTACGCTGCGTTCATCTCGTCAATGGAGGCGCGGAGCTCGGTGACGAAACGCTGCTTGAGCCCGTAGGCCTTGATGGAGGCGACGCCGCTGAGGCCCTCGCCAAACTTGGCAAAGACGTGCGACCGCAGGACAGACTCGTAGCGCTTGACCTCGCGCGCTGAGGCGCGGTAGTAGGAGGCGGCCAGAACGAAGAGGATGTACAGGGGCACGAGGGCGACGGCGAAGAAGTGGAAGAAGGCGATGATGAGGGCAAAGATGGAGGTGACCATGGCGATGGTGAAGGAGTACATGCGGATGGCATCCGTCAGGTTGTTGTCCATGACGTCGACGTCACGGGAGAAGCGGTTCGTGATGCGGCCGAGGGGCGTGGTGTCGAAGAAGGCCATGGGGGCGCGGAGCACGCGCGTGACGGCGTCGCGCAGCATGATCTTGGACGCGGTGGTGCCGATGACGGACAGGTAGACGGAGAAGGCGTACATGAGGATGGCCTGCGAGGCGCCGAGGGCGGCGTAGATGCCAATGTAGGTGCCGTTGTTGAGGCCGAACTTGTCCGACGTCCAGTAGGAGAGCCAGAGCGAGGTGATGATGTTGGCTCCCTGGGATAGGAGCAGCAGGAAGACGGCAAACGGGGCGTTCCAGATGGAGCCCGAGGCGCGGGCGTACGCCGCATACACGGACCAGGGCACGCTGGCCTGGGCGCGCTCTTCCTGCTGCATGAGGGCGCCGCCCTTCTTCTTGGTCTTCTTCTCGCCCTCGTCAGCGTCCTCCTCCTCCTCATCGGCCTTCTTGTCCTCCTTCTTCTCCACCGCGGTGGTCTCCATCAGGACCTGGAAACCCTTGTGGTCGCGCATCAGCGCCTCAAAGGTGTCGACGGCCTGGATTTTGCCGTTCTCCATCCAGACAATGCGGTCACAGCGGTTCAGGACCCAGAGCTGATGCGTAGCCAGGATACGGCACTTGTCGCCCAGGAGACCAAGGATGGCGTTATCGAAAATGTGGCGACCAACGTGGGCGTCGACAGCAGAGAGAGGGTCGTCCATGAGGATAATGTCCGAGTCGAAGTAGATGGCGCGAGCAATGTTCAGACGTTGCTTCTGACCACCAGAGATGGTGATGCCACGCTCACCAATTTCGGTCTGGTCACCGTTGGGCAGCATCTCCAGATCAGCTGCGAGAGCGCAACTACACAGGGTTAGCGGTGATGCCTTCACTGTAGGGTGTATGTACACTTACGCCTCGACGACCCTCTGGTACCAGGCCCTGTTCAGCGGCTTGCCGAAGATGATGTTGTTGCGGACGATCGTGTTCTGGATCCACGCGTATTGAGGGCAGAAGGCCTTGGACGCACCAAAGGTGACATCGCCGCCAGTCTTCCGCATATCGCTCGCCAATGCACCGAGAAGTGAACTCTTGCCGCTGCCGACGCCACCGATGACGGCGATTAGCTCGTTGCGTTCCACGGCAAGGTTCAAGTCTTGCAGCTTGAATGGCTCTCGTTCTTCGTTCAGGGTGCTCTCCTCGCCAGAGGATCCAGGCCGCCCGTCACCGTTACCGGCTGCCGCCTGGGACTTGGAAGCGGCCTTCCCGCTCGTTTTGGCAGGGGTGCCCTTCTTCTTGTCCTTCTCGGTCTTCTCGTCGGTGTCCTGGACGGGGCTCTTCTCCCACGTGAAGGAGGCATGGTCGAGCTTGATGGCATGCTTGGAATCATAATCGGTGATAAAAGTATCCTCCTGCTCCTCCTCCACCAGGAACTCTTGGATTCGCTTCATGGACGACCAGGCATCAATGGCTTGGCCAAGCACGAGCGGCATGATGTTGAGGGGAATACGCAGACCATTGAACAAGGCCAGAGACGAGAAGATCTCGGCGGCCGGCAGGTTGGGGTTGGTCAAGGAGTACGAAATGAAGGAAAGCATCGAAGCGAAGATGGGCAACGACATACCAACGGCGTTGATGGCGTTTCGAATCGCCAACAGAATCTGAATGGCGTGAATCTCCTTGCCACGATACTCGGCCAGGCGTTTCATGAAGGCTTCCTCCCAACCAAAGAATTTGACGAAGCGGACGGACTGAATGATCTCCTGTGTGAGGGAGACACGCTGATCCGTGATCTTGTTGATGGCCTTGCGCCGGCGGAACAGGCTTCGAATCGCCATGGTCAGCAAGGGCGCTCCAATGACGAGGAGACCGAAACCAGCGAGGGCATTGTAGGACAAGTTGACGAGGAGCAAGGCCAGGGTGATGAGCAGAGCCACGGGGGAGGTCCAGATCATGTGGAACATGGCGGACGCCTGGTCGATGCGGTAGGTGTCAACACTCATGAGGTTGACGATGCGGCCATTGCCCCAGCCCAGACCGTCCGACTCTGGCTGCTGAACCTTCTTCCCTTTGCCCTTTTTGTCTTTCCTGGCCTCGTCCTTTTCGGCCGCAGCAGCGAGCAGATTCTTCCCCGAGTCACCGGCGCGAGCGCGACCAGAGAGGACCATGGCTTTCTCGTAGATGGCACCAATGAGCACACCTCTGGCCTGCCCGCCCACCATCATGCCATTGAAGATGAAGTGGTTGATGCCCAGACTCTGGAGTATCTGCATGACCGTCACGCCAATGGTGAGGCCGATGCCATTGCCGATTGGGGGCGCTTCGCGATCGCTGCGCTGGGCGATCCAGGCATCTGTCGCGAACTGGATGAGATAGCGCAGCACAAATGGGGCGGTGACCTGGAGAATCGTCGCGAGGAGCGCGGCAAGACCGCCAATCCAGAACTCCCAGAAAAAGGTCTCGTGCAGGGCCTTCCACAGCGGATGCATGTCGCCCTTTTGCACGTGGTGGTGGAAGCTCTCGCGGAATTTGGCCGTCAAAGGATCAGCGCCTCGGGCCGGGTTCACGCTCCAGATGTCACCTTGCTCCAGCTGGCGTTTGTAGCCGGTCGTCATCAGAGGTGTCATCCAGCTAAATGTCAATCGGCTCCAGAAACCAGCCTTGGCCTCGCGCGAGACCTCGCGCTCCTCGGGCAGCGGAGGAATGCCGCCCCATCGCAAGGGGTTCAGCTTCCTGTACCAGGGGCGGTCGACAGGCTTGTGAGGCACCGGAACCCTGGCGGACACGGCGCTCCGGTCGGTCGCATAGCTTTTCGTCTGCTCTAGACGGCTGGGTCTGGTGATGGCCTCGACATCATGCGCGGACGAGTTGCTGTCGCTCTGCAACCCTGGGTCCGCCCCGTGGGTTGTGTCGTGCTTCTCGGTGAAAGCCGTGCCGAGACCGGAAGAGCTCTCGCCATCTTCATGTTGTTTCTGTCTCAGTTCGTCGAGATCCTCTGGCGAACTTTCGTCGCGACTGTACGTCGGCTCGAGTGCTGACACGGCGACGTCGTCCGGTGGTTGTGGGGTGTTCTTGTCCGTGCCTGGCGGTGCAGACATTGTCGGTTGGGGGGGTGAGAGGCGCGCGCAGCTGCGCGGCGCTGGGACGTTGGACCTGGACCTGGCTGTGTCGGATTTTGGCGATGCTGGGGTCCAGTCTCAGGTAGCACAGCAGGGACAACCACAAGCAAGGCTGGCTGTCGCTGGGAGATGTAGTTGAATAAGTGAGAGGCGGATACGGAGCGGACACAAAGTGGATTACGCAAAGGACAGGCAAGAGATGGAGCGATGATGGCTACAGGTGCAGGTGCAGGCAGTTTTACGTCTTCCATGACCGGATTCCATCCTCCATCTGGGCTCTTACAAATGGCCCAGCGGGATTCGACATGATGACCAGGGTCTGCCTGCAGGCACTTCTGCTGTTAATAAATCCCTAACTATCCGTACCTAACGTTAGTACCAACAAATTCAACAACGAAGAAGCAATGCTGATCTCCGCGTAGTCTTAGCGTCACCAGAGCCGCATCACTCATGGTCTCCTGCGTGCGTATTAATAATGGAGCGCAAACCTACCTGCCTACCAAGGCTGCCTGTGGCGCACTGACAAGCATATGGTGGACGCGGATTTTAGAAATGCGATCCCCGGAAATGGCCCCATCGTGATCGGTTCCTCGGCACCCTAGCCTTTGGGTATACGGCATTGGTTCTACTCAGCTCCGAATCCCGTTCCTCTTGGTCTAAGTTCTGGTGGAAAGTCTCCAGACCAAGCACCGCTGGTTATCTGTGTTTGACATCATGGATCCTCCCATTGTGTCTTTTTCTACTGGCTTGCTTTTTTCTTTCTTTTTGTACTCATTTCACTTGCAATTGTGGCAGCTCCAAAACATGGACGGGTGTACGTAGCCTTGACTCAATGACTCTTCGCCCGGAAACTTGGACCACAGGCAGCCCCCTCTTAGCTCGGACTTCGCATCTTTACCGCTAATTACGGAGTTATCACCGTAGTCAGCGACTAGTGGATCTCGCTTCCGAGTCCGAGAGGTCTCCTCAGACTGGACCAAAGTCCGCTCGCCGTTTCGCAACCGAGCGTCAGACCTTTTGTCGTACATGTAACCTACGTATGCAATCAACCGACAATGTGAGACAGCATCGAAATCGATCGCTCAGTGGCTTGAGCTCTTGCGCATCTTTACAAACATGTGACTTGACACTGCTGGGTTAAATTATTTGAGGTTCCTTGGAGCTTTTCTCCTACACCTTTAGCATCTAGACTCTCATACTGTAGGTTAGCCTAAATCGTGCGGCCGCCGCCATGGCCGCGCTTATCGATAAAGTGGTGGGTTGCGATGGCCGCGATTTTCCTGGCAGCAAAGCTTCATGCAGCCGGTCCCCGACCAAACAACAAGGCTCTTTGCTCGTCTTCAACAGTCACGAAACCCAGACTCCCCAAGCTAGCGTGCAGTCTCCGAAAGCAAGAGACCCCACAATGGCTGCCAGCGTACCATCGACAGCCCTGCCTGGCGCAATTCTTGGATCGACGTCACGATTCAACGCCGGTGCTGGCACTCATATCTACGAAGGCCAGGTAGTCTCTTCGCTCATGGGGCATGTCGCCGTGGCACAGCCCGTCAAGCCTGCAGGCCCGGCGAAGCGGCTAAACAAGATCACTTCAAAGGACGCTAGGAACGACAATGGCGCCTCCTTGGCTACCCTATCGGTCACGCGGCACGGCCAGAAACGAGAGGTCTTGCCGGATGTTGGCAACATTGTGCTCGCCAAAGTACTGCGGTTGATGCCCCGGCAAGCAATTGTGATTATCCAACAGGTCGGTGACACGGTCCTGCAAACAGAGTGGCAGGGTGTCATCCGCACGCAGGACGTGAGGGCTACCGAGAAGGACAAGGTCAAGATATACGAATCGTTCCGACCTGGGGATATCGTCAAGGCGCAGGTGGTAAGTCACTGCGAGAACACCCTAGTAGAACAGGAACACCACTAACGCAAACCACGTAGATCTCACTTGGCGACCAGGCCAACTACTATCTCTCTACAGCTTCCAACGAGCTTGGCGTGATCATGGCCACGAGTGACGCAGGCAATGACATGGTGCCCGTCAGCTGGAAAGAATACAAGGATCCCGAGACTGGATCTACCGAATTGCGCAAGGTTGCCAAGCCGAACTGAGCAATTGTTTGTGCTCGTCGCATCCGCGACGACGCGCAGATTGTCGACTTTACATGATACCCACGCAATTCGATCAGCGACTCCTTGTAGCTGAGAGACGAAGGGACCAATCGAACATCGCCAGAATTAGGACGATTTCCAACTACCGCGCACGTCGGTATGCTACCGGGGCCGCCGTTTGTTGCCACTAAAGTGCCAAAGATGCCATGCTGGGGCGACGTCTACCGTAAAAGTCCATCCAAGCTTTTCAGCGCCGAGCCCAAGCCTTTCAGGTGCTTTAACCAGAGCAAGCCAATGTTTTGGATGCGTCTATCTCAGGCGATGCTCTCACAGCGGCTGCACCTCGCAATGAGACTGGCATTCGTCTTGTCGTCGAGGATTTGGTCGGCGTCTTCATGGCTACAACAACCAATCTCAATGCTCATCTTTTGCATGGTGCAGTGGCCGCGGAATCCATCCCTGAGAGCGGCTCCAGGCCTGGTTAGCTACATGGCTTATCGAATACAAGATCTTACGAATGACGCGCATAATACTTGTAGTGAGCTATCCTGCGGGTTCGATGAAACGGGTCCTCTGACTCCGCCAGACTGGACTTCTTTTGCCTTCAAGTGCCGATCAGTCTCCAAGTGACTCGACACTCACTGATTGTCAGCTGCCTACTGCTCTGCAGCCTGCCTCTCCTGCTCGCGTTTGGCCATGTGATTCGTGGTCTCCTCACACACCTCCCCTGGGCCGCTGTAGACATATTCATAGTGAGGCAAGTGGACGCCGTCCGGCACACGCGACCCGTCAAAGGGAAGATCAGCCATGATCCACTGCAGGGCCAGCCAGTTTGTCTCCAAGTCATAGCCCTGTTTCTCGACAAAGTGGACCACAAAGTGGCTCTTCTTCTCGGGGATCTCACAATACACGTATCCAGGTGCGTGTCTTCGAAGAGCCTTGTGGCATTCCTCGGCCTGAGCCTTGTCCTTGCACCAAAAGGCGATATGCACCTTTTGTTCGTAGGTAAGATCTGTCTCAGCTTGACATCTGGTCAGCCTTACTATATAGGAAACCTGGCAAGGTTCAGTCGCTGGCTCACACATGGTAGAAAACGTTCGGCTGCCGGAATTTGTCGCTGTCCTGTTTTGTTTGTTGCTGAAGTATATCTTTGTCTGGACCTGTGGATTGCTCGATGGTCGGGGGCTTGCCCTGGGGCAGAGATATGTCGTCCGAGTCATCTTGACTTAACCCACGTTCTTGTGTGACCATGACGCATGCCGCGCTCTTGTATTCGTGAGACAGCAAGCATTGGTCAGTTCATCAGGCTTGCTTATCCAGTCGTCTGGGAGTTGTCATCGCACGAGCCGAGAAGGAGTTGTACATGTATTAGTTGAGTGATAGTACTTGACTTGTGTACTTACATTCACCAGTGAATAAGAAGTAAGGCATGCACTCGTTGAGGAAGTGTTAATTGATGGCTTGTCAATTCGCGAAGACCTGCCTCCTCACAATCACACATACCTTAGCCGCCATTCCCCTAAGGCGTGAGACGTTTTCTTGATTAACAGTAGTCAATGGGGGATCGGTGGACCAAGTGTCCCACTTGCCTCGTGGGACACGGCGATCCTCGAGGGCGAAATGGGCCGGGTCAACCACCGCTTCAAAGAAGCGATTCACCCTGATACTTCGACTAGAAAGCTGACCAGCAGCTCTTTGCAAGGTCAATCGCTCGGCATGACTCCACAAAGTGGCATAGGCAACAACAGGGGTCCACGTCGATCTATGTGAGTGCTTGGTCGCGATAGTCCAGATCGGGAAAGGTGATGATTAACGGATCTCCTAGGCGTCTTGGCCCTATTAGGAACATGAGGACTGAGACGCCCGTACTGCCATGCAGCAGCATTGCTGGGCCTGCGAGCCAGTCCATCATGTCAAACGACATTGATCCTGATGGAAGGTTTCTCGTCAGAGTCATGGAGTTGATTGCGCAAAGTGCTGTACCGTCAGTAAGGTACTTTGGCCTAGCCTCATTCGTGGCTGGACAATCTCCCACATTCCACCGGCATTCGGACTCGGTGCACCCACTTCTCGTGGCACGGTAAAACTCAACATTTCTCTCAGCCTATTCAATCAGCAAGTACATAAGCGCGTGTCACGTCGAATCACCTCGGTCAGCGAGGCGCTTTGTTCCCCTCGAGAACCCCGCGCAGGTAATGTCGACGACAGCGGTCGTGACCATGGCCAACACCGCCACCTCACCGACGACCATGACACAGATGGCGATGACAGCGTCTGGCCCTGAATCCCACTGCCCGTCCCGTGGCGACGCCTTCCCGCCGTCCGTCGAGCAGACGTCTCTCCATCTTGCGCAGGCACAGGCCCGCATTGCCGACCTCGAAGCCCAAGTCCGACACCTCAACCAGAAGGCGGCGGCCGCCGTCAACCGATGGGCCGGCTACGAGGAGGAGCTGCAAAGGCTCAGGGCACAAGGGGAGGAAGGATCACCACCACCTCCGCCGCCCCCGAAGAACGAAACCGGAGAGAACAAGCGCACCTCGGGTGGGATACTGGCCTCAGGCACAAACAGGCTCTCCGTGCTGCTCAGCCGAAACAAGTCCTCCCCGAACCTGAAAAATGATGCTGCTGCTGCTGCGGTGGCGCGCCCGCCGGGCTTTGAAACAGAGAAGCTTCTGCACGCTCTCAAGCGGGAAATCTCGCTGCGCAAGGAGGCAGAGGGCAAAGTGGCGGCTACGAGCAGGGAAGTAGAGGAGTTGAGCGTCAGCTTGTTTGAGCAGGCCAACGAGATGGTCGCCGAAGAGCGACGGGCCAGAGCAAAGCTCGAGGAACGCGTCAGCGAGCTGGAGAGGAGAGACAAGGAGAAGACGCGGCGGTTCGAGAAGCTGGAGGGAGCGATGGCGCAGATTGAACGGGTGAGGGCACTGCTGGAGGAAACGGAACCGCAGATGGATGATGTCGTTGCCACTATTCCGCAGCAAGCCGACACTGTTGTTGTTGTTGCTTGAAAGCCGTGACGACTTATGAGACGATGAGGTACGAAGGAGGTTCAAGGGAGCTCAACGACCAGATTTGGATCGGTAGCGTTGGTTTGAAGTACGATATTGACCTCATATGACTTGCTTGGGTAGATTATGGAGTTGAGAACAGCAGTTTTGAGGTCTACCTCTAAATCCACGCGCCTAGCCATCAAGTATAGCCATACAATAAGTGCATACATGTACATATGCCACATGACGCCGCGATGCCCATGCTCCATAAACGCCTGCCCATGATCCCGCCTATTCAGCTGTATAGTAGAGGCCCGATGTCTTCTAGTCTTCGATGCCATTCCAGGACTTCTCATCCTCCTCTGTATTGGTGACTGAGTTTCTTCGAACTTGCACCTTGCGCGGTGGAGAAGCGCTGGTTCGTGTGGGGGGTGACTTTCTCTTCTCCGAAGTGTGTGCGGGCTTGGGCGAGCTGCGCTGGTCCGCCTTTGAGGCCTTCTTTGCTTCGCCATCGACAATGGGGAGGTCTTCCGACGGTTCGCCATTCCAGCGTGCGAGCATGTTCAGCACCTTTGGACCCCAAACCGCTTCGCCCTTTGCGAGGTCGGTGTATTCAAGACAGTTGACTCCACCCACTGTAAAGTCGCTCTGGCGGATGCGGTCCAGCTCGGCCATCAGACCAGCCGAGCCGAGCTTCATCCCAAGATCGTGGCAGAAACTGCGTACATAGTAGCCAGACGACACGGTCATGCGGATCTTGCAAGCGGCGGGGCCCTTGTCTGTCCACGGCGGAGGCGTGTCTGCCGATACCTCGGGTATGTCCACGTCGCCCTTTCGACGCTCGCCGCCTTTCTTGGCTTCAGGCATCTGGCCCAAGGCACCCGACATCATCGGCGGCTCCCTCCCGTTCTGGCGGCGTTTCGACGGGGCTTCCCGGATCAGAGAATCCTGTCGCTGTTCAAATTCGCGTTTGAAGTTCTCGTGGGCCGCCACGGCCTCGTCTTCCTCCACCTTCTCCTCGGGCGTCAGCTTCTTGCCGGTCTCTTGCGCCTTCTTGACGTTCCAGACTTGCTCCGCCAGATTGCGCTCTGCAGCTTCTGCCTCTTCCGTGGGCCACCGATGAGGGTGCTCCCCAGGTTCGTACCATTCGACCAGATCCATCTGCTTCACCTCGACCTCGCGGCTCGCAATCTCGCGGGGAATCGGCTTGCCTTCGCGGGCATATTCGTAGAGAGGCTTGCCATTCATCTTGAGTGCCGAGTATAGTGGTGGGACTTGATTTTGCCAGCCCCTGAAGCTGTCCAGCGCCTCCTCGACCTTCTCGCGCGTGATGTGTTCATATGGTCGCTTTGTCAGAATGCGCCCGACTCGATCGTAGGTATCTGTGCTCGCACCAAAGAGGACCACTGTTTCGTACGTCTTGACGCACCCCAGAAACTGGGAGAGATCCTTTGTGCCAGACCCAATGCCTAGGATCAGTACACCCGTCGCCAGGGGATCAAGTGTCCCCCCATGTCCAATCTTGAGCTTTTGGGCTTGTCGCAGCCTCTGGGGCTTGATGCGGGTGCCCCCATTGTTCTTTAGTTTTGCGAGTTCGGCCGAGATAACTGGCTTGAATACGGCGGTATCGCTGAACGCTTCTTGGCAGTCACGAATGACTTGGGCGGAACTAAGTCCCCGGGGCTTGTTGATGGCTAGATTCGGTTGTCAGTTCCCTACAGCTCGACTCGACCACAAGTACGCGCGGGGGGATAGACGTACCCAAGCAGCCTTCGCGGACAACCTCAGAAGCCATCCTGAAGAGGTCCTTTGCCGATCGCATACGAGCTCCGATCCAATGTCGGGAAGGAGGCAGCAGCACTAAGCCGCGCGCGAGCACGAGAGGAAGAAGCCGCGAACGATGGATTGGAATTGGAAAGTCGCTACGGACTTTCACCGATGCTGGGAGATCGCAGGCATGAGTTGAGCCCTCGTGCTGCCAGGATGTATTATATCGCAGAAGAGCTGGGATGAGCACCAGAAAAAAAAAAGGATATAATTATTATTTTAGAGTTGCGCTTATCGAGACGAGAATGATTAAGGTACAGGCGCAGGGCCAGTCGCCGCGCGAAAGGCCGCTAGAACCAGAAAATTTTAGCGGGCTGTTGGCAGGCAGGCAGGCCACTGGCTGGCCACTGGCTGGCCACTGGCTGGCTGGCTGGTGCTGCTGGACTCCAAGGACTGGAACCGCGTAAAGTGGCATGCAGCCCCGCCGATCTATCCCCAAGTTCAAGTCAACCGCGACGGTACTCACTGAGGCGCGTTGTTGGCTCACTAATCCTGAGCACCTGGGCCTCGTTTCACAACGTCTCTATTCATCAGTTGACATCAACCTTTGTCATCACGCTTGAGGACACTTGCTTGCGATCTCTTCATTGCATTATATCCGGTACACAAGGCCATAGCTGAGTCACTCTTCATCGTCCTCGTTCTCACAACACTCTCATTGCTGCTCCTCCGATCTTGCTAGACCTGGAAAGGTCTCGATGCTATCATGAGCGGCCGGAGCGGCCCGACAGTCTCATCGAGTGCTGCGCCAGCTAGCCGATCCTCTGTCCCTTGGAAGCTGGAAACCAGTGTTCTGCGTACGATTCCATCAAACACGCCCGAGCATGAGGTCCCAACGTTCGAGCTTGTGGATGCGGAAGTCTTGCGGGCGGATGGCCAGACACTCGCAAACCCTCTAGATCTCCAGCTTCATGGCCCGTTTATTGTGCGCGGGTTCCTCATGATCGATGACGCTGCCCAGCGAACACATTGTGAGTGTCAGCAAACACTCGAGCCATCTACCGACTAATCGCCTCGCCAGTGATCACACAAGGGAGGAGGAATCGTATCCCCATCCAGATCAACCAGGTTGAGCGCTACTCCGTCGGGATTGCCGCCGATGACGAGGATAGCTTAGGCTTCAACCCCCCTTTGCTTTGGCTAAGGGGCAAATGCTGTTATCATGAGATCAGCCCTGCGCAGCATTATCTCCCCATCTACCGGCAAACCAACGAGGCGATAGCAATGTACTACAGCTTTGAGGAATACTACAGCACAGGCCAGGGAATCCCCATGAAAAAGCCTTCCAAGAAGACCAAGCTACGAGTGGAGTCTTTGGCACCCTTGTTCCTCCATTGTGCGATGCAGCTCGGAAATGGTTGGACTATGGACGACGTGACGCAGAAGTGCCATGACCTTGCTCACTTTCTCATCAGCCAATTTTTCACAACGATGGAGGATGTTCTAATATGGGAGGACACTTATTTTCACGCATGGATGGTGCAGGAGCACAAGGTACGTGCAACTGTATCGGCTCTTGTCCACCTACTTTAACCTATCTAGGATTTGTATCATCGTATCAGGGATGCCTATGTCAGCGGCCGGCCTCAAGTAGAGAAGCAGCCAGAAGATGCACGACGGAGCGCATCTCTAAGCAAGACCACAATCCCCGCCTCACTCCCGCCTCAGATTCGATCATCTGAACCAACGCCGGTGGGCACAACAATCAAGGAAAAATCGACGACAAGTGACGTGCCGGCAGGCTCAGGCTCCCAGCGTCAGCGATCTACAAGATCACGCTCGCTCCTCCCTGAGGAACCTCACGTTCTAGCTGAACGCCCCGCACCCAAGACTAAAATGAAGCCGTCTACATCGACCCCGACTTTGACCTCGCAAGCCTCCAAGGACTCGCCGGCTGCAGATGATGAGCATGTCGAGCCATTCGAGTCTTTGCGCCTTGCTCTTGAGGGCGTGTATACCAAGACAGCAAATACAGCAAAGCTGACGGAGCAGTCTATAGCGAACAAGATCTACTTCGACTACCGGTGGCCCACCTACAAAAACGGGCAAACTGGATGCCACAAGATACCTGTGCTGGAGGTGTTTCACTACAATGCTGCGCAGCTCCTCAAGGTGCTCGATAAAGCGAGATGGGGTGGCACGCAGTTCTGGTCTTGGCTTGAGGCGAAGGCAGAGGAGCCCTTCAAGCCAGTGTCCATGACGCCGGACAAATTCCCGTACACCCTGGTCCTCAGGAAGAAGATGGAGAACATTGTGCGCAAGGACAAACCGCCACCTGCGAAACGGCCCGCCACCCATGACTACGGGTATGACGAGGACGAGGACGAGGACGAAAGTGATGTCCGCCATGAGGGTTTTGAAACCCCTGGCCGAGGCATTGGAAAGACGCCAGCGCGCCTAGGCAAGTCTGCCCTACGACCAGCGGCACCACTTAGAAAACGGGCTCTGGAGAGTGACTCTGAAGAAGAATCTCCCATTGCAAAGCGATCGCACTTTTTCGGCGGCGATACCAAAGACGACCAGCAACCAGCCCACGAGGACGAAGAGGAAGATGGAGAACCTCAGATCAAGCTCGTTGTGCGCGCCGACAGAATACCCTCGACCACCCCTCGCGGTCCCGACGGGACCTGGATCTGCGATGAAGAGAATTGCAACTACATTATCCGCGGAGGTGACACCGAAGATTGTAAGGAACGCATTCAGCAACACCTTGCCACACACGAGCAGGAAGTCGAACGTGTCCACCTAGCCATGGTCGAAGGCACCAAGAACCACAGCTCAATCAGGTATGCATACTTCCCTCCTTTCACAGTCATGATCGACCCAGGTGCCCCCTGGCCCTCAGTGGAGGACAGTCACGAGACCGACAAAACGACGCCGGAAGCCCCAACATCTTAGCACGATCAAACCGCATGTCCGAGCACAGTATCGCCCAAAGAACCACGACGAACAACAAGAACACCCTTACCCACTATCGCTACACCACCATGCGCATCCTCCCCTCTACCTAAACTGGTGACACCACAGAGCTTCCGTGCTTCCTTACTCCAATATCGCCGCGAGCCCCAACCTGTTGCCGATGGAATACAACAGCTAACGCATCATTTTACGTATGAGCAGCCATCTGCTCGATCGCATCAGAGAGCACGGCGAGAAATCGCAGAAGAACGACGAGATATCATTAGGCGGGACGACGCTGCCGAAACCGATCCAGAGGAAAGTGATAGTGTAACAGTGGGACGAAACGACTCCGACTGCGAAGGGTACAAGATGATAGTGGCCACATCCTAATGGTCAACGGTATCTGAGGACGGGGATCGCCTCGTTGTATGAGAATGTCGGATGGGTATGCGTTTTTACACGTCGATTAATACATTGCCACGAGGCATGACGAGGAGAAAAAGGACATCTTCCGAGCAAGCACAAAGCGACTTGACGCAACATGTGCACCATATTTGTATCACAGCGCCGGCGGGCTTTACGAATCGCGGCGTATCGACAACTGCAAAAGTGAACGAGCGGTACTACCCGCAATGGCTAGTTTCTTTTGAGCCATCAAACGATATTAAATGCCAAACTCCTTACCCCATTGTTCTTGACGAGCCCTCGTCCCCCAGCAAATCTAGACAGATAAGACTACAGAATCTCAGAAGAGGCGTCACTCTATTGACCGCCCGCCCCGTTCTCCACGACCATGCTGTCCTTGCCCTTGGCCGCCTCGAGCAGGAAAGCCTCCTCCAGGGCGGCCTTGCGCTGAAACACCCTAAGCCAGCGCTGTCCCCAGCGCTGGATCATGGCTTCGCGGTCACTGGACCCGTCGCCCGTCTCAATCATCTGGTCCTTGTTGCCGTTCGCCCAGCTCGTGAGCGCGTCGTTCATGGTGCGGAACATGTCCTTCATGGCTTGGGCTTCCTTTGCCCTCACCTCGTCGTCCGCTTCGTCCGACGCATACAGCTGGCGCACACGGTTGGTGACCTTGGCGACCGTGTTCGATACTATCTCAAACACGTGCGCCTTGGCCAACGCCTCGCCGCCGCTGGCGCCACTCGTCGATCCATTGCCCTGCAGAGCCCAATTAATGACCGCGATGGGGGTGATGACGGAATAATTGAGCAGCTTCTCGATGATGGAGATGGCGACGCCGGGATGGGCGTGCCAGTAGCTCATCACGGCCGTGACGACCTGCATGCGCGACGCCTCGCTTGCGTTGGAAAGCTCAAGAAGCCTAGACTTGGTACGATCGATGCAGGCGAGAACGTGGCTGAGGGACTTGGAGCCCACCCAGCAGACAGCCGTCATGAAGACATCGGTGCATGTCACGTAGGGGTCGAGGTTTTGGCTGTTAGCCTGAGCCTGGATACTCAGGATGATGGGAGCGATCTCCTCGTCAGCGGCTTTCCGGCGGAGGAGCTGACCGATCTCCTGGCCCTCCTTTGAGAATGGGACATCTGGCAATGTTAGCACTAAAACCTCAAGGCGCAGACAATACGATGCGTACCTGGGCTTGCAAATTTGAAAGGAGGCACATCCTGCTCCTTCTCAGGGCCAATCAGGGCCTGGTAAGGATCCGGCACGGTCTTTTGGATGCGCTGAGCGAAACTGAGACGAATCTCCTTATCGAGAGCTCCCTCCAGAAACCAGATAGAGGGGTGCATGGCAGGCAAGGAGGTATCATCCGCCCACTCTGCCCACTTCCAGGTGAACCCAAAGTTGCTCAAGTGGTGGGAGAACCAGTCCACGAACCGGTAGCTCAGCTCCAGATCCATGCGCGGGTTGTTACGGTACAGGTAGCGGATCGCTCTGCCCAGGCTAGGCGCAATGGCCGCAGGCGCCAGCTTGCAAGCTTCGGTGAGGATAGAGTGGTAGTACACCAACTTGCACTCGGGGTGCGGCAACGCAAAGAGCTGCGAGAAGACGGTGTCAACCGCGACGTCCTCGGGTTTCCACGTAGAGCGATCAGCTGGAAAGTTGCGAAGATCGTCAAAGGCAGTCGCGCGCTTCACAAACGTGCCTTCGGCAAAGTAGCTGTCAATGTCCAGCAGGTATCGCGCAACAACATTTCTGTTGAAGTTGAGAATGTTGATGGTATCAACCAGTCCATCGCGAATCAAGGAGGAACTGATGCTCGTCAACGGCGGCACCGACTCGGCGTCTTGGTCCGCATACACAGACAGGTACATCTCGGGAAACAGCGCGCGTGGCCCGGCGATGACAGCCGTAGGGATGTTGACTGTTGGCAGCGCATGCTTTGGTGGGTTTGACAATTTCTCCTGCAACTCAATGTCCTCCAGAGGCATTTGCCATGGGCGTGGCAGGCACTTGAGCTCCCAGTCCTTCGCCGCCTCAGCCTGCAGCTGGTTCTGGAGAAGCATGCACAGACTCTGCGACTTGCCAGGGTTTTGTTCCTGCGACTCAGGATGGAAAGGGTCGACAATGGCCTGTAGGGCGTGTGGCTCGGAAGCGATGATATCGGTCTTCTCCATGAGCTCGGCGGCCTTCTGCTGAGAAAGCTGGCCAGGCGAGGCGACCAAGATGTAGGGGATCGTCAGCAAAATGATCTTGACAATTTCAGTGCCAATGGTCTAGTTCCAAGTCAGCTCGCCATGCGCCTATTGCACCATTCTAGTAATACTCACATCTTCAGAGCTGGCAGTTTGCAGATCAGCCGCTCGACTAAACAGCTCATCGAGCAGAGGGAAGATGCCTTCATCTTCCAAGAGACTCTGCAAGCAAGCCAAGAGCTTCAGATGCAGCTTCACGGTTCTCCACTCGCCCTTCTTGATCGCGCCCTCGGCGTCTGTTGCCAGGCGCGCCAACACCTCTCCAGCAAGTTCCTGCTTTTTCACGTTGGCGACCAGTATGACGGCCGCCAAGAAGGGCGTCTTGAGAGGCTGCTCGACATGCAATTGCATAGACAAGTCAATGAAAGACCTGCGCATGTCCTCGTCGTCGTAGTATTCGGCGACCAGATCAGCGAGGTTCTGCACCTCCTCTGCCCAACGTCGGAGAGGCGAGTCGGCAAGACTGAGGAGCTGGCGACGCATGCGCGCTGGAGGAGGCGGATCGTATCGGCGACGCTGGTTGCGACGGTCATATTGATCGTCGTCATCTGGGGTTGCAATGTCAGTCAGCGCATCCCTCAGAACGAAGGTGAGCAAGGCTCACTCACCTCTGTACCGACGCTTGCGATACCCGCCGCCGCCGCCACCGCGGTGATCCCTTCTGTCGTTGTCCGCCATTGAATGCGTCAAATGGCCTCCCAATGGCTGTTGTAGCAAGAAAAGGAGAGTGCGCCGGTGTTGTGCGAATCGTGGTCAGGTGAAGCTCGGAAAATCAGAGGCTGCTAAGTTGCGTGCTAGGCGCGTTTCCGTCGTCACCAAATAAAAGGTCACATCACAGGTCACAGCCGCTACCTTATGCAGTGGCATGGGTGGATCCATCATCCCGTGATTGGCCAATCACACCCTATTCTCAGCTACTCACGTTCACCAGTTGCCGACACCTCCAGTTCAGGGACCAGAACCATTGCATTCGATTGCATGTCAGGAAATTGTTGTGTCTGGTACGCTCGTCATCTTGAATAGGGCCCTCTCCATGCCTGACGAACTACCACACATGCTCTGCAATAGTCAATCATATGGATAAATCACGCACGCGGTGAAAGGTTCGAGCCATTCCAGCCTTCAAAGTTTGATCCGACATGGTTGATAATTCCCAATAGTATGCTTCCATGTGGCAGTCCTAATCAGTCCAGCTCCTACGACGCCCGACGCCTCGACTTTTGACGGGAGCGCGCAGCATACATCGATCTGCATGAATCCCAGCCGCCAAAAGGGGGGTGCATGTTCCCAAGTTTCCCACAGCACACAACGCTTGCCAAAATTTTCGTCTTATTGACCTCATGATTTCGTCCCAGTATATGTCGATTCCAATTGTACGCTTTTCCAGGAAAACACGCTCGACGAGCTTTGGAATCACACGGTCCGCCATCCAGATACCCGCGCAGCCCAGGGAAAGGCTGCACGGTGTATAAAGCCGTCTGTCGACAAATTCGCTCTCGCCGGCAGGGCAAAGACCTGCTCGTGTGGTCGTCGGTTCGAAAGAGTTGGAGCTTCGAGAGATTCGTGCACATTTCCGAGCATGGGCTCAATCAAGCTTCGCGATCATCTCGGCCCGAGACAGAGGTGTGAAATTGTCAATATCAAGGCCCTTAGAAGCCAGAACAGGGCGCATGTGCGCTGGTACAAGGCGGTGGTTGAGCTCGGGGCAAATTGACAGTTCTAGCGCTGATCAGCATGTTTTCCTCGGAGCTCCAAAGGTCAAACTCACCGTGCTTGGAAAAGTCGAACAAGTTGGGTAGATCCCTCAATTGCCCGGAACCGTGCCTCGAATCAGGGAGCTTGGTGTTGGGATCGCGAAGCTCATCGAAGAATGGGTGGACCATGGCATCGATTGCTGACTGCCTCTCAGGAGGGGTATACTCCAGCAAGCGGGCAATCAGGTCGATGGCGTTCCCGTCGGCCTTGCGGAAAACTTTGTTAAATGGATGCGGCTTGATCTGCGGGAATTTGTGTTCCATGTAGTTGGGGTTCATCGTCCGGATCTGCTCCCTCGTCGGCGTACCCAGGACCTTGATGATCTCCACGAGCTGATCTATGCCCGACTCGCCAGGGAACAGCGGTTGACCGAGCATGAGCTCCGCCATGACACAACCAGTTGACCATACATCTGTGACATGTCAGCATTCCACGGGGACCTTGAGGATGGTATAAAATGGGTACACACCAATCTTGGTTGTGTAGTTCGTTGCGCCAAAGATGAGCTCGGGAGCGCGATAGTAACGGGAGCAAATGTACGAGACATTAGGCTCAGCCTCTACAAGAATCTTGGCACTCCCAAAGTCGCAGAGCTTGAGGATACCCGACTCAGGGTCGAGGAGCAAGTTCTGGGGCTTGATATCTCTGTGGCAGATGCCCTGGGAGTGGATATAGGCCAGCGCGCGAAACAGCTGATAAATGTACAACTTGACTTCCAAGATGGGCATGGTCGTCTTCATCTTGTTGAAAAAGCGAGAGGCCCTATAAACCGTTTCGGGAACGAATTCCTGAACAAGGTTGAGGTACACTTCATCCTTCTGTTTCGAGGTCAGTTTCGAAAAACGTATGACGTCGCACTGGTGCTCTTACGCGATCCCCGTTGGAGTAGTAGAAGGCTTTCAGCTGGACGATGTTCGGGTGGCGCACGATCCGCATGATTTGAAGCTCGCGGTTCTATCACTGTTGTTAGTCGACAGGGCGCCTCATGTTGGCTACGAAAGCACAGGGCAATTGATCTACCTTGAAGCGCTTGTCCTGTAGCACGCGCTTGATCGCTGCATCTTCGCCGGACGGCGAGAGTTTAGTCTGAAAGACTACACCGAAAGATCCGTTCCCAACAATCTTGCATTGCGTATATTGTAAGTCTTTCGTCTCCCCTGTGATGCCGTCCTGCACTTTTTCGCGGATCACCTCTGCGTACCAACGTTAGTGACTTATCGACCAATGAGACGTCACCTAGGCTGCAGCTGGCAATTTTCTTGCAGCAAGCCGTGTCGGGGGAAATATCACTCACCACCCATTCTGAGGCTATTGAAGGCGTTGGGCCGATGGGAAGACATTGCTGCTTTTGGCGCGGATAACTATGCGCACGGGCTACCGAACTTGCGAAGAGGGGCAAGCTCGTGACGGATTGGAGAGGGGACGGGGTGACGAAACGAGACGCTGAGTGCGGGCCGTGGTGGGCAATGGTTGGCGAGGCAGAAACTCGAGGCGAAGTCGGTGACAAAAGTCAGGGACAAGTCGTTCAACGTCAGGGCGACTCGTTTGACGTTGTTGATCGGTGTGTCGTGGTTGCAGCTGTGTGAAAGTAGCTCACGATGGTTGGGTTCTGGGATTGGTGCTGAGGCCAAGGGTCCCTCGCTGACGTTGGCAACGGGTGGCGGGCGCTCGTGACCTCGAAGGTTCAAGGCCGCGGATGACCCTGTGAATCAAGGAACCTTGACGACGGGGAACTGCTGCGATGAGCACTTAGCACATGCAGGAGGCCGATGATGGTGGTGATGTGGAAACAGAGACAATGGGTATCATTTGCAAGGAAAGAGACAAGGGGAAGAGGAGGTGAGGTGAAGAGTAAGTAGTAGTCTGAAGTTGTTTTGGTAGGTAACACAGCGCAGATGGCAAGCGAGTGGGCGGGCTGGCTGGCGCTGCTGGGCTTTTGAGGTGATGTGGGAGGGACAGGACTGGACCGGAGGGGGTGTGAGGTGCGGGGCTGTTGAGGTCAGGTCAGGTCAGGTAGTGACGGCAGGGCGGGCAGGCCCAGCCAGCAGCGGTCATCAGGCGGGTCTTCAAGATGAGGCCTGGGTCTAGCCTCGAGGGACTGGAGTGCAGCTCGATCTGCTCAGTCCAGCCGTTTCGTGTGGTATAAGAATGAGAAAGACTGCAATTCGTGGTTCAAAGCAGACTAGATGGTGCAGCGCGAATGTTCAGGCCCGGGTGCGCAACAGGCAAATCGAAAAAGTGGTAGACCTACTAGACCAACTGAGCGCCATTGGTCCCACGAAGCCTTGCGTGCCATGATGCATCAGCTCGATCAAAAAAAGTAGGGTAGGTGCAGCAGCAGTACGTAGTAAATTGTCGAGCAGCGCCAAGGTGAGGAAAGGTCTCATTCGCAGCTGTTATCAGAGGCAGGATTGAAATTCACAATAAGCCAATATTTTGTGCTTATACTCCCTGCTAACTAGGCCAAAGCATGAAGATAGTCTGACTACCGCATGACCAAACGTGATGGAAATGCTCCTCACCATGGGCCTCGTACTCCCCTCGTCTTGGTGGCAATATCACACGCCATTTCAAGTATCCTGTTGTACAGGGAAAGTCGAAATCAGGGGCGCTGAGTACATGTTCCATCTTGCAAGGTTGAAGAATACCTGGTGTGGCAAGCGTCCGCATGCTCTGCATTCGCGCTGATATTAATGTGCATGGCTCATGTGAGTTCGACGCAGAAGCAGTGTCAAGAAAAATTGAAGAGGGTAAGAAATTGAAATGAGGTACTGGTTATCTGTCTGGCTATTCGAAAGAAGATTTATATCCTTAGCACAAGCTGTCCTCCTTGCAAAGCCATAGATAGGCACAGGCGTTGGAGCTCCAGTCGAGACGAAAAGTCCAGTGGTCCAGCCAACGCACGGAGCTCCTACTGGTGAGTCCCCGCAATCAAGTCAGTATCACGATCATACTGGACATGAGCTGCAGATAGGTATTCCATTATTGTAACAATAACGTGTGCATGTTTCCAGTCACTGCTCCTCCCCTCAAGAGTGAAGTCACCGACTCTGATAATTACAATGGGTTGGTGGACCCCGTGAACCTGGGCAGTGGGGAGGAATTGCGGCGCCAGCAAGGAGGAATGCAGCGGGGTGCATCTGCGTGGTCGGCTCTTTCGTGGGTTCGTTGGCAATGCGAGGCACCTTAATTACCTAAAGCGAGCGGAAGCGGCTCAAGGATGAGGATCGTCTGCGCCGCAGCCGGAAAACCTGTAAAGCGCAATTGCTTGACTGCTTGCCCCAAAGCAGGCATTAACACGGGTTTCTCTAGTGCCCTACCTCCAAGGTGAAGGAGGTGAGGGCCTGCCGCATACCACAGGTGATGAGAATCGACCGTCTTCAATGTGGATCACTGCTCGGATTTGCTGCCCAGGTGACACTCCACTGCATGTACGGAGGTGGATCGACGACGAAGAAAACCAACCGTGGCAGGCTCTGACTCTGAGGCCACGAACAAGTGCAACGAAATGGGCCAGCCTCAGTCAGATGCGGCGACAGCTGTGCAAAGCACGTGCCTTGAAATACCTAAGGTACTACTCCTACCAGATCAGGATCTGGCGCAAGGCCAGTGCAACACTGACGTATTTTCCACAATCATCAATCATGGTGACCAGGACCTTGAATGGCAGTCTGCAGTCGCTAGCCAGGTACCAGGACCACGTCCCGCGCGCCTCGCAGCCACAACATTTGTTGATGCCCACGCAAGTTTGCAGGCTTCTACAGTGCAACACCTGGCTAGAGATCTCAGCATCCATTTTCACAGTACCTCCCTACCTATCCAAGTGGTCAGAGCTTGAGGTGTTCAGTTGACAGTTGGGCGGAATAGGCGTACACACCATGATGCGGGGCACCTATCACGGGGTCCAGGACTCCTGGTCTGCTGCTCCATTTCTGCGGAAGGTACGATGATGGATCAAAAGAGCTGCCATCTCACTCGCACATCGATATTGTCAGCAAAGATCTGTTGGTTGTCATGATCCGATCACTGCGGACCGGACCTGTCGATTGGCAAGTGGCTGAGCATGCAGGTGATGAGCCTGTGCGGTCGGAGTGTCACTTTGTTGGACGCAGCCGCCGCCCTGGGAGAACCCCTCACGCTCTGGACGATACACGATGTACGTGCTGGAGATCACCATTCTGGCTCAGGTGCACGGTCCCCCATCCAATAAAAAGAATTTTGTGGTCGCAAAGCGCAAGGCTCAAGATTTCGGTACTTTTAAGTAGGATTGTTGCAGCTCGTGACGTGAACACGTTGCTCCATCATTGTTTGGTATCATGTCCGGACTCTGATCATTCATTTTGGGTACCCTTGTGTAATAGACCACCCTGTACACTTGTATATCAAACTTAACAAAGGTCGCTTCGGGGCCAGTGAGTGGTAAGGCATGTAGCCAGTCAACGTTTCGATTGCATACGATGGCGCCAGCTCTCTCTAGCCATGTGGGCGACCGGTTGGCGAGGCCCAGGTCCCCGAGTGTCACATTCAAGTTGCACGCAAGTCGAGTACTACCCAATTGTGACATTACTTACGATGTAGTAAGCGAACTTAGTAGGTTCCATTCCATCTTGCCACCTACAGCCTCGTTCCAGTAGCATTTACAATTTTAGCATTGTTGGTTGTCGGCCTGCGCATCTGTCATCACCGTGCAAAGTCCGCCACGGCACGTCACAAAATCGACTTTCGCCTCAGATTCTAGGCCTCCAGCACCCGCCACTAAATATCACTCCACCATCACCAGTTGAGCCCAGGCAGCCCACTTGACACTTGCATGGGACGGTGGACTCGGACTAGGGGCACCGTCTCCCGCGGCTCCGATGAACTGAACGTCGAGAACTTGAGACGAAGGTAAGCAACCCCAAGAATCAATCACCTGCTTTGTGCCCTATGATGTACCTCTTTATGCCACACTGCCAAGCATTCGACACGGGTCGCCTATCTCCAGGCAAGTCATGGCAGATTCGGAAAGCAGCCCAAAGCGAAAGATGCCTTCTCAAGGGCCATCGGTCTCGCCAGCTTCAAGTACTACACGCAGTGTTCGAAGGTGATTTGGGCCCTCTGATAAACTCAGCCAGTGGTTTGGGGATTTTCATATAGCTCCCTCGGCCCTTGAAGCAATTTTCCGACCACTGCTGGCTGGAGTATGATGGTCTAACCATTGTCGTCGCCCCTCTACGAGTGCGTCATGGTTCCCGCCACCAAGCAGCATAAATCGGTATCACAGTCCCTACATGCGAGCATCCGCAGGGAGGATACACACCGTTGTTAATATAATGAACATAGTAGGCCAAGTCGCTGGGTGGTGTCCAACCCACTCGTCCACGCGCTCCAATTTGCTACTATCAGGCCAGCCCTTCCTTAGCGATCCTTTAGCTTAGTGCGCACTACGGAGCACGGATAGCTTCCATGTCTTGCATGGGACGGCTCGCGCTCGTTGCGACTTGCAGTCAAGAGGCGAGCCCTAGCGCCGCAACAAGCTGTTCACGACTCTTGAGACTCAGATACTGCCATACGCATAGATAAAGTTGTGCAGTACGTATGGACTTGGGTCGTAGTGCTTGGAGCTAACAGGGGTAAGCCATGAGTACAGGTAGTTAGTGGCCGGCTCTGAACTGCATCTTCCGCGGGGACCCAGCTCCGTACACGAGATCCCAAGCCAGCTTCCAATGCTGGAGAAAATCGAAATGCAGTGTTTTCAGTCTCATGACCTCTTCCCGCAACGCTAGCAGCCGAGTTTGAGTTCGACCGCTAACCGAAGCCTGGCTGGTGGCCCAGCCGCCACGCGCGACTACCCACCAACCCATTGATGCCGATCTCTCTCTCCCTCTTTTTCCCTCACCTGATGAGCCAAAAGGGGTTTGCATTCCAGCAGAGCTGCCCGACTCCCCAACAACGAGCCAATTGATCGCAGCCATTGGTCAGACATTCAGGATCGGATTGCCCTCGTGTCAACTCCGAGTACCTGGCATATCTCCGGAACCAGCCGGTCGTGATGGCACCAACAGCAATCGCCCTGACATTGTCTACGGATTAGACCAGCCCCTTCTTCAAGTTGCAAATAATGATTCTTCGTTGTTAGCCGGATATTCAACGCCTGCTGCTTGGTATGTGCGGAGGGTTTTACTCGTTTTTCAACAGCTTTGGGCCAGTTCGACGAGACTCGCCCTTCACTGAATGCCCATGAGATGAAAAGCAACGACCGAACGAAGGACACAAGCCAATCGAGTTTGATCACAACAAGTCCAAGGTTTCGGTTATTCTAGCATTTATCAGACTGCAAATTTGCGGCGTCAAGTGGTCGTCTGAGATCAGAAGGACGGCAATCGCTAAGCAACAATTTCCAACACCAATCTTGCTCTCATATGTGTAAGTACAAGACCAATGGCTCCTCTGCATGTCATAGTACACGGGTGTGAACACAGACATTTGTCAAAGGGGCCTCTAGATCCCGATTTGGAACACTGTCGCCGACACTCTCAGGCCGCAACGCATATCGGCGTCGATGCGAAGTCATGCGTATGCCATGACTGCTCGAATGATGTCGCTCTGGCGCTTACCGTGCATATGCAGGCCGCAAGGGCAGAGCTGCGCAAATCTCACGAGTGCGTAGGCCTAGTTAATCTTCAGGAAACCGGCCATCCTTGACCGCCAAAAGCAGGCGTGCACACATACCGTACTGTATTGTTCACCATCCTTAGTTTGTTATCGTATGCACTTATAGACCAGCGTACGGAGCCTTACTTCGTGATGTGAAGTCAGAGATATACAGCTTTCTTGGCGTGGGTGTGAAAGATCGCTCGTAGCAGACGCGAATGAGTGGCATGTCTTCTGTCGTCTCTGATGGCTACACTTGAACACTCGCTTACGGATACCTTATGATCGATGCGCCTACCCGCAACACACCAGGCGAGGTACCCTTTCACAGCATCTGATACTGCACCCGTCGGCTTCCCTAGATTTGCCAAGACCACCGTTGTGCGACGCGTCCCCTGGACAATGCTGGCTGCTGTCATTGCTCAACCGTTGTGCGACCAGGATGTTCGAGGTCATCTGGTGTTTTGTGACCAGGCTATCAAGCACAAGGCAAAGCAACACCAGATATGGTCCCCCCCCCAAAAAACACCCACCTCCGTCTCATTGCTTCTGATAAGACTAGCGCCCATCAATGTCTCGTGGGGGCGGATTGTCAGTTGACAGTTCAAAGAAAATCCGAAAGCTTAGGATTATGAAGGTTTATCAAAGTCTTGCCTAGAAAGTCTACATCTCTAGTGACTTTCGGGACGAGCCATCGTTGTTCAGTCCTCATCGTCCACCTTGTCCGCTACCATGTCTTTCGCCTTGTTGATGACCTTCTCCGGCGGGCGTTCCGTTGCTGGCTCAGCAGGGCTGCCGAGGCCACCTGCAATAGGGCTCAATTGTCCACTTGTTATGCCACTCGTCACACCACTTGCTTCGCCGCTGGCTTGACCGCTCGGCGGAATGCTTTGCACAGTGACGGGAATCTTGATGTCGTCCGGCGATCCAGGCACGATTGAGGACTCTAGCCCCGGGATGTGAATTCTCTTGGCTTCGTTTTGATATGCCGCAGGAATGATCTCGATGATCTCGTCCCGTGGGAACTTCAAGATTGGAATGTCCATTGTCGAGCAGTGCATCAAGTACGCATACAGAACACGCAGCACCGACTCGTGAGCGATGATGAGGAGGTCGTTCTGCTCGCGCTCCAGCTCAAGAATGATGGGCTCTAAACGGACCGCAAGATCGTGGTATGACTATCGCTTATGTCAGTAGCATTCTGGCAAGCCCGTCTACTGGAACATACCTCTGCACGTGGGTAACGGTGGTGGTAAGGATCCAAGTCATGTTTCTCAACCTCCTCGGCGTAGATCTGTCGAATCATCCTCTCCGAGAGTCTCTCGCACGCACCGGGGTTGATCTGGCTCATTTGCGAGCGTTGGCGAACTTTGTATCCCTTCTCCCCGAAGACCTCGGCCGTCTGCACGGTCTTGCGGCGGGTCGATGTCCACACCGAGAGTGGTCGTAGAGGCTTTCCTTGTTCCGCGGCTTCCTGCTCGCGATGCTTGGTGAGAGTCTCTGCCATCTTTCGAGCATATGCCTTGCCTTGCTCTGATAGCGGGGCATCCGACTTGTAAGACTCCTCATCTTCTGTAGTTGTGCCCGCGCGAGCGAAGAAAGTCGTTCGCGATTTGATATGAAGGTTTGTGAGATAGAACACAATGCGATGCGAGAGATAGTTGAAGCTGACGTTGTTGTAGAAGAACTTGGAGCCTGCGTTGATCATCTTAATGAAGTTGAGCTCCTTCTCGTCCATGGTCTCAAACATGGGAATCTTCATTGTTATGCGTTTCAAATAGAGCTCTGCTGCCTTATCGGGATCCATACCCGCAAACTGCTCTAATCAGTGGCAAATAAAACACAGGATTAATGTGTATCTTACATCCGGGGAAGAGATTTTGACATTGCGAGCATTCTCCAGCAGGATGCGTTCATCGTCGACGAATGACTCGATGAACAATGTCTGCAACATGTCAGTATCTTTGGGGTCTTCGCAAAGATGGCGCAAGTTCTACCTGGACGTCGTGCTTGGCGAACTCCTTGGCCAAAGAGCGCCTTCCACTTGCAACGGGGTTGACTGCATCGTAGATGGCAACCTGGCCGTTCTCATGGTTGAGCCACGCGTAGATATCTTCGCGGCATTTCTTCAAGATCTTTTGGCGGAGAATAATGGACTGGGGTGATGCGTTCGGGAAGAAGTAGTCTTCGGGCACCGTACCGCCAGGTCCTACAGTTGCTCTCCGATAGTCGCCCAGATGAAAGATACGAGTCTTGACGCCAAGCCATTGTAGATAGCGTGCCATTGACACACAAATGTGTCTTCATTCTGTTAAATGGGGGAATACATTGACAGCTGGGCGATTAACTCACGTCTTGCCTCGAGCAGGCAATCCGACCATAACGATGGCTATCCGACCGGAGTGGAATAGTCGCCCTGACATGGTGCTATAGAGCTGGGCCGGAGCCATATCTTGATCTTCGGGAACATCGTGGATGGCGTCGATGAATGTCGAGCTCTTGCGGCGATAGCGTGGAGCATTTGCCGCTATCTCAGCAGTGCTAGATTCCATAATGTCAGCAATATTCTCCACCCTGGGCAGTGGTCAAGCTGCCAGGAAGCAAGCACCGATGCTGAAGCCACAAAAAGACAATAGACGCGTCTGGCGCCAAGCACTTGGAAGATGAAGATACAAAGAGATACCTATCTGGCAAGGACAGATGAGTCCAAGGGGAAGGAGAAGCTGATGGTCGGGTGGGAGCAAATTCGCAATTGACAAAAGCAAGTGACTTTAGAAAGGTAATGCACAGGAACAATAGTGTCTTCAGGATAGGAAAACTGAACAGACGTACAGTAATGTATCCATCTTTGACGTAAAATCAAGCGATGTAAGGCAAAAGAACCCCTAGTCTTAGGTATTTAAGTGGTCTGGGAACGACTTCTGCCCTGCCTTTGCCTTGTAGAATGCTGCAGCCCCAAGGCGAAGGACTAATTGTGACTGATTGTCGCCTTCGGCGAGATGTTGTGACTGAGCTGAATGGGCTCAAGGCGAGCCACGTGACGATTGCAAGTAACGAAGCTGTATCGTCGTGACAACGTTTAGGTCTCCCGTCGATATAAAGTAAAGTGAGCTTTGGGGACAAGACTGAGTTAGATAATCGTCGTTCGAACGAGTCCGGGGCCCGTGTGTGAAGGAAACAGGATAGGATTTGAAGTTATCGTGAAGTTTCAGTGAGACGGTGAGGCTCGCACACGATGTCATGTGCGGGCACGTCTGAGTCGGATATTATCGGGAGATGGCGTATGACGACAGATCACAGACTGAGTGAGAGAGTCCGAGCAGTGAGCAAACACAAAAAAGGCATAAAATGGACAGATGAAGAAGAATTGGCGGTATTAGATAAATCTATGATAAGCCTTGAGACTACCTACCTATTGAAATACTGGGCTGCATCTCCCAGCTGCTAGAGGTTGGATCGGGTCTTCGGGTGAGATCGTTCACTAGCCGCGGACGACTCTCGAAGCTGGCTGAAGCCACATTGTCTGCGCCACGACAACTCAGGCTGTGGCTTGCTCCCCCCAATATGGATCAAACCGCTTGGATTGAATGTTTGTTCGGTCAAACGGAAAAGAATAAAAGAAACCTCGTCGCGAAGAGTCACCTCTTGCCCTACCCCTGAATTCCTGCTTCATTGAAGGCTGGTGTTGTCACAAGTTATGTTGAGAATGCGTGGACAAACCCGTAATCTCGGAACATCATGGCTCCACGCCGGCTCGCGTCCAAGCCAGCACTGAATCGGTGCGCATCATCCACGTCCAACTGCGCGGTCGACTGGAGCTCCACTTCCGAAACTGCCAGGTGCTCCAAGCGTGCCAGTCCATGAAAATTATTCCTCCAGCTTCGAACATCATCCCCGACGCCAACGGCCCATTCGCAGTGCACTATCGCGTCCCCTTGAGGCAGTCCTTGATCACCGAGACACCACTGCGATCGACTTTTTTTTACCTTTTCGTGCGGGTCCTGAAGCTTGTTCGGACGTTTCTGCACGACGTGTCGATTCGACCATCCTCAACTTCTTCCCTACGGCTGAATCCCTCTCCTAGTCGCTTCATACCACAGCCGCCATGGCATCCGCAATCGACTCGTTAACCGGCCTCCTTCTTACCAACCCCATCGCGAACACAATAGGAGATGCCGTCAACTCTTTCTCGGAGCGCAGGGCAAAGCTCGGTCTCAGCAACCCCGGAACGATAGAAAGCCTGTCCAGGGAGGTGCAGCGCGATGTCTTTCTCAACAACTCCATGTTCACGGGCGTGCGCGCGGATCTCACCAAGATCTTCAGCATGACCCCTCTCTTCCAGGTCTCGCACCAGTTCGCTCTCGGCGAGCGCATTAACCCCTATACCTTTGCCGCCATGTACGGCACTAACAAGGTCCGTAATCAACCCACCAACTCACCCGCCGTGGGAATGATCACCTGTTAACAACGCCTCTAGATCTTCGCGCAAGGCAACGTCGATAATGAGGGTACCCTGTCCGGCCGCTTCAACTTCCGATGGTCTGAGAAGCTGGTGTCAAAGTCGCAACTCTCCATCTCCCCTGGTGGTCAGGACATGGCCCAGTTTGAGCACGAGTACACTGGCGATGACTTCAGTGCGTCCCTGAAGATGCTGAACCCTTCCTTCCTTGAGGGTGGGATGACCGGTATCTTCATTGGCAGCTACCTCCAGTCTGTCACACCCAAGCTCGCCCTGGGCATGGAGACTCTCTGGCAGCGTCAGGCTCTGACCCAAGGCCCAGAGTGCGCCGTCTCGTACTCTGCTCGCTACAAGTCTGCCGACTGGGTCGCGACTGCCCAGCTCCAGGCTGCCATGGGCACCCTTAACACATCTTTCTGGAGGAGACTGTCGGACAAGGTTCAGGCCGGTGTCGACCTCAGCCTGGGTCTCGTGCCCTCAAACGGCATGATGGGCGGCGGTCTCCAGAAAGAGGGTGTCACCACTATCGGCGCAAAGTATGACTTCCGCATGTCGACCTTCCGCGCACAGGTCGACTCCAAGGGCAAGCTCAGCTGCTTGCTGGAGAAGCGCGTGGCCCCCCCTGTCATGATGACATTCGCTGCCGACATTGACCACTTCACTGTATGTATCCCCTTCTTTTCACTCGCTCGTCCACGACTAACCTCGTGTAGCAATCTGCCAAGCTCGGTCTCGGCGTGTCGATCGAGGCGGCGCCAGAGGAGCTCCAAGAGCAGCAAGAGGCTGCTGGCGGCCCCTCTACCCCAGCCAACATCCCCTTCTAAGCAGGTGCTAGACTCGACTTTGATGTGACGAAGAGAAATAATATATCGCGACCTGGCATCGGCCCCCTCCTCGGCCGGTCTGTGATTCAGTTGGACAGTATATCGTCCTTATCAAACTGGATCGTGTACCATTATTGTTTTATTGGCTGTCTGGGAGTCTCTAGCACCTGGGTTCGCTTGCTGGAAGCATACGGCGATTGGTTAAGAGTCGACTTCGAGGGAGAAGCGGCTTCCACCTTTGTGTATTGTAAATACGGTGAATAGAGATGGTGAAATCCAGAATCATTATGCGACGACGGCTACGCAACACACCGGGCGGCGAATTTGGCTGTTCATCAAATAATTTGTGATTGATTGTTGCGCATCATTCCCTCATTACGGGACATGCGCCGCTCCACTGGCTCATAAGCTCTGCAGTGTGCAGCCACACAGTCGTCTAAATCCCAGAACGCCGTGCTATGCTTGTGACAGTACAAGACCTTTCTATACCTCATCAATCTTGAAGAACCTGTGAGCCATGTCTACATGACCGAGCACTCTCGCTCCGGCTCTCCTGTGGGGTCTTTCGCGTCTTTCGTGTGCTTCTTTGTCCTATCCTTGTCCTTGTCCTTATTCTTTGGTTCCTTGGGGCCTTTATCTTTGGATTTGCCCTTCCTTTCGGTTTTTGGAGAATCTTCCACAGGAGGGAAAAACGATTTCTCTGTTTCAACGGTCGATTCGACCCCAGCACTTGCTGGAACCTCCAGACTCGCTCTGTTTGAGTACAGGTTGAGTGTACTGGGGTCACCTAAAACGTCCCGACTAGGGCGCATCAGCCCGGCCATTCGACTCATCATATTGGCATTGCGGTTCTCGCCCGTTTGGCTATTGGTACGGCTTTGTTTTGATGATGACGATTTGAAACGGGTTGCGGCGCGAAAAAGCCTAGAGCCAGTGGACTCGTCGGTCGGTGTCAATGCAGGTGATGGCTGTAGTTCCGGGGTCAAGGCGGGCGACACAACAGCTGAGTCTGTCAGATGCACGCTCTGCGGGCGCGAACCTCCTCGAGCCGAACTAGAGTGACGATTCAAATCAGCGCTCCTTCGAGGCCTGTCCAACTCCGCAGAGAAGCGAATGCTAGGAGCTTTGCTCGATGGCGCAGTCGCTGGACTCTCCGGTGCCCTATGTGTCAATCTCGATTGACAGGGTGTTTGGGCGGCGCCAGTCAATGAACCGCCGCCGAAAACATAATTCTCCTCGGCCATAGGCGTTGTCGGTTCATCAACGCTCATCCTGAATCCCTCGTATGAGGGAGGTGCTGTATCCTCGTCAGACGGCGGGTCGTCGGCAATGGGAATAATTTGATAGAAGAGCAGGTAGGGCATCTCATCTCGAAGGGAAACCTTGATGTCATCGACGTATTGTACCCGACCGTGAGTCTGCAAGTCATCAAATTTGACCCATTGGGGATCTTCGTAGTCCGGGGGCGGATCGACGTCATGCCGCCTGTTGTTCACAAGCAACCTCGGGGCCACTCGAGCAAACGAAATATAGTGGCCGCTGGATAATGAATCCCCTCGATGGCAAATGACTGACTGCAAGACAAGCTTATAGTCACCAGTCAAGGCGGTCGTACTGTTCTCGCCCTCCACGACTGTAGCACCATCCGCCAGCATGAAATGTGGGAGTCGAAGACTGTCTGGTATGTCAATATACGTGTTCTGCCTCATGGGCTCTCCCTTTGCCGAAAACGTGTATCGTTTCAGGCAAATACCGACGACTGGTCGCTGATCAAAGTTCATAGCGACCTCTGTGTCGTTTTGAGGTGCATTCTTGGCAAGAGAATGCCATGCTGTCAAGCAATTAACGCGAATGATAGATAATGAGGGTGGTATCGGAACGTACGTATAAGCCTGAAGAACTGCCATGCAGGTATGGTTACGGTTTTGACTACAGTAGATCCCTTTCGCTTGGCCTTCTCAAGGAGAGAAGCATCTTCTCCTGAAGCAGGTCGGCCAGTAGCATCAACGCGCATGCTTTGAATGACACTTGTTGACCTTGTCCTCGTTGATGGGCGTTGGTGAACGGGACCACCTTCATAGCTCCAATACGTTGGTAGCTGAGATGGGAATGTGTCTGATCTCGATGTCCGCGGCACTGCAGGGTCTATGCGCTGCAAAGTGATTTCCTGTGTCGTAGGATAGGCAAGCTTGGGTCGCTCATCAATCTCAAGAGTGCCTTCTTGGTTTCGAATATCGCCTGTCGACTGGCCGTCCATGCCTGGATGAGATGGGTCGTTCCCTTGGTGCGCTTCAGCTTTGAGTACTTTCGCTTCGTTTGAATTGGCCAAGTCGTTGTCTCCTTGCCCATGCTGAAGTGCAGTACCTCCGCTACCGGCATCACCGGGCTGATCTGCCACATCTACGTCAATTTGCGTTTCAACATGCTCGCATTCCGGTTCCGCTTCCATTTCATGACTCTTCGGCTGAGAAACTGGCGCTGTCTCAGCCAATGGAGAAGCAGTCATCGCTGTTGAGCTGGGAACCCCATCCGTCAGAATCTTGATGGTATTGCGAGCCAGCATTGACGGTCGACGCAAAAGCGGCCCATTCTCCAATTTTGACATTTTGGCTTCTTCACTGTCCCTGTTGACCTCCACTCGCGTGTTGAAGTACTCTTCCAGGCAGTCTTCCAGTTTGACGCCCTTTCCATGGGGGTCTTCGGGCACGGCGAGGTTCAATAAGCGTTCGTATACTACTTTGCGATCGGCATCGTCCTTCTTTCCATGATGAAACAAATCGACCTGGAGGGAAAGCAGGGGTAGTTGTAGGGTCTCTGTCAGAAAACCAAAGGCCTCAGAGGTATCCTGCTGTTCCAGCAGGCCTGCTTCTGGCCAACCGCAAGCAGCAAGAGAATTTTGTATCTCTTCGGTCTTGACAATCAGCAATGGTTCTGGATATGAATGATCATGAGTGGATGGTCACGCCTACCAAATCTGTCCCAATTAACCGGCCCGTGCGAAGCATGTTCACCCACATGCGGAGCAGCTTCACCAATGAATCTTTGGCCTTGTCCTCCGGGAAGTCATTCTTCAGCATGCATTCAAATGCATCCATCTTCGCGAACATGGAGAAGAGAAGAGTATCGAGGTAACAGGTAACCGCGCCCCGATTTTCGGCGCCTACCATGTGCACCTCGGGGTTATAGGGAATGATCTCGCCTCGTATCGCCTTCTGCTGAATATCGATGTAGTCGACGGCTTTATCAACATCTCCCTGCGCGTATTCGCTCGATATGCTGATTTCGATTCGTTCGCGACCCACGTCATGGTAAGCCAATTCTTGGATTCGTCGTTGCACTTGGTTGAACTGCGGTTGTCAGTGAGCCTTATTCTCCAGCAAGCGGAGGCGTAGGCACACCTTGAGCTCAAGCTCTCTTCTTTGGACATCGTTTTCGTTTTCCTCCTTGTCACCATTGTTCTTGTTGAAGATGTTGCGAAAAGCATCTGCTCCAGAAGATCTGGATGACTGCTGGCCCAGGTCGACGGTTAGCGACGGTATCTCGGCCGGGGTGAGGCAGGCGGGATTCATACTCTTCCAGCTGGCGGTGTCGACTTGCTGCGATGATGAGAGTTGTATTTGTCTTTTTTGCCAAGAAACCGTTTGGCAATCATTATGACTTAGCGAGGTAGAAAACCCCGCCAAGTAGGGGCCTCGTGGGCGAGCTTGCAATGTCTCTTTCGTGGCGGGGTGCTGAGGTTGGCTTCGCAGATGAAGGCGTGGAAGAAGTGAATATTCTGTTTCGCTCGATATCTGGCTCCGTTGTCCTACTCCGGTACATGTACTCCGTACAGCTTGTCCTCAGCTTCAAGGTTGGCGCTGCGCCGTTGCTGGTCGCACGTTGACTGGCCGAGTCTAATAGCACCACCGAGGGGTCGCCAATATCAGGGGTGACTGATAACGTCCGGCATGTAGACGAATCGCCCAGAGAAAGAATGCGAAAAGGAGATGGTAGACCTGCCCGCAATGAAGAGAGGTTGAAGATGATGGGAAGGAAATATGCGGCAAAGGAAGGTTTCTCATTCAATTGTGTTGGGAGGAAGGAGGATTGTCCGCAGGCGCCGCCCACATTCGGTGGAGCAAGCTGGACTTGGGACTCGGACTGGGACGGACGGTGCTGGGGTCGGACTCCGCATGCCAGATGCTGTCACGTCTTGCTCGACAGAGGCTATGACCAGAATTAACTTATGATGTTCAAATGCCTGGACTCAGAGAGGATTGGGGTAGCCCTGGTCGTTGAACGGCTTTTGTTAATGGGCTGCCTCGACAAGTACGATTATTCGCTCCAGCCTCTAAGCCTCCAGCTGATAACAGGTCAGGGACCAACATGCGTATCAGTGTCCACTATACGCTCAAACGCCCCCGATGCGAAGATTGCTAACGAACCAGGCAAAAGCCGCCAGGGTTGCTGTGAGTCGTAAGCTTGTAAGTCTGCCTGACTCACGGGCCAACGCAAAGGGGTGGGTTCACGTCATGTCGTTGCAGATGCCAGGCACGCACAAGCGCGCCGTTGTCCAGTTGGCTCTCACCTGGCGCAGGCAGCCTTTGAAGAAACAAACATGCTTGCGGGGGAGGTTGCGTGTGAGGTTACATATGTATCAGATGCGCCGTACGGAGTACTGTGAATACAATGACGACCATCGCTTGTCACTGGGGGGTCTCACGAACGTCCGGAAATAGATGAAATAGCCATGGATCCCCATTCACTTCGGAACTGTGTAGGAAAATTGAAACCACCCCCAGGATCAGGTTCCCGGGAAGCGGGCCAGCAGCGGTTGCACCGCCACATCTACTCGAGCCACCTTGAGATTGTGGCGCACGACGCTCCACCACCTCGGGAAATTTCCTTCGCGCGACGAGCATTTGCGCTGGGACGGCGTTAGTTACCATTATCACCAACCGCAACAAAAAGGATGGCTTGCACACGTGAAAGCTATCGCATAGCGAGCGCGCTATTGCGTCGGCAATTGCCTATCCGGACAGCTGCCCCTGGTGTGAGGAGATTTGCCTCGACCGAGGCTGAGAAGCCTTCATCAAACCAGATCGACGACCTTTCAGAGCTTGACGATGCGTCATCTTTCAACACACCTGCTCCCGACGCAGCTATCTTGGATGCGTTCAAGAGCCGTCCTCCTCCCGTTCGTACAGGCAAGCTGCCCGCCAACAGGTAAGCATCACTGGGCCAGACGGTTGGGCTTGGATCCCAGGAGCTAACAGCCTTCAGGTACCAATACCACCCACCCAAATTCAATCGCGGACCTCTTCACCCAGTACAATCACCACCGTCGTCCGATCCCATAGCCCGTAACTTCGTGCCCGGCCCTTTCAACCACCCGCGTCTGCGACACACCCACGATTCAACCATTGCACCAGACCTACTCACATTGACCTACCAACACCACCCGCCTGGGGAAGAGCGCGTCGTATCCACAAAAGGAGAGCTCAGAGACTGGGATGGCTCATCGCCGTATCATAAAAACCGCCCCAAGAGAGGGCCGAGGGGTCCTGGTTCTGATAGGCTGGCTTTGTTGGAGCGCGATATTGTGTTCAACAACATCCCCGAAATCAAGTCTGTCAGCATATCTATGCACCAGCCTGAAGCTGCACGCGACAAGGAGTACTTGAATGTGGCCCGCGCAGTGTTGCAAGCGATTACTGGAAAGTTCACCGAATTGAATTTCTTGAAGAAGAACGTGGTGCAATTCCAGATTAGGAAGGGTGGTATCGGAGGTGTCAATGTGACACTCGAGGGCAACGACGCATACGAATTTGTGGATAAGCTCGTTACCTTGGTGCTGCCTAAAATCAAGGAGTGGCCTGGTGTGAAAGCCACAAGCGGCGACGACAATGGCAACATCTCCATTGGTCTTCACAAATCGGCCATGACCTTCTTTCCTGAACTGGAGTACAATTTCTCGGTATGGCACACTACACGACCTACTCTTAGACTGCACTAACGACTCGACAGGCGTACCCGGCGAAAATGATTCCTGGCTGTTATATCACCATTCAGACCACTGCCACCTCTGACCGGCACGGGCGTCTGCTACTAGAAGCATTGGGTTTCCCCTTTTACGGCAAGGTCAAGAACTAAGCATGGGAGCATTCTGGGAATTGTATATTTAGATCATGTACATCAGCTTGTGTCAACGGAATTTGTATCATAAAGAAGCGAAGATGGTGCGGTGCCCCTAGGGTTCGCCTTGCTGTCAATATCTAAAACCCGGTGCTGTCCAACGCCCGAACGCCATTCCCTCCCCTTCTATTTTGATGGTGTCCTATAAAGTGAAGAGCGCTCATTGTGCAGAAACCTTTGCCTTCTCCCTGAGATCATTCATGATCACATCAATCGCCTCCATATCTGCCGCATCGATTTTCGCAGTCTCTTGACCACGCTTCCCGAGTTCCTCCGCGAAGATATCCATCGACGGCTGGTAATTCCGCACCGCAGAACTCAACGCGTATACCGCTTTTCTCCTCACGTCGCTGGGCTCATTTTCGTGCGTTGCCAGTTCCACCAGAGTAGGAAGTCCTCCCACAGCCAGTAACCGCTCCTGGGTCTTCTCGTTGTTCTGAACGGCCGTTCCCACACACCAAGCGGCCATTTTCCGACACTCCTTCTCTGCTGATTTGAGCTGTTCGAGAAGAGGTGTCCAAAGGCCAAGGTTGGCAATGTTGTTTGCGTTGTCGAGGTTCTCGATGAGTTGTTCAAAGTTGTCGAAAGCAACGAGCTTGTCGTCAAGGGTGATTTCAGGCTCATCGGAGCTGATGACCTGGATTGCGGCTTTCATCAAGTCGGCCTCTGAAGGGCCACCCATGAGGGCGGCCATGACATCAGGCGTCAGGTCAGAACCGCCCGTCGGTGCCGTGGGGTCATTTCTTGTAACGTCTGAGTTCTCGATGCTCCATTTCAGGAGCTCGTTGAGACGGGGATCATTGGCTGCCATTGTGTCTTTTTGCCTGGTAGTTGTGAAAGGATGAATACGACGTTAAGGTCTTCGGGCCCGTTGTGTCGACGAGGATCAGACTGGAGTTTTTGTCTGACTGCATCTTCGTCATGCCCCTTCTGGAAGCTTCAGGAAGAAGCTACTCTGGAAAGGGCATAGCGCCAACTGGCAAACTGGAGGGGATAAGATTTCAAGGAAGAAGTTTACTGCGTAAATATGGCAACTACCTTAGCGAGTTAGAGATAAGACTATTCCAACGACACGATGAAGCCGACGCGATTTTCCGCTATTTTCTATTTTCCTTAATCAACTTCAATAACGACGTTGGCCGTTAGACAAAGTGTGTCAACTTTTTAAAAAACAGAGGTCTGCCCCGCCATTGTACGTACTATCTTGCCCCTCATCGCTGCTTTAGGCGTAAAGTATGCGATATCAAGGCGAACGCGTGTGGTCTTGTCCTTATAACCCTACTTACGTGTGAACATGTAATGCGCTGTCAATCACCGCGCCTCCATCTAGGGGAAGCTTTATTAAGATAAAATTCCCGAATAAATGGGAACAACTGTGTCTTCCGGTGTCCTACACGAGCCGCTTCACAACAGATCAGTTACGAAATGTAGGTTCGAGAGCGATTTTGTGAATCTCTACCAGCGCGCAAGATCTAGCCATGCCATCTTGGAATTTATCAGATCAGGCTCCGAAATTGAGCTAACACCTAGTGAAGTCGATGAGGCTGCAGTCGCAGACTACAGCGCTGTAGCCTTGCCTGTGCGTACGTGGCGCTTATCTTGTGGCGAGTCCTTCTGAATTCAAGAGCCGCGCTACTTTGACATGCCACATGGCAGACCTCTTGTCAGCAGGAGTGTAGAGCATATAGCGTTTTGTGACGAGGGCTATCTCGATTGAGCTAATGAGCAGGTACGGGCCTCATAAGCCTGTGAATAGACTACAGGGAGAAATACGAAGGTATCGGCACATGGATACCTGCCCGTGTTTATGTCCAAATCGATGATGTCCAACCAAGACACCACCATAACAGTCTGCAGCGGCTGGTATGATTCCGACCCGGCAATCAGCGATGATATGGAACTGGCATCATTGCGTGCAAGCTGACGACGTCTGAGAGCTAGGACGCCACTTTCCGAAGTCCGGCCCGAGTCACGCGCATCCGTCCAAGGCTCTCTCAACCCAGTCGGGCTGGGTGTGGTTGATGGAGGCAGTGCCTTGCAACTGCCTCCAGCAGTGGTGGTGGTTTTGGTGGTCCATGGTGACGAATGTTAGAATTTTTGGCGTCCTGTCGACTGGAGGCAACAGCAAAGGCATGCACGTCCCAGCCACCACCACGAGCCAATCACTAAAAGCAGCGAGCCACAAGCCCCCACTTCCTGATGGCAGAAAGCAGGCGGTGAGGTGTGCCAGGGAGGACTCTCAGCGCTTTGTCACCCAGGTCTAGGGGATGTTGGCCCCTATCGCGGTCCCAGTCAGCCACCACCTTAGCGACAACACGACAGGACTTGCCAGGCTCCTTTCCACAGACGGAGCAGCCAGGTCTGATCCGCCCGGCCCCCTCCACACTCATTCATTGAACATCTCGCCAGCTCGCTCCCCGTCTTCTTCTCTCCTCCTCCGAACCTGCGTCTCTCCGCTACCGTCGTCAAATCACTCCACCCGCCACAATCAAAGCTCAGCGTCAGTCTCGCTTTAGAGCTTATCCATCTCGCTCCGGCTTTCTCTCTGTACAATCACTTAATTCACTCCAAACACATATAATCCGCAGCCATGGAGGGTATGTAAAAACAACAGCTCCTCCTTTGCCCCTATCGCAACACGGCCTGCGCGGCTGCACAGACTGTCGCGAGCTTCATACCAGCATGTGCACACGAGAAGAACTCTGGCTAATATCAACTTCTCTCAACAGAAGAGGTCGCGGCCCTCGTCATTGACAATGGGTAAGCTTCACCCCGCTGTCTCACCGACATCATCACCGTCCAGCACCCTGGCCGCCGATCGAGATGCTGCACGACATTTCACCGCCCAATCGATCGCAACATCTTCAGGCCAGGACAAAAGACACATGAGCATCGGACATACTCAAGAGGATCGCGGTGGCTAATTCGACTATAGTTCGGGTATGTGCAAGGCCGGTTTCGCCGGTGATGATGCTCCCCGAGCTGTTTTCCGTGAGTACCCCACTTCCGCATCCTCAAGCTTCCAGCCATCCTGCGCCGACAGAACGGCGGCTGCCACGAGGGTCTCCGTGATCACTAGTTCGAACTGAGCTGACACTTCAAAGCTTCCATTGTCGGCCGTCCCCGCCATCATGGGTAAGTTTGAGTGGCCACCGAATTCAGTCGCCCCTTGATTGGCACAGCTTCTGACCTCGTCGATTAGCATCATGATCGGTATGGGCCAGAAGGACTCCTACGTCGGTGATGAGGCTCAGTCAAAGCGTGGTATCCTGACTCTCCGCTACCCCATTGAGCACGGTGTCGTTACCAACTGGGATGACATGGAGAAGATCTGGCACCACACCTTCTACAACGAGCTGCGTGTCGCTCCCGAGGAGCACCCCGTTCTCCTCACTGAGGCTCCCATCAACCCCAAGTCCAACCGTGAGAAGATGACCCAGATTGTCTTCGAGACCTTCAACGCTCCTGCTTTCTACGTCTCCATCCAGGCTGTTCTGTCGCTGTACGCCTCCGGTCGTACCACTGGTATCGTCCTCGACTCTGGTGATGGTGTCACCCACGTTGTCCCCATCTACGAGGGTTTCGCTCTGCCCCACGCCATTGCCCGTGTCGACATGGCTGGTCGCGATCTTACCGACTACCTTATGAAGATTCTCGCCGAGCGTGGTTACACCTTCTCTACCACGGCCGAGCGCGAAATTGTCCGCGACATCAAGGAGAAGCTCTGCTACGTTGCTCTTGACTTCGAGCAGGAGATCCAGACTGCGGCTCAGAGCTCAAGCTTGGAGAAGTCGTACGAGCTTCCCGACGGTCAGGTCATCACCATTGGCAACGAGCGCTTCCGTGCTCCTGAGGCTCTCTTCCAGCCTTCTGTCCTGGGTCTCGAGAGTGGCGGTATTCACGTCACCACCTTCAACTCTATTATGAAGTGTGATGTTGATGTCCGTAAGGATCTGTACGGCAACATTGTTATGGTAAGTTCGGTCCGTCCCGAGATATGTTTAGAGGCTGACATAAATACAGTCTGGTGGTACTACCATGTACCCAGGTCTCTCCGACCGTATGCAGAAGGAGATTACTGCTCTTGCTCCTTCTTCCATGAAGGTCAAGATCATCGCTCCCCCCGAGCGCAAGTACTCCGTCTGGATCGGTGGTTCCATTCTCGCGTCCCTGTCCACCTTCCAGCAGATGTGGATCTCCAAGCAGGAGTACGACGAGAGTGGCCCTTCCATCGTCCACCGCAAGTGCTTCTAAGCAGCCCCGACGGTCTATCGAAACCCCTCGTTGTCCCCAGTATACGGACTACGAGCAGCTCATGGCGGTGGTGGCGCCCGATGCAACGTCTACTCGGATGCGCACGTATCCCGATCGAGTCTCACGTTTATGAAAAGTTTTTAAAATGGTCACGGGGGTGGGCGTTGCCTTTCTGAGAAAGCATGTGATGGTTGCCACTTTGTCTTGTCGGATGCGTTATGAGCCATGGAAGTAGAAGCCGAGGTTGACACACAATTACTTGCTTTTCGTTCGAGACTCGGTCAACTAAAGTGTGATCATGTTCGATACGGTACCGGTGATGTGCAGCGTAAATGTGTATGGTCTTCCTTCATGGGATTGCTTTGGGGGTATCTGCACCTATGTCCCTTATACTTTCCTCGACAGGCTCGTTTCGGTCTTCAGCTAGGGTTGAATCGGCTTCTCCCTCGATAGCTGCCTCTGCTCCCGATTCTTTGCCTTCCTCGAGTTTTTTGTATTTCCGACGCTTCTTCTTATCAGCACTCGCCGACTTCTTCTGTTTGATCCTGCCCACAATGGCCGAGCGTGCCTGGTCGCCGTTGCGGAACTCGTCGATCTTCTGGGCCAGAATCTCGCGCGCAGCCTTGCGGTTCTGATCCCTTGAGCGCGTCGACTGGCACTTGACGACAATACCAGTTGGGGTGTGGCGCAGCTGGACGGCCGAGTTTGTTTTATTCTGATTCCGAGTCAGTGAAACTTGTTCGGGGGAGCGCGACACTGATAGAGTGCCAGATATGTGTAAACACCAGACGTACAATCTTTTGTCCTCCCGGGCCGCTGCCCTTGAGGTAGAACTCCTCGATCTCGGAATCGGGCGGAGGGCCAGGTCGCGGAGGGAGCTGTTTTAGCCAGCGCTTGGGCGCCGTGGTAAAGGCAAGGCGCGAGGCACCCTTGCTAGATATCCGGCCATTTCTTGAACAGGCTGCTCGTGACACAGTACGCAGCATGGTGGTGGTGACGTGCAATCGCGAATGTTGCTCTTCGTTCGCTGCGCCAAGACTCGACGTTCGCGACGTCACGTGGGTCTGAAGAGGCTCACCGGTTAACATTAGATTCGTAGCTGCGCTACCAATATGATACTCCAAGCTACCTGTAGGCTTGTCCAAATCAAGTCGGCACTGGCTTTTGTAAAGCTTTCGTTTCGTTGGCCTACCTATCAGGCGTTGAGACTACAATCACCTTGGGGTGCTGTAGTGCAACGTGGTGTTGTGAATTTGCATTTAGCAACAGCCTGACCACTTTGCCTATAACATGTAGAAGTATCTTTTCAACTCCAGGCCATCTTAAATTTGCGCGCAGACTCGGAATCTATTGGTAAGCACTACATTAACTTCTTTGAGCTGCTTGCGAGATACACGCGCGCAGCCCTCTGTCGGTAGCCTCCGTAGGGTAGGTCAGCATTGAGTAACTCGGGCGGACATGACAACCACCTATTCCGATTCAGGAGACGGCATTTCCCGACATCGACTTTGCAACCATTCCCTGGAACCCGATTGATACCTCATCTACTCCCATCGCGTAACGCAAACCTAGAAAGACAAAGTGCCACTCGAAGGGCGAGCAGTTCAAAAGACACATAGTACGAGACTTTGGCGCCAGCGCCCACCCGATTCGCGCAATGTCCCAATTCGCCTACTGGCAGAAATGGCTCCAGCGCAAGAAGCACCATTTCGAACTCTCCTTTGCAGTCTACATGATGACGCCGGGCGAGAAGTTTGCCTTTTGTATGTTTTGGTCTTTTCCCAAAGCCGTCTCTGGACCTACTGGCTAACAACGCAACAGACAGCATCTTCTTCCTCCTATCGGCCCTTACGTTCATCGCCATCATCCTGTACCTACCGCATCACATCTCCTTCCTCGTCGGCCGGGCGTGGTACTACATCAATGGCGAGCAGCTTGACGTTGGCGAGGTGGTCAAGGAGATGTCGTCAAGCGTGCTACAACCCGAGACGACCGGCTCCGAGGTCCTGACAACTGCCGGGGAAGAACTGCTTAGGGAGCTATGAAGGCCGTCGTTGTGGGGAACTAGGGACGCGTGAGCGGAAGAATGGTGTTGGAGCATATTATGCGTGCAGATGACATGGCCTGCGAGATGACGGCGGGCTTGGTGTATGCAACACGGCGTTTGGGCTGGCACTTGTTTTGAAACCAGACATAGACTCGCTAGGAAACTATCTGGTCCAATAATGATAATACAGGAGGACGACTCTTAAGCGACGGATCCATCATACAAAGCAAATCTTTGTGCCTCGGTCTTTTGAGATTGTATACCTGCATGGAGAACAATAGCATGGTCTACACTGGCGCAGGGCTTGGCATGGATGGGTTGACTTCTTCATTGTTTTCAGATCCGCTACGGACTACTCCCCCTGAGATAGTCCTCCGATAGGGAAAACAGGCGCAGTGAACTATCATTCCCTGCTATTGCGAGCTCTGCCTTGTCGGCATCAGTGCCAGGCCGCCAGGAAAGTTGCAGCACTGTCTTTGGCATTTGTAGTCTGGGGCACCGTGTCAGTGTGTATGCACCAAGAGGGGGTTATGTTGAGCTTACTCTTCCTGTTTCGGCAGGTTAAGCACCTCTCCCGAAACCTCATCGATGTTGTGAAGACTAAGCAGGCCACCCTCCGTCCCGACGGCCAGCACGCACTTCCCACCGACAACCCTGGGCAGAAAGTCAACCGCCGTGACCGGTTCACCTGTCGGGATCGATGCCAATTGCGTAAAGCTCAGCTTCCCAGCCTCGTCCGCTTGGCTGTGCCACAGGCGGACCTGCTTGTCCCTGCCCGCCGTCGCAAACAGGGGTTTATCGTTTGGCGCCCACGCTGCGTCTAGGATCATTCTTGTATGGCCCTTGGGATTCGCCTGGAGTAGAGCATATTGTAAGGAATCGTTTGCACTACGCTCAAAGACAGCCCATTGTCGATCACGACCTACGCTGAGGATGTACTTGTCGTCTAACGAGAAGCGGATTCTCGTGGTTGTGAGCGTGTGTGCTGTCAGGGGCGGACGGACTTCCGTCCACTTGTCAGTCTCGAAGAGACGAATGACAGCATGGTTGATGGAACTGGCTTTGCAAGCACTGGCGACAATCTTGCCGTCGTGGCTAGCCGCAAGGCACGAGATCTCATACCCGTGGCCGTAGAGCTTCTCGGTTTCGGGCCAGAGGGTATGGCGCGAAAGCGTCTCCTCGTGTGGCGGGTGGTCAATGTCGAGATAGGATCTCTTGACAATGGAGGCCGGGTCGATGGCTTCCCTGTCGCGGTCATCGACGGCTGCTATCTCCTCGTCGTCCTCTACCATGTCGATGGCCTTGTTGGATAGCCCGAGGACAGGGATGTTGGCAGCGTCAGGCATGTGCTCGACATTCGCCTCGCCGATTCCGCCAAGGCGATGGAGCATGGACGCCACCGCTTTAGGTTCGCTGAAGACGCGCATCAGCTTCTCATCGGCTCCCGAGACAAACTGTGATGCCCCCAAGGCGTCAACACAGTTCAGATCATAGCCGTGGATTTGAGGTCTCGCCATTTCGTGCCATGTGTTGCTTCCATTAGCCGTCCATATGGTGTGCAGTCGAGTCGTTTGATCCAAGCTGGTCGATAGCAGATATTCACCATTCCCTGACCATGCAATGCCCGTAACGGCTTTTGTGTGGCCAGTGACGGGAACGCAGGCCTTCCAAATGTCCGTGTCGGGCTGCCATTGCCATCTCCTCCAGCTGCCTGTTCGCCCCAAACAGGCGACAGACTGACCATCGGGAGACCACAACCCCGTCCAGAAACCACCTGTACTGCCCGTGGCTGTGGTAGCGCCTTTTTCCCTACTGATCTCGCCCAGCCTCACCATGCTAACCCAGATGCCGGAACCTGGATCTGCTTCCCAGATGGCGAGTGAGTTGTCCGCCGACGTCGACAGGAGCTGTAGCTTGCCGTCAGCGTGGGCATGCCACTTTGCACTGTAGATCCAATCTTCGTGGCCCAGCAGCAAAGCGTCAAAGGTTATGGAATAGTCCAGTCCGGCGGTTCTCAGCATGTGTGCCTTATTGGAAGGGGATTTCCCAGGGAGGTAGGCACCGCTCAAGGGATCGTTGCTTTCAGTGGCGAGGGCGGGGAGTTCTTTTCCCTGGTGCACGCGCCAAATGCGAATGTACTTGTCTTGACTTGCCGACGCGAGCAGAAGATCGCTCTCCGACGCGGCGGTCTCGCGAACAAAACTCAAGGATCGGATCCAGCTCTCGTGACCTGACAGGTTGGCCTGAACCTCAAAGTTGACGCATCCGTTCTCGATGCCGTTGCGCACGTCCATGGCTGTCAGTATCTGAATCGTGTCCCTGGTCCCAGCTGCCGCGAGAACGAACAGATCGCCTTCTGCGTCAAGCGGGCTGATGGCGAGTGACAGTGGGAAGAACTTGGGCATCGTCTTGATTGACTGGCGTAGCGTCAACTTTCCATCTCGTGAGATCCAGATTTTGATGGTCGCGTCTGCGCTCCCGGTGGCGATCAACCATCGCGGCTCGGTGCCTGGTAGCCTGTATGGTACGATGCAGTTGATGGCGCCTGTATGGTCCGACACAGTTGTGACTGTCTCAAAGCTGTGCGAGCCAGATTGCGCTCTCCGGACAATCAGTGTTTTGTCGTCCGACCCAGTGATGAGGTAGTCGTGGGTGTCGGCATCGCTGGAAGGCAAGAATGCCACAGCCTTGACCACATCCTTGTGACCGCTCAACAAAGCTGTGATGCCACGAGGGGGCTCTGCCTAAGTGCTGTCAGCACGAGCTCTCGATATGGAGAGTAAGAAGAGACTCACCGCAGGCTCCCAGATGGCAACATTGCTGTCCGCTCCAAATGCGACGATGCCTCTGTGGCTCCAATCAGCCACGGCGGCCTGTCTGTTCGATCCCGTCGACAAGTACTCTGTCACTATCGCATTAGGTGACATACTCTCCGTGGCCAGCCTGTATGTCAGTACGTATGATAGCTCACGAATGTGTAAAAGTGAAGCCTGGATATCACATTTTCGATGACGGTGATTGGCTCGCGCGAGGCTCGTCCAAGTTGGAGGAGTTTTGAGATTTCAGCAGCGGCGTTAACGTGGCGGGGCTTAACGCCGAAAGCAGGCACTTGAGTCTGGACTTAATTAAGCCCCTCGCCTCGCTGTGATTTTCACGAGGATGATTGACACATTGTCACATCACCACAAACTCACAGCTTTGCGGTATACATTCGCTACGCTACCTTATATCGCCATCTGATCATCAACTTCATCATGGGCGAAGCGATGGCTTCAGATGCCATTCCCATCGTGGTGGAATTCTCGTGAGTGGTCACCATCGCCTACAGTTCAACTACCAAACTCGTCGCTACGCAATCTGTCTGTGGTGGGCACCACAGTCCACTGGCTCAGACAAGCAGCTCTTTGACGGGATATTCAGCTGACTGGCAACAGCGGCGGTCTGGAAATGCTCTTCGCCGACGAGCAGCGTCTCACCCTGAAAGTTCCAGCCACAGACAAGGACAACAAACCCGCCACTATCGCCTACCTAGTAGACTACCTCTGCGAAGAGGAGATGAAGGATGCACGCAAGGACCTGTTTGTCCTGGACGGACACCTGTACGTTGCCAACAAGCCCGCAGCAGAGATACCACTGGCGTCTCGATCTCTGTGGACAGGTGCATGAGACGGCAGCGTCGTCGCAGCACGCGCACACCGGTACGGTACATGGACGAGCAAGTAGCTAATGTCTTGCCACAGTCGACCGGGGATCCTCGTCCTCATCAACGACGCAGACTGGGAGCTCGAAGGCGAGGAGGCCTACGAGCTGCAGTCGGGCGACAACGTGCTCTTCGTTTCCACGCTCCACGGAGGCTAGCAAGTAGCAACTGGGAGCAAACATGACCATGGGGGCCAATCCAACTCCAACTCGTGTCCAAGAAAAGACACTCACTGCCGTCTCCTGCCCGCCGCCGTCATCCTGTCTGAAATCGAAGGGTTTCAGACCCTGACCTCCCAGTCTCGCTGTGCTGAGTGGTCGCCAGCCCCCCTCCCGGCGCCACACCACCACCCACCAGCTCAGCCGCAGCCATGCCCAATTACCCAGGCCTGTCACTTCTCAGCTCTGCACGCAGCCAGTTGGCCACTGGGGACAAGGCAAAGCATTCCAGTCGTACATATGGACAGATTGGCGAGGAAGAGCAATTCAAGACGACGCAGAAGCCCCACTCCGTGGATGTGAGTGAATACTACGTATATACTCATCTACACAGGGCTATCCTTGCTGGCCAGCAGCCAGCTGCGCCGCCATCGGGTACCGACGGGCTATTATGGACGCGATAACCTGCCATTGTTCCTTTGCAAGGCGTGGCGGCGTGGTTTTCACCACAGTCGCCATCGACGTGACTGTGCTACGATGGGGCGAAGCTCGTCAATCAATTCTACGTAGCAAGGATCCTCCCCGTTGAGTGTCTCGTAGGTATAGCACCTACTAGCGCTCCGGGGAAGAGCTTCGATGGAGCTGGGTGCTGAGACAGACATGCGCTCCTGTCCGTCATCCTACGTAGCTCATGAGCACGTAATGTGGCGCACGTACGTCCTCTGAAAACACGTACAATTTACAAACTGGGTCTCACTACTTGTCTCGCGCTTGCGTCCCTCCTTCACCGTCTAGACTCCAGCGGCCACTCCAGCGGCCGACTTGGCCACTGGCAGGCAATCATTGCTGGCCAACCAAGCTCAGATGGATCAAACCTGCATGTATGTAGGGGGAGCCACTTTTCGATCCTATCACACACATCTATTATTTCATGATTGATAACAATCCGCGCCTAGAGTCCTAGATTAAGTACGTAATGGTAGCTGTGGTTGTCATTATCTGGGCCTTGGCTTCGGCGAGACGACATGGAGACGAGCAGAGACGGGGCAAGAGACGACACTGGCTTTCTACAACGGTTTTGATGCTCAACGTTTTGATAGTAAAGGGTATACTACGTACCTCGTCCGCTGTCAGGGACCAATTGTTGATCAGTTTCCACTGAGCGGGCGGGGATCCCATCGCGGCGCCGCCTATGATGTATCCCTGTCAAGACCGGGCCATGCCGAAACTCCAATTTCCCATCTATTGCAGAGGCGCAATCCGGGCTGTCGTTGGATGGCGAACTGTCACAATTGTCTGAGCCGTTTTGCAGGACCAGCCCCGGTTTCAGATCAGCGCAGGCGACAGCCAACATTGCTGGACGAAAACTGGAGCAATGCTTCTGCAGGCAAAAGCGAGCAGCCAGCAACCAGCAAGTGAGGGTGTGAGGCTTGAGCGAGACTCCATCTCTCGTCACCAAGTTTCGGATCTACGCATCCGTCTCGGAATGGCCATTGGACAGGTGTAAGGGACTGTGAACGCAGACAATTGTGGTATAGTAGATGGCATTACTGTATGTCGCGCAATCATCGTGTCTGCAAGAAGAACAGACCAAACAGAACCTGCTCAGCTTCGTTGAAATCAAATAGCCAACTGGTATCTTTCGCTCGAAATGCACAAAGACCACCCCAAATTCTCACAAGACTCCCGTTGCCCTTCTCATAAGATCTGGTAATCTCGGGCGGTATCGCCGATCCCAGGCCCAGCCTGCGCACCATATATATATAATTAAAAACAAACAAACAAACGCTTAAGGATAGAAATCAAATGTACCCTCAATTCGACAACGCATCCACCATTTTGAGTGTCCTTTTCTTATTTGGCAAGCAGAAATGCAGAAAACGAGAAAGGTTCTTTCGTAAGTGTTTCCGACAGGACGTGATTATCGTTTATGGAGGTCAAGTCAAGCCTTGACAGGCAGGGGCTCAGGTCGAGGCGCGATCCTCCGGCCCTTGCCTCGGCCTTTGACACCTTTGTTGGAGTTTTGAAAGGTCACTAGGAACCACTGGACCAGCCAGGGCGTCTCCTGTGACAACGTCTTGTTCTCCAGCAGGTCCATACAGGAATCCTGCAGGCGCTGGGTATCTTCCGAGTGGAATTTGTTGAGATGGGTCTGGAGGCGTGGTCAACGAACTGTACATATCTAGAGGGACGAGCTGAGATCCGTACCTTCAAATTCCCGCGCGTGGCAAAGCTCTTGTGGCACGTATGTCCCTCCTTCTCGACAGAGGGCATTTGGCAGACAAAGGGCCTCATCTTCAGATGCACCGTGTTGTCGTGATTCCGCAAGTCCCCCTTTTGGGTGAAGCGCTTTCCACACTTGAGGCACTCGTGGGGCTTGACGCCGTTATGGCGGTTCATGTGTGTCTGCGTGGATAGTTAGTGACTGGTAGAATCAAAGCTTGTGTATGTGTGCTCACGTTGAAGTTGGCCTTCTGTGCGTTGGCGTAGTCACAGCCTTCATAAGGACATTTCCACTGCTTCTCCCCGGTGTGGGTGTATTCGTGCTGCTTGAGGTGGGCTTTCTGGCTGAAGGCCTTGGGGCAGAACTGGCAGACATGTTTCTTCAGCTTGGATGGCTTCGTTCCGGGCAAGGTGAAGACGTCGTCGACGGCTGTGCCTGGAGTCGAGGGCGGACTTGTCATGACGGACGTGGGTGAGCGGGTAAGAGAAGTGGCGGGCGATGACGGGACCGACGACTGTGGACTGGTGGCGGTCTGTGTCCCGGGCAAGCTGACGTTGAGCGAGTCGATCTTGCGCAAGAAGTTGTCAATGGGCGTGTCGAACTGGACCTTTTCCGTGTCACAGACTGACTCGTTGGGGAGGATCGTCTTGGCTGGCCTCATCTCGCGTGTAGCATCATACGGGTTCGGGCAAAACTCTGGCTCGGGCAGAGAGCTCGAACACCGGCTGCTGTTGCTAGTGCCGGTGCTGGGAGCCATGATGAACCTCGTGTGCTCATCACTGAAATCTTGATCAAACTCCCTTTTCACATAGAGGGCGTTGGTGTCCTGGTGGTGGTGGTGATAGGTTGTCGGCATGGGCGTTTGTTGCATGTAGGTCGTGTTCTGATAGTGCATCGCGGGGTGGTAAGGGGCGGCCATCATATACGGCATGGCCCCAGCTGGGGCAGCCAATATCGAAGAGTTGGGGGGAGCGTTGTAGTACATGCAGGCGGCTCGCATTGCCATTTGCTCTTCATCAAACTGTGGTTGCCATGGGCCCCAGTTGGGACCGGTGGTGAAGGGGACTGGCCGTGTCATTGTCGATGGAGGAAGGAGGACGTGAGACTCAACAAGAAAGACTCAGAGTGGAGTGTGTTTCTTACTACAGCAGGAATGTAGTACGGGGCACGGATCGCGGTAGAAGGGGGAGGGAAGAGGAATATATATTCCACTAGACTAGCGGTCGTCACTAGACGAGCAGAGGATGGAGCCAGACGGGAGATCGTTGTGCAGAGTGCCCGCATTAGATCGACCGGGGTTCCAGGACTAGATATTTGCTTGTGCCGCAGGGGTTTTGAAGAGACAATATCCCTGGAGCGAGACGATACAAAGACCAACTCCACCGGCAAGTATCTCTCTCCCCGGTGCGATCGCACCCCCACCGTGGCGAGATGACTGGACTGTGGCTGTGAGTTTGATGCAAGATTCAACCAAGTTCGGTAGTCCCATTGTACTGTAGCTCCCGTATGGCACCCGTGGCTTGTGAGACAACGATGAATCTGGAACGGCGCCCAGAGACGAGACGGGAGGACTGGACGCGTCCAGAGGTGCATGTTGGTTGTGTTATAGGTGCTTCATCGAGACAGGCACCCGGCGACCCGGCCGGCAAGAATTAGCGTGTGGCACCCCGTATACGCGGCGACGTACAGTAAGGTACGCGATATCAGAGCATTGTTGCCAGCCGCAACGCTCCTGGGGGATCATTATCAGGCTGGGGCGAGGGAGTCCGGTCCTTCCCTGACCCAGGGGCGGTTGTTGCGTTGTTTGGAAGGCAGCACGAGGCGATAGGAGAGCATAGGTAGGTGCATGACGGATACGGCGTGTGTGCAGTGCCGTTGATGGGTGTGTGGGCAGGGCCAGCAAGAAGTGATCTGTGCAAGGGTGTGTCCGAGAGCGCTTGCTGGTGGATCATGGATGTGAGGCTGCAACCTGAGGACTGACTAAGGTAACCACTTTCACCAGGGTGGGGGGCGCCCGATTCTGCGGGGCCATGGAAACAGGCACACAAGGTCAGAGTGTGGCATCAAATTTGATCTCTCTGGAAGAATATATAATCAAAAGACTGGGCGTCCATTCCTGGCGACCGGGGTGGATGATGAATCTCGCAAGCTTGGACGGATTTGCACGGAGCATAGGAGATTGTCCGTGGGGAGATGTTTGGTAGTGATTAAGTTGTAGAAAACTAGCTCTGCGGCAACAAGTGCAATGAAAAGGACATAATATGGTTCCTACCAACCTATGAAATTTTTCTAGTAAATGTACGTTGCAGGAGGTATAGACCTCGCTTGGAATCCGGGACAAGGACGCTCGTCACCAACACGTATTTGCGTAGTAAACCAGGGCAGATGCACATGGCCAAGCATCAAGGGATAGCCTCTGCGTCCAGTCCCATGCCCAGCCAGGGGCAGATCTCGCGTGCGTCACTCAGGTCCAGATCTTGCATCTCCAGCCAGTTCTCCGACATCACCAAATAGATAGACACCCGGCTTGGGCGACTAGAGCCCACAGCTCAGCTCGCGTCCATGTCCAGTTCAGTCCAGTCCAGTCCAGTCCAGTCCACCACGCAGATGGGCAATCTTTCTGTCAGATCTCATCCATCCATGGCACGAGGCCGTTGGTCGACTGGAACAGACTACCGCATTTGCAATTGCCTACATTATCAACACGGTTCATCATGCTATTTTGTCCAAACACAACGCAATCTCTGTTTCATGATCTTTCATCCGTCCGGGAGGTAAGATATTTGCAGTGAGCTGAAGACTGAAGCCCAGCACGTGAGTACAATGTCACCAATCATGTGTTCCTGGCTCCAAGCAGACGCCATATCAAAATGCTCTTTGCCAACTATTACCAGGTAGGTAAATAAGATAAGTAATAATTACCTCTGACCTGACATCCCACAGCCAAAGCCCCCCACCCCACGCCCCTGGGCACCCCTCCAGGCTCCAGTAGCCCCCTCCACATGTACGTAGTGAGTCAGTGACCTTGTCCAACCCCCTGCTGGCTCAGGGCTGATTATAATTTAGCGCTGCTGGGCTCCATCCAGTCCCTGCAACTTTGCAGCTCGCAAGCCTCAAGACTGTACTGGACTCACAGGAGTCAACAAGCCTCAAACCCCAAGCCTCCGGTCCATAGCTCCAGCCCATGCCCATGTGCGTCCATTCCAATTTCCAGGGCCGCCGGCCGATTTCGACGGGTACGGCGATCATCCATCAGATCAATTGCCAGGCCGTCCCCTGTGCCGGCCTCAAACGCAGCGATGTGAGCCTCCGTCGGCGGAAGCTCCAGCCTCCATCTGGAGTCTCTGATCCAGGCTCTGATCTGATGCCGGGTGAGGCTTGCGACTATGAGTGGACATCTTGCTATCGCCACTTCTGCCTTGAAGTCGAGCATCACTGCATCAGCCACAAATGGATAGGATAAGACAAACTGCGGTCGACTGCAGTCAAATCGGCCTGCCAGCCTCGCGGTCACGCAGCCTCACGATGATGCGCATGACTGGATGAACTCCCAGAGATCTTGCCCGCCGATCATCACGTTGCCGCGCGCACCCAAACTCCTAAAAATGAGGAAAGAACGCTTAACTTACAAAGCACAACAGCATGCAGGCCCTTCGGTACTAGGCTGCGAGTCTGGGGCGGTAAAGCCCGCCAATGGCTCTAGCCACCAGGGGGGGGGGGCGGAGGTCGGCGACCTTCACTACCTCACCCCTGGTCAATACCCTGGTGGTGTTGTCGACCACACGGAGATCACGCAGGTCTTCTTGGCCTCAACCAAACCTAGCCTTGCGGTCGAAGTTTTCTCAAGGCTGGCCTGCCGAGCGGGAAGTGCTCATTTTCCTGGCGATGATTTGGGGTTGCGCGTCAACACTAACGCTCTCGCCTGGCGAGGCGTCGAAAAGCCTTGGTGACTTAGGCACCGTACCTTTTCGGTGTTAATTTCGCATAAAGCGTCAAACAACCATGGACAGGCTCCATGTCAAAAAAACAAAAACAAATCAAAAGAAGGCAGCTGCACCGCGACTGTCGATCGTTTGTACGTAGATTCAGCACCTCGTTCGGTTCATCACCAGCAAGCCGACGAAGCCTTCCGCAAACAAGTTCAGATGCGATAGGGTAAGTATTTGCGACATAGACGGTACGTACCAAGCCTCCCCACGAGAGGAGATGTTATCTCTTCCCTCGCCGTGATCTGCCATGGCAGCCAATGAATCTAGCGAGTGCCAGGCTGGCCGAAAATGGTCGGCTGCAATGGTGTCTCTTGCTGGAGCCCTGACCCCGGCCCCTGGCCCCCGGCCCCCGGTCCGGTCCCCAGGCCCATCCATCCCCGCCCGTCCCGTGCAGTCGCGATTGTAGCGTTTTGTTTCAGACACATCGCAGCGACTGGCATCTCGAGGACTGGGTGGTCAGATGACCGCATGTGAAGGAGCCAAGTGGTTGTCGCAATGGCCAGAGGCCAAGATGGATGGATGGATGTTCACAGAGTGAGAAGACTTGATGACGCCCAATCTCAACTAGCGTTATGCGCTTTCTGTTGCCAAGTGCACCACCAGAAAGGATATGAGATCCTGCAGTCTGCCCCTCGCGGCGCTCATCCTCAACTTGGGGGGGAGGGGTGCGGGATCTTGATCGCAAGGACAAGACACTGTTGGATATGCGTGTTAGCGCCCTGCCACACCAGCCTACGCACAAAGTGTAACGAACTGTGAGTCTTGACTACTACCTGACTGCTCATCGCGACCAGTCGGCGACGAATTATGACAAACGTGAGAAGCAAATACATGCAGTCCGTGATGCCAGGGTTTGTGGAGAGCTACAACTTCCAAGTTTCAACAAATGAAAGTGTGGAGATCCCGCCGGCGCCGTTTCAAACCGATCGGACGGACGGTGATGACGAGCCGTCCCGCTGGATTTTCACTGTCAGTCAGTCTGTCTGTGCACTAGCAACGACGCCAAAACAGTTGCGTATGCCAACTTATCAATGGCGCCCTATCTACGTCGGCGTGTGCGTTGACTTGCAAATCCTCGAGCAGCAGCGAGTGTCCGTACTGGAAGAGACGCCCATGAAGTTGTATTGAACAGGCAGCAGCAGGCTATCCTAGTAAGCCGTCCAGTTCTAGTTAGGAAGCTGGAGGTCGTCCACGGGCCTTGAACGACATCATCATCATCTACGTTTGGATAGCCTGCCTACTAATTAATCTGCCGTGCATCGCTGTGATCGGATCAGAGGGCTTCCCGCCAGATCTCCGCCAGATCGGCTCAGCTACACGGAGGATGCGAGATCAAGTCGATGTTGCTGATCAGCCGCCCTAGGACGGGCCGGGGAGCACCAGCCACAGAGCCGTGCCGCCCCCTGTCAGGCGCTAGACGAGACTAGATTCGCTAGAGTGCCTGCCAGGCCCGCTCCCGTGGAAATTTCACGTAATAAGCCTTTAACTAGTTCATCGGCTGGTCGCTCTGCCGACTGGACCTGCAAGCCATGAGGACTGAGGTCCAGTCGGTGCCTGGCACTGGCTGCCTGGCTCTCAGACGTCCAATGGTCCCGCAACTGATCAGCTCAGCAATATCACGGACGGACGGGGTCCTTGTCCTGCCCTGGCGGGCATCTGTCTCAGTAATCAACTCAAGCGGGTCAGGGGAGCGCGCGGCAGCTACTGCAAGTCATGCCCCGTTGACAATCATGTTCACAGAGGGTCCGCCACGACTGGGCTTGCTACAGTTTTGAGGGTGCATACTACCTGGTAGAATAATATCAATGCGTGTCAGGCGATGGCCCCGGGTATGCCGTTCCGTCTGCTAATAGCAGTTGGTCGTGCTGAGAGCACTGCTTGCATTAAGTTTACACTAGTCGACTGATTATCAAGATTCCAATAAGATCTCAAGGCCGGCGGGGAGTGAATATGGTCTGCTCCCTCCCGCATATCATTGTCGCCGAGCTCGCGTTCAAGCGGACATACGTATGGTAGTATCATATGCATGTGTCAGTGCCACTGACGCGTTTTTCAGGTACCATCGACCATCGACCATCGCCCGTCAACAAACCGATGCTGAGCTATGCACTCCAGCAGCCCTGATCGAGCAGACCAGCCTCTCATGCGGCCCCGTCACCTATGTTTGTCCAGTTCGGTTGAGCTGCATGAGATCTGGTTTCGCGTGAACCACTCGTCGCACAGATGAGGACACCCCTTCTGCGCTCTACACGGCTGAGGCGCGATGATTATACTTTAGCCTCGACAAACCTGCATTGGCCGCGTTTCTTGACGCCAATGCAGCATCTCTCGATACATCAATGAATGATTCGAGGGCCCTCGAGATTCAACCTTGGGTTCCTCAGTTATCGTACCGCCCCCTCCCCGGCAAGCGCATGCCTATTGTCAATTGGCCGTGCCTGCCGCGCCTGAGCGTTCGCATCTATCTCGTGACAGCTGAATCTGGCCGCTTCAAGAGTTTGCTACTGCACGCACATTGGCGGGCCTAGAGGGTATTCATTTGTTGCCCTGCGCACATTATTAGTTCTGTTAATCGAGAGGCGTGCCTTTTCTGCACAGATCGCAAAGATTACTGTTAATGGACATGCTGACTATCTGTCACAAATCACTTCCAGCTCTGCCAACCTGGACGATCACCCGATACTTCTAACATGGTCCGAAACCGCGGGACAGCCTGGAACGTCGAAGGTGCCCCTCAGTCAAACATGTCTGTCTAGACTGGGTGACGGTTCGTCGACCACTTGGGGCGCAGGCTGGCTCTGATTTTTCACTCGATTCGGCTCGAACCTATGGCACCCAGCGAACCGAGAGAGGCTTCACCAGAAAACGTGCCTTGTCTTGGCCTTGGCCAGTATTGCAGTGCGCAACAAATACTATCCCTCAGACAGCGATGAGGTGAGGTGACTCGACTTCAACCACGGGCGTCCGCCATCTTCCGTCCCAGTCGTCTCCTGTGGCTCAGCCCGCGCATCTGAAAAGCCTATTCATTGCGCAAAGCCCCAACAAAATGATTGACTCGCGCGCACGCGTCAGCCGGTCACAATCGCTCATGTCGGCAAGGATCACCGAGAGGGGGACGAGACCCGTGCATCAACACTGTTGCAGGCGGGAAACTCATCAGCGAAACTTTCGCGGACGATGTGTTCGCCCATCCGCCGCCATGCTGAGGGCGGGCGATCAAGTGCCGACATGCAGGAACCAGCAGAGGCCATTCTTAGCGAGAGGAGATCTCCTCTTTGCTGGTGCCGATTGCTTGGAGCGGTTGGTCAGGACATGTAGGTTACCTGTCACCCGCATCACATGTGGTGAGCACCAGTAATCTACATGGATATTTTCGCAAGAGACTCCCGAATTGGCATTTGGGCTTGTCGGGCATGCCACGTCCCGGCTAATATGCTTAGGGCGGACCGCCTCGTGAGGACTGAGGCGCAATCGGGAATCGTAAGCCAGGGAAGGCGCAGAGCCAAAGAGACTGCCATGTGCGCGTCTAGGTGAAGCAATGCGTGGACGACGACGTAAGTTGGGGGCGTCGTCGTTGCAGCGCCAGCTACATCCGAAATCTATAATGATCCCAATGGGTCCGACCTCTCTTCAGCTCTGATCCACGGACCAGACCACGGTCCACCCAACTGAAGATCCCCCAACATCACAGGGACAGGGCTGCAAAACGAGCAGCGCATTTGAGCGCCTGTTTAGCTGGCCAAGAATGCTCTTGTAGCGTTGGTCTTGGGCCCTCGCTGATGAGTCTTCCCTGTAGGTGACATGTCACTTTTTACCTACACGCGGCTGGCTCCTCCCCACCTCCCAGGCTGCCCAGCTCAATACTATCCGTAATCAATCCTGCCTCAGATGCGCGGCAGCAAGAAGCTTCTGGTGCAGGGAACGTGACCACAATTAGCTGCCTGTGTCGAGGCGCACGCCCCTCCCATGCCCCTGAGATCCATGATCTGCAGGAAACATCGCTTTAGTTGAAGAACGTGGGCCGCGAGAGGACACGTCAGATCTTGGACGAGAGAACAACGACATGCAGCGGTTGTCGACGTTGCAAGTTGAGTGTGCCTGCATGCGAGCGAGCGGCAGATTCAGTTCATGATTATCAGATTGATTGTTTTAGCATCTTCAGGCACCGCGCGCTTCCGCTGTCCTGTCATGTATCATCTACGTACTTGCGTACGTTATCCGACATGACGAACCAGTCGGGACCCTGACTGTATAGGGGCTGTGGGAACGGTAGGTACTTGCGAGATCAAGACCGCACGAGTCACAACTGTGTGCCCAGTCCAGTGGTGGCGGATTAGGGGACGCATCTTATCTCTCGTGGGGGTCACATTACCTCCATCATGAAGATCCTCAAACATGGATGTAAACTTCGGCATAGTAATCAACATGCAAGTTGACATATCAACGAGCTGTGTCGTAAATGACATCCGCTGCCACATATCTGTACTGGACGTTGTTGCCTCGGAAATGCCAGTTCCTTTGCTGGAAGGCCGAGAACCCAAGCAAACGTATCTCGCTGTGCCCACATGCTGGACGAAGTAGGAACATCCAGCGACTCCGCGGAGCAGGTCAATGTCATGCAGTCACACTTGGCAGTCCCTGGATATCGATGTACTCTGGTGGAAGACGACCCCTTTTCCACGGCAGCTTGCGAAGAGGCAAGACGGACACAGGCTTGCCCCCAAATCTATTCACATGCAAATCCATCTATATGCAGTTCCAAGAGCAGAAAAAAAAGTCGAGCTCATGCTCTCTTCTCCAGGTGATCAACCATCTATCCACCTCGGTAGATAGTGCTTGACGTTCTCGTAGACCAGAAACGTCACCCACGTCGCTGGCATGACTCTCACCACGCCCGGTACCAAGCCCCTGTAGAAGCCTCTCACGCCTTCCTCCCGCCAGGTCTTCCTGACCACGCCCTGGAAGCCTTTCCCAAACCGCTCCTCGGCCTGATAGTTTTGTAGTCGGGACCGGAGGACCTGATAAGGGTACGTCACCGCGCCGGCAACAAGCTTGGACGCCGAGGAGAGGAACATGGTGACCTCTGTCGGCAACCTCTCACCCTCCGCCAGCTGCGTCGTGGCATACAGCCGTTTGGCGGGCTCGTAGACGGCGAACTGCACCGCTCCATGCGACACACCAATGAGCGAGACACCCAGTCCCCGATAGAACCCCTTGACGCCCTCCCTCTGCCATATTGTCCGGATGCCCGCGCTCATGCTGGGGTAGGCACCCTCGGCGCCCTTGTCGCTGCTCAGCATCCTCGTCTTGATCACCCAAACCGGGTTCGTGAGCGTAGTCGTCGCGGCCCCGGCCAGCGCCGGCGCGAGCAGATACTCCCCCACGCTCGGCTTGCTGCCCGGCGGGCGGAATGTCGACAGGGCCGTCTCGACGCGCGATTTGAAGAAGAAGAAGGACGCCCATGATGTAGCGTTGCCGACGAGGTTGGGCGTCAGACCGCGGTAGAGAGAGGCGAGGAGGGGGTTGCCGGAGGATGTGATCGTGCGGACCATGGCGCGCATGCTGATGCGTTCGGTAGGGCCTACGCTGCGGCTGACTATTCCCAGTGTGTCAGATTCATTCTTCTTGCTGCTGCTGCTGCGAAAGGCGCAGTGGTGGTGCGGGACGTACTCTGCATGCGCGTCTTGACAATGTCGAGCGGATGCACGACCAAGGTCGAGACGGCGCCGGCTGACAGGCCGGCAATGGACTCGACGACAGCGGGCGAGAGGCCGCCATGTTTATGAGAGGGAGAGGGCATGCGAGCCAAGTACGAAAGGTCATTTACATGTTCAACAGAGGAGGAGGAGCAGAGTGGACGTCTCGTCTGCGTCGCGAAGGGATCATGTAAGGTAATGGTGGGCTGCGCGCGACGTTGGGGGAAATTTTTTAGTGCCAGGTCAGGGGAGCACCAAGCACGTCACATATAATAGGCGATTGACGACATGGGCGCCGGGAATGTAGAGCGCACATCTAGCATATGGATTCAGCAGAGATTACAATCATACGCGAATGAGCGTTCATTGGGAGTCGTAATAGTTTCGTACATTTCCTCGACAGTTATTACATATGGTGGTGGTGATCATATCCTTCTCAGCACCCGTCCGTGCTTCAGCTTCCAAACGCCCGAGATGCTGGTGGGACCTCGTGTTCTCCGTCTATTCCTTCCATATTGTACATTTTGTGACAGTGGCAGTTTGGGCAATGGTGTACCGTGGCGTTGTCGTCGCTTAAGAGAGAGGGGACAAGAGGCTGCGTACAGTTAGCCCTGACATTCCCAAGAAGCTCCGACTTGGGTTGCAACATACCGAATGACTGAAGGACGAGGGTTGCTGCGGGTGTAGCCTGTGCCAATGTTAGATATATGCAGCGCTGGTCGTGCAGTTTATGGTCGTGGTCGTACCGAGATAGAGGACTAGGGGCAGGTAGCCACTATGCGACGGTTAGCGGATGCGCAGGCTCTGACGCTGAACAAAACATACTAGTGAATGGCGACGCGCGAGATATCGATGACCTTTGCAATGCGCTCCTGTTCCAAGAGTTAGATGTCTCGTGTCGAGGTATCGTCTCGAGGTGCGAACCTTGGTCTCCTCAGAAAGGGCGAACATTGTGACGGTGGGCTGGAAAGTATTCGTCAAAGTAAGTGATGATCCTGGGGGACCTTAAGTCGACTGCACGGGCACGTATCGTCGAAGAAAGTCGAGCTGCTGCAGATGTTGGATGATGGCAAATACTCGACAATGAATTGCCAGACGCCCATCAGAGTCCAAAAAGATTCGCGCGACGACGACCTGGGCCGGCTCAATCCCGGCAAAATCCATCCGCCAGCCATCATCCACCAAAAAGTTCCAAGCTCTCCAACAACTACGGGACAACCACCATTCACGCGAATATCCGTCCCAGAGAGACTCAACAATCACACACCCGTGGGCCAGGGATATCTATCAAACACACTCGTCGTCATGGCGCAAAATCGCCACTGGTGTGTCTCCTCCACTCATCCCGGACAAGCACCGCGAGACTGACGATTTCTTAGGGAGCAAGACAAAGATGCGACCGTCTACATTGGCAACATTGACGAGCGCGCGCCGCCCGCCATGATCTACGAGATCATGCTTCAGATGGGCCCCATCCACAACATCCACATGCCGCGCGACCGCGTCACCCAATCCCACCAGGGCTTCGGCTTCGTCGAGTTCCGCACGCCCACCGACGCCGAGTACGCCGCCGCCGTCATGAACGGCGTCAAGCTCTACGGCAAGTCCCTCCGCGTCAACAAGGCGAGCGCCGACAAGCAAAAGACGGCCGACGTCGGCGCCGAGCTCTTCATCGGCAACCTCGACCCCATGGTCGACGAGAAGATCCTCTACGACACCTTTAGCCGCTTCGGCCCCCTCCTCAGCCTCCCCAAGGTCGCGCGCGAGGACAGCGGCTCCAGCAAGGGCTTTGGCTTTGTCAGCTTTGGCGACTTTGAGAGCAGCGACGCCGCCGTCGCCAACCTCCACGGCCAGTACATCCTCAGCAAGGAGGTCTCTGTCCAGTATGCCTTCAAAAAGGACGGTCGGGGTGAGCGACACGGTGACCAGGCCGAGCGCGAGCTGGCTTCTCAGGCCAAGAGCCGCAACATTGTGCCCGAGGCCCAGCCCATGCCGCAAGGCTTCCTCAACCCTCCACAAGCACCCATGGCAGCGCCGCCGCCCCCCGTACCCGTTGGATTCGACCCCTCGGCCATGGGTGGCGTGCCGCCTCCTGGCTTTCCCGGCGTACCACCACCACTCGGCGCACCTGCCGGTTTCGCGGCTCCTCCGCGTGGTCCTTCGCCATATCAAAACGTCGCTGGCGCTCCTCCGCCAGGCGCCGTCCCGGGGCGCGGCGCGGCACCATTACCACCGGCACCGGCCGGTCTGCCTTCGAGGCCTCCCCAGGGGCAACCCGTGGGTTTCACCCATCCGGCCGATTTCCATCCTGGCTACAGGCCGCAGAGTGGCTCGCCCGTCCCTCCTCCGCAGGGCTTTCCAGTCGCGCCGCCGCCCGGATTCGCGCCGCCTCCTGGCGGTGCCCCTGGCATGCCTGGTGCACCACCGCCAGGTTTTGCACCTCCTCCTGGCTTCCAGCCGCCACCCGGCTTTGGGGGGCGATAAGCATGTAGAATAAAGGCGGAGAGGTCATGTCATATTGCATCGGAAGGAGTTTGGGATTGTTGTTTGGGCGTATGGACAGCGATTTATCAAAGACACTTGTAGTTTTAAATCCTCGCGATTGTCTGATTATCAACTATATAAGATGTGCAAAACATGCATGCCCCCTTTTTTCTCCCTGGTATTGTCCCATCTTTTCACAAAAGTAGAGCATCATATAATTTTGTCGTCGAGAAAACGCCGTCCAGTGCTATATGCTACATTGTTTGGTTGGTCATGATGACATAGTCCTGGCCCCCCAACCAGTCTTACGACATTTGAAAAGCACGCTGCGCCGCCTTTATGCCCGCGGCATTGTACTTCACCCATTTGTCCCGATCATTGCCTTTTTCTGCGAGCTCGACAAAGGAGCCGGCGACGACACTTTGCCAGAGAGGATTGTTGCTGAAGTCTGCCCACTTCTTGGCAGCCTCGAGGCACGACACGGCCTTGTCGCCAAGAACGGTGTTGAACAGCAGTGTGTGCGTGACCTTGAGAGCGATGGCGAGTCCCAGCGAGTTGCCGAGGCTCTTAGACTGTCCCAGCAGAGTCATGGCCCCCTTGGCCTCCGTCGTGCGAGAGTCGTTCCGACGCGGCGGCGTCATGGTGATGGACGCCTTGACGGCCATCCACACGCCACGCAGGTCGGCGTTGGGATGGTTGAGACAGAATGGATCCACCTCGTCCATGAGACGGCTCGTCATCTCATTGTCAGTGAACTCTGGCCTTTGCATAATCCACAAACGATTCATCGCAGCTAGGGATGCAAGGTGACGCTGCGAGTCGGCGCTCGGCTGGGCGTGCAGAGAAAGACAGTCACTCTCGAAACAGGCAAGCGCGTCTTGGAAGCATCCCGTGCCCTGGTGATATGCGCCCTCGGCATACACCAAATATGTCTTTGCCAATCCGTCGAGCTTCAGCTTCCTTCGCACTTGTCCAGCAAGAACCAAGAAATCTCTTGCATGACTCCAATTGCATTCGCTAATGTGATGAAGACTGAAGAGCACATGCAGGTAGCACTGCACTTGCTCCCGCCACTCTCTCTCCTTGACGGCGAGGCCTAATGGGACCGGCCTTGCTCGGGTATTGTTCGACTGTATCTTCTCCGCCTGATGCAGAATCCCTTGCGCCCGCTCCCACATGCCCAGCGCCGTGTTTTGGGACAGCGATTTGTGTAGGTAGAAAGTCCCACCCATAACGAGGGAGACGAGGACAAGGTCGTTGACGGATATGTACGCCATGGCCAGAAAGTCGAAAGTCTCTCCGGCACCACCGGGCCGCACAACTGTCATAGTATCCTTACTTATCGTGGTGGACTCGTATTGCGATTTCTTGATTGGTATCCAAAACTGTGCCTCGGCACTCTGGTGTGCATCGCTACACGTCTGCAGCCTCTGAAGTCGTGCGCTTGTTTCGGCGGGCGGATCTCGCTGCAGACCGCCGAGAAAGTCGACCAGAACATGAAGCAGCTCCAGTTGTGGAATTTTGATCGTGGGATCGAATTGGTACTTTGCTGCCTGGGCCAAGCAAGTTCTGATGCCTTCAAAGTGACCCTTGCACGTCTTGATGAGCATTAACGCTTCAGAGAGCGAAGCGTACACCGCCACGGCCGCGTCTCCCCTCTCGGAAGCCATTGTGTACACGGACCGTATGTTGTCCAAAGCTGCGTTGTCGCCAAACCCGCCGGTCTCGGTATAGAACGAGTGCTTCAATAGACGGAAAGCGTAGGCCCAGTGGAAGTGACGATATCTGTTTGAATTGTTAGAACATGGTGCAGGCAGGCGCTGGGAATACTGACGTGTCGCATTCGACAATGTGTTGGTCGAGCGCCTTGATGCCCGCCTTGTGATTGCGTTGGAACAGCACTTTCGTCAACAAGTACTGCATGGCGTACTTGAGATCCTGCATCCGATGCTGCGCATGTTAGTCATTTGCGTGCTTTGTGCTACATGCATGGCACAAACCTTTTCACACAGCGTAATGCCCTTGGTGAGGGTCGTTTCCGCCTCCATGATATCTTCAGTTTCCTCTTGGATGACGCCGGCGTAGCGCAATCGTACGAGGGCTTCTTCACGCGGAGAGAGCTTCTGGCTTTGCATGGCTGCTTCGAGACAGCCCAGAGCCGTGCTGATCATTCTTTGATATTCGTCCACCTGATCTTCGCTCATGGTCCGTGAAATCTCGGTAGCTGCATCGCGCGCTGTACCAATCAAATCCTCTGCAATGTTGATCATCATATGGGTAGTGCTCTGTGTCGGCAGTTTGTTACTTGACGCAGGTGATCTGCTCCCCTGCTGGGCCAGGGGTGTTGCGGGCGATTGCAAGCTGGCCTTCCGTGGGCTTTTGGGGTTTGCTTTGGGCGTCACGCTCCCAGTCGAGATAGGATGACCCTTGAGCATCGCGTCGCGGCTTTGACTGGATGTGTGCAATTGACTCGCACGCGCCGCTGGTGGTGTAGGTAGCCTTTGTATGTCGTGCATACTAACAAATTGCGCCGTGTCGACAGCGGCCGGCGACTTGGCCGCCGGAGTAAAATTGTTCGAAGCCAGCAAAGAGTGAGGCCCTGGTGAAAGGAACTTGTGAGTTGGTGCCTGATGAGGTGATGGTGACTGCACATTGGTCTGGGCCGGGGCTCTGTTGAGTTGCACCTGCTGCGGCGCCGGCTTGGTATGCGCCGCTTCATTTGATACAGGCGACTGCGATTGTTGGTATCCATTTCCTACACGAATCACCTGCGGTTTCTTTGAAGTAGTCGGCTGGGGTGCCGGCGATTTCATGGTTTGGTGAACCATAGATGGCGATGAGCCCTGTGGCGGCAGAGCATGCGATTGCTGGTAGTTCTCGGTCAAGGGCTGGCGCGCTTGTAATCGCGGCTGTTGCTGCGCTTGATGCGCATAGCCCTGGCGCATTGAAGGTGATGGCATATTTCGCTGCTTAACCTGCGGCGACGGTGTGGTCCTCGGTTTCGGCGGCTGAAGATGTTGCGCGTAACCTGGCTGCTCTTGCGCATGCGGTTGTGGCTGCGACTGGGGAATCGCATTTTGCTGCATCATCTGGGGCGAAGATCCTTGATAAAATCCCTGTTGCGGAGATTGATAAAGTGGTTGCTGCTGCTGCTGGTCTTGCCAGGCATTATTTGGCGGCATGTAGCCCTGCGCGCCGGCCATCTGCTGCCCAAACTGCACCGTCTGCCCGGCCTGGTAGCTCCCAGGTGTGTTGTATTGATTCCATTGCGCATTTTGTTGATGTTGTGGCTGCTGCTGTTGAGGGAAGTTGCTGTAGTTGAACGGTAGCTGTTGGCTCGGGTACTCCAACGGCGGCGGCGGCGGCTGCTGGAACTGCTGTTGCTGTACATGTTGCGTCGGATATGTCTGCTGAAAAGGCTGTTGCGGCAGGGGTTGCTGGTATGCGCCCGACTGTTGTTGCATGTACTGCTGTTGCGGTGGGTATTGTTGAGGTTGTCCTGGGTAGGACTGCTGCTGCCCATGGGGCATCGAGCCGTGATTCATGTCGGCAGATTCATCGGTCGCGCAGGCTTCGTGTCGCGCGGTCGCGGCCTGACTTCAAGTAGCTATAAAATCACGCATAGCGCGTCTCGTGGATGACCGTGATTCTTTGCGACGCGGGGTGGTACTTGATGTGAATGCCCGCCAGGCGACGCGAGGTTGATGGAGGATGGGCTGTCGTCGCGGGCACGTGTGAGTTACAGTGTGACACTGTGCGCGGAGGGTGCGCGCGGATACCGTCGTCCTTGGCAGGGCGTGCTCCACGATGTCTGCACTACCAGATAGACCATATTTTGAAGCGTTTTCATTTATTTTTCAAAGGAAATATCATTCTCTCCTGCCATGAACCGCCAGATGCCAACAAAAAAAAAACAAAAAAAACATGTATACACATTACAATGCTCCAATGTGTCCATAATCAACCAAACGCCTCGATATGCGATAGTATCCTTCATCATGGCCATTAACATGTCCGAGGAACGCCAAAAGGTTCCGACGACCTGATCAGCCGACACAGGTCCATTCTGCGAAAACACACCACCTTGCTGTCCGATCTGCGAGGACCAGTCCTCGCCATGTCCCCTTTTCTGAGCACTTGATGATGGTTTCCCAAGTGCCACCATCGCTCACTTCATCTTCCATGCTGAAGCCTCTGCTGCCAACGCTGATGCCCTTGCGGTCTTCCTTTCGCATGAGTCGAAGGATCTTGCCGCCTGGTGTCTGAATAGCCAGCTTCGCCGGCTTCTTGCCCGCCACCGTGCCGCTTGCTGAGCTTGGGTTGGACATGGTGCCGCTGGTCGATGCGTTCATGCTCATTGCCGAGGACGGTCGGGCGAAAGGAACAGGGCTAGCACTCCCAGGGTTGGACGCTGGCGTGAGCGATGAATGCGGCCCATTGCCAAGAGAGCTAGGGTGTTGGCGAATAGCAAAGACAAACGTGTTGTTCAGTGCCAGGCGTTGGCATTGTGGCTGAACAACATAAATGTCATGTCTCTGCGCATGAGGGGTGGGATGCCTCGTGACAAAGTTATATGGCGGGTTCTCTCCCGTGTGGATGATGGGCACGGAGAAAGCCAACGGGTGAGGAATGTCCTTGATGCTGTGCATCAAGCCACGCTTACCGGCGTATATTTTGAGCGTGCCCTGACCCTCATCCCCCGGCAGCAGGGCTTTGACGGTGTACTTCTTGACACCGTTGAACCATTCGGCCTGCGCCAACGCTCTCTTCTTGACCACGTCACCACTCTCAAAGACATCGCCATCTGTGTCTCGCGTGTAGGCGCGAGCTTCGACTTCGGCTGCGATTTCAACGTCTGGCGGGACATTGAATTTTATGTGGACCATTTCCAGGTCCTCTATTCTGTTGAGGCTGGTACTGTAATCGACCATCTCGATGCCTTGACGGAAGAAGGTCGGACTTGCACATGGGAGGTTGAGAAGTGTCTCATGCGCCACTGGAGGAACAATATGCTGCTGATCATGGTGCTCCGGCACATGTGTCCAGCAAAGTTCAACAGGTCGAGTGAGGAAATACCAAAAGTCGGCGGTGTTGTTGGCTGCACTCGAGTAGTCGCTGCGCCGAGGGTTGGACGGGCTAGCCAGACAGCAATCAACCAACCGCCATTCACCGTCGACGATGACCGCGTTCCACCAGTGGTTCGAGCGAGGCATCATGTTGAGGTCAGGCACCTCTCCAGGAATCTTGAGGTAGCCACGTATGATCTCACACTCGACCCCGATGGCTGAACACATCTCCTGTACCAAGACTGCATACTCCTCGGCGCATGCTCTCTTGCTTTGGATCACCTGGCGGGTGTCGATTTCGCCCTCAAAGTCCTCCTCCCAACAGATCTTCTCCGAGACCCAGGTGAAGATGGCACGCAACCTCTGCACATCACTTTTGTAAGGACGGCAGATGTACGTCGTGGCCAGAGTAATGGCGGTTATTGTCGGCGGCAACCCGGCAATGAATCGCGAGTTCTTATCGACTTGGCTCAGATTGATCGCGTGATAGTTGACGGGGTCTGCGACTGCGTTGCCGTCGGCACCTTCGTCGCCTTCCACGCACTGGTAGAGCTCGTCTACGGGGTTCAATGTGGGATGGTCCAACATTTGGCAACGTTCATGCCGCTCGAGGCGCTCATTCTGACTCAAAGAATTCGAACGATTGACGTCGCGCCGAACCTGCACCCAGTCTACCCCACTGCCAGGGCCTGTTTCGCGTACAGAATCACGCGCCCTTGGCAGCGTGCCCGCGTTGAGCATCGTCGGCGTTCCTGAAGTCAGCGATCGCGCGAGAGGCGACGACTTGGCAGAGTCCATTGACCCCATGGTAGTGCCCGATATGCCAGCCCTACCACTGGCTACGCCTGTCTTTGCAGATTCGAATATCTTCTTGAAAATGTTGCGCCTCGGAGCCTTGGGTTGCACAAGCCCTCCCAGCCCAGCAGTGGTGTCGTCCTGGAAAGCCGGTTGCGAAGGAGACTGCTTGTTTGCCTGGTAATTGGAGGCGTGGCTGCTGTGGTAGGTGACGCCTGTGAAAGGCGTTTCTGGTCGTTCAGGTTCCGCATGACGCATTCCCAAGGCGCTTTGAGGTCGCGGCGCATTGCGAGCAAGGCTGCCAGCACTAGTAGCACTGAAGCCACCAGCAGACTCTCCGCTCCACAGAGTCCTGTCACTGCTTTGCGTCGACGAGCTGGTGTGACTTTGCTCAGTCGTGTTTGTCTTGGTCGTATACGTGCGGCCGACGCCACGCCCGACGTCGTATGCCGACTTGCGGGACCCCAGCTGTCGGTCTGAGGACGTGCCATGCCTTGCGCCTCCCATGGACGATTTGGGCCTGTCGTACAACTGCCCTTTAGGCGGTGGGGGTGGAGGCATATCGCTCACAGCGGCCGCTGGTGTACTCAGACTGTGCTTATGCATCTTCTGGAACTGGTTTTCCATTCGTGCAACATAGGTGTTGAGCTTGGGCAGACCGCCCTTCTCCTTTTGGCCGCCATTCAAAGATGCCTCTTGGGAGGATTCGCCACTCCATGTCTCGTATCCTTCGTCGACGTTTGCTATACCCATCGAAGTCAACGGTCTCACCTGTTCCCTTTGTCGTCTTTGGCTTGGTCGCGAACCCAAGTCGAATGATTCAGGCGACCACAGATCCACAGCTTTCGTCGGGGAACCCTTCTCGTCATGTCCGCTATAGCCGGAGAGCTCATCCAACTGTTCCATGACTCCATCCATAGCTTCTCGCAGAGGAGATGGCGTCATGTGGCTTCCAGCAGGAGATGATGCTCGATACTGCTCATGTCCAGGTGTCTTGGGCTCTTCCTGGTGTTCGCGATGTGAGGCGCTTGATCCGTTGCGAGAGAGGGGAAGGTCTGGATTGAACGACGCGTTGGAGCCATTGCGGGACATGACATATGGATTGTAAGGCGCGAAGGACCCGTTGGACCCGTGACGCGAAAGTGCATACGGCGTGTCCTCGAAATCCGCCGAGGGTTTCTGGGCCGCATGTCGATGAGGCGGCGGAGGTGGAGGCGGAGAGTCGTCGTCATCATGCACATTGAAGCTGCTGTGTCTGCCAAACGAAGGAGCGGGTGATGGTCCTCGGGAGTGGGCGTGATGAGGTGGGGGCGGAGCAGGAGACGCGGCCCTCATATAGTCATGAGCCGGTGGCGCTGGCGAGATGGCACGCGGCAGATACCCCTGCCTCGGAGCTGGGGATGGCCCTCGCCCATGGTAATGCATCGGCGGGGCCGGCGAGGCTGCTCTCGAATACTCGTGCGCAGGCGGTGCTGGAGACGGCCCTCGCGCGTAGTGGTGCATTGGCGGCGCTGGCGAAGCTACCCTTGAATATTCGTGCGCAGGCGGTGCTGGGGACGGCCCTCGCGCATAGTGGTGCATTGGCGGCGCTGGCGAAGCTACCCTTGAATAGTCATGCGCAGGCGGCGCTGGCGAGGCGACTCTAGCATAGTGATGCGAAGGTGGTGGCGCCGGCGAGGGCATGCGGGCGTGATGCGGAAATGATGATGGCGCCGGCGACGGTGCCCTCGGGGCATATTTCTGTGCGGGAGACGGTGCAGGCGATACGGCTTTGCTCAATGGTGTGGCCGGTCGGCCACTATTCGCAAAAGATGCGCTTGATTCTCCTCGCTGACGGGGCTGCACAACTTCCTTGAACACCTCCGGCTGCTTGGCTGTGGTGTAGTGAGGCGCTTTGGAGTAGGCCTCAAAGGGCTTGCGAAATGTTTTCGACTTTTGCGGTGTGTTCTTTGGGCTGGGAGTGTTGCTATCTGGCAGAGGGCTGATGGACTTGGTCGTTGGGCGAAAGTTGGCGGGCAGGACTTCCACAAAGTTCGATGGAAACGAGCCGACTGATCTGCGATCTCGGAAGAGTCGCCCAACCCACCATGAACCGTCGCCAGCATTCAAGCATTCAATCAAGTCTCCTTCGACGAAGCCAAGATCACGTTTGGACTTGGACCATTAGCAAACACATTTCGTCAGTGCGCCGAGGGAGCGTACCTCTCCACCCCAAGAGTACACGGCCCGACACCAACAAGGGAATCGGACAGGTAAGGCTGGTGCGGCTGGCGGCATTGTGAATCTGCCAGTTGCTTAATAAAGCAATTTTGTCGGCGTCGTGGGCTCTTTGTCTCGTACGAGTGCGCGAAGATGGGCGCTTTGCGGTGTGCGTGGGGGAGGACAATGTGAGATACCTGGAATCGATATCTAATTCCTCGAAATGACTAGCATAGCAGATCGCTGAGGAACCCCAGGCGGAAGAGAACTGGAAAGGTGAAGAAGAAGTGAGTGCGGCCGGCGCCACGAACAGCTCGACGGAAAGCGAAATGATTATGTCGATGAGCAAGGGAGAAGAAGATGTGGCCTGGGGATATTGAAGTCTTGCTCACTCGCCTTGACTGGAGGCGGTCTGAGACTGCCTTGCCGGTATCTGTATGGACAGTATGGGTGGTTCCAGTAAAGATCGGGCAGAGACAGTTGACTCTGGCCCACGCTGCAAGGGCTTGAGCGGCTCGCTGTCTGGGGTCATATCATCGACAATAGAGGGGTGGGTTGCCAGGGCAACAACTGGAGCTGCTCACCTCACACCTCAATCCCGCAGCTAAATGCAGGGACCGTATCATCGCGATACCTTTTGATCAGGAAGCGTTTGATCATTACGCCGCATCACACCTCAATTGAATATGCGTCGAAATTAGACGGGCACGATGATTGTGGCGAGACTATCGCCTGTGTTTTCTCCTATGGGATTCATCACGGATGGACACTCTCTGACAGACAGACAGGATGCAAGCAGCTGGCGTCGTTGGGCCTTGCATAGCAACGTGCGACGTCATCCGTGACAGTGCCGTTGCACAGTGTGTAAATTATTCATTCTGTCCAAGTGGAAGTCGTTAGCACTGTGCCGTACCGTACCTGCAGCACGTCCTCGCTGGCATTTGAGAGTGACCTGCTGCAGGCGGCATCAATGGCACCCAGCATGCCAGTCAAAATCTGGGGAAAGAAACAAGCAGCAAAGCTCATCATCTTCCCATCGCTTCCTCCAATGCTCCTCTCTGGCGCATTTTGAAGCTTCACTTTTCTCAGCTCTCAAGTCCGCGCTGCGATCTGCGTCCTCAGCTGCCCCGCTAATCCAGTCGTCTTGTCCTAAACCGGAGAAACGTAAACAACAGGGCCCCCGGCTCCAATCTCAATGCGACTCGGCCCTGGCCGGTGCACCGACCTCAGCTCCCTGGCGACCCTCATTTAAAGCGATCGGCAAGCTACGTAAATAGCATTCACCACCCTCAATTCCCCGGTCTCGAGCCTATTACCTATTCGCAACCCCTCTCGACTTCAATTGCGTCTTAATTGACAACTTTGCGTCGTCTTCGGAATCGACGCAGCCACCGGCGCCAGGTTCAGCATCATCCATTCGTCTCGCTTGCTCCTGCTCGAGCCATCTCTTCGACAAGCTAGACACCGGTGTGAAGTTGAGCCACAATGGCTGCCGATGGTCTTGCCGACCACTATCAGGTCTTGGAGGAGCTAGGTCGTAAGTTCACTCTGTCTCGTGCCTCCCGACGCCGAGCTAAATAAACTGTGTTTAGGCGGAAGTTTTGGTGTAGTCTACAAGGGCATCGAGAAAGCCACGGGCGAGACTGTCGCCATCAAACACGCAAGTTGAGTGCCACTTCCTGATCCCCGCTGCGACTAACAGAACCAGATCGACCTCGAATCCAATGACGATGACATCCAAGACATACAAGCTGAAATCGCGGTGCTGAGCACATGCGCCAGTCCGTTCGTCACCCAATACAAAGGCTCGTTTCTTCGAGGCACCAAGCTATGGATCATCATGGAGTATCTGGGTGGTGGCTCATGCCTTGACCTCGTAAGCATCTATTCCGGAAACTTTGTGGACTATGCTGACTGGGCCAGCTCAAACCCGCAAATTTCACCGAAACACACATCGCTATCGTCTGCCGCGAGCTCCTCCTTGGTATCCAGTACTTGCACGATGAGGGGAAAATCCACCGAGACGTAAAGGCCGCCAATGTTCTCCTTTCCGAGACCGGCAAGGTTAAGCTGGCGGACTTTGGAGTCGCTGCGCAGCTGACCAACATCAAATCCCAGCGCAATACATTCGTGGGAACTCCTTTCTGGATGGCACCAGAGGTCATTCAGCAAGATGGGTACAGCTTCAAGGCTGATATCTGGTCGTTGGGAATCACTGCCATGGAGCTCGCCAATGGCGAACCTCCTTTGTCTCACATCCATCCGATGAAGGTACTCTTCCACATTCCCAAAAATGCCCCTCCTGCCCTTGACAGCAACTTCAGCAGGGAGTTTCGAGACTTTGTGTCACTGTGCTTGACAAAGGATTGCGACCGCCGACCGTCGGCCAAGGAGCTCCTGCGACATCGCTTCATTCGGTCCGCCGGCAAGATTGAGGCGCTCCAGGAGCTGATCTCACGACGACAGATGTGGGATGCCAACAGGAACCGCCAAACGCATCCCATCTACTACCAAGAGACCCTTCAGACAATTTCTCCTAAGGACGAGCAAGATGAATGGATATTTGACACAGTCAAGTCTGTCGCGCCACCCAAGCGCCCGACCATCAAGCAATCGCGCAAGCCATCCTCTGTCTTCACCACCGAAGAGTCTTTGCGCAAGCTTGACCTCAAGGATGCTCCACTGGGTGCGACTTCTCCGGCTCCCAGCACCATCCGCAAGTCGACTGTGCGTCGCACTCCGTCCTTGGCCCAGGTATCTGCTATGCACTCCAACGGGTCTCCGCGCAGCGGCTCCATCCGCAACAGGTCCCTTCGCAACGGATCACCTCGAGCGTCTATTGCACCAAAGAAGCCTCTTCAGCCGGACATGTCTTTTGGAAATTCGGGTTCTACTATGCGTCTTTTTCGACGAGTTCCATCAGACGGCTCGACGTCTGGTCAGTCAGGACGGCCCGGCTCTTCCGATGATGTCTTTTGCGACGAGAATGCGCCACTTCCTTCCGCTGTCGCACCTATCGAGCCTTTCGGAAAGGAGGCTATCTTGGGTCGAAGGCTGTATGATAAGGCTGTCGAGCCTTCGCTAGCTGAGCTGCAAGCTCAGACGTCAGGGCTTCATAAGCGCGAAGCCCTCGCCAAACTCAGTGAAGCTCTGGCTTCTCTGGACGCATGCGACCCCGAAGGCGCTCACCACCTCATGACCAACATCGTCTCGGCAATGTCGCAGGACAAGAAGCTCAATGCAGCTTTCTTGGGCCAGGCTACCTGCAAGACGCCTGATGATGGGACGCCGCAGGGGACAGTCATCATCAAGAGCGCTGTACCGCCCCATGTCAGCCCTACCAAACTTGTGTTGAGCTCTAGTAACCCTCATCTCAAGAGTCACAAGCGACGACAGACGGATTCCTCGGGGCACGTCGAACATGACATGGCAAGAGCTGCCGTTGAGGCCAAGTATCCCGGCCGCGAGCCGCGCGCTGGCATGGAGCATAGCAAGCAACTGTCTGATGTGCTGTATGCACGGTGGACTGATGGTCTTCGGCTGCGCTGGCCGGGCTCTTGAGACCTTGCCTTCACTCGAGTAGATCTTTTACGGCACCCATGACAACTTTTAGCGAGCGTTGGTTGACAAATGTCGGCGATCTTCCCTGTGAAGCCTCGTTTGACTGTATGATTTTGTTGTTCATCATCTAGCATCATGTTTGTTTTTCCAGGGAGTTAGTGTCCTAGCATGTCCATTTCTTAGATAGTGTACGTCAAGTTAATACCAAGGCTTGTATGAATGGCAATACCTGCGACAAAACTGCTTCCCATCAGAGACACTGTGCCACTACGCCGCGCTCTCTCGACTCTGCAGAGCCAGTTTGATCCTAAAATTTTTGAACTCTTCCGATAATATGTCTCCATGGCCGGTCTCCTCTACTTTGAATACTTCGATTTCGGGCGTTTGAGGCAGCCTTCTGATCCGCCAAACGCCCTCATCATTGATGGTCTGCTTCAGCCCTGCACAACAGATGTAATCAGCATTACCATCTAGTTACGGTAAAGAGTCGCCGTGCCACTTACACTCCAAGAATGTGCCCGCAAAGTTCACGCACAGATCCGCGTTCCAACTCGGGTTCGGTGTGGCGTTGACAGTTTGCGGTATCCTTTGCGTCTCAATCTCGTCCACTTTGACGAGAAATCCATCACGATCCCGGAAACCGACCACGATCTTGGGCACACCCAGGAGAAAAGACTGAATCCAGAACTTCATGAGCTTGCGGTGGAAGATCTCCATGTCTTTGGCTCCGCGAATTTCCAGGGCCGTCTTGAGCTCAACCCAGTTGATCGGCTTGCCGTGCTCGATGGGCTTGAAGTCCCAGACTGCGTTGCTTGTTAGTATGCAAAAAGAACTTGTCGAGAATAGGGGCGAGGCCTACTGGCATCGACTTCGCCGCCGAGACAGAGGATAGAGCTGCCAATTCCTGTGCGGACGACTGAGCAGTACTGCGCCTTGTTGTTGACTACGTGATCTTCTCGCGCTTCAATGTAGTCGCGGGACGTTTCAGCCCATATAGATGGCAGGGTGGATAGGGTTTCGAATTTGTATCCTGGCTTTCGTGAGCATAGATCAACGAATATCCCAAGAGGAACATACCCCAGTACGACATAACTTCAGGTGGCGGACCTCTTCTGGATCTGTACTGCTGTTGCTTGTGTTGAGCCTCCTTCGATGCGACCTTGAAGGCGTGATGTTCCTCAATGAAGCTTCACGTCTTAGTACATGCTGGCTTGGTAGTCGAAGTACTCACATAGATCCCTACGGAAAGTAAGGTTAGTGGACGATTCCATTAGCTCGGGGTTCACCATACTTGATATAGGGTGGCGTTCATCTCGAAGCTGCTGATCATGAGCCATGGGCGAGTGGGACAGATGCGTCAAAGCTGCGTACCCGTCGAAATTCTCAAAAGGGGCCCCCAAGATCTGCCTGCTTGTCAGCCATGGATAACGTGGCCGCGACTGGGCTGAATCACCTTTGTCATCATGCCTCTCCACGTTATGATCTCTGCGTCAATCTTCTCCCCCTGCTCCGACTCGTAGGCCATGATAGTCTTGAGTAGAGCATCCAAATGGCCATCCTCTGAATCATCCAGCTTCTGAAACGACTCATAGCCCTTACTTAGGTCAGCACCTAATTGGGGTGTGTAGTAGTACTTGATGGACGAATCGTTCAGGTGGAACTCGTGATTGTCATCATACGAAAAGCATGCGAACTCCTGAGGCCCATATCAGCTCTGTCGGAAGTCATAGAAAGAATCCGAAAGGGTAAAAGGAACTACCTTTGGTCGCTTGACGGGTTGGCTAGCGCCGGCGAAGCGGCCGATGGGTTGTATGGGAAACTTCCCTGACATGGCTGATCCGTGCGCTGCTGTCGGATGAACCGAATAGCGGGCGCGAAGCGTTTAATATGTCGACAATGTAGGCCTGGTTTGTGCACCCGGACACATGCTTGGGAGCGGATCAAGTCTGTTGGTTGAATCAGAATGAGCAAGGAATCGTCAAGTAATTGTGTTGATGTACTGGTAGCGAAGGGTGTATGAATTGACGCCCATGCTTCCCAAGATTGATATTTATTAGTTCCCGTCTCGAAGTCAGCTCAGCGTTTCTCGATTTGAGGCTACCCTATGCCATTTCGCCCAAAACGGGGGGTAGGTAGCTATGGCAATCAAATAAATAAACTGGTCCCCAAGGCGGCTCCCTAAGGTATGATTTCATTTTCGAGACGCTTCAACTAACTTGGGACTCCACAAGCTGCATCAATCAATATTCGACACATCAGTTGACGACGGTTGCATACCTGACCTGGCTGCAGCCACCACATTGTTTGCGATAATCTAAAAGGCGCAGGTGAACGGCGCTCGGCGTGTTGAATGCATAGGCTGCTGCCCTTTGTCTCTGACAACTCCCCCCAAAAAAACACGTCTTTGTCACGGCGCGCCTGGACGCTTGACCAGCCAATGTCAACCTAATGACCCCGATCAAATACCACGTTTCCGATACACTCTTCATCGCCGCCTCGTCTTGCAGACTTCTTTTGAGATAAACAAGCATCTCCCGACAGCTTCTTTTGGCCGTTTACTTCGTCAGAGTAGCGTTGAGTCTCGATCATCACATGACCTTCCTGCCACGATACATTCCTCTCGCAAACATAAAGGGAAGGTTCATTAATCGCGAGATAGTTTGTGTGGGGTTATTAGACTCAGGAGTTCTCGGTTGACCTTCTGCTCTCGGGGTGAGTAGAGCGCAGCCAAACTGTCCATCATGCCGGCGACAAACTGATCAATATCCAGGTTCACGGTCAAACGCGCAGTCTTCAGATGTCGCTCTCAACGTCGGAGGGTGAAGAAAGCGACAGTTCAATCAGCGACATTGCCTCTGATGCTGAGTGGGAATTCGACAAAGTCACGGGAGAAAGGAAAAGGCAAGGCCGAATAGAATACCGCATCAAGTTCGTGGACAGCTGGGTCAACAAAAAGGACCTAATCAAGTGGTATTCTCAAGTCGAGACCATACTAGCGGTAACGAAGAAGAAGCATTTGGTCAGGTGGAAAGCAAACATCTGGGTAAGAGCCTACTGACAATAAGTTTATCGTATCAAACGACTCACGAGAAGGAATAGGAGAGAGCTTCTAATGTCCCTTCGCGGCACTTAGCTGACTGGCGAGAAGAGAAGCGTCAACGAAAGCAGCAGCAGGACGCAGGCAGGCGAAGTCGAGAAGTCACAAATACGCAATCCTCTAAAACATCAACCCAACCGCTTGGTACACAACAGTCCTCTTGGCCTTCGCCCTCACCTACACCTTGCGAGACTGAAAACAACGACACCGCCAGCGTGCTACAGGAGATACCCGACACTTTTGAACGCGAAGAATGGGATGGCGATTCTGACATCCGACCAGCTCGATCCGAGTCTGAAGCTAGTTCTCATGGAGCCTCCCATTTCGCATGGGAAATAGAGGTGTCGGAGGAGGCCCAGTCTCAGCAATGCCGAGAGAGAGCAGCGACCCTAAAAGGTCCTCCCTTCCCATCTGCACGTTCCCTTAATGGCGAATTAGTTGCGAATTCCCTTGAGGAACATGCTGAGGCCGGCGGTACAATGGCTGCAAAGGCAACCAAAGTCACGTGCCAGGCGTCTCACGAATTCCGACTGTGGACACCACCTGGCGAAGCGGGTCAGCCAGAGCCTCTTCATCTACAAGTCACACCAGCCAACGAGCAGACACTTCAACAACAGGCCCGAGAGGCGCTCGCAGATTTTCCAGGCTATCAAGAGGGGCCCGAGAATTTTGTGATTTCAGCCACTGAAGAAAGTCGGCCTCACGCAATTGACGAGGGAGAAATCCCGTCGCATCAGCCTCAAAGTCACGACGACAGCCTGAGCGACAGCGCTTGGCCGTCGCGGTTGCGTGGCAGCGATAGTGACGAACGCAGTACGCATTTTCAGGCCCCTTTAAACACAGCTCTGAACCACGCTGTCCCTTGCAGGAGCTCTGGCACTACGTCTCGTTCTGCATCGCCCGAGTCCGCTACCATGGCGTCGAGCGGTCAAGAAGACCCCGAAGCACAGGGCCCTATAGCTCCTTGGGGCAACGATACGACACTTCAGGGTGAAGCCCAGGCACATTCTGAGCCCCAGCTTCTGCCAGAGCACTTCAACGCAACGATGGCGACCAGTCCTACCATGTCGACCGTCACCCCTGCTGAAGTGAGCACTTTGGGAGTGCAGTCATCCACCACACTTCCGCTACTGCCAGGCCACTCAATGCCATCATCTGGCTCGCAGGCACTATCATCAAATTCAATTCTCTTGGGCCAAGTACCCCTGTCACTCTCAACGACGTCGCAGGCGGTAGCACACAAGCCGTCTGCTACGAACTACCATATTATCACGATCCCTTTCCATAATAGCACCCGGGCACTGTATTTTGCCACGATGCGGTCACATATGAGCACCTTTGAGAAATTCAACACCACGTACAGCGCGGAAGATTATTCCACACCAGATGAGCAGTTACAGAGCGAGATCGAAGAGGCACTGACAGACCTGGTCTATACCTGCGACTACGGCGGTGAATCTCTCGAGATCATGCCTGACACAGACATTGAGAAGCAGATGCGGCACGTCGTGGAGAAAGTTTCCAAAGTCCAGTTCCTGCACGAGTTGCTACCCGCGCTCGGGCCTATCAACGTGCTCATCGTCGTTGGCTCCGATAACTTAACACGACTGATGATACACCTCATTTCACGTATTCACAAATTGCCGTGGTCTTGTCCCGAGAACCCTGCAGCTCAATGTGATCCACGGCTATTCACTGATGCACTGCAAGCTCCGCGGATCACTATCGCTACGCCGAGGCATGCCGAGGCGGGCGATTTCGATCTTGTCATCGCATACGATAGGTCGTTCGATGGATCGGCCATGGCCTCAAGTACGGCAGCTGCATCCGCAACCCAGTCAACACCCACCGTGTTAAGACTTGTGACGACACTCTCGGTTGAGCATCTTGAGCTTGCAATAGCCGGAGAGTCCGGCTCTGACCAGGGGCCTATGGAGAATCTGGAGAAGACAATGAGACTCGTTTGGGCCCTTGTCCACACCCAGCCCCTACTTGACGGAACTCCAGAACCAGGGGAACCCAGTATACCAGACCAGTCTGAACCGCACCGCATTGCAAAGACTTTTGCTGCGTACCTTAACGGCCAGGTTACCGATCTCGACTACGAACCGGTGCAGGTGCCGACGCATGTTCTGCAAGCATTCCTGACTCCATCATCTCCGGCTGAAGAGCATTCTGTCACAGACCTCAAGCGCAAGCTAGTACGTTCGTATGAGAAGAGCAACGTTGGGAGCAAGATCTGACTGGATTTAGGAAGACGACACGGACGATCCCGGCGTCCCTGGTAAACGAATGCGCCGCTACTCGTGTATCCAGCCCCTTTTCCCGACCGACACCATACCTGTGCCGTCAGACGTCCGAAATATGCTCAAGTCTGCTGGTCTGCGCGGCCCCCTCCAGTCCACCGGCGAGGACCAAGTAGGCATGCCTATCGCCACCCTACGAGCGTTAGCAGCTCAGGTATGATAGTTAATATCAAGACACTGCACACTGCTGATAAGTCAAGCTTGCCGAAGCACACCGACGTTCCCCGCAAGAGACCACCTTAGAGCTTGCGGAACAAGCACATCTCAAGAAACTGGATGAGTTATGTAAAACACACGAGGCGGATTATGCCAAGTTTGAGGAGGCGCAGCGTGCCCACCTACGGGACCGCGATCATTTCGAGAGCATAGCCCGCGATTTGCAGAAGAAGTTGAATACCGAGGCCGCGCAGTCATTCAAACGCCAGGAGAAGGATGCCGCCGAGATCACCCAGCTAGCAGCGACAGTTGCTCGGTTGACTGCGGAAGGCGGTGATCCCCTCGTGCAGTCAGAAAGCCTTGTCAAGGAAGCTCAAGGGAAGATCAAGTTGTTGGAAAAGCAGATTGATCAGGCAAAGGTGGACAGGGGATTCGCATTTGAACAGTATCAGGCGGCATCTTCGACCGCAGAAGAACTCCGCGACGAAGTTAAAAAGCTGGCCGAAGCTAACAAAGACCTGCAGCGCAGAGCTGACGCCAATGTTGTCGAGATTCATCGCATGAATAAGGATGGCATCGTCAAGCGACTGGAGAATCTTTTGTCGGCGGAGCAAATCGCAAAGAGGGAAATGATCCAGGAAAATCATGCACTCCGTGAGCAGATACGGCAGCTCAAAATGGCAAGAAGAGACACGAGACACTCCAGCGTGCCGCGTAGTCCGCGCACAGGTATCATGAGTCCACGACCTCAACGACCAACCGGACCGAGCTCTGTTAGCAGGGGAGCCAGCCCTGCGCCGGTGATGGGTTCGCTTGCCGACATTTACAACGGCGGCAATGGTGCATTCTCGAGGACGCCAGGAGCCCAATTCACGTCGACGAACAACAGCGCCGGAGACCGCTCTTGAATGGTTTTTTCGCGCGTTCCATGGGGTGGGCTTATTTGTTTGATCTCAAGCTAGAGCCTTTGGTTTTCTAATTTTGCATAGCGTTGTATTTAAAATACCCAGCATTATAGGCATTTCGCGGATAGGTCATGGTGGCGGTGCGATTAGGCATCAGGATAATCACACATCGTTCTTAGGGTTCCTTGTCTTCGTCGTCAGACATTACCACAATGAGTGCATTTGATGTAACAAAGTAAATTTGATCCGCCGTAAGCAACTCCCATCTTCTATCGAATCATTCCTTCCTCTTCTAACATGTACAACAAGATCCCACATGGGAGGGCTAGTAGATAAAAAGGCCGTCAGGGCGTCTTGGGGGCTTCCTGCGCTGCGTCCAAAATTATTTCTGCGCCTCGGGATAGAGGTCCTCCTTCAACGGGACACCGAGCTCCTCGCGCAGAGGCTTGAGCTCATCGAGGTACTGCTGGTACTGGCCCTTGTTCTCAACCTTGGACTTAATGCCTGCAGTTCAATCACAACGTTAGCCGAGCTCCTTGATATGGAAGGGCGGGGACAGTCGTACCCTCGAAGATGCGGACAGTGGTGGGGAAGTCGTTGACCCTCCTGGCGGCCTTGAGAGCGGCGGCGACGACGGAAGGCGAGGGGACTAGATCGTAGGCAAAGGCGTTGTTGAGGTTGCGCTGTAATCGTACGAGTCAGCCGGCTATTCTGCAACGGGTAAGAAACATCCTACCTGGAGCTCAAAAACATCCTGAACGCTGTCAAACTCCTTCTCGAATCTGTGCAAGGCAACGCATTAGCCATTGACCGTTTTCAGGCCCGATTGCGGCCGTGGTGACTGAAGCTGGTTATTTTCGCGTGGTTATTGTGCCGGCAGCAACGTGACGTCCAAAAGTTTTCTGATCCGGGACGTGTCTGTCACCACGATCCCCAATCGCTCTCATGCAAGTCTCACCTGGCAGAGAACTCCTCAAAGCTCTCCTCGGCGTGCTCGCCGCCGCTGCGACGGGCGATGGTGGTGCTGAAGCTGGCACGACTCATCAGGGGAGTCGCGGGCGCACGGGCAGCAACCGAGCGGAAGGAGCTGCGGACAGCGGCGGTACGGAATACGGAGTGCATGGCGACGGTATTTGGAGTGCTTGTCGACGAGTGGAAAGGAGGGGAGTTTCGGTCTCAATGCGTGGTCGAGATTCGGTTCGGGTTCGCAGGCGTAGGAAAGCTTTCTCGGGATGATGCGGTTGCAGTCTGCAGGTGTTTGGTTAATGAAGAAATTTGATTGGCTGGATACTGACTAAGCCACAGACAGTGCGAAATCTCTAGGTCTTTGGCGACCTTACAGGTATTCTGGAGCTTAAGCACTGTCTAGACACTGTTCCACCTCCAGCATGGCATGATTTTGAAGGCAGCTTGGAATTAGCAATGTGTATCCGTACAGCGAGGAGATCTCGTATTCTGGCGGATCAGAACACGCGATGTTGCGCCGGTGGTTTGATCCTTACATCGCAGCGGGTTCTATTGTATACAAAGCATCCGCCGTGTGATACTGGATGCGCCCCAGAACGTATGAGGTGTGTGTTCTGACTACTTGGTGCAATGAACGGTGCGCGACGGCCACGCTTCAAGTACTTGTATAGCTGGGACCTTTTACCTGGTTTTGGGTGTGATCAACTCAGCAAAGCGAGCGATAATCATCGTGCGTAGCTACATTATCAAGGCGCGACAGAGTTCGTCATATTCTAGCATCCAGTCACGTGAGTGTTTGATACACCCCAGCTGCAACACAGGCGAATCACATGTTCGAGCTAGGCCCTTCAAAGCCGAATGCCATGGTGGTGCCAAGGTCCAATCTCGGAGCCACGTCCAGGTACGAATGCCTTGGACGTGTCAGTGCTGCTTTATGCGGGATTCACGTGGATAGGCACTTCCGGTGGCATTTATGCGTGAGGATTGAAGATTACAAGCAAGCGGCGGCATATAATCACTTTTCTAGGACTAGCGCAACGGGCCCATGTACCTCACCGAGCACGGAGCCAACGGGTTCCAGTGGAGGAAGACGACAGGATCGCGGCGGCGGGAGGGTCGATGCGAAATTTCCCCTTTTCGAATGGGAAGTACCATAATTATTAGCTGTCTTCCTCTTCTCCTTCTCCCCCATCATCACAACCTTTCCTTGGACACACCTCTGGAGCGTCCTGTGACATCGCTGCGGCGCCCTTCTCTTGTCGCGGCCTCTTAATTGCTTCTCTTCTTGTCATTCCTTCAAGTGCCCCTATTTACCTATTCAAATAAACCTCAGTCCACGACAGCATCCCGTCGCGCGTGCTTAGACTTGCGACGCACGATTCGGAGTCAATTCGCAACCCTGCCCCCTACCGAATCACGACGTCCGACCAGAAAACACGTGCGCCGTAATCAAGCAACCGCCTGTCATGTCGGCTCCCGCAACATTCTACGAGCAGCTCCCGCTGCCGACGGTTGACCGTCCCTTTGGCATCCACCTATGGCCCATCTTCAGCAAGGCCTGGGAGGCTGTCGTCGGGTACCCAGCTGAGGAATTCCGTTTCGTGCCTTTCGAGACGCCCATGTCGACCCTCAAGTCGACGAGCATCTTCATTGTGGTCTACTATGCAATCATCTTCGGTGGCCGCGAGATGATGCGCAATCGCGAGCCTTTCCAGCTGAAGACCATTTTCCTGATTCACAACTTCTACCTCACCGCCATCAGCTTCATCCTTCTGGTCTTGTTCCTTGAACAGCTCATCCCCACCCTGGTCCGCGACGGTGTCTTCTACGCTATTTGCAACAAAGACGGCGGGTGGACACAGCCTCTTGTTGTTCTGTACTATGTGAGTGGACGCTTGATGCGGCTTGCAAGCCATCTTCGCTAACTGCTGAACAGCTGAACTACCTGACCAAGTACCTTGAACTCCTCGACACCGTCTTCCTCTTCCTCAAGAAGAAGCCCTTGAGTAAGCCGCTCCTCATGCGTCCGCAAAACAAGCGCTGACCTTGCAGCCTTCCTCCACTGCTACCACCACGGTGCCACCGCTTTCCTTTGCTACACTCAGCTCATTGGATCTACCTCGGTCTCCTGGGTGCCCATTGTGTTGAACCTGACTGTTCACGTTGTCATGTACTGGTACTACTTCCAGAGTGCTCGTGGCATCCGCATCTGGTGGAAGGAGTGGGTCACTCGTCTCCAGATTATCCAGTTCATCATCGATCTTGGTACGTACAAGCTGAGATACCGCGGTGGCCATTCTACTAAGACTCGCAGGCTTCGTCTATTTCGCTTCGTACACCTACTTCACCTCGACCTACTGGCCTTGGATGCCCAACGCTGGCGAGTGCGCGGGTGAGGAGTTCGCCGCTTTTGCCGGCATTGGCACTCTCAGCTCCTACCTCGTCCTTTTCATCTCATTCTACGCTGCTACCTACAAGAAGAAAGACGGCAAGAAGGGCTCGACCACCCGCAAGTCTCTCCGCCGCTTGTCGCAGGCCCCTCTGCCGGACCCTCTGCACATGGAGAGCGCCACCTCCAAGAAGGAGGGCAGCGGCTCAGCCACGACCACCGGCGCCAAGACCAATGGTGTCACCACCCGCTCTCGCAAGGCATAGACGGTGGGAGAATGAATCGAAAGGGCAGCGAACTGCTACCCTTGATGGGACAGGTTACGGCCCCTAGTTGGCAATAACCTGCTCGCCTGTACCAATGACGACAATAGGATACATATGTTTTGCTCTTGGAGGTGTCGGAGTCTGTTGCTCAAAGGAGTTCCTGAGCCTAGCCGTGGTGGGCCCCCGCAGCTACCAGCTGGTAGCCAGTGGTACAGGTCTTGTTTTTGTAAAGTCATGATGATGGGATTGGTGCATACATAAAAGAACAACACGTTTGAGAGGGTTGCATTACCAGCGAAGTATGGTACGGTATCGGACAATTGGGTGGATGGCACGCATGGTATAATACTGCCTTTTATATTTTTCTGATGGTCGTTGTGTATAATGTCTAGATCCATCACGCGTACCGAACCGCGAATGTTCACTTACGCCGACGCTGTCATCAATATCGGGTTGCACGTGCTGATCGTCCCCCCAAAGGCATGACTGTTTATCATTACAGGACACAAACAACTGCCGTGGTACTTCTGGTGGGGCCTGGAGAATCTGTACGGGGACCATCAAATTCCATCCACACAGCTAGTACCTTAGGCATTAGAATAGGCTAGTAGTCTATTCGTAGTAGCTGGCAATTGGAGTAAGCACAGCGTGGCGCCTACCGCAGCCTGTCGCACCAGTGTGGATGCTCAACCAAGCTTTCATCATAGCTACTAATAATTACTGGATCATGCCCAAGCTTGTGCTGCTGTGCGTTTAAGCACCTCCAGTCATCTCTCGCAGCGTCTGCCAACGCTTGCCAGATGCGCCGGCACCAAGGCTGCAAGCCGAGGGCGCGAAGCAGGGCCGGGTGTACCAGGCGATCGTCCCAGTCTCATGCCGGAAGAAGAATGTTCGCGCGAGCGTGGCGCGTGGAGAAGGGGTGAGAATGGGGGTCCCAGGGGTTGGCAGCGAGCGCAACCGCGTGCTCATTTGACACAGCTGAGCAACAAAATAACCACCACAGTCCACGGTGAATAAGGGAGAATAAGCTTAATGGGAGGGAGGTGATCAATCAGCTTGTCTCATTGACTGCAATGCAAGATGTGGACAAAGAACCTATGGTAAGGTAATCAACCAGGAGCCTTCCTGGTCATGGATGATCGCCGCCGCCGTTTCGTTTCCAACCCAATCCCGCCTTGCGCAGCCCTTTGTCCCTGTGCTACGTCCCTCCACCCTTCCTCAACATTGTGCCTTCTTCCCAACCTGCTTGATATTTCAACCAGCGAACGGGAAACCCCTCTTCTTTTCCCGGTGCTCTGTCGCGAACTCTCGCCACCATGAGACTTCCGTTCCGCCGCAAGGACAAGAAGAGCAAAGACAGCAACGACTACTTGGGCTCGGCGGATGTTGCCCGCCACCAGGGACCCCTCTTTGCCTTTCCACCTACGCACCACTCCTCACAACTCGTCGCTCACCTACCGTCGCGCGTTCTGCAGCGCATCTTCGCCTTTGTTTGCCCTCATGCTTGCGATGAGTCCTACGAGGCATGTGAGGACAGCGCGTCCGATGCTGCCTGCATGCTCTGCGACCTGCGCGACCTGGCTCACTGCACGCGCGTGAGCAAGTCGTGGCGCAGGAATGCCGTGCCAGTCATGTAAGCTAATGGCTACTTGAAAGCTCGTTGCACGCCGTGTTGACTTGTCAGGTATCACTCTGTCCGCATAGACCCTGTCCATTACTGTTCCCTCGAGGCGGTCCTGGCCGAAAAGCGCAAGAAGACGTCCCGCTTCGACCGCAATGGAGTACCGGAAGATCCAGCACAAGCGCGCTTACGCCTATTCCGCCGAACCGTTCGCGACGATCCCACACGCCTAGGCAAGCTTGTCGAGTTCTTCAAGATTCCATACATGCTGCGCGAATCTTCCTACGTCGAGCTGGCACAGACTATCGCCGTGTTACCCAACCTGCATTATGTAGATCTGCCCGAGGGCATGTTTGCAGATGAGGCGAGCTTTGGAACGTTACGACTCGAGATCCAGGCACGCTGCCCCAGCATAAGGAAGACGACATACAGGAACGGCTCGGAACAGAGCCTGGCTGCGCTGGCCTCCGGAAGAGTGTGGACACAACTCGAGGTGCTCGAACTAGACGGCATCCACATCGATCCTACAACGCTGAGGCACGCTCTGGCTTCCTTGCAGCGGTTGCGTGCCTTGAAGGTATCGAACTCGCACAGCTTCTCCGACGAGGTGCTAGTCGCTGAGGACGGGCTGCCTTCACTGCCGCCTCTGGAGGAACTGGTACTCAAGGAGACCCCTCGCCTAACGATCAGTGGGTTGGGAGACTTTTTGTCGTGGCTGGAAACCCAGGAAGCGCTCAAAGTCCTGACGTTGCAGAACACCGGCGTGCATCCATCGCATCTCGGAGAAATCCTTGGTATGGCGACACGATTGAAGACGATCGTCGTACAAGCAACAGTGGCAGAGGCATTCCCTCACCAGAACAGTGTGCAACCCATGGCGTCGCGGTCGCTCGAGACCCTGCGCTACGAGATCCAGTCCGCCAGTTCGGCTGGGCCCTACAGCTCGTTCGAGAGCGGCTATTATAGCTTCCTCGCCAATTCGATCTTGGGGGGCAACTTCCCTCGGCTTCGCCAGCTGTATGTGCTAGACGATACAATGCCCGACCAGCTGCAGGGTCTGCCTCCGCCAAATGCAACATTTGGCGCTAGTCGCGTAAGGTCCAGTAGCTATACAGCTTCCGGTGGCCGACCAAACATCCCTTCCATGCGTGTCAACGCAGATGGTGGCCCATCCCTCTCACCACCAAGTGCTCGAGCCCGGCCTATGTCCAACGTCAACCCCGTCAACCGGTTCAGCTCCAACAACCCATTTATGTCACACATGCCGCCGACGCACCAGCTCGAGGTCTTCACGAAGAGCAACGAGTTCGGTAGCTGGAACTTTGCCCGCGTGGACTCGGTCCAGAAGCTCGAACCGCCAACCTCACCAGGCTTCGCTCGCGACAGCAGCCGACGACCTATCAGCACATACGGTCTGGGTGGTGACATTAGTGGTATGGGGTGGGAGGCTGGCGAGGCTCGAAAGAGTGTCATGGTCGGCAACGGAACGGGCGCTTTCCTTGCTGTTCCAGGTCAAGAGGAGTCTATTGCTCCGCCACCCTTTGGAGCGCCCCCTGGCCCGAGAGGCTCAATGGATTCGTTCCGGCCGAAGAGCAGTGGTGGTGACTCGGTGAGGGGGAGCCGGGATCTGTGGAGGTAGACCGGTTCCGCGTGAGCTCTGAAGAAATGCCAAGGCGACAGGCGGTAAGAGTACAATGATGGGATAAGTAAGACCTTTAACAAGAGGTGGTAAATCTGAGTAGGGGTGAGCTGGAAAGGTACACAATGATCTGTCTATCAGGCTGGAGGCACCAAGGGGAATTGGCGTGAGAATCCGGGATACCATATCAGCACCTGCCATCAGAATATGACATCTAATGAATCGACCAAGCGACTGCAGTCTCCAGCTCTTACAAATGATTTTATGGACGTTCGTCCAAAGCCTCAATATGGCTATCCTCGTCCTCAAAGCCACTGCTGCGCCTCGGCTATGTGTCATCCACGCCTCTTGTCAGCGAACAGCGCCGTTTGGCCCCAAAACCGGGGTCGGTCGCGATATCATTTTCGTAAGCTACTATTCCTGAATATACTATAATTATGTCCTTAGTTCGTGGAATGCGCGGGGACGAGAGACAACTGCATGACGAGACCAAGCACAGTATTTCGAGAATGAAAAGGTACCTCCCTGGTCACATACGATACGGTTTGCGTGGAGATTACTAAACACATTGTAAAGTCATATAGTAGAGGTCATCGTATCTGAAGCTTGCAGAGTTGACATTCTCCGGATTGATCGCGCAAAATGACGTTTCTCTGTGAGCGTGAGGGCCAAAGCTCCAACACTAAGAGTCCAAGTTTGAAGCAAACTGCAGGTCTCGAGGGCCAACGTCATCTTTAGGGCTGAGCGGGACATGATCACTCAAAATCGCCTCTGGCTTGAGGTATCTCCCCAATTTCACACCTACACGTACTGTGCTGCTCTGCGTTGTCGATTTTCAACACGACACATGGAATCAGCGGCGACTGTATGAGTGGCTGGGATCTTGATCATCATGAATTTCGCCGCATTCACCTTTGAGCAGGCTTCAGGAGACCCGTAGGGATTCAAACGTCACAGAGCAGGATCCGAACCCTGGGATTGTGAGCATAACCACTCCGTCGTGGGCCAGGGCCGCCAGGCGATGGGGATTTCTCAGTGTCGAGCAGGTCTGTACGTCCCAAAACTCAATGAGTGTGATATCCCAGGAATATCACGGGTGCGTTGACGAAATGAGCAGTGAGCACTGCTATTGTGTCCTATTTCGACATGCGTCGAGAGTCTAGACATTCGACATCAAGCACGTGGGGCCACATTCCGTGACTCGGCTGTCAACGACTCAACGTCATAGCGTGGCTGTTGTGGCTGGCTGCCGTCGGCCGAGTCCAGCCCCCTAAGATCCGACTCCCGGGCCCATGACCGGGTTCCCCCACCACAGGCCGGAGGGAGCACTGTACTAACTGTGCCCGCCATTGGAGGTCCCCGCTTCAGGGTCCAAGAGCTACGTACGTAAATTGTCAATGCCAGCATCGTCGAGGATGTCGCCACCAAGGGTCCTACAAGGAAGCCGCTCCTTTGATAACAACCAGGATGAGATCACAATAGTGTGATTCCCAGTAGCATCGTGCAGATGGCAACTTGGCACATATGGAAGCGGCTGCTGACGGGTGGGTGTGTCCGCGTCCTGTGTCTAGGGTTGGTGGGCTGTTTCTAATTTACAAGTCGCTGGGACGGCGCGTGATGAGGAGGAATCGAGACAACGACAAGTTTGGGTAGACGCGACATACGACTCTGGGAGTTGTTCACGGTGTGCTCGGGCTACGGGCTTTGCATCGTTCCACGGTGGTCCTGTCAGGTCAAAAT